TCAGTTTCAGGCCTTTTATTTCAGGTTCTTTAATAAAAAACGAAAGGTAGGCGTATAAACAATACCTTTCAGGCCATATTTAATATAAAATTGCATTATCTTCAATGCTGTATATGCATTTACACACAATTGCATTGTACATTTAAAATGTACAATAGCAAAAAAGGGATCGCAATAGTTGATCCCCAATTACATTGCGTTACATGTCATTTAGACTTTTTTTTCTTTTTATCCGAAGCGACATGAAATAACTGCATTTCAACTGGATTAATTCAATCAACTTTGGTCAAGGGGAAAAAATGCTTTACAATACCACAAGAAATATATATATATACTTTTAAAAAATCTTATTGCAGAAGCAACTTAGTTGTTGAAGGGCTATTACATTAGGTCCATTAGTTACGGTTACCCTCAATTGTGTCTGATTCTGAATCTTAATCTTGGGTGGTTTAAAAGGATGTAGCTACGGAACGTATTCATGGATATCTATGAAGCCAGAGATCACCAAAATGGCCGGTGAGGATGCTATCTATGCTTTTTATGTTGTAGACTACAGTTCTTACCGAGTGAATGTCTGCTCGTGTAGGAAAAGCTGCAGTGGTTCAGGGTATTGCACGCCTGTCCTGCAGCAGAAGGATCAACCCTCCTCAGACACCACCTCTTCCCCACCCCCCTTTTACCCTGTAAATTATAGCAGCACTTTAGCTAATGAAAGAGTTGAAGCCCGGGCACTAATAAAAGCCATTAAGTGAATAAAGCACTTCCCCTCTAACAAAATTAAAGAATCTACCCATTTGGAGAGGGAGGACTCTGTATTAATATTTATGAAATGCGGAACCGGTGGCCCCCCCAAAACTCCCCAACTCACGTCCAATCCCTGACTGACCAAGTCCTCCTTGCCTGTGCACCTATCCCAAGGGAACATCACCAACCCCTCCTAGCTCGAAGGAGGGGCAGGAGATGGGGACTTCAAGGGTGCCGAGGACGCAGTCAGGACAGTCTGCCTCCAGTTGAGCAAGCTGGAAGACCCCAAGACAACAGCTCCGAGCTCCCCATCGCCTTCGTCCCCCCTCAACCGGCTGCAACCAACGCCGACTCTGGGACCAGAGGATGGAAAGGTGGGTTCCTCGGAAAGGACAGATGTGAAGAAGTGAGCTTCCAACAACAGCATCCGGAGGTTGTTGGTAAAATACAGCGTAGGTTATGACTTATTTTCATATTTTAGTGTTGTGTTGCTGGTTGTTGGGGGTTTGACCCTTAGTCTGAAGAATATTTAATGTACTGCTTTGCTTTATAACTAGATATTTTAATGCTAAAGAACTTTAAAAAATGTTTTTAGTCAAAATATGACATGAAATCCAACTTCTAAAAGTAGGTAATTGCAGTGATGAGTGAAAAAAAGACAAAACGCCAAAGACAAGGTAAGGACTCATAATTATGTGTCACAATCATCTATGCGTAAAACCCATCACGCCATCCCATCAGCCACACGGCATCCTGTCAAACATCCTCATTGTTCTGAAAAACAGAGGTCCGATTCACCGCCAACGCCCACCATTATCACCCAAAGTACTTCCATTTTCATGCCATTCGGTCAACTGCAAATGCAGAGTTGGTCTTTGGTTCATCCATATGCATTGCGTTGTAATTTCATCACACAAAGTGGTTTAGTTGCCCATAGCTGTAAGGTAAATTATGCACTGTGCTTTCCCCATTTTGGTAAAATGTCCCACGGGAGCTAAAAGAGAAGGTAACTAGATTGTCAAACCTTTTGGAGAAACGGCCGTCTTTAGCTTGATGGTATCATGACTCTTGACATTGCACCGTTAACACAGTTAGGGCTAAATGGCCAGACGGGGTTGTGTCTTTATTGTAAGAAGAAAGCAAATCGGCGAACATGGGCAACAGCGATGTAGCAATTATATCATCCTTGCATCCATTGGTATCTCTAGACTTGTTTTTCAGTAAATTAAATGGTAAATGTGAGATACTATTGCTCCTAACGACGAAGAATTAAGCAAAGTCCGTTTCCAATGATCGGTTGACGAACTTATTTGAAGAAGCCACCATTGTTCAGCTCTGCTGGAAATCTTTTTTTTTTTAAGTTCAATGTTTGAATGTTTGTTTCAGCAGAAAATGCTAAGACTTTTTAGACTTTTTTTCAGTCGCACCGGGTAGAGTTGGGCGTGGAAGGCGGGTGGGTGGGGTTTGACGCAGTTTGTGCGCAGGAAGGGTGTAGCCCGTTTTACCGCAGTGAGCGTGACCTATGACTAATTCTTTTTGTTAAAATATTAGCATTGTTGGCTTAACTGTTTTTTACTAATTGCGTTAAGCATGGGTGAGAGTTGCCTTTTTAAAACGTTAATCCATCCATGAGCTTAGATCTCCTCCCTCACACCTTTAATTTTTTTCCGCCTTTTTTCAACTCCCGGATTCCAGATTGCAACTAACCTTTCGGGATTGTCCTTCAACTGCAAGAAATTACATTCATGATTATGTATTTGTTTCAGAGGTTTTCAACTTGATGAGCTCCTTGATGAAAGCTAAAATATGTGATTTTTTTTGTTGATTTTCTCCATTTACTTCCATTTATATTTAAACCAAATGTAAGGTCATTTGATTGCAGTATTTCCAGTTGGATCGTCGCTTTTCCGAGTTGTTTTTCTGTATTTGCCCAGGACGCCATTGTGCTTGATCTAACCATGCAGTGCATCGTCTGTCCATGGTTGTGCCAAGCACTTTGGAGGCTTGTGAGCACTATCACCAGTCTGTTGTGGATTCTTGAGCAATTTAGAAAATCCATATAAAGCAATGTAACATCTGTGCATTATTTAGAAATTTGAAATAAACCTATGAACTCTCCAATGCGGCAATACAAAGTGACCAATAAACATCATCTAAACATCCAGTGTCTTTGATAAGCATTTACTCAAATCTTGAATGAGGGGCAAACATTTAGTTTTTAGAAGGATCGAGAGAGGGGAGGGGGATACGGGCTCAGAGTTTACAGCATTTTTAAAGACAAAACATCTTAAAAACGCTGGTTGGTATCATAAAAGGAGATTTGTGGAAACAATGAATTACTGGAAGTGCTCTGTGGCTTTTATATGTCCAAGCATTTCAGAAGACAGGTCTGGTCATACATGTCCTCTGTTAAGACATCACTGTTAAGACACACTGTTAAGACATCACTGATCTACAAATCAAACCCTGAGACCTGCAGTCAATGTGCCTCAGACACATATAGACATTTATATAGTTTTGTTTCTGCAGTGTTCTGAACATCTTATTTTTCCATGATGTAGCAAAAAACATTGTATTAAACACGTACACTTTGATTGATTAACCCAGACTGGTCCTTTCTTCATGACTATTATGTTAATAAAGTCTGTCTTCACTGACCCTCAAATCAATGACCTACACTGTCAAACATGATGTAAAACTTCTTAGAATCATCGTCAGAATGACCATTACCAACGAAATACACCAAGAACGCTGGTCTTATCATGTTGTAGCCAATTGATCCGAAATACAATTTGAAACAGCAATTGTGCTTGTTATAGGAGAAAAAGTGTTAAAACAAGAATGGTTCTATTAATGGTTTTGTTCAGGTTATATTCCTACTAAATGATGATGACATGGTGGGTTCCCTCCAAAGTGGTCGAATATCTTTAATGCAAATGAACGGTTACATCAACCACCGTTGTGTAATTGCTGTTAGAAGTTGTTTCTTTGAGGTTGGCAGCAGATGGCTCCACTCGAAAACCATTGAAACACCTGCTTGGGAGGAGGGCGTCACATAATGACGTCAATAAAATTGCGCGAGCCGGAACTTTGACGAGAAAAGCAGTGAAGAAAACTATATATAATTATACATATGTGATATTTCTGTTGGTTGCATCTATTAATGTGAGGGAAGTCACATTAGACCAGTGTGGAGCGGTGGGGGAAGGTTTTATTGTGCTACTGTGCTTCGTCTCTTCAGCGCAGCAGAAGACGCCATGAACGTAAGTCACATGCTTATTATACGTCATCACGCATTGACGAAACGATATGCACGTTATAATATGTTGCCTTTATCGATCCACCTTTTTTTCATCTCAACCGAGCATAAGATATTGTAGCGATATTTCAAATCATTTCTTCTCATTTGGGGATTTTTTTCTTCAAACGGCAACATAAAATAAAGCCAACGCGGAAATGTCACAGAATTAGTTTTTCTAAATGGTTGCTTGACTGTTGTAAACCTCTGTGTGACGTCATGGGGATCGCTTGCAAATTGCACATCGGACCAGCTGGATTAAATGCATTATTGTGAGCAAGAATCTAGAAGTGCCCTGAATTTCACTGCTAAATTAAATTCAGCTATCATTCATTGAATTGTATATAGCTGGGCTTTTCTTACTGTCATATGTCAACATGCATTAAAATCCCACTGAAGATTCTTTTGTGAGACTAAAATAAAATAAAGACCGGCAATCACAATTTCAGGTAGACTATATAATATCTGTGATGTATGTAGCAAAGCTTTGTAAACATGACAACTCAAAGGTTTGACCGACATCACTGTTTATGGGTGAATTTTTTTTTTAATTATATCATTTCCCTGTGGGGAAACTGTAACACGCACACACTGCGTGGGAAAATAGCATTGCTCCTGTAATTTGGTTACAGGAGCAATGTTATTCTCCCATAAAGCAATGCTGAAAAGAAATTGAGGAGCTACTCTCAACTGTATTGATAAAACAGTAGATATACAGGTATATCTCTCTAAATAGTAGAGTTCATCTTGTTCCGAGCTGATCAGTTGAGCAGAAAGTGCTTGAACTAAACTGCAGCCTGTGGCTGACCCTATGACCAGACAGGGAGTAGGGTTTACACATTATCCCATTAGACTGGACTACGTGGGCTGCCTCGCACAAATACAAAGCCTTTGACCCATTACTCTAACCAAGATGAGGTCAAAACCCAGAATACTCTGCAATGAACAGCTGAACAGAGACAGATTGTTACGTTTATTAGATCTGAGACTGGCCTCCATTTCAGTCAGTCCTGAAATCAAAAGGTAACAAATGGAGCAGATGCCGTCCATACAAAACATTTTTTCTGTTTTTAAAGTAATTCTCATATTCTATCTAATCATAAAGTCTTTGCTGCTTGCGGAAATAAAAAACAAATAGCATGTGACCAGTCTTTAGACTACTGGAGATGGCCCTCAAGCATCCACAAAAAAGATCAGCAGTTACAACACATTTGCAAGGTGAATATTAGCAAACGTTGCGTAATGTTTGATGTTACTAGAATCACTTTACTCTTTAATTTGTCTATACAAGAGGTAAATACAAAAAACGTTTTCTTCACAATGGGGTTATATTATTCTACATTATTCGCTCACATGTTGGACCTTCAGAAAGGTGGATACCTACAGCTGATTCCCTCTCATGCACCACCATTACATACCACTTTAGTACGAGATGAGATGTTTTTAACATACAAATGCATTTTAGGATACTTTTGCCAGATTGTTAGGCTGTAAACATTGTATTTATGCAATATTTTACTTCACAGAATGGGAAGCTCATTGGACATTCATAAAGGCTCCTGCATAATGTATTACAGAAGCAAAGAACGATTTGGATGGATGAATTGTTGGATCCACATTAATTTCTAAATAATCAATGATGACTTCCAGTATTCACAGATGTATACACACAAAACCTATAGTATTAAAGAAAACATTCACACACACTTGACACTACAGACTGATCTGGAGCCTGTGGTGGACAACCAGATAAAAAAAACAACAGGAAATGCTTTTTTTGAAATTCATTTGAAATGCAAATGGACAGTGATGTGGCAAAAATTATTTTCCATAAAGAAATCTTGATCCATGAAAATGCATTTCTTTAGGATTGCATTGTTTGTAGAACTCAACCGAAGTGCATCAGTAACACTATTTGAGGATCTATGTGGTTGTTATAAGACACAATGGCCCAGATGTTAAAGGACAGGTTTATATAGGCTGTTTTGTCAACACTGGCAGTCTAGAGCAGCCGCTGTGAGCTGAATAGAATGAAACCCTTCGCCGTGCTAACAGCCAAACATTTCCATCCCCTCAAAAATAAAAGAAGTGCTTGAGTTTATTTAAACTTCTGTACATAAAAAAATCCCCAATAATGGCATCATTAGTTGTTGTTTATTTCTCCCCCCCCCCCATTATATCAATCACTAATGCTGCAATGAAAAGAAAAGTGTCGTCAAATCAATGAAATTAAAAAACGGTGTTAGAATTGTTCGCCTGCAGACGCCTCAATTCTTCATCGGTCAGTAGGAGGATCCTGGCTGTAGCTGAAATACAGTGACACTGTCCATTATAAGCCAATTGGTTACCTTTCAATGTCCGTTGCTGCTGCACAACACCACGTGAAATCGCCCCATAGACACTGTTTAACGGGGCTGCACGCAATCCAAACAGCCTTTAAAGTCACGGTTTGTCGAGCATTGTGAGAGAAAACAAAGAAAACAAAGAAGCAAAACAGTGTTTTGGCAAAAGCATGCCTAACTAGCAGTTTTGGCTCAATTTTACCAACATTTCTAAGACGTACATTATTACCAAAACAAGGCCGTCGCATTGGCTAAGCAACAGTAGAGCCATTGTGAAGTTTTTCTATGGCAAGCCATTGTTCTTGTGACATGTCATCGACAACCAATATACCCATGTCTAAAGTTGGACACACTGTATGTTGCAACTTCCATTTGCAGCGAACGCAGTCTACCCAAGGTGTTGGCGGTTTGATTGAGAATCTGCATGTGAAAACAGACCAACATAATCCCCAATCTATAAAAATGTCCATCTCAAGCGTAGATCTGTCCCGGACCGCCCGCATGTGGCTTTTCCCCACTGAGGCGCTCCTGGTTCGGCTGGCGGTTGCCGTCTTTGGATTTAATGACGGCTACGTAGTCGCGGATCCCCACTTCCAGGTTCTTGGCCTTCAAGGCAGCAGTGTGGAGCTTCTCCAGAAAGTCAGGCATACCTGCCAGGTGCCAAGAGAGAGACACAGACATGAAATGTATGCGGCGGGAGAGTAAAAATGACCAGAAATCCGACTGCGGGAGCAAATAAAGTAGCGAAACATTTGCAGCGCAAGGATTGGCCTGAGAAGTACAAAGATCTCACCACTTGACACCATCCAGTTCACACAGTAACGAGGAAAAACGGTCTGAGGATCGTCACTGTAGGTCAGCAGGTAATCAAATCCATTCTGTAGAGAGAGAGAGAGCGAGAGAGAGAAAAGGTCAATCCAAGTGGCCACAACACAGGATCCTGGATGAACGTTAAAGGAATTTGTGTTGCAACACATTCACCACGAACCTCATCAAAGGACTTGTGCGGGCGGATGACCATCTTTGACTGGTATGAATGGACTCTCACAAAGTCTTGAGTCTCTGGGACTCTGGGATGCTGCACAGCTCTATAACAGAATTACAAATGTAAAGCTATGTGCCAAAAGCGTAAAGTATATTTGACTCTAGAGACACATTATTCTTGAAGTTCCACCTGGATACCAGGACCATCAGGTTGTTGTCTTCGTCCACATCATAGCGACGCACATATACGTAGTCCCTCGAGTACAGGGGATACTGTTGGGAGAGATTAAACACTATTGAATAACAGATTAATATGCTGGAAGTTGGCTAGTAGTTGCTCCGAGCCGCATGTCAATCAGTTTGCTTGTACAACATAAAGAAAGAAGGAAATGGTTGTTACCCTCCCCCATTAACTGGATATGTTAAGCAAGATTGCTTTTCTACAGGTTTACATGTTTCTGTCTGCTGGACACGGCTTTATGTTTGCAAATGTTTTGAAACTCAGAGTGAGGCTTGTTGTCATTGCTGACTTTGCTGTATTAGTGTGTGTGTGTGTTTTCTGTAGTTGGAGGAGCTAAGCCTTAACACAAAAGGAGTGTGTTGCAGCGCGATATTCCATTATACCAAAACAGGGCAGACGAAAATAACCAAAAATGTCAGTGCTAATACTACAGTCTTTGGAAAGGTTTTGCACTAGTAGCGGTTTAATACCAGGTTTTAGCATTAAATCCTAACACTAACGCACAAAAGCAGTCAACACAAAACTCACAGGAAAGTGTGTCGCCCAGTGGACAACTTCAGAACCTGTGCAGCCATCTCTGTCCACCACTTCAAGCTTGATCACCAAGGCATCCCACTTCTTTCTGTACTCCGTATCCAACTAGGGGAAGGGGGAAAACATAAGTCAAGGGCAAGGTGCTTAAAATAGCCCATAGAGCGAGTGTCACAGTTGCTTTTGTGCTGCACACGGGCAGGCACGCTGGTTGAGCAGTTGTAGCTGGTTAACAGTGCAGACAGACGAGCTGTAATTTACCATAAACGGCATGTCAATTATAACATGTGAAAGTCACATTTTTATGAAGATTATATTGTAAAAATAAAAGAAAAAAGTTGTCCATTTCACTTATTTCCTAATGAATTGAAATTGATTTTCCTAGTAGCACTTAAGGAAAGCTGTACCTGTACATTGAAGAACTGCCTTGGGGTGACATCATTGTAGGAGCCCAACACTGTAAATAAAACATACATTCAAAAAAAAGAATGCAGACTCTTCAGACAAATAATGTATATAAAACACCAACCAGAGTACCAGATAAAACCCAGAGTACAATAGAAAGTGGTGAGATTGTGAGGTGTCTGACCTCTGTATTCGTAGAGGTGACTGTCGGGTATCGGGCGCTTCCACACCTTGAAGCCTTTTTTCTCCACCACAACTTCCCAGCCAGGTTCAAGCTGTCCTGCCTTTGTGCCTGAAGTTGTGTTTAGACTCTTTATAGCCTCCATCGCCTGTAGCTCAAGTCCACACCTTCAAATGGATGCAATCAACAGAACAGGTTCTTTAGCATACTGCACAGTTGACATTGCAGATACACCCACAATGCTGCACTGCAAACACACAAGGAAATGTTTTAACATGTTGAGCAGCTAGCACAGATAAAAAAAGAAACATTCTTGGAAAGGTTTTTCCTCAAGTGTGGGTACTGATGATGACGTTATGATATCCAGCAGGATGTCAACTCCTTTAACGTTCACCACCTGTAAGGCGTTATGCAGGAGTTGACAGTGTAAAGTATCAAACCTTTGCATTTCCTCGTCTTGAATCTTTTCATTCTCCCACAGGAAGATGCCAGCCAAGGCTGCGACGAGTCTCCCAGCAGGGGGGTGCTTGCTCTGAAACCTCCGCCATATGTTACCGACCAGAGCCGACCTGGTCCTCTCGGAGTACAGGTTGGAGTAGAGCTCTCCCACCTGGCAGGCGCGCCTCAGCCTCTGCCCGGTCACGAAGCCGCAGTGGTCCGCGAATATGGAGAGCAAACCCTTCCTCTTTCGGACGGATCCCGCGGCCTCACCGGCACCCGTACCTGCCCTCTGGAGCCAGGAGAGCAGCAGGCCCGCGCCTCTGCCCAGCAACGGCACCCGCCCGACCGTTTCTCGGCCTTCCTCGACGGCCCGCCGCAACGACCTGCTGCTCTGGAGCTTCGCGGTTTTGACACCAATCCCGCAAATGGGACGACGGGGCACGGAGTGAAACATGGCGACGCGGGACCAAGTTCCCCCGGAAAAAACAAAGATAAATATCAGCAAAGTGACAGCAGGTCGGTGGGGCTAGCGAGCTCCGGGGCGAAAGCTAATGATTCGTGGGCATGCACCACGCATTACCGCCTGCACAGTTGATATTTAGCGTTTGGCTATACGGTCATAGTTATATTGTTGTTGTAAGGTCAATAACTGAGCCGTCTAGTGCATACGTGCCCGCAGCATGTTACGTTGCAGTTAGCATTAGCTAACGTTTTCTGTCATCTGCCTATTAGTCCGAGACGGACAAAGCACACCCGACGCGGCAACACGTACTTCTTATTCCGAGCTATAATATCGACACTGTAAAATATATCGCCTGCCGTAAATACAAAACACAATAGTCTACTTGCGAATCTCTCCTGGAGACGGAGTCACGTTTTCAAAACTCCACCAGTGCATTTGACCTCCTCTTCAAACGCAACCACACGCCCACTCGGAAATCCCGCCTGACAAGCGGGATAGCGGTCGTTCATTGGACGTTTCTTGCTCTAGATCCATTCTGATTGGTCACAGTGGGAGTCAGTCCCGGGCACTAGCATGTTCGCAATGTACAGTTCTACTCCTTTACCTAAGCCCCCCCACATTTTGTTTTCGCTGGAATCAAGTAACGTTACATAGTTCGGAAGGAGAAGGTTATTTTCCAACACAGTCTAGGGTGTCAAATATCAGAATGAGAGCTAAGCCGAAAGTGGAGAGAATTATAGTGTAACCATTGAGTGTAACCCTTCTGCAGTGCTGGTCATACTCAAAGTCACACGTGACTTCAACACGTGTGTATTGAGTCATGCTTTTCATATTTACATGTTTCATTAGGCTGACGCTTTTATCCAACGCGACTTCTGGGGGGATTATTTGTTTTATTGACTGAAAAAGAAACACGTTGGGTGTTTTTCAAGCGCTGATACGTTGTGTTTAAAAACGCCCACATTATTGTTCTTATAAAACACTGAACATTTTTGTGATGACCTGTATTTTATTAATGTGGAAGATTAAGTGATTGATGGTTCCTCATAATACTTCCTCAGTGGGACAAAATATGTTATTGTACTTTGGTTGAAGGGCGAGTGGCAGGGGGGATGGGTAATTTTGACATTTCAATCATCGGAATGGTCTCACAAAGAGATACAAGCAGATAAAGAAGTCCTGGCTCTCAAAACGTTGTTACTATAGTATGACGCCAGAGGGCCCTGTTTCACCAGGCAGAGAAATGTCCTGCTCATCCTGCATGTCTGATGGGAGCATACAAGTAAAAACTACACAAACGAAACTGAACAATAGATTTAGCTCGATCAGAAGTGACCTCAACAATTCAGATTAGCAGAGGAACACCATAGACTGCATTTAAGATCGAAACAGCTCTGGTGTCATTACGCTCCCCAGGAATGAATGGAAGTAACATTCTAATGTGTATTTATCCCATGTTCTGCATTTCATTATCTTATGAGGTCTAACATATGAACAACGTTTTAACTAAATAGAGGTACTGAAATCATCTTTATATACAAACAATACATTGTCCACGTTGGTGTAACTGTAGTAGAAATACTTTAGCGTTGGCTGTATATATCGTAATGTATTATTAACCACGTGTGTCTCGCTCGTGAAAAAAAAGCATCACGAGACCTTTTTCGCGCTCAGGCTGTCTCAGGGGCAATAATGGAAAAACACCAGCGTGCAGAATGTTGTCTTAATAAGGGCAGCACACAGCACTGCATCATGTTGTCCCATTCGTAGGGCAACTTATAGGCCCTTTATCAAGTTGTCTTCACTGGTACAAGCGCCCCAGAGGGAACCTCATCCACTTTAATCTAGCATAGGGGCACCGAAGAGAGACCCTTTTGAGTCCACTGAATACACCAGAGATCATGAGATGTTTTTAAAGAACCTTATGCAAACACAGCATGTGTCTTTGTCTTATTTTTGTATCCACTACACAAACAAGTCACACGATATGTGACCGCTCTCTTGCTTGTTGTTTTATAATCCATTAAGGAAAATAACTATATACCATCGTGATGTGTACGAACCCTAGAGTTTGGCATATTACTCTTGTTAAATATTAAACAGGCGTCTGGGCAATCTGAAGTTTGAATTTGCTCCTGATTCCCAGAGGCTGGTAAACAAACATCAGTCAACATGATTTACGAGTTATTTCATGACATTGACATTGATTATGACATATGTCATTATCTTATCTTTTATTATCTCGAGGTCACATATCTGGTCCCTGGCAAGAGAGCAAACAAGGCACGTTACCAGTGTGAGTAACAGTGATTTTCTGAAATGGGAGTTCAGGAAAACACGACATATGTTTTTTAAAGTTGAATTCTGTTCAATGGTGTATTATTTTGGGGTTGTCAATCCCCGATCAAGTATGAAAAATACAAAACCGCTTCCTTTCTTTTGTGAGATGCTCGAGCCCATTGACCAATGGATTTGAAACGGGAAAATTTTCCATGATCCTCAAAACAACTGACGTCAACAAGAGACACTTTGGGGAGGTCGTATAACTATAATGATTATACGTGCGGTTCTACGCCGATGTAAATACATCACACTGCAGCCTGTTCTGTGAACACCAACTGTTTTCCTTGTTTCTAATTGAGTACGAAACTGTGATTGAGTCAAACACATTTTTCTATGCTTATTGAGCATATCGCGTCTCTCTTGAACACAATACAACAGTCACCAAAGAAAACAACTATTGTTAGAGGGTGAATGTTATTATCATTTCCGGTCAATGCACTTGAATGAATGATAACTCTTCTGTAGAGCAGTCAACATCCCCACCGCCGGGGTTTTTTCCGCACTGTTTGGATGGGCATTGTTTCCCTTAGCTGGAAAAGCAGTGGTTACTGGGGTTGTTTGTGTTTGGTTTGCCATTATGTGTATAAGGTTTTGTCTGAAATGTGGTTACATAGCATGGTACTGCAAGTGAAATGAGTGCATTCAAAATGCAAATTAAGTAAAAGCGTAGCCTTAGTGTTAGTTATTCATAGTAATTTATAGTACTTTTTTAATTGTGGGACTATTATTGGCATTTTTGTTTGTCGATTAGTCCATAGAAATGAATTATATTTCAGAAATACTCTTTCAGAAGAGTTATATTCAAACTATAAAGGAAGAAATATGTAAGAAAATTTAAAAAATATACTTTTGGTAGAAGTGGGATCCTTTGACAACATCGACTGAACGCGTGACGACGAAAAGAAAGAAGTCTGGCCTCCGGCTGGGCGGTGCGGGGGAGGACCTGTGGGCGGGGCTTGGGAAGGGTGTATCCAATAAAGAAGAACCCCCCCGTTCCGCTTACCGGTATGAGCGAGTTCTACACATGAGGCTGCGAAGCTCCAATTCAAACGGAGGCGTATATTTCACATCTAATCGGATCGTCGTCCACAGCTTTTGACGTTAAAAACCGCTGGCGTCTAAACGACAGGCCGTCATTTGGGCAGGAGGTCCGTGTTCCACACTCTGCTTTACTTCAGTTGATTATCGCGAGCGCCGTGGTTGACGACGCGGTCGGTGCGCGCGCGGTATTCATCGTTAGCTGCGCGGCAAGAAAGACCCGTTCTCCTCGGGACCGACGACTGGAACGTGCGGTGAGTTCTTATCACTTCTTCTGCGACACTAAATGACTCTTTATGTGTTTTTTTGTTTTTTATCAACCCTACGCGGTGACACGATACCCACGTTACCATTCAGCGGTAAACGCAAAGCTAATGCTAAGGCTAACCGGAAAAAGAAATCATTGTTCTATGTGTTCACCGCGTATTACCGAGGGAGCCGTTCAGTAAAAGCTAGTTTGGATCTGGTTTCAACGCTCGTTGCTGTCATATAAAACGTCTTCTTTACCTACGATACATTTTTTTCTTTTCACATTTTCTCTGGCCGAGGTTAAGGTTAGGCAGGATATGACAATAATAATATTCGTTCAGTTGTGACGTAAACCGTACCATACATTTTTACACTGCGCGCGTGTGTATTTGTTTATATATGTATTTATCAAATAAAGGGAATCACACTCCACGCTCGGTCATTCAGAGGCAGGTTGTGTTTCCTCGCATTGAGTCACGTCCGGTTGCGCCCCCGAGAAAAAGTTGTAAAATGTAAAATAACCTCCGGATTCTCCCTGCGACATTCACCAAAAAAAATCCCGTTTGGTTTTCAGGGGAAACATTCTTCAAATACTAACTACTAACTAACTTCGCTGGTTCTCCACGGCCCACGTGGATGCGTTCGTCCATCCCGTTTAACGCCGTCCACGAATGTCCTTCTCTGCACGTCCTCCTGTGACGCTGCTGCACGGAGGTTGAATGAGAACATGCTGTTACTAAAGCAGACCCTCCCCCCTTTCTATGTTTTTTTTTCTTTTTTTTTCAGGAGGTTCACCTGCTCATCTGCAGTCCCACTTCCACGATGGCAGTCTATATCAGTCTGATGTCTCAGCACCAGAGGAACAGCACACCATCTAGCTTAATCACAGGATAGCGATAAGTACACGCGCCACCTTTAGTTTGCTGCTCAGCGCCAGTAAAACGCATTAGAAGTTAAAGGAGCCTTGTTTTAAAAACGGTTCTAAAGAAGTCCGTTATTTATTTGACCGTTTACCTCTTTATTTTATAAGCGGATTAGAAACCGCCGTACTCAATTGTTTTTACCGTTAAGATTGTGAATCGATTTCTTTTTAGCCTGTAATCATGGTTTCAACTACTGCCACCGCGATAATACTGGCCAGCACGGTGGGGCTGGTGACCCACACCGCCCTGACGGAGTACACGTGGTTGCTTGTTGTCGGCTTCGTCATCGCCTTCATCTTAGCCTTTTCCGTGGGTGCCAATGACGTCGCCAACTCCTTTGGCACGGCCGTCGGCTCTGGAGTGGTCACCCTGCGACAGGCGTGCATTCTGGCCACCGTGTTCGAGACTCTGGGCTCCGTGCTCCTTGGGGCCAAAGTGAGTGAGACCATCCGCAATGGTATCATCGACGTCGGCATGTACAATGGCTCCGAGCACGTGTTGATGGCTGGATCTATCAGTGCCATGTTTGGTGAGTAGCAGCGGCCTATCGTTAAACGTCTGTCCTGTGGAGGAGGGGAGATGCCTAATTGAATTTATTTATTCTCAATAGGTTCTGCTGTGTGGCAGCTGGCCGCCTCTTTCCTTAAGCTCCCCATCTCTGGAACTCACTGCATTGTTGGTGCTACTATTGGCTTCTCGCTCGTGGCCAGAGGCCAGCAGGGAGTGAAGTGGTGGGAACTACTGCGAATCGGTAAGTCGGGCCCCTTTGAATCGACTGAGCAGGAAATGTCCTCATTGTTTTGCTTGAATACTTCGTAGACATGCAGTGTTGTGATGATTCATCCGCCTGCTGTTTGTCTGCGTTGAGGGCCTTCAATGCCGGGCTCCACGTGCTAGTGTTTTTTCTTTTTTTACAAATTACTGTTGCCGATTCAGAGCTTAATCCAGAATGGCTAATATATAATCTGTATTTCCAAACCGCAACTTGGTAATGATGTAAATCATTAGTCTCTAATGTCATTAAATATTTGGCTGGACTACCCAGGTGAAGAAGACTGTATACAGAAACCGTAAGATACAGCGACCAGAGTGATTAAATCCACATGGTGTTGCATTAGGTTGTAAATTTCAGCTGTGGACAGTTTGCACTTGACTTCCCTCTTTTTTTAAGATTAACATTACATTAACATTACAGTTCATTTAGCAGATGCTTTTATCCAAAGCGACTTACATTACACTTCAAACCCATGGCTTTTTTTCACATTTTTGCCCAGGGAGCAATTAGGGGTTAGGTGTCTTGCTCAGGGACACTTCAACATGGAACATGGGGCAGCCTGGAATCGAACCATCAACCTTGTGCTTCCCAGCACACCTTCTCTAACCCCTGCGCCACGACGACCCCCTGTTTTTCATTTTTATACTCCTAACAATAACTACGGCATAATAATAACTATTGATTGGATTAAATAAATGTATACTAATCACTCCCTCCCCCCCACACGGGGTAGGTAGCTATGTTGTGTAAATGTCAAATGCACCATCCCTTTAAAAGGGAAGTTATTGTGGTTGCTCCATAGTTGCAATTGGCACACGACACATTACAGCTGAGAATGTTACTTGCAGACATTTTCAAGGCCAAACGGTGTGTTTGTGAAATGATGGCGAGTTATTACATTCTCACTAAATTGCAACGCTCGTTTTGTTTTTCTTATTTGCAGTTATTTCCTGGTTCCTGAGTCCCCTTTTGTCAGGAATAATGTCTGGCATTGTTTTCTACTTTGTGCGCATGTTCATCTTACGCAAGGTACGTTGTCCTTTTGTCAAATTTGCAATGGTATGTTTGATACGCTTTACGTCTGTTTCCAAACTGCAATACACCAATGCCAAAATAAAAGAGTGGAACTGTGTTTCATTGTGAGAATCAAGCTACAGTCCCCTGAATCTGCTACTTTTTCACATCATCCTGCTGGACTCAAATGTCTGTAACCGGGTAGCAGAATAGGCCACCTCTTTGTGCAGTCGGCTGTCTTTCTTTTGGTTGACCTGATGCCCGATTCTGTCCCTGCAGAAAGACCCTGTACCGAATGGCCTGAGGGCGCTGCCGGCGTTCTACGCTTTGACTTTAGGAATCAACGTGTTCTCCATCATCTTCGGTGGCTCATCGAGTGAGTATCTTTGTTTCAGTCATTTTTGCTTTGCATGTCTGCCCAGAGCCACAGCCTAAAAATAAACCGCTCCCTCAGACAGCCGGATGCCCACACGTTTTCCAGACCGAACCGGACTGTTTACCATTTTTACAGGGGCTGTGTTTATTTTAACATGTTTTTTCGGAGCCGTCTTGCTTGTGGTTCTATGTGGGTCGTGGGTTGAATGAAGTTTTAGAGCTTTGCACAGCAGGGCGACGTCACTGTCTGCCCTTCAGGCTTGAAGGAGGAAAAGAGAAGTAAAGCTTGTTATGTTGAAATATGTCCTTGTTTTGCTGCTAGTAATGCTCAAAATACTTGATGCATTTTCATCTTCCAGAATCTCGTCATTAAATGAGCCACTTTTGCTCCTGTTTTTGTTTCCTTCTCTCTACAGGGCCTAACAGATGTTAGCTGGCCTGGGCCATTAAATGGCACTACAGGCCAGATGTTTGACCAGATATTGCGTGCTGGTGTGTTCAGAAACATCAGCAGCACACGCTCAGAGGAGAGCACTTGCAGAGCCCCTTAGCCCCCATAGTCGAGTGCATTCTGTACAGTTGTGTGAAGTCCCTCTCCATGTACATGATGACCTGTACTTGGGTACCTCACATGGAAAAGGTGGGCGATTCAGACACCATAACAAACTGTCTAATCACCGTCAATGCTCCGGGAGACCACAATGGAGCCGGGCTCATCGGGCCATGCATGGTAGTAAAAAAATGAGACATCGCATGCATTACCGCTCGTTTGATTACAGTTTTAGTTTATCATCCAAAGCTCATTTATTGTGGGCCACGTTATGGATGATGCACTACGCCACCGCCTAACACAACTCATTAACGTCTGATTCCGCAGGGATGTCTGCACCCAAATGAGCACAGGACATTTGGTTCTACTGCTAATCTAGATGTTATCGCAGCGGTGCGATTGGACACCAGGCATCCCGCAGCACATTCCTTCACTCAATATGTACACCGCTGCCAGAGACATCAAGTCAGCATGCGGGTCAAAGAATCTTCACGGTCAGCTGTCGATCCCTTTAAAGATGAAGCTCGGGTTCTTCACACCTTGTGTATCCGATGTGCTGCCCCTCCCCTGCAGCCCCCTTCACCCCCGTCTAATCTGTGTTTATTGCAAACCAATGTATGTTTCAACATGCCCCAACACTCCGCGTGCGTTTTTAACACGCAAGACTTATTTGACCTCACGGCGGGGTGCTGAGAAATAATCTCTGCGGTCTATTGTCATGGATAGATACTCATTGTTAGGAGTGAGCATTCTCATATTACCGTAGCGACGGGCTACACCTCGTTCTAGACCAAAGTGATGACCCAAAGGTTCCTCGTCAAGTGAGTCACAAACTGCCACTTTAAATGTTTTTTATTTAGGTTGGTGGCTAGACGGTGGTGGAAAAACAACAACAAACCGTGTTATTGTGTGGTGGAGGCCATGGGATGCAGAGGTCTACAGGAAGGGGTTTGGAGCGCAGCCATGGTTGGCGTCAATTTCCTGTGCAGTCCCATTCATCCCGCTGCGTGTCTGTGGTATAAGCTCACCCCCCTTTGTGTGGGAGTGTTTATCAGACCGCTAGACCTAGGCTGGCTTTGGAAGCCTTTCTGTTATATTTTGTAAGAAGTTTCCTACAAACGGTCACAAAGAGGCTTCATGTGACTGGTGTCAGGCCCCCATTGTCAGCAGCACAGCAACAGTCGGGCTGAATCCCACCTGTCACTGGATGTGACAGGCCTCACGTGAGCCGACTCACCCGAGTGACATACAGCAGCCGCCGCTGTTAACAGCCTCCGCGCCGCTCCGGTCCTGCAGGCAGTCTGCTTCCATTGCGTAACTAAATAAACATTGGTTGTTTGCGCTGCAGTCTCGTGCTGCAGCGTGACTCAGATGGAGTGCACTGTAGCCTGAAAAAAAACAACACTTCGACTGAGGCTCTCTTGTTTTATCTTAATGCAGTCCCACGCTTTTTTCTTTTTTTGCATGGAAAAAGATCACCTCATCCAAAGTGGAGGGGTTGCAATTTTCAGCTGCTCTGGTTTTTTGTTTTCCCCTAACCACGCTGCTGACTTGCATCCACTTGTATGACAAGGACCAGCGCTTCCCCGGGGAAAAAAGGATGGTTCCTTTCTGCTGACAAGTGCTGCATTATATGTACCTCTGCTGCACCAGCTTTGCTGCAGTCTTGGCAAGAAGGTGTCCTTATTGTTACAGCAGATGACTCCAGTGAAGGACCCCCGCCCCTCCCCTTTCTCCTTAATTAATGTCTCCTTCTAAGGAACTCATTGTTAAACACAGTGTGTCTAGGGCATTTCGGGGTCATGGTGACATTTTTCTTTCACCTTTTTAGGTGTTGCAGAACTGTTCACATCTAGGGGAGCACATGCTTTCCGTATTTAACTAAGATGTGGCAGTGTTTCTAGTTTCTGTGGACTTTTTGTATTGTCCACCAAGAAAGGTAGCACCGGCTGCCCTGTTTGTTAAAACTGCCTTTTCTCCATTCTCTTTGTGTGTCCGTCTGACCTGGCGGTCCTTCAGTGCTTGGATTCGACAAGATCCCTTGGTGGGGCACCCTGCTCATCTCATTGGGCTTCGCTGTGCTGACGGCCCTCGTGGTCTGGTTCATTGTCTGCCCTCGCCTCAAGAAAAAGATTGAAAGTAAGTTTTTTAAGTCTTCTTTTTTTTGCGAACTTGCTGATTCAGTTTTCAAATCCATGTCTGCTGACCACTGACACCTTTTTTTTCCACAATCATTGGACAGAGGATTTTGCATTGCACTGCACTTAAAGTGACTTCAAACTATTCACTGAGGTCTCATTAATCCATCTAATGGAGCTCAGGGGTGCTTTGTCATAAAGGAGTCTCTTATGAGAATAATCAAATTATTGTCACAAGTTTTTGTTCTATAATCCTGAATTTAACCGAAGCCCATCCGCATACTCGTACTGTAGATTTAGTATTAAGGGAACAGCAAGTCATGCTGTCTTTGTTACTTCCTTACCAATCTATTGGGGAAGATTACAAGATAGAATTTAAAAATATATATATATTACAATGAAAAATGCCCCAAAATGTTCTTTTTAAAAGTCATGTTGATAAAATAATTTATTTTCACTTTAGATATTTGGTATTCACAATACCTTTCTGTTAGTAACATAGGTTTCTGAGGACTTGGTCTAATCGGCCTCTGCCCTGCAGTCTAATTGGGTCATTGTGATCCACTAATTGGTCCTTAACTCCTTGACTAAAATAAGTGCAGGTTGACTTACGGCGTTGACGTGGCTTTTCCACAGCCTGTGCAGGGGGGTGAGGGTGACCGAAGGCTTCATGTCCGGCCTTTACCAGTTTGGATGATGCAATGTGGCCAACTGGTCACAATACTCCTAGGATTACAGCATAGAAAATATAGAATCTGTGGCCTTTTAAAACCACAAACGAATGTTACGTGAGCCTCCAGGCGGAATCTCATCGTCTTTCATGAGTCAAGCTGCTGGCAGGTGTGTAAATCCATCCATTTATCTGAACAACTATCGTTTTGTTCATAAGACAAAGGGTTCATTTTCTTGTTTTTCTTTTTGCGCTGACTCATTCTCGTGAATCCCTACAGCTCAGGTTCAGAGGAGACATGTGATCTGTGCTCGTATTTATCTACTGAACACTGAGAATGTTTGGATGTTCGCTAATCAATAATTTACTCTCAATTTTCCTCTACCAGAAGACATCAAGGCTTCCAGCCCGTCAGAGAGCCCCCTGATGGAGAAGAGGGAGCTGAGGGAGGCCCAATGTCCAATCCTGAAACAGACGGTCAGTGAGACGTCCACGCCCACCACCCCGGCCGCCAATCAAAGCCCCTGTGTGCAGCCCGAGGCGGCCCCGGAGGAGCGCAGGGTGGCCTTCGGCATTGGAGATGGTGACGATGTTGAGAATAACAGGGAGCGCAGGGTGGCGTTTGACATTGGAGATTCCGACGATGCGGACGACAGCGGTACGAATGGTGGTGAGTGGGCTTGAAACGTCGCTGCTGGAAAGTTTTAATCAAACCGAATGAGATGTAAGATGTATTTTTGTTTTTGCACCCTTTTTCTGCAGCCCCTAAGCAGGTTCAGTCAAACAACCAGCAAGTCCAACTCAGCAATGGCTCCACCGAGTCTGCCAATCAGGTCCAGTTCAACAACAGGCCGGCGCAGATTCCAAGTAACGGCTACAGCCAGTACCACACAGTCCACAAGGACTCCGGCCTCTACAAGGACCTGCTGCACAAGCTCCACCTGGCCAAGGTCGGCGACTGCATGGGAGAGGGGGGCGACCGGCCTATCCGACGCAACAACAGCTACACCTCCTACACCATGGCCATCATTGGCATGCGCGGAGACTTCAAGCACAAAGAAGGGGAGTACCGCGCGTACGAGGAAGCTGACAAGGTCACGGGATCCGGGGGTCAGGAGAGGAAGCGCGTGCGCATGGACAGTTACACGAGCTACTGCAACGCCGTGGCAGAGCACACGACTCCCGACGCTCTGGGAGAGCCCGACGTGACCCTGGAAATGGCGCAGGAGGGCGCAGGAAGCAGCCACAGCTCTCTGGACAACAACGGGCACGATGCGGACCGGCCGGAAGTGTCCACCCTCTTCCAGTTCCTCCAAATCCTCACGGCCTGCTTCGGATCCTTCGCCCATGGAGGAAATGATGTCAGGTATGCAGATTCCTGCAGTGTTTTCCTCAGTTACCCAGCAACTTTACTTTGTTTTTATTAGGACGTGACGTTCTCATCGGTGTCGTCTTTAATCATGTCATGTTCTTACCAGTCTTTGTCTGTTGATTTGATTAAATTCTCTCCTCTGCAGTAACGCCATTGGCCCGCTGGTAGCTCTGTGGCTGGTGTACACGACCAGCAGTGTGTACTCAAAGGAACCCACACCCATTTGGCTGCTGCTGTACGGTGGCGTGGGCATCTGCGCCGGGCTCTGGGTTTGGGGTCGCCGAGTGATCCAGACTATGGGCAAGGACCTGACTCCCATCACTCCCTCAAGGTATGGACTCCACAGACGGTTCAGAACCGCTCTCTTCATTTCTAAAACCGCATTACCAGACTTTTGAACCGCGCTGAAGAGACACAAGTGTTTTGTTTTTGTTTTTTGTTCTCCTGTAGTGGTTTCAGCATCGAACTGGCCTCAGCCTTAACTGTGGTGGTAGCCTCTAACATTGGCCTGCCCGTCTCCACCACCCACTGCAAGGTAAGCTGGTCACTATGCTCTGGTAGCGAGGAGGAGAAAAAGTGGACGGATTTTTATTTTTTTCCCTACACAAAAGTGTGTACATAAAGTTTTAGTTATTTAAACCGGTATTTAGAAGCGGATGGGCTTGACATCTGCTCTGGTTCCAGGTGGGCTCTGTGGTCGCAGTGGGATGGTTGCGCTCAAAGAAAGCGGTAGACTGGCGTCTCTTCAGAAACATCTTCATGGCGTGGTTCGTGACGGTGCCCATCTCCGGTTTGATTAGCGCCGCCATCATGGCCTTCATGGCCATCTTCATCACTGGCATCCTTTGAGCAGTCTGCTGCACCCCGAGCAGGGGAGGAGAACGAAACCGCTTCAGTGCGCACCAGAAGAGAGTGGAAGGCCAAACTATCGCTTACCTCAAGTAAACAACGTTGTATGAAAAAGGAGAGGAAAAATAATAGAAATGTTTGGAAAGGGCCTGTGGTTCTTGGCTGCATCATTTTCAACCTAGAATTTGCTGTTTGTTCCATTTGGGTCACATTATTTCTAGGAGGGAGCTTGCATTTCCTTGTTCTGACTTGCTTTTTCATATGTCATCATTCTGTAATGACTTATTCGTAAAAGCGTTGAGTGATTTTTCTTTTTTTTTTGTTTAATTTTTTTACTTTGCAATTCTGTAAATAAGACCATGTTCTGTTTATTTTATTTTCCACATTAGAAAGAAGTGAACAATTTAAGCTGCAGTACAGGCCTTTTGCAGATATAACTTGAGTCCTAGCACATTCTGCAAGTAACGTAGATGCAAAAGCAGTATTTTAGGTGAAAAACAAGTTTCTGTATGTGCGTGTTTTTTATTTTTATTTTATTTTTATTTTTTTCTTCCCTTCCCCCTCTTAAGTAATTGTTAATGAATTCATGGGTTAAATCGGGCTTGTATTCCCCAACTGGTATATTGGCTGTTGTCCCGAATTCAGAACTGTTTCTGAAGGTGGATTCTAACATACTTGAAAATCATGCGCACACCGGTCTGCAGTGTGTTCTTTTTGATATAATTGTGTAGTTGCAGAAGCTCCAATTGCGCACACTGGCTGACCCGGTGCAGAATGACATCCGAAGGACTATCGATAGCATAAAACACTGACAGGAAATAACGACACCAAATCCCTTGAAGTCCTGGATGACCTACAATCCATTTTTTCTTTTAATCAGAATGTCCCAACAGAATTACTTGAAATGATTAGTAACTTACTTTACTTTGAGAAATTAAACCCCAGAATGTTAACGAATGGAAACACGTTCTCTCAAGCAAGTCTCCTGTTGAAACTTGATTGCATCATCTGTGATGGTTGAATGCTTAATTAATTGCCTCCTTCAGCGTTGCGTTTCCCCCCCAGTTCAGTTCATTTATTGGAGACTTTCCGGTTTGTTTGTTTTCTGTGAAATTCGGTTTGTTCGAACGATCCTCTTTGAGTGACTGGATACGGTTGTGAAAGAACAGGTTCTCCATGCGAGTGGTTTGGTGATTGGCTGAACTGGTCTGTAGTTTGGAGGCCGGACAAACGTTGCATGTCACCAGGTCGTGGTCCTTTGGCTGCAGTACTAAATGCATATCAGATCTATAGCTGCTGTAGTTGCCTTAATTGTTTTTAATTTTCCCATAGGTACCAAAGAACTTTTGTTTTTCTAATTGCACATCAAAAATACTTGTCCACAATTGTGGAAGGAAAAAAACAAATAAAAATGGAAAAATAATGGTGTTGAACTTTTTTTTAATAGTTGTCTATAATCAAACACCAGACAGAAAAGCAGGCGTGAAACGCTGCTCAGGAGTGTTTGCTCACAACGTCTCAGACGTGCACACCAGATCGCTGGAATAAGTCCTTTTCTATTGGCTCTCGGCTGCGGGAGGCGGGCGGGCGTCCTCACTCCAGCACATCTGTGACGCAGGGACAGAGCAGAGAGGGAATTCCTTTACGCCAGCTTCTACATCGCAAACACGCCACAATTCAGTAGATTTCCAGGGGCTTCGAACAAACTCATGAATCGCATCGGGGTCTTTGGGATGTGACTCATCCCCTCCTGCTGGTGGATGGCGCCAGTGTGCGATGTTACTGCTGTGAAGCACAAAGGGAGGCCTGTTCCATCCTTTACTGCTGCATGATGATTGTCCTCGTTTAAAACCTGTATACTTTGGTCGTCTTTCTAATGAATTTTCACTGTGCTCATCAAAGCCGTTCCAGCACACAGCGGCTGCCTCAATGACCTTTGCTCAGACGCATTTTCAGCAATTGCAAAACAAATCCTCGTGGCATTTTTAGGACAGGGACGCTGCATCCTTGGTCCAAAAATAACCAGAGGCAGGTGATGGTGTATAAATCAAGCACAGTAACTACCTGGGGACAGACGTGTCCTAGATTTACTCACATACTCAAGGAGACTGTGCTCCAATAAGCAATCCCAGCATCTTATTCTTTGGGGGGTCAAGAAGCCAGTTGATCTCTGTGGGGACTTAAATGTCTTTTTCAAACAAAGCTGCCGAATAGCACATTTCATAACTGCTCTTGAGGAACTTTACATTTCTGGATTCTGAAGCTGACATTTTTTTTAAACTAGCCAAGACCGGCTTCGACTGGCTGTGTTGTTCACACTCTGTTCATTGCACAACCTACATTTTGACTTTTGACTTTCTCAAACCCGCTCACGTCTTGCCCCAGCAAGGCACCACCAGCTCTACCTTGAAAATAAGTTACAGGAGTGAACAGACAACACTTCATTTGGCCCTGAGGTGAATTATTGCTGTGTGGTTCCCACTTGGTTGAATCGTGACTGACTTGATGCAGAGGAGAGATGAGAAAACGGAGAGTTACAGCGAGGGATTCATCCGCACAGTGAGCGAGCGGCTTCGCGTGGTCTCACCCGAACTGCTCACAGTCTCCGGCTCTGCGGCCTCCTGGGCATCTGGAAAAGTGAGCGTCACGGACTCACCGCCTGCTTCCTCGGAGGACTCCGACTGGGATTCTTTGGGGGGTGGGGGAGGGAAGAGAGAGCTGTCACATGGTTGTGATATTTAGCATGTAAGTGTTCTTTTGCGTCCTACAGGACCTTTTCCAAACTGCCTTCTATCGCCATCTACAGCCTGATGCATGAACCGTGAACACCTCTCACCTTCGTGAGCGCTTGCGTCAGAGTTACCACCCCCCTCTGCTGGAGGAGGATTTCACAGTTATGTAATGTTAAATCTCAGAAACATGAAACATGTTTTTTTCTTTTTAAGCCGGTGGGATCTGTTTTACACACCCGGGTTGTCGTCCTCAGCGTCGATCTGTTCCTCCACTGTTGGAAAAATTCCAACAAGAGACATTAACTCGGCGATTAATCGCGCCCGTTGATCACATAGTTGAGCGGTAACTTACCGGATCCATCCTGAGCGGCTTCTGTTTGTGAAACATTTAAAAGATTGCGTTATAAGCGGCGGCAGAATCCATTTTGACAGAAAGCTCACGTAGTTCCTCTTACCAAGGTAGCGGGTTTCCTCATTCTGCTCCTCTGTCACTTTAAAATGGAGGGTAACAGAAACTCGTCATACAAACTGTGCTGAACGCAGCGGGTGAAATATACGTATTGGCCTGTTAGGTCACCTCGCTTTGGTCAAACTTACCGTTCATCTGAGCGGCCTCGACCTTTTGAGCGGCCTCAAACTCCATCTGATCTGAGGAGACGGACAGAACAACGGGGTCATAATAGCTCATGTGTTAGAGATCTAACTCAAATTAAAACAAAAAAATAAAAAACAGTAAATAAATAAATAAATTAGTGCTTTTCTTGGTGAATGACAAACAAACTTGAAGCACATAACATCAATTTCACAATCAGTTGGTTCTCATTTGGAGAACACTGTACCTATTTTCTTCAGCTCGGTTATCCCATCTGCAGAAAACAACAGATACGTTTTGAGATATTCCAGTCTAACCTTGAATAAAATGTAATTAACACCTAATATTGAGGATCAATCCTCACCATGCTGAGCAACTTCTTCCTCTTTGTCTGCAGATTCCAGAGAGGCTGAGAGAGCTTCGAACCATCACAAGCACATCAGTCAATAAACACCCCGCTGAACCCTTTTACTAGTAAGTAATCATGAGTCACAGTCGCACACTTTATCATGAGAAAAAAACAGAATAAATCCAAACAAGATCTTAACCTCTCAATCCCCATCAACGACGATCACTCCATTTAAAAACCCCTTTTTGTCATATTCTAAATTTTTCAAAACAAGATCACAAAAGCTTGTTCTTCCTACCGGAGTGAAACGCTGCCACCGCGAGGAAAACGCACAGCGGCACCAGGAATCTCATCTTGGCGGTCGGTTCGGGCGCTGGGAGATTTTGGGGTTGTTGTCAGCATTACTTCCTCTTATACCTTCAGCCGGGTCACATGCTCGGCGTGGACGGGCCGGCTCTGGTACCATTGTCCCCCCCCCCCCCCCCCTCCCTACCTGAGAGGACAGCTGGGCGGCACATCAGCACACAGACGTACCCTTATGCAGGGCGTCAATGCCACCCATTGTTGGCCCCTCAGTCACACGGGCCTTTATTTGGGGAACTGTTGCGTCTGTTTGACACAAAAGGGGAAAAGATGGCGTCCTTGGATCAGAGCTGAAAACAATGTTCATTTCCTTTCGGGGGCTGGTGACGGTGATTTCATCGCACATCCTTATGAATGATGGGTCACAAGCGAGGATGCAAACACATGTTTCTTTTTTTCCCCCCTCAGATTTTGATCTGCCATGAAAAGAAGGCTTTACTCTTCAGGAATGAGGATATCGTGGAAGTGAAATGAGATAGAAATGAAATGAAAAAAAACATTTGTACAAACTGCAGTAGGAGTTTCTAATATAAAGTCAAGATTCAAAGCAGTACATCAAGCTTGCAAATTGCTTTATAAAGATCTACGAGTGTCTTAAGATTTAATCTAAAACCGATATATAACGAATACCAGATATGTAGTAGTGTCAAATAAGTCTACAGTGTAAAGCAGACCATGTTTCATCCATTTATTGAGATTCTAAACACATGTAAAACATACTTTTTGGACCGGAATGATTTAAAGTTTGAAATCTGATTAAAGCTGAGATAAAACCTTTATTGTATTTGGGCAGAAGTCAGTTTAGTAAAATTAAATTTTAATTGAACAGCGCTTTTGACAGTCATCACAAAGATAAAAAAAAATCTAGAAAAATACACCTTTCAAAGTGCTTACAAACAACTCTCAATCTAAAAACGTATCCAAAGGCTTAAAAACATTAAAGTGATTTAGATACAGTAGGGTTTAAATCCACAGGACATGAGATCAGCTCATTACACATCATACATTTTAAGGCACTATCATAGTCGGATTAGTAATTTGAATTCACAAACTTCTTCAGTGCAATTAGACTGTCCGATTAAAGAATTTTAACACTTGTTCATTCTTCACTCACTCACAACACTTCGTCTCCTGACGGCATCGTCTACCCTGCGAGTGCCCCACGGTGCCAAAGGATTTCCAACTGCGGTTACAGAACAACGTTGAACGCGTCTTTTGGTGGGATTTGTTCTACTGTTGCTGGTGGAGGCAGATTAAAAGGATCATTCCAGTTTGTGTTTTAGCATTCCCACTTTTAAAAGTAACATTTTATTCAACCGCGGAGATCTGGGAGAAAAGACTAAAATGGGAGCGAGAGGTTCGGTAACCAGACAAGACACTCGTTCCTCAAACAAGCCTTTATGTTGTTAAGGTTGAAGTGCTACAGCCCAGAAACCTGAAGGAGACTTTGGAGGAGTGTTGTTTTGATGCAGCGCGCTTCTCCGCGAGCATCTGTGCCGATCGATGATGCTGCGCTCCATCGTTTGGCTTCAGAGTTCACTTCTCAGCCGGGTGTGCAGGTCTTCCTGGTCGACGTTGCCGACCTGTCGGTGCCAGCGGTGGTGCGCCAGCAGCGCCACGTTCCTGGCGGAGATGGCGCTCATCTCCATGGCGCTCGCCGCCCACTCCACGGCGTTGAGGTAGTACAGCCGCTCGTGCAGGATGAAGGGGGGCGTATTGCGCTGCGGGGGCCGGTAGGAGGGATAAGCCAGCCACGGAGTTTCCGACACCGAATCCCAGCTGAGGAACATGCTCCGCAGCTGCTCCTGGGACAGCGGCTGTGGGGAGAACACCTTCCAGACGTTGCTCTGGCTGGCGGGCGGGCGCTTGTAGCCGGGAGGGACGTGCACGGGGTCGAGAGAGCTCAGGCTGTTGATGACGGAGTCCTTCGAGTCCGTGGTGAGGATTTCCGACACGGTAAACTCCGAAGCTGGCTTGGCGCTCCCCAGGTAGGACGTGTTCAGCAGGCCGTGGACCAGGGTGGAGACCGTCTGGTGGTAGCGTCCGGGATAATGAGACGGGATCGGGGGAGAGAAGCCCGAGAAGGTGATGTCAGACTTCCCCCGGTGAAGAGGTGTAGCGATCACCACTATGTCGTACAGGGAGTGTGCCGAGCCCGATTCGCCAACGTAGTTAACCTCATAAAAACTGGTCGTGGTTCCTAAAAAAGATGAAATATTTGACAGGTGAGAAAATCCTGCAGCGAGAGGAAAAAGGCCAGTTCTGTACCAAATAAAGGACTGTAAAAGAAAACCAAAAACAGTACCCGTCTTGGATGGTCGATCTTTGAATGAGATGGAGGTCACTCTGGCGGGGACGAGCTCACTTTTGCTGTGGTACAGGAGTCCAGAGCACACTCGCTTATTGCCTCCATCTACCGCCCACAAGCCTGGATCGGCTCCTGCTAATGACACGGCCCCTAGAAGACAAGAGAGACGCCAAGCGTTACGTCCATTTTACAGCTTTTTCAACAAAAAACAATCACGTCACGAACCCGTCCAAACGCTGACAAAACGCACCCACGAGACCATTGATGCGGACGCTCTGGCCGTAGTTGACACGCGTGATGGGTGTGACAATATTGTTGAGGAAGACTTGTGAGAATCCTTGGCCCATCATCGCTTCCTCCAGGGTCTGATTCAGCAGAGTAAGAAAACCATCGCCGCCCATGGCGTGAAGGAGCTTATCCACGCTGGAGAAGGAGTAACCGTACTGCTGGTACTGGTAGATCCTGCGTGTGGAAAAGTTTCACGTCGTCATCTGCATTGATAATCCTGGACCTTGCGCCGAAAGAATAACATTAAGAAGCCGTGACAACTGCTTTTCACCCTCACCTCATGAATTTGTCCAAAACGCTCTCCACCCACATGTGCATTCGGAGAAAGCTGAAGCCAAATCGCCAGAGCATTCGCAAGAAATTGACTATGAACCAGTCGCTCTCTTCAAAGGTCAGCTCCTTTCCATCAAAGATTGCCATTTTAGAGGGGACCTCTTTCCTCGGAGGAATTCCTAAAAAAGAATAAATAAACATCGCTGACAAATGGAGATTTCGCTGTGATGCCAAATCGTTTGGTCTGTTTGAATCTAGTATCAGACAAAGTAGGCTGGAGGATTGTGGTGTTTGACCAATGTGGTGTGTTGGTGCTATTTTAACGGTTCATGTCAGTGTGTTACCTAGTTTTTCAATGAAGTGCTTCATGTGTAGGTTCAGAGGGTGGATCACTGCGCCTCCCGTCTCATACTCGTAATCTCCGATCTTCACTGTCGCGAGTCGCCCGCCAACGGCGCCTGGTTCGAACACATCGATCTTCACCCCGGGTCCGAATTCCTGCCTCAGGTAAAACGCTGCAGATGTGCCTCCAATGCCCGCGCCGACCACAGCTTCAAGGCAAGACAACAGGGTTAAACTAATTTGTCATTTTTTACTGGTATAAATCCATATGTACATTTTGTGGGGGGGGGGTTTCAGGTTAACTATCTTTATAAAGTTTTATAACCTGCATCTGTACCCCTGTGAGATACCTAAAATAAACACATATAGCTTTAGTTGAGACACTGGTATCTCAAAAGGAGTTGTGATGGTAATAGAATATCCTCTTAAAAGTGACATCAAGTCCTGATTCAGTTAAAAGTAGAAGGACTAATATTCTTTAACATATAAAAGAACCATCCCATCAGATGAAGGGTGATCTTTCGTGTTGACATTGGTCCTGTTTTTTTTTTTAACGTGCACCCTGCCTGCAGACTCACCGATCTTCTTGGGCTGATCTTGCAGCTCTTGGGCCGCACATCTTCTCCCGGTGTGCCAAAGGCCCAGAAGCAGCAGCGCTCTGAGTGACAGCGTGCGTGGATTCATCGTGGGCTTCTAGTTGCCTCCCGATCCGTGCGAACACGCTCAGTTCCGCATGGACTCTCTCTTATTCACCCGATAAGAACGCAAAGGTATTTATCAGCGTTGGTCAAAGGTCACTAGGGAGTGGCACAGGTAGATTAAAATCGTTACACGTCTGTCAACTACTTAAAAACTTAATAAAGAGGATGCGTTGAGCGGCGAGGACTCACTATTTTAAAATACAGTTGTTGATCGAGAAGTGGTCTTCACGCCGTTATCTTTGATACGCTTTAAGTTCCAGTAAAACCAAACTTGTACAGCCGACAAGAGCCGGGAAAACTAGAAGTGTCGGCAACTAACTTAATTTGTGTATCGGTCGCATCGTGTCGGATCGCCGTGAACGTCTCTTAATACTGAGACACACTTCCGGGTATGCTTACGTCTGAGTTTCACAATAAAAGCTATCAAATATTAATTTGACATACAAATTGAATAAATGTGGATGCTATCAAGTTTAAACGAGGCAATTGATTTATAGCCTCATCATTGATCAAATTGTAATCAACCCCCAATTAATTTACGAGAATGTCAGTCTGCAACTCGGCCCAACCAAAATCGGTAATTTACTGAAACACAATTGTGAAAGGACCGGAAATGGATGCTGTTGCGGAAGTAAAGCGGAAGCGGTGCGAACATCTACTCATCCTGAACATGCTTGAATGGAGGTGACCTTAGTTATTCCGAACATTTAAAAAAAAAGTAAAATAACTTCCCGTGGACGTTACGGGTACTTCGGGTCAGCCCCGTTTAAATTATTCCCTTGAACATTAGTGGAGACTTTACGGTGTGCGCAGGAGCAACCGACATGGCAGAGGCACACCAGGCACGCGTACAAAATGTGGTGGAAGAAATGGTCCAAAGCCTGGAGAGGGACAACATCCGCGTAATGCAGGCAGGTGTATTTCATCTCTGGAAACATGATTTGTGCGGTGTTGTTATGTCAAAAGGGTCCGTGCAGAACCTGTATCCACAATGTGTATGTGCGCGCGTGTTCCTGCTGCAGGGTCGCATGTTCAGGTGCAGCGCTGACTGCTGTGATCGTCCCACGGACTCCATGTCTGTGGTGCATCGGTGCATCGACAAGTGCCACACTCCTCTGGCTCAGGCTCAGGGACTGGTCACTTCAGAGCTGGAGAAGTTTCAGGTGAGGGGACATTTGAGCGTGTAGCATTTTACAAGGTGAACGCCTGTTGGACACCTCGAAGGGGCCACACGGTCTGACATTTCTAATGAGCTACCACCGGCCATTGCAATTTTGATCTTTTATCTTTGGGTTATAATTTAAAGTCCAGTTTATTGTATTGAGTGATGCCTCTTTCACAACTCTGTAATTAGATTAAATCAAAATAAAGAACACACACATTGCACTTGAGGCTTGTTATGACATCTTCACTCAAGTGTCTAATAATGAGATTCAGTCAGATAATAGTATTGGGATCAATTTTTTTATTATTCAACCCTACATAACTTGTTTTTTTTTTTATTATTTATAACTTTTTTCATACCTTACAGCGCAACATTCTATGCATTAATAACATTTTATGGCATATGACTTTCAAGACCTTTTCATGAATTTGTAGCTATATTGTACATTTCCATAGATTGTATTTTACCAGATAATATCTGATATTTTGTGTGTCACGACACCCTAACTTACATTTCTTTTATTTATGACCATGCTATAGCATTTTCATGACCCATGATGAATGATGAATGACAATTTGGCGTACTTGGCGTACGAGTAATGACTCGTAGCCAACCTTATTTTTCTTTATATAAGATTTATTTTTATACTTTGCATTATGTACCACACTTTTTCGTTTTTACGACATGCTATATTATTCCACAAAATACTATGATTTGTTTGTGACTTTTTATGAAATTTTCTTACATCAGTTTTATGAAATTAAATGACTTTATTGTAATGTAGTATTTTAATAAAATACTAACTACAATATTTAAAAAAAATCATAACATACTATGACTTTTATACAGACTGATATTTTTATGACGTACTATGCTGTCATTTGGTTTATCCTTTTCTATAACATACTGTAAAATAACATTTCTATACATTAATATCACATACTATAGTTTTTTGACTTACTACAATACAACAATTATTCATTTATTGTTGCTATTTGATGGCATACAATAAAACTTTGACTGACATAGGTTATAAAAGATTCATAGTATATTATTTGTGGCTCGGGAGGTAAAGCGCTCGTCTAGAAATAGAAAGGTTCCTGGTTTGATCCTTGGCTCCTCCAGAGTGTTGAAGTCTCCCAGAGAAAGACCCTGAACCCCTCACTGTTCCTGATGAGCTCGTGTTTTAAAGGGCTTTTAGAGGTCAAAAGGAGCGTTGCAGTCAATCTCCTCTACTATGAATTCTTTTTTTTTTTATGGGTTACATTACTGTTATTATAAGACTCTTTTGTGAAATCACTTATTTTAACTATTATATAAAATATTATAGTAGATTTTTAGGATCTAACACTTTTACAACAACCTATATATTTTTATTTCTTTGATATGTTTTAAGTTTTCATGGCATACTTTATGTATTTATTAAGGTGCCTTTTCAATGCAACTCCTGACCAAGTTTACTCGGACTTCCATCTTGTCTGTCTCATTATTATTATTATTATTATCATTATTATTATTATGTCTAAATAATGTCTCCTCTCTGCCCCTTCAGGACCGTCTGACCAGATGCACGATGCACTGCAACGATAAGGCGAAGGATCTTTTTGACACTGGGGCTAAAGAGCCAGCTGTTCGATCCCTGATGGACAGCTGTGTGGGCAGTTGTGTGGACGACCACGTAAACCTGATCCCCAGCATGACCCGAAGAATCAAAGATAACCTGGACTCTATACAGCAGTAGGCAAAGGGATGGCGGGCCGCAGTCCTTCCTGGAGACTCAGTCTGAGGTCATTACACGGAGACGCACAGGGTCACTCACTGCATGATAACTGAAGATGAGCCGGGCTGGAGTACCATCATGAGATGAGTGAGGTTTAACGTGGTGCAGGAGTTCTCGAGGCTCCGCCCTGTGTGCTGGTGTGTGCAGATTTTAAACGTGTCACGGTGAGATTTATCTTACTTTGTGTAATCTACAGACTCAAACCGCCCCATAGGTTTTGGAACGGTTTTGTTTTTTGAGGTTTTTGTTTGGAAAACGAAGTGATGCATCTGGGTGCACATCATCGTTTTGTGAACAATTAAAACACGCATTGAACAAACGTGGGCATTCAAATACAAAAAACTGGTGCGTATCACATTTTAAAATGCTAGTATAAGTGCACCACTAGATGGTCTATTTTTGCAGTTTGAATGTTCACATTTGGTTTCTCTCCACCATCAGTCTCTCATCCCTTGTTTTTTTGTTATTTCATTGTTGTTGAGCTGTGGACTGTCTGACCTCATGCGATATGTTCATATATATTAAAAGTACTGTGGATGTACCAGTTTTTGAATGAGTCAAAATCTATTATTTACAAATAATGGTAAAAGAAAACACTTTGGCTACCTTAGTAGGTGAAGATTCACTTTTTACATGAACAAATACAGGAAATTGTAAACACCCATATCTTGACCCATTGAAGTTTTCAAAATCTATCAATGTTGTTTTTATAAATTTGTTTTAACAAATGTTGAACCAGATGTCCATATTGATCAATGCCACTGACTTTTCTTTTAAGAAAATACCCTTTTCCCTTTGCTTGTATTATAATCGTCATATGGCCTTTTAAGTTTGTAATGTAGCATCAACTTTCATTGTTTTGTCCCACACACAACTTGTTAAAAGCTACGCTGGGACCTCTTTCCAAATGCTACAGTTTTTATTTTGATGAAAATTATTTTGCTATAACCACATTCCAGTTAGAAATCAGGCAGGAACTTTTGTAAAATCTACTGAAACAAATACTTTCATGAGTTACTGTGCAGCTGTAGAAGAGGTAGGTTGGAAGAAGAGGACCATTTGATAGCACCACAGCCCACCTGGATGGACAGTTTTATTGGCTGTCTAGGATTGGATTTTCTTTTGCCAGAAACAGAATTCCATACAAATTAAGTAACAAAAATAAATTAAAAAAAACTAAAACCCCTTAACAGTTACAAATGGACAGTCATAACAGTCACTTATCAGAAAATGTCTGTGTACAGGTTTTCAAAACAGCAGGAGGTTAGATTTCCAAAATATCCAAACAAATAGGAACCTAATCAATAGTGAACGTGTCAAAAAACACAATTGCAAAAGTATTTCATGTTGTAATGGGAGCGGCCGGAACAGCCTGCCCAAATGTGTCAAACCGACCTGCAATAGAGAGGCAGTGAGTGGCCGTTTGACAGTAAACAATTCAGAAATGATTAAAATCTAAAGTCTGTAAAACATTTGTGAGTTTCGATATGTTTAAATATGCTGTGAATATTAGAAAGCTGGTTTCCAAGTTTAAATTGTGTAAAAAAAAGAGGAATACACAAAAACTCCTGACGGTTGGTATATAATGAAAAAAAGATTTAAAATGATTGAAGTGAATTTTGGATGTGGAGATACATAGAAGTATGTAACATCAGCATGGCTATCCAGGCTTTCCTCACTACTATATTGTTTTACAACTTGAACATTGCAGTATATATATATCATTTACAAAGTACTTGACATGAAGTGGGGACGCTTTTTTCCCCCCTTTAATTACAACACGCGTAAGTGCCCAACTTAAGACTGAGGGAGCTGGAGCTCCAGAGGTTAAGAGCGATGACGCTGGTGGAAACGCAGCTTTCACAACACCAAAGTGGACGTCCGTTGGATGTAGCCACCAGCCGCCCTCCATTTCATTGTGTAACTTCTCACATTAGTTATACGGTAAAATGTCAGCGGAAAAATCAAACAGCAGCAGGTGATATAGACGCTCGGTCAAAATGTAAATGGACTCATCTTGCATCTTTTACGTGTTTGCAGAGATTGTAGTAGATTTACTAAAAAGGTCAAGTTTTCCCCAACAGAGCGGTTCCCTCGATTATGTTCCCATTAATATAATGTATCAACACAAGTGAGTTTGAGATATGGTCCAACATTGCAGTGCACAGAGTTCATGGCACAGGGAGTTTGAAGCTGCTCTGAAGACAAAAGTGTCTTAATCTCTCCTGGTTACACGTGAAACCTGTTCGCTAACTCTCAATGTCCCCAACATTTCCCCTTCGACCGTCTCAGGGTGTTACGCAGCATGCAGATGGTTGTGGCCGATGTCAGCGTGCGGGCGAATGTGGCGATGGATGGTAGGCGCGGGCGAGTGTCAGTGACTCGGCATTACCAGGGTAACGGTAGCCGTTAGCGGCGGCCGACAAGGCTTCAGGACGCGCAGCGGGCAGCGCTGTCCTGCTCCGGAGAATCCGGGCGGTGATCCGGGTGAGGCGACGTGTACTGGAAGTTGCAGCACACGTAGAGGGGGAACGTCAGCAGCCGGCTGTCCAGGTTCATCACCACGTACTCCTGAGCCGTGACGGGGGGAATGTTAGTCAAGGTCACAGACGGCGTCGTCGGGCAACGCGTCACGTGACATTTGATGATCGTTACCGGTGCTCACTGACCTGGTCTTTCTCGAGGGTGAGAAGCTGGAAACCTGTCGAGCGACTGCAGACCAACTTCCCTCGGCTATCAAAGGAGGCGAGACGTAACCTGAACACAGAGACTGTGGGTTAATAAATCTGTGGATATACAGTTTTTTAAAAAAGGTAATTATTTTGATAACAAAAATTGATATTATTCACATAAGGTGAATATGAGAAGTGACTCATCTGGAGTCTCCCACTAGCACAGTGCTGCTTATAACAGCGCTAATGTTAACAGAAGCTACATTGAACTATTCAATAAATAGGAGTATTGGTCAAAGGCAAATTATTGCACTATTGTTATGTGCTCAAATAAAATCTGAATCTGCAAAGATTTAAATCTGCGGTAGAGAGATGTAACCTAATTTCAATACAGTACTATTATTTACAACAACTAAAACACACTTTGTTGTCCTAAAATGGATAATATACTTTCAACAAATAAAATAATATAATAAAAAGAATAATTTTAACTATTCATGATCTGGAATTATGAGGTTCACATTAAATAAGAAAAGATCACAACTGTGTTGCAGTTGAACTCAAATGTATCTCCAATATACAATTGGACTTGTCTATATTATACCTGAAATTACTACCGTAGTTTCCTATTTAAAGTTTACTAATGAATGTTAAAGCGTACGGACACATCTGGATGCTAGATATTTGATAGTCAGAGGTCGGCTGCACCACACACCTGAATGCCAGATGCCTTCGAGGTTGCAGACTCACAGCGCCCCCACATGGCTGACTCAGAGTATTTCTTTTGAAGACGATGAAACGGTTTGTGTAGGTCACCAGCAGGTCGAAGCCAAAGTTAAAGCCTGTCCACCGCCAGCAGTACTGAGGAGAGGAAACCATACGGTCAGAATATATATCTGACAACACACAGTAGCAGAAGCGGAACTGTCTGACTTACATCTCCATCTTTAGTCAGTTTTCTTCCGCACCTCATACTGCTCAGCTCAAACTCATCTTTGTTTGCCTCCTGTGGACTAATGACACACAAACGTGTTGTCATCCAAGCAGCATGTAAAATATATTCTATGAACACAGTCGTTGTGCTTATATGAAGATGAAAATACTAAATTAAACAGTTTATACATTTTGATTGTTCAATATGACGTTCTCACCCATTATCGTTGTCGAATTCGGTCCGCAGCATGGCGAACCACTGGTTTTTGTAAACCGATGTTAACCAATCTGTAATAAGTATTAATGAATAATATTAACGGCGCAACTAGAGCAAAGGGATTAACTAAATTAGAAATAAAGTATTGGTTCGCATTATTGGGCTTAATCTTCCTAGAATAGTTAAGAAACCAATTAACAGATTTAACAAATAGTTAATGAAATCCAGTCAGACACAAGACTTTTCTTACCAGGTGGCAAAATGTTGTCCCTCTCCAGGATGCGTGCGGATGCGAGATCGTTGATGATGTACTGCAGACGGACGTATTTGAACACTGAACGAAAGGGTTCGCCATCGTCCGTGTTCAAGAAGGGCTCCTTGTCACACAGGTCTGTGGGACAAAGTCAATCGCAAAACGGCGTCAAACATCTGCGTGTGGCTACTGACAAAGAAGATCACACACACACGAAGATCCCTCGTTCATAAGACGATGTCGCCTTTTGGTACCCGTCCTGCGTTTGCAAAGCCAGGCGTCGGCGTCGGCCAGGAGCTGTTTGATTGGGCCGTCCCACGATGGGTTGAGCTGCACAAACATCCACTGCAGGGAGAGAGATGACATAAGAGCTCTTAGAAACAGGTCTGATGCTACAGACACTTAACTGGGAGTTATAACACACACACACACACACACACACACACATATTTTCATGTACCTTCTTCAGAGCCGTGTATACATCCATCTCCACCTGCATGACAAACAGGTCCGAGGACTTGATGAGCAGCTCCATCACCTCTCCCCTGTAAATGCAGAGCAGACACACGGTGAATTGGATCATAGGCAACATAAAGGACGTCGGCAGGAATATTATGTCAAAACGACAGAACTGTGAGCTGAGCGAGCACCGACCCGAGTTCCTTCATCAGGTCGACATTTTGATGAGTCATCAGGTTGTTCAGAAGCCACTCAAGACACCTGCAGAAAGAGATGAATAAACACACATATAGTGGGATGTGAGTATAGAGTTTTACCTTTTAATTACTCCGATTAAAAGTAATCCTGACTTTTTCGTGACCAGATCCAAGCCATAGATGCTGGCACAAGCATAGTAGCCACACACGGTCTTCGCACTGATGTTTTCCTTCATTGTCTCTCCACACTGCTGAATCAAACCATCCTGTAGATAAAAAAGGGACTTGATTCGTGGCCATATGTGGAAAAAATAAAGATGTTTATTTGATATTTAACAACAACCGTTTTAATTCAATGTACTGACCAGCTGTAGCATACAAGCAGCTGCAAGAATACTGACAACCCTGCTGGGCTTGATGAGGACATCGTCCCGGTACAAGGACCCAAACACCACCTGCAGGGCTAGACACACACACATAAAATTTGGAAACCCACGAACAAACAAAAATTCAGATTCTGCCTTCTGTGACCGTGGTACTCTGTACCTTCAGTGTCGATGTTCTGGTCTGGGATCTCCAAGTTGATTTCCATCATGTTGGACTCTTTCCAAGACCCGCTGAACATGCTGGAGAAATATCCGGACTACAGGATGCAACGAGGAGGGAGAGGTATGAAAAGGAGAGGCAATGACCACCAACATTTGTCCGCAGATTGTCTTTGAGCCGTTTTACCTGGCACAGGTACACTTTGTGGAGGTTCCACTGCTGTTCCAGAGCACAGATACGAATGTCGCTGTTTTCTCCGTTCAGGAACAAAGTCTGATAAATGTACCGCGATGTGCTTTTCAATTTCTTTCTGCTCAAGTTTTAAAAAAACAAAAAACAAAATGAGAGTCAAAAACAAATGTAAGAGAAGATATTGATTTTTTTTTTTAAACCAGACTTACCTGCGAGGTGTATCTAGTCTGCCATCGTCCTCCTCTTGTTCACTGTCGCAGTCACACTGGGCATTTCGTTTCCTCTTCTTACACTCACACCGATGCTTGTGGCTCGTTCCCTCTGCAGCCTCCTCTGGTCCCTGAGACGAGGACTGGAACCTGCTGCTCAAACTTCCCATCCCTGCACCTCCAGAACATGTGGAGCCGATTTGGAGCGAAAAATTAATAACATTGAGATTCTTAATGAAAAAACACAGTATAGTCCTTCTCAAAAAAGGGGCACCGTCTAGGTGAATGTCCAAGATGAAAGTAAGCGACATTGAAACAAATAGTTCTGGCCCTATAAGAGCATAGAGACATGTTTGGTAGTTGCATAGTTTCAGCAGTAAAGGTAAACATGTCAGCAACCACCAGACGTCAGGACTCCGTCCCGCAGCTTATGACAACCAGTTGCACAGTACATTTGCCAGAAACGAAAAACAAGCTACCTTAGCTGATGATTGGCACCGGGCTGAGGGAGAGGTTTGATTTGTACGCCAAACAACACCGGCCAACTCTCAGGTTCGACCAGATGGAGAGGCGCTAGCCTCAGAGCTAGCTTTAGAGCTAGCCCTTAGCTAGCGAAGCCAAACAGGTCTGAAAACAAATACACCGTCGCTTCTGACAAGCCGCTATTCAACACAAGCCTCTGCAGCACAAAGCCCTGTCGGGCTCCAGTTACATTTTTATAAAATAGCGCGAAAAATAGACCTAGAAGCAGGAGATGTTAGCGACACGGGATGCGTTCAAAGGTCTTCTTCTTTCTCTGCTTTAATTTAGCGACCCAAGTGGCTCCCCCGCTTAACTGTGACACCTGGTGGACGGCAGAGGGATTACAGGCACCTGGAAATGTGTCTACAATAGATGTCTTTCATGCCATTAAATAAAAAACAAGAACGCGGACCAATTATACATATTTGTCTAGGGTAAAATGTGTGTTAACTCACACACTGGCTGATTTTGAGAAGAAAATTATGATCCTCCTGATTATGAACTCAAGATAGACAGAGTAAGGAAAAATAAATTAAACAAAAGTAAAGCACATTTCCAACAACTAAAAATATGAACACAAGTATATTGTTTCTCTGGAACATCCAAATTACAAACCAAGGCAGACCAAGACCACATTGAGATGAAGTGTAAATCTGAGACCAGAACATTCCACCAATCGTATGTGAATTCTAATGGGCAAAAAAAAAGACTAAAAGACAATCTACTCCCCCCTTTCTCTCTCATAGCTGCACAGTAAACAACATTTAACATCAACAAGTTTACCACGTGTCTTCAATTATGTCACTGGCCACTGTCAAAAATCCAGAGATTGAATCATCATCTTTTTTTCTGTGTCAATAAACACAATGCTAGCAAACAGTTATAAATATAGGAAAATAGTTATTTTACACATGACAGGAGGCTTGCATTATAGCAGGAAAGAGAGTACTCAAACAGTCCTAAAATGTATGTGCGGGGTAAATAGCAATGTTGAAAACACAGTGTACAGCAAAAAGATTGTAAGCGTCTCAGGGTTCTCCCCTCCTCTTCAGTACAAGATACATCCAGCTGTTTGCCTCTGACCATACAGATGTGAGATACATTTACAATACAAACATATTGTTTTCTAATGTATTTTAAGAGGAAAGGGGAATTGGCACAACACATGTAAACACAAACTGCATCTTTATTATTAACTCTGTTGTTATTTTCTTCTGATTTTTGTCAAATTATTCATTTAGAATGTATTATCTTTAATGTATTTTAATGTTAGTAGGGAGGTGTAGGCAAGTGCCTGCCAGGCTGAACCCACTCGGTCACCTCCGAGCGAAGGGGAGCCGGATATGACGTTACGTAGTGTTCCTTAGTAGGCGGGGTTACCGGAAGAATCAGCCAATCACAGCCGAGCTCTCTTTCACAACATTCCTGTCCCTCTCGACATCCACATCGTCTCCCTGCCCTGAATCGTCCGTGTGTGTGTGGCACTTTGACACGGAACTTGTCCCCTTTTCACGGACGTAACCAGGCATTACACGTCCACCTGGGGCGGGGAGACAGGACTATTTTAAGCCCGTGTTCCCGATCGGAATACGTGTTTTTTGTAACATGGAGGCGAGGGACGCAACTGCAGGTGAGGCTTTCTTTGCACCGACATTCAGTGTTGTTTATCCAACGCGGTGTTTGACCAGTATTGAACGAAGGAGAAGCTGGAATTTAAAACATAGTCGTGTATGGCTTATAAATAAGAGCCGAGCGTTTGGTAAATCCTGCAAGAATCGGACAATGGACAATCATTTTGTGTTTCATTAAAAAAAATGACACAGTTAATTCTAAAGGCGCTATTGTGAGCAACGATGGAGAGGAGCAGACTGCAAATGAGGATACAGCTCCAAAAGAAGATACACCGCAGACCAAAAGCAAGATGGAGAAGATCTTTGGGTTCAGGAAGGAGGACCTGACCTCCTGGCACAGCCTGGTGACCCTCTTGAACCGTCCCGCTGACCCTGCATCCCTTGGCATCTTCCGCTGCTTGTTTGGTATGTTAAGTTATAATTTACTCAGACCAGACTGCCCTCTGAGTTTGAGAGGTTTTTGCAACCCGGTGCATATTTCTCCTAGAAACCTCTTAAACACTTGTGCCCTTCTAACTTGTTTGTGTGTCCTTCACGCAGGTTTGCTCATGGTCATCGACATCACGCAGGAACGGGGCCTCAGTCACCTGGACTTTAAATACCTGGACGGCGCCCCGGTGTGTCGCTTTCCCCTCTTCAATGTCTTACAGCCACTTCCGCTGGACTGGATGTATCTGGTGTATGTGGTGATGTTCTTCGGTGGGTCACTCTCTTTATTTAATGTTAAGGGTCACACACACACACACACACACACACCAGTGTTTACTGAGGCCTGGTGAGGAAAGAGCTTTATAGGAGACGGCCTCTGTGGGGTGGCTGTGTATGGGGAAGATGAAAGCACATGCACAACTTTTATTATCCCTTCAAGCCAAATTACTCATAAAAGATTATGTTTGCATCTTACAAAGGATTTGACAACTATTGCAACGGTTGCATTCATTGTACGCAAGCAGAACACACAATGACAATTCAAGTAAATAAATACTGATTTAAAAAATGGTTACAAACATAATATCAAGTGAACTAACCAGCTTGCAAACAGATCTTCTCTTAATCTTAAGTATAAGGTAGAATTTGAGAGGAATATGAAACCCACCTAATTTTTTACATTTTTAACAGTATATGTTACATTGTTGTATATACAGTAATACCACTTATCTTACTTGTTATTTATCTGGCACTCCATTTGTCTTTCATAATACCATATATAACTTTAATATAAATTATATATATTCAAAATAAATAAATTTAATAAGTGGCAAAAATAAATATTGAACATAGCAGAAAAACATTATGTGCATATCCAAAGCAAATTGTACATATTACAATGCAAATTATTCTTACGGATTCATTATTCAGTGAAGTCAATTCATTATTTACCTTTTTTTTAACCGGAGTTTTGTACAACCGTCAAGATTTTGCCTAAATTTCATCACAAGATTTTATAATTATCCAAAATCCAAATGACTATATTTCCCGTAATGCAATGTTATACATAGCATCTTTTGGTCAGGCCAACATCTGTAAAGCTCACTTCCTCACTCACACTTCCATATTGTAAGTCAGCCTTTCTATTCGAAGTTGCACAGGTGGGTTGGACTCCCTTCGGACTGTATGTAAAAATAGATAGTAAAATAAATAGTAACAACCGGTTTTTACTGCTGACTGAAGTTGCTCTTTGTGTTTCACACTGAAGGCGCTTTGGGAATCATGCTTGGCTGTTTCTACCGTCTCTCCTGCCTCATGTTCATCTCAACGTACTGGTACATCTTCTTTCTGGACAAAACGGCCTGGAACAATCACTCGTACTTGTACGGCCTCATCGGGTTTCAGCTGACGCTTATGGATGCCAATAGATACTGGTGAGATCATGTTTTTAGGTCCGTCTGTGTGTTCGGCTCGCCGGGGCCCGTTTTATATGCGAGGGCAGAGGAACAGCTTAACGCCTGCGTCTTATTTGTAGGTCAATTGACGGATTGCGGAGGCCTTCAATAAGAAACGCTCACGTGCCTCTTTGGAATTACACCGTGTTGAGGACACAGGTTTGAATTTTAAGAGCAAATATCTTTTTCAACGCATTATGAACATGGCTGTTGGTTACGGGCGATCTAATGATCTCAATGTTTGTTTGTTTTTTCTTCCTCAAAGATATTTATTGTATACTTCCTCGCTGGACTCAAGAAGTTGGACGCAGACTGGGTGGAGGGATACTCGATGTCATACCTGGCTCACCATTCGCTCTTTGATCCTTTCAAGTGGGTTTCATTGCCCAAAGCCGTCTTTCCGCTGACTGTGTCTCGGTACTCTCCACTCTGATCTTGCCGTGCACACGTTCTTTTTCAGGATGATTCTCCCTGTTGAGTTAGTCAACCTGCTGGTGGTGCACGCAGGAGGTCTTGTTCTGGATCTGACAGCCGGCTACCTGCTGTTTTTTGATGCCACGCGACCGTATGCATTTTTCTTTGTCTCCTACTTCCACTGCATGAACTCCCAGCTCTTCAGCATCGGTGAGTCCGCATCAAAACAATCTTTCTTGTCGCCGTAGATATCTTAAAATTCTGCCTTTTCAATGCGTGGAGCATCATTTTACCTGCATCTCATTGAGAATGTCACTCCTCGGCAGGGATGTTTTCCTACACGATGCTGGCCACCAGTCCCGTCTTCTGCCACGCCGACTGGCCGAGGAGATTCTTCGCCCGTTTTCCAGGCTTCCTCAGGGCAGTGTTGCCTCTCACCTCACCGGCCCCTCAGCCCAGTGCTTCCTGCGTTTACAATACGAGCCAAAGCACCAGCAGTAATCCCCAGGAGACCCCGCCTGTCGCCAAGGCTCCCAAACTGAGATTAAAGCACAAGCTGGCAGCCATCTTTACTATTCTCTACATCAGTGAACAGCTCTTCCTTCCTTACTCCCACTTCATCACACAGGTGCAATAATCCGTCCGCTCCTTTTCAACATTTAAGATCCTAAAATACTTTTACAACGGACTTGATCCAAAGAATCAATTAACAAAGGGCTGCACAACGTTCTTTCCTTCAGACATTCTGTTTAATGAGATTGTACTTTGCTGTTGTCAGTGTAGCCTTTGAAACCCTCTGTGAGTCCCCGAGTCGATTGTTGCTCAATCTGAGTCAACAGTCATTGATCTGCAGCAAACAGCAGCTCAGAAGGGCGAAAGAGTTCCAAAGTCTAGAAATGTATATTGTGATTCCTATTAGCATGGTATTATCCTTAATATTTCGTTTTTTTTCCGCAGGGTTACAACAACTGGACGAATGGCCTGTACGGCTACTCGTGGGACATGATGGTTCACTCCCGGAGCCATCAGCATGTTAAGATCACCTACAAAGATGGAGAAACTGGAGAAACTGGATATCTGAACCCTGGGGTGAGTTACAAAGGAAAAACACAGCTGGACAGAGAGCGCGTGTGCAGCACAATCAACCTTCCTGACCGCCGAGATTCTGATGTTCTCTCAATTCAGCCGATCACTGATTAAGAAAGGATTCCTCTGTCTGCGCACTGAAGGTGTTCACACAAAGCCGCCGCTGGAAAGACCACGGCGACATGCTGAAGCAGTACGCCACGTGCCTCAATCAGTTCCTGCCGCGCTACAATATCTCTGAACCCGAAATCTACTTTGACATCTGGGTGTCCATCAACGAACGCTTCCAGCAAAGGTACGAGAGCTATCAATATAATACGTTCAGGGGTATCAAATGATTGATGTAGTAAATTATTAAGTAATAATAGTGGGAGTGTGTTTTAAAAACTTGCTTCGGACGTTTCGCTCAGGATCTTTGATCCCCGCGTGGACATTGTGAAGGCGGAGTGGTCACCTTTCCGTCCCAGCACGTGGCTGATGCCTCTGCTGGTGGACCTCTCGCCCTGGAGGACCAAGTTCCAGGAGATCGAGGGCAGTTTGGACAATCAGACAGAGATCGTCTTCATCGCCGATTTCCCAGGTTACGAATCTCTTCTTGTCCTTTTTCCGTCCGTCGAGAATGTATTGTTACGTTTGTAGTTGCCTAAAAAGGCCCCCCTTTTGTTACCTTTCAGGTCTCCACTTGGAAAACTTTGTAAGTGAGGACCTAGGCAACACCAGCATCAGTGTCTTGCAGGGAAAAGTGAATGTTGAGATAGTGGAGGAGAAGAAGAACTACACTCTCCAGCCTGGTGAGCAGATAAAGGTACAACAGCACGGCATCATCAACATCGGACCGTTAAACCTGGACACGCTTTGACCGTAACGTGCGTGTGTGTGTGTGTGTGTGCGCAGGTACCTGCGGGGGCTTACCATAAGGTGTACACGGTGTCTGAACACCCGTCTTGCTACATGTACATCTACGTGAACACCACGGAGGCGGCGCTACAGGAGAACTTCACCAAGCTGTATGAGCTCCAGGAGCGAGTTCGCAACGGGACCGGTAAATATCGGGCGGCTCGCACTGTGAAAACAATGCAAGCGTGCTTTCAAAAAAAAATGTCACTTAGTTGGGTCAGTTGCCGACCGGACGGTTCCGCCTCCTCCCGTAGAAACCGAGCCTCTTCCTCCCGAGCTGCAGCCTCTCATCGCTGCGGACGGGGACGGCGGCGCCGAGGTCAACGCGACTGACCCGATCGTGCAGCTGTTCCTGAAGAGGCAACGGCGTATGAAGGAGGTGAAGAAGCGCAGGGAGGCGGGTGCAATGGAGCGCCTGGAGCGCTTTGCAGTGAAGAAGTACTACACGATACGCAGGGGGTGAGCGCCGTCTTCCAACCACATGGGAAAACACCTGGTTTGGTTGTAATCAGAGGGATGATGTACGTGGGAAAAAAACAAAATGAACCCGTAAATGTATGTCATTAACTCCTCTTTCAGGTTCTTAATGACAGCCATCGCCATCAGGAACCTGGCGGTCGGTCTCCCGTCCCTCGAACAGCTGACCAGAGAAGTTGCCTTCGCCAACATGAAAGAACCTCCAGCAGAGGCCAACCAGGACGAACGGCTGAGAGACGAAGTCGGTCACGGGGAACTGTAAAGCGGTCGTTGGGGACCAAAGATAACGTGCCGACTTGCTGGATCACACATTCCAAAAGGATGTGAGGAGCGTTACCGGCACGTCGCTGCCCAGTCTAATTATTTTTAATATTTTTTATTTTTTTCCATTTTCTACGCCTCTCAGATTATTTCCAAAAGTGAAGCCAGTATTTTGCTAAAGCATTTCTTTATGAACCTCAATGTATGTGGAGACATGTTTCTGCTATGGACACACAATACTGTAAGCAGATGTGCTCTGCCGGGCTTTGACTTGCAAGATTACATTTCCTGTTTGTTTGACTTTATAATTACAATTATGGCTTGCAAAAACAAAATGCATTTCCAAGATATTGAAAATGAATAAAATGTAATGTAAATACTCTAAGCTAATAATTCGTCCTTTGTTTTGAATGAAAACAAACAGGATCAGGTTGGTCGATAACTCCTCCTGGTGGTTTGTTGTCCAGCACGAAGGTCAAGATTTGTTTCAACTCACAGAGAAGGATATGTGTTTGTTTACTGTTCTGATGGAATATACGTATGTGATCGTTTTGCTAGCCCTAAAATGTGATAAAAGAAAACAGAACAAATGTTGGCATGTCTATTGAAAGGCCTTTTCTAGTGACTTTTCTAATAAAAGCGTGTGTCAATTAAGTTGATATTTTAATTAGAACTCTTAACAAACTGACGAAAGACGTTTTGGCAATAAGGAGTTTTATTGGTGTCAGTATTTAAAATGTCGCCCATATTAAAGTGCTACAGTTGAATTCCAGTGTTAACTGTAGATCGACATTATGGCACATAAATGACAATTTTCACATGATCAGAACACAATCAGTACAATGCTGCAAAATATATAAATACTTTTAATCTATGCGATGGATCCCTTGGAAAGGACTTATGTTAAAACATAAAAACGTGATCTGTTTAGTTGAGGTTAATTGATTCCATTTGATTCAGTATAAATATTTAGTGGTCACGACTGGGGGTCCAGCCACATATCTCTGGTGGGACGAGTGTCATCAATTATTGCCCAAATAGTCACGTGCACCATATTGTTTGACAAACGAGTCATTTCAAGTGTTCGCATCAGAAAATATTTGTACTTCACGATGAACAATATAAAGACAATCTGCATTTTAATGTCATATTGCACAGTGTTTTACTGGTTTTTAGTATTTTAAATCACTGTCTTTCATTTTAAAAATCCCCTATAAAACAAAACACACTTTACATCCCTTTTCATGACGGGTGACTGTTCACCAAGAGTGGAAAAACACACCAGGGCTGTATTTTGTATGTGGTGTGAGACATCGACAAACCAGCTCCTCATAACCCGTTGCATTTTTTTGTTGAGCATTTTCTGAAGTGGAAGTTAAGGAAGGAATGAGAGATAAATAATAAATGAAGAAGCCCCCTATAGTTTGCCCTAACGCTCCACCACAGGGGAACTCCTCTTATTTCCCACACCAAAGTCTGAATGCAGGTCTAGCGGTGTACTCCTGTATATGTGGAAAAACGTTGTCTTTTGTTGACTGAGAGGGAGCCGAGACACATTTTTAGGACCGTCACATCTTTAGGACTCCACCTCCAAACTGAGCCGCTCACTACGCCAAACCTGCACAAACAACTTCTGCTCAACAAATCAAGTCCACATCACAGCTCAAATGTATTTCCACCCTTACTTGTGGCACGTAGCTGCCAACTCACGCAGAATGCGCAAACACACTCTAAATTGTTCCACGCTCCCTCCCAGGCGGACTCGATGTGGCTCATGAGAAATTCAAAAAACGCACAGTGCTGGTGCTACAAAGGGAGGGGCGCAGCCATGTTTGTATTCACTCACTAACAGCGCTCAGAGGTCTCCCTACTTTGAGCTTCCTTTTCCCTCCAATTCCCATTGATTGTGTTGTATATATATATTGTGTGATATGTTCATTTCAAGCATTACTTTGTTGAGAAAGAAAAAATAGAATTGAAAAGTTAAATTATTAGCTATAATCAGGAAACAAATATTTTAGCTTTTAGTTAACTATTTAGAATTTTACGCCTCACAGCCACTGTTAAAGTATCACTGTTATAAAAGGTTGCTGGAATCCTTTTTTGATACAAATCGAATGAAATATGGGCCAATATTGCTTATTTTACGAACACGTTGTGGTGCTGGTGCCAGTCATTTGTCAAAATAAAAGAACCAAAATGAATGAATTTTTGTTGTATGCGTTGTAAAATGTAAATGAGGCTCAGAGTATCTTAACAATCTCTGTGATGGACACATCAACACAGTGTGCAAACATCCGTTTGTAGTGACTTGCCCTCAGATTGGGAGCTGCAGCTCTACCTTGGTTGGAGATCTGGGTAGAAAACTCCATGTACCACACCTTCAATCACAACATTTGAAAATGCATCTGAAAAGAAAGAGGAAAAGAAAGGGTTTCACATAAAAAAGGTGAGATTCTGAAAGAAGTTCCATTCTATTTTTTGCAGAAATCGGAAAAAATCGGCAAAACTCACCGTGAGCGGTTGGCAGCAGGTAGGGGTCTCTCAGAAACAGCAGGACTGGCTGGTGTGAAAGTTTACTGAGGAGACCACAAAAAAGCAGAAGTGAGAAGGTTTGTGTGGGGGCGACATGGTGAATAATAACAGGATGAAGAAATGTAGGCGGGATCACCGACATGCCGGGTGAGGTTCAAGTACAGAGCAAATATTTAACAGGTTCAGAATGGTGCAAAAAAGCAAAGAATCTGACCAGCTGTCTCGTGCAATAGTTTTTAATTATATTCCCCGAAAAACTCACTCACCTCGATTCCTCCGATTCTGTATCAAACGACCTTGGAGAAGAAAAGGACAAATTAAGCCACATAGCCATCCAGCAGCCTGGTGACCAAATATTTGGTATTCCAAAAAAAAGTGGTCCTTTAAATGACAGAGCCAACTCACCCACAGCTTTCTGTTTTCGGCACTGAAGGAAAATGGCGGATATTGAGGAAATCCAAGAATATCTTTGGAAGAACTCCATTTTCCATAATTATAGACTGACAAAACACACAAAACAAAATCAAATTGCAACGTGCACATGAAGCAGCGGGGTCATAGGGACTCGGGGGACTTTTGTGGTTTATTGTTTGCGTAATGTCCCTCAGCTCTATTGTGTGTCGAGTTAGAGACTAAATCTGTATTTGGTAAAAGAAAGATAATACTGACTCCATATTAATGTTGTCACAACATTCTAAACCCAACAACAACAACAACACAGAGAAAGTTGACAAAAATACAACTTTTGATTTGTGTGTCAACTGGCGGTCATCACTATTATCAATACCTAGATATTGACGCGTAAAGAAATGTCGCGTTTGGCTTCCAGCGGGTGGGATGAAGGTGTGTCATGCTACCTGCAGGTAGAGCTCCAGGCCTTGCCTCCTCTGCTCCACCACTTTGGGAACCCAGTTTCTAACATGTTTAGAAGGCATCTCGGGCGGCTTTATGCTCTTCTTTAACTGGAGGGATGTGAAAACATCATGAGAAAATATACAGGACAAACAGGAGTATATGTACTGTTGCTAGGACCAGCATGCACAATACCTGGACATGGAAAATGAAGCAGGTAAATGGAGTTAAAACTATTCATTATTGTATTACTTCAGCTGTGCTTTTAATACTGTGACATGTCCAAGTGCTTTTGGTGGGAAAAGGCCTGTTGCAAATATAGCGTTCCAATCAAACAATTATGGACTAATAAAAGGAGGCAGGAAGAGGAACTCATCTGTAAATATGCAACCTCAAACTATCTGCTATGGTGAGCGTGGTTCACCAGCAGGGAGCCCGTTGAGCATTAAGTGCTTTGCTGAATCTGCATTCACACTTCTGAATGTGGTACTTGTAAATAGCTTGACTGGTAATATTCTGTTTTTGATGTTCCCGTTTCTCCATCCGTCTGTTTTAAAAATATATATTTTGTGAAGCCCACTATAATGCTTTGTTTTGTATGAACAAGGCAGAATAAAGTAACTTCGTTACTACCCAATGAAGTGTTTACTCCTAAAAATGTCAGATAATGTCATTAAAAAAACAACACGTTGGTTAATATGTCAGTATTCTAACATTTCTCTTATGGTTGAGGACACTAAAATTGAAACTCATAAATGACTTTTAATACTCAACAGCAATACGTGATCAAACGCTTTGGGGACGCATTGACTCTCACCATTTTATGCAACGCGTGGAATTCACTGTAGCGTTTCTCGACGGCGTGTTGTCGGCCATTCACCAGCACGTCAATTCTGAAGACCTGAGGCAAAGAACAACAGCTCGTACCGCTCTTTGCCAAAAAAGGCCGAACTCTGTCGTCGAGTCAGTTGAGGGGAATCGCCGTTTATCAACAGAGCACATCGGCCAATAAGGGCCCCTCCCATCCGTGACCGGGGAGCCGTCAGTTATGGTCCATGTCAGCTAGTTACCAAGAGGAAGCATCTGGCTGCTGAATCGTGATCCGTCAGCATTGCTGTTAACGTCCCGAAACAGACTTGTACTTCCCGTAGAAGGATTCTTCTATAAAATGTATGTGTTATAGAAACGACAACAGTGTTTGTGACAACAATTCATTACCGGCTACTTAACTACACGCTGCGTCTCGCAAGACAGAGGGCCGTCTACTGAGATGTATTTAAAAATTCTGCAACTGAGCAGCAAAGAAACACTATCATTACTGGGAAAGAAATGAGTGGGAGACGTCCCAGAGAGACGGATGACAGTTGAGACTAAAGGTTATTTAAGGACGACCAAAAATGAAAAACGTTTCACATTTTGGGAAATGTGAAAAGCTTCTGGCCTGGAGCCAGAGGGGAGGGTTAATACTACTCTCATAGTAAATGCTCAACTTTTCCTGGATATCATAAAGGAATGGGGGGCCTACAATAAAGCAAATAGGGGAAGATCCCAAAGGGACGAACTACGCTTTTGAATTTGAAACAAGCGGGACCGGGGTCCAGTTCAGAGGAGAGGGGATGCCAATGCTTCATTTGTGACAGAAAGACTGGACATTTAAACCGGAAGTTTGAAAGACGTGAGAGTTAAGGTGACTTAACCAAAGGTCTGTCGGGTGCATTATGGAACATGTAGGCTCCGACACGAAGGTTAACCAACAGACTACGGAATAATCCGTGCATCGCCGCCTCTGTTAATCGTGACTGCTGTCACACAACCTGTCTGGTAGAGCCATTCGGGATTTAACACACGAGAGATAAAAAAAAGGCTCGTTTGAGGCTCCCTTTTCGGTGGATGACGTCACACACCTTCATTTAAATCAGTGTTTATTACCAGATCCTGAACTTCAACACAAATACACAAAGTCTCTCCGAACGTTAAATCGGCATCTGGGGTAAAAGCGGTTTCGCTCTTTGGACTCGTTGATTTATTTATGTCTTTAACACGGACGTTGTTTACAACGTGGACACGGAGGTCGGAACGGCCCGGTGACGCAAACGTGCAACGCCGCTCGCTGCGGGACAAATGTGGGACAAAAACCGAGGACAGATGTAAAAAAAAAAAATAAAAAACAAGTGACGGCAGCAGAGAGGACACACGGAGGTTTAACAGCGGGCAGCTTACCGTGAATCCTTTCTCCATGGAGTTGTTTTCCGAACGAAACGAAGGGATCGATACTCTGACCGGGTGCATTTTTTCACTCGAGGAACGAAAGGAGTTTTTTCAGGACGATTTATTACCGTGTGGTTAACACGGCCACACGCACGCACTCACGCACGCACAGCTACACACACACACCGCTGGTGGTTGACTCCAGTTTCTTTTGGCAGACTGATAAATATGAGTGAAAGGTGAAGGAAGTCTCAGGTGCGCCCCCTGCTGCGCGGGAGTACAGCTACTCCGACCAGGGTGGGATTACAACATATTGATGTACAATCATTATTGAAAAGAGTATTTTATTAATAGATTGTGTAAAATATATACATAACCAAATAACATGTATACAAAAATGTTTTATATTTGAATATATTATTTGAAGGTGATGGGCACACAGGTGGATTCCTCCAAAATATATTGTAATATGCAAAGAAAATTTGAAAAGCTTTTTCAGCCGTTGTTGTGTGTGTGTGTTCCATGTATTCCGTCTGTGTGTGTGCGTGTGTGTGTGAAAAGACAATACAACATAGAAAAAGAGTCACCTCAATCTGGTCGGCCCAAAAGAGTGATACAATATCACCAAATTTTATTCAATTCATTTTCAACACAATTTTTGTAGAAAAGAGTTTCTTTTGTTGCATATAAATACATTTCCTTAACAGCGGATTCGTTTAAAATTGTGATATAATATGGATTTTAAAATGATAGTAAACTGATTCACACTTCTTCGGATTCTAAATTTAATGGATTTTATTCCTTATCTATCCTCCAAGTGGTATACAACGCAAGCGTACAGTATAATGCAATAGAAGTAAGAGATTAAAAACGTTCTTGTGAAAAGATTAGATAAGAACATACTTTATCAGTATGGAGAAAAACAAGAAAAAAGAAATTCAACATTATCTGCCACTTTGGCGTCAGATGATTCCTACTTTGTTGTTTCTAACGTGGAAGCATTTAAAAGTTTTAAATGTGTAAATCTTAATGTTGCATTCATCTCAAGATGCTTTCGAATGCAGTCCTCTGCTCCGTCATTTACAGAACCTCTTTGCTGAGTCCAGGTGCATGACGTTATGTTATCTAATACCTGAGAGAAAGAAAAAAAAAAACACCATGAGGGTTGACAGACAACGCAAGACATGTCAAAGAAACCTTTGTCTCTTAAACCATGATACTCACGATGACATGTGACAACCGGACACGGAGGCGTAGTTGCCAGTGTACTGAACGTTACAGCGCACAACATTGTTGCTGTAGTCTGATTCTGGGACGTGATAATTTGGATTTACGCTGATCTGTGGGGAATAACGTATTGACAAAGTATAAGAATCAACAACAAAGCGACAACGACGAATAATCAGCATGGACTCTTATTATGGAAGCAATGGGATTCACACATGTCGCTCTTTACATGGGGTTCAGTCTCCGACAAGGAAAACAAATGTCATCTAGTGTTACTAACCTTGAGGATATAGTCTCCAGGTTTCACATCTGTGATGTCGATCCACTGGCAGTCGATGTCCGCGTTGTAGGTATCATAACATCCTGGGCTCAAGCCCTGCACATTGGACAGAATCCACATAAAAGATTGTGTAAACAAACATACTTCTTATGAAGAATATACAGCTTCTATGTTTTTACATTTTTGTAGAGCTGTAGGTATTGTAACTAAAATGATGAAGAAAAAGCAATCAGGAGAAAGAGGATAAAATCAGCCAGGCAAAGTCAAGAACAGAGGATGGAAAAATAAATCATCTGCCCAAAAAACTGATCAGGCCCCCAAGCAGGAGCTCGTCTGACAGGAGAAACAGGAAATCATTAAATCACCACTGGCTCGTGCAAAAAGGAAATAGTAAGGGACAGCAGCCTCAGAGCAAGAGCACTTGTTTTTCTCAGTCTCACATTCAAGGAAAGCATGAACCAAACTCCTTTGAGCGTCATTCAATGGAAATGCACATCAGTAAAATCATTATCCTGTATTGTGGTCTGAGCTCAAAATGACCAAATTCAATGCAGCACTCTCATTTTCAAAGGGCGTAAACCTGCAAAAACTGCTGTTGTTCTTTGGTCGTAATTACTTTGACATTGTTGCTGCGCTACTGAACAGGAGCTAACTTGCTAAATTGTGAGATTGTGTGTTTTTTAGCCACTTGGGGACAGCATAAAGAAATGTAAACAGAAGACTGATATTATAATGTTATGAAGTTCACCAGCTGATGGTGATTTTAGTGCAGGCAGAGAACTCTGAAAGGGTCATTTTCTCGGTTCTCAGTACAAACGACCCCATCGCAACCAAAACGTTGTGTAATCCAGCGTTAATATGAAAACAGAATTAGAGCAGCTTTAAAGCCATTCATATCAGCATTTCTTCATCTTTTCAGCAGTGAGACCTGGGTGTGTGAGGTGCAGGCAAATCGCCTGTAGTAGCCGTAGTCGCAGGAAGTGTCCTCCAGGCAGAAGCTGGCTTTGTGGCCTTCGGCCACCGAGTGCTGCGAGGAGGCGTCCAGCAGTTCGTAGTGGCTAAACTCATCCATGCTGTGGAAGTGCCTGTGGATGAGCAGCAGAAGTGGGCAACAACTCCAGCATTATTAATCTGCAGCAGGTAAGTTGCAAAACAATCTGGGACTTTTTGAAACAACCAGGTTGACATCTTGTTCCAGTGCTACATAGTTACTTTTTGACATTGAACTATATTTTGTTTAACTATATTTAAGTTCACGGTGTTCAATCAAATCACTTGAATTTCCTTTGACTGCAAACATCACAGGTATTTATCATCTAGACTAGAGTGGAGCTGAATCTTTATTATCTTAAAGTCAGTTAGTTTAATGAGAGAAAACAGTCTGTGTTTTAACAGAAGTGTTCTTTCCAAACACTGGCAAAGACTCTAAACAGTCTACAATAACAGTTTATTGGACCACTGCCAAATGCACAGTGGACTGGTGGTTTCACAGCATAACTATGTACTGAGGTAGTTCCAGATGAATAAAGGAAAACTGGCCCCTTTCCAGAAGCTCACTAAAGGAACAAACCCACCAGCAGTTTTTCCCTTTTAGGCTCATTATTCTCATCACACAACTTTACGGCTTTTCAGCTGTACAGCAACTGAATTATGAGGTCATGTGAAGTTCAGTCACATCATCTTTCCAACACAGGTTTTTACCAAAATAAAACCAGCTGCGGTTCAACAGCGGGTGCCATACTACAACATAGAGGCTGGTTAAGACAAATAGTGGAGCGATAATCTATTGTGATCAACTTATATCTTAAACATTTTTTTAAAAAGTTATAATATTTGAAGAAAAAGTTACTTCCCCGATTCAAACTCGGAAAGATGTAAAGATGTAATTTTTAATGGTTCTATATCTGATTCAGACACATCTTTCCCAAACTGGCTCCAGACCTGGATTATGTTTTCATGCATGAAATCCTCACGTGAAGGCTTCTAACTCAAGTCAGCTGTTTGGACAGTCCCATTGAGAAACCACAAGTCGGAGAGGTTTTCACTTTCAGTGTTTGATGGAGAGGGTTAGGGAGGATCTCGTGTACTTACTGGTGACAGCTGTGCCACTCCCAGGTGTAACGTGGCCTGCTGGGCAGGAAGTCTGCCGTCCCTTGGTTCTTTACTCGCTGAGGGAACCTCAGCAGCATGCGCGTGTCATAGTCTCGAATGCTGGATGAATATGCTGAGCTGCGGGCCCGAAGCAAAGGTGGAGCATAAACTTGCAGTAAACAAAGGTGGTGTGTGGACACAATTGAGTGGAGGTTAGCGTGTGAATGGGTGGAGAAGTCATTTGGAGGGATGAGGTTGTTTGGGTTTGTTTTCAATAATGCGTTTGCCATCCAGGCTTTCACTCCTCAGGGAAAACTATGATTATACTTTACAGAAACCCGCTACTCCGCCCGTCTGCAACAGTGGCGGGATTTGGTTAATTTCACCTGGGAAGGCCTCACCCACAGACACTTAAAGTTCCATGAATCACACTCAGACTTGGATGCAAACCCTGTTTTCGCTCTGCTGTGGATAAGTACTGTCAGCAGTGTACCTTGACAAACAGTTCTCCTCAGCTGCACATCTCAGGCTGTACATTGGGACTCTCTGGACATAGGCAGAGGCTTGAATGTAGTATGCGTCAGGTACCAGATCAGGCAGACCTAAAAAACAAACAAAAGAACAATTATAGTACTGACATGATTGCATACAACCTGAAGCAATCAGTCGATGTATATGTTTCTTACACAGACAAATAAACTGGTTGAGCTATTATAATACATACATATAATACATTTAGAGAACCCATCTCTTACCATACTGGTGATAACTTGTGCCGTATCCGGGTCTCGATCGCCTGCTCGGTCTTTCGTAGACGTCGTAATGATTGTAATACGGGTTATCTCCATCAGTGGACTTATACGGGTCGTAGGGATCGTCGCCGACCATCATGTCGTCTCTCCGGGGCAGAGGCGGACTGACGGTGACCTTCTCCTGGGTCCCATTGCTGCTGCCCTGCGTCCCCGCGCGCGCGCCGAGACGCTCGTCGCGATGCTGGCGGTGCTCGTGGCCTCTCACGAGCCGCTGGAGCGGGGACGGGAGCCCGCGGGGCTTCTGCGGCTCGGACCCCGGCCGGGGAGGAGGCTGCTGCTGCTGCTGCTCTTGCTGCCGCTGGGCCACCGCGTCGCCTGGAGTGTCCGGGTGCCTAGCGTCTCCATCGCGAATGATGGTGACAGGTCGCGCCTGCACTTGCTGCTGAGATGCGCCCCTGCGCCGCGGGGGCTGATACTGCGCGCCCTGGCTTAAAATGCTAAACACATTGCCGTTGTGTGACCACTGCAGCGTCTGCCGGAGAGATGCTATTTGCTTAGTTCCTTGTTGGGTGCCGGGATTTGTCTGAGATTGTACAGCCCGCAAGAGGAAAACAAAAGAATAGACGCACGCATACGCGTAAAGCGGAGTGCCAATTACGCGTAATCCCATTGTGAACTCCAAAGCGGACTTCTCCAAGGAGCTGGGCCTATACCACTCGTCTTAGATTTGAGTATCCCTGGTCACCATTTGAAGGGTATTCATGGAGTTTAAAGGTATCCGTGTAAAGTCATGTCGCTCTGCTCCTCCACTCAGCAGTGAAATGAAGATGCTGAAGAGGAGGAGGAGGAGGAGTTCAGCGTTTGGCGTTTGTGAATCTGTTATACAAGTCCGATGCTGCTGCTCACATAACCACTGAATGGATACGTGATGTGCGATCAATCCCAGCCAAGTGTGTTTGATAACTGCTCAGTTTGGCTGCGTGAAGTCACAGCGAGATTAATTTCCTCCCTCACAAAGAAACTATTTGAGATGAACTGTTTCATCAAAAACAGAGATACACACCGGTTTACTACTTCATTAGGGTTTCACATGAATTACACACTGCACCCATTTCCAGAAACAACTGCATGCATTGTCCAAATGTGCTTTGCCAAATCTGCAGAATGTTTTGATAAACAGCCTTTTGTGACTGTTGGATAAACTCCGAACATTATTGCAAAACACTCCAGCAGAAGTCGCTGCACACTTTTTCATTGGAGGATTCTAAATAAAAAACTAATTATCACTCTTTTATGGCCCTGCGACATTTCAATTTTTTTCTGGCAAACCATCTGCCACGAACCCCCTCGACCCAGTTCTGTCTGTTTAGAGTTTTGCTGACAACGTGAAGAATTCAATCCATCCCATAATAACATCCTATGCGGTACTTACCCTGAGCAATAAACAAAATAAAGCTGTGATATTTGATATCTGATACCTCTCCTGATCAATCCATGTCATATGCTGTAGTTAAACCGCCACCCTGCTGTTAACACATGAGGTATAATGGATAGTTTGAAAAACTAAATCTAGGGTTTCCAATTTCCTCGGCCTATATATCTTACCCCAAAAATTCTTTCCAGCATCTACAGAGGTGCCGCAGGATGCTGCCAAACCCACACAAACTGTAAAATACGATCTTACAGTTTCTCAAATCACGTTTTTGAGAGCTGGACCTGGATTATATGAGTTCTTTTTTTTAAAGACACAACCAGAGATTAATTATAAACTTCGACGTGTCTTTAAAAAACGAGCAAACAACTTGATCAAATAATATAAAGATCCGCTGATAACAGATCAATCGAAGTGTCGAGGAGCAGATGACATCACATTGGAGGGATGTACCCGAGGGGGGGGGCGTTTGGGAAGAGGGAGATTACAGCCAACTACAGTCATTTATTCAGAACAGCGGTACCTGCACAATCACACAGCCAGTTTTCACTCTACACCAGAGAATATGTGGATTTCCCAAAACTAGCTTTAAGCCCACGGTATGTTTTAACTCAAATGCTTGTCATCAGTGGTTTAGAGAAGGAGTGTGGAGTTTGTTTTGTGTCTTATTGAGGTAACAACACAAGGTTAATTGCATTTCCTCCCTAATAAAACAATCACAAAGCCTATTATGAGAAAAAACCTCTGAAACCTGTATTATTTGTATTCATGTATGAGAGTTAACACTGTCTTCACATTGCCACATTTCTTGGTGTGTTATCAGACCCGTAGTCCACCACTAGAGGAGTGTAGTAGTCTGAAGGTATTGTGCATCATATCTCCCATATGCAGTTTCCGAGTCGAGAACAAATAAAAAAGGGCACTCGCATAAAAACACTAGTGGCCAAAAACCTCCACAGGGCACCTTTCAACTTAAATTGTTGAATATTTAGTTAGTAAAACACATTGTGGTGGTAACGCGGGTGATTCCAGTGGGGATCTATTCTACCCAAACAGTAGCTGAGGAAGAGACAAAGGACCAAAGTTAGAATAAAATGACTGTAATGTGACCAATCGATGGTAAACCGATTGTATCATGCTTTGATTTGCTGTTCAGCCAGTTGTGCTGTTCTTGGGTAACAAGGGTGCAGTTCATCTCCCTTTCATGTGACGTTACCGCCTGAAAATGCATCCTCTCTGCAGACGCACAGAACGTCAGTTGTTCAAGAGTTTAATGTGGACATGTTTAAAATGCTTAAGAAAAAGGATTCCAATGACGTTGTGTTATCTAAATTCAAATCATATGAAGACGTTTTTGTGAAACTTTGTGAAACTCGGTTTCACAACACTCAGTTAGGGAGGAAAACGAGTGAAGAGCTTTGAATCTTGCATGCTCGTTCGTAGATGTTTTCCTGTGTTGTCTTGTAGACGCAGTTTTAATTTCCCTCCCTGTGGATTTGTTTCCAGTAAAGCACCCAGAGAGGCACCTTAGATTGAACCAACGACGGATCGTGTTTTTGTTGGTGGGAGGAAAACTGTGTCCCTGGATTTCCTCCAGTCTCTTCCTGAGAACACCAGACTGCCCAGTCACTGACGTTAGACTCTCGTAATTCTTTTACCGTCCTCCATGCTGCGTTGTTCTTTTCTCCAGTCAGGGCAGCACAGTGTTCCCCCAACGAAACGCTAGAGACACATCTGCAAGGAATTAGCAGGGTTCTTATGTCCACGTAGCTGGAATTTACCCCAATTCCGGGCACTAGGCTGTGTTAAAAGAATTTGAATGAATTCCGGCCTGGGTTGCAGACTAAGGAAAATAGACCTCCTGCCTCAGACATGTCATTGAGTAAAATGCCCTTCCCTTTTATGATGCTAAATTTAACATAAATCCAACCCCAATTATTTGTTGCCATCATTGAGAAAACCTCTGGCAGACATTTTCCACTTCGCTTGAGACATGAACATTTAAGCGTTTACAGCAGCCCTCCTCTTGATTTAAGGCGTGTTTTAATCAAATGGGCTCTGCTGCAGTTGTGGGGGGGTTTGTTTTAGAGCTGTTGGAAGTCAGCTTGAGAAACATTAGATTGAAAAAAGGATTAATTTTTGCAGTTCTGATTACTTTTCAATTTAAATATAAATGTTCCTTTGGTCATGATGACAGCATCACAGTTACACATGACCATTCATGCTGTATCTCTCAAAACATCTTTAAACAAGCTTACTTCTCCGGATGCCCTCTGTCAGAAACCTACTTAAACCCCACAACTTGTTATGTCATTAAAATATAAATTATATATATTTGCCTTTCCAGTTGTAAATCTCACCGTTTTGAATTCCCAGGCGTTCACAAACACGCTCAGGTTCATCTCAGCACAAATCTCTACGACAGAACCAGACAGTTCAAATAGTTTTCTCCAGCTTCATAAATGCAGGATTTCCATTACTTTTGGAGCTCCAAAATAGAGTTTGCACCACGCACACACTCAGCCACCACACATGCACACATGCACACAGTCTGGTGGCCTACGTGGCACTCTGCACACGCACTGTAGAGTCTGCAGCCAGAAGGAGGAGCGCTTGATCAAGACGGAGCCAAGAAAACTTTACGTTGTGCAACGATTTCTGCAGACTCCCATTCCTCAAAGAGAGGCAGGGATACTTCCAGCTAATCCATTGATAAGGATATTTATTTGCGCTTATTTGACTTGTGGTATGAGTCATTCATTGAGTCAGGATGCTGCTCTATTTCAACAGAAAACAAACTTAACTGCTGGGGAAACTCTGTTAAAATTCTAAAGGCCCCATGTGATGGATGATGATTTACAGTCATATTCTGATTTTCTTTGGCTAATTGGTGGCAGTAGAAGTGGAGAACACTTCTACTGTATACGTGTAACACGTATCACAATTAACAAGGAATAATTGTGCTTTTTGGGAGAACGCCCATTGGCTTTCTGAGTGAAGAAGATAAGAATGAAATCATTCTCACTCGTACCTGTCTTAAAAATGAATTTGTAGCCAGCAGCTGCTTAGATTAGTACAGCCTGGTCATATACCATCTCAAGACAATGTTTTGGCTGGGATCAGTAGCCTTGCAAAGCGTCAGAGCCAATAAATATTCCACCATAAACATGTATTAAACATGAGAGCATTATTAATTGTCTAAGCAACTAACACGGCCAATTCTCACCAAGGTCCAAAACTCGGCACAGACGCTTCCTGTTTAAAGTTTTTATGTTCACCTCCAGTTTCCTTTCAGCGAGGACACATGCAGGCCAGGCGGGCTATAGAATTCAGAGCTAACCACAGGTGTAGACCTCGGTTTGTCTACCTTTCCCCCTTATACAGCTCGTAGTGGGTAGGTGCTGGCTTCTAGTGCCCCATATTGTTAAAATGGTGAATTATTGTGCAAAATGAACATACATATGGTTTGTCACACAGCTACAGAAACAGACTAAGGGAACACATATTTGGTATTGTCAGACTATCGGGCTGGGTTTACAAAGGATGGATGCTTTAGAATTAAGGGAGAAAGTAAATTGACTTTGATGGAAAGATTTTTTCAGATGAAGTGTATTCAGGGCCTTTTTGCCAGAAGTAATGACTACATGAAAAAGTAGTTTGAAGAACAATGGCTCCATCTACAGGAAACTTCGTAGATTTTATGACACTTTCGCCTCTAGATAAATGTAATGACAAAGTAAACTTTAAAACAAAATTAATGCGAACTGGTTTCATACATGCTGTGATGCAAAATAGCCCAGTTTGCTTCCTGTGTCATTTTATTTCATACATTTTTTTAAATTGTTCCATGAAATTCATTTTGATATAGAAACACAAAACCAATTTAATGCAGGTCAGGGTAAAACATTTATTCATAGAACAGGAAATATGAAAGGACAAAACATTCCCAATGCCAAACTTCATAACATCACTAAAATTAATGTTGGTCCAACAGATGTAACGGTTTGACAGAGTTCATAAAAAATCATGTTTAGCACGCAGCACGTTTATATCAAATATTTGTTAGAACCTACAGTTGTAGGACGCAAGGTAGAAAAGTAAGCAAATAGATAAAATAATGTAATTTGAAGATCAGTGCAGATGGGGTTTGGTCTGGTGAGCGTTTGTCTCACTCGGCAAAGACCAGGTGTCCTGAGATGTAGCTACTGGTGCTCAGGCCGACTGTTCCCTTGCTGGCCTCTAGCCACACGCTGTCCCCCGCCTTCAGCTCGAGCACCGTGTCACCTGACGACAAGTGGTTACCTCCCTGGAAAACCTTGAAACCGCGCAGCACCATCTTTGTGTTGACCATCAGGTCCACGTCACCCACACTGACCGAGGATATGATAAGAAAGTTGAACTGATAGACCCCGGGGATGAGGCACGTAAACCGGCCCGTTGTTGGGCTGTAGAGGTTCTGTTTGTTGTAGATCACTTCATGGAAAGTAATTATTTTATTTGCGGATGGGCTGTACTCGCCCAGACGGACAGAGAAGGCAGATTGCAGTTGTGTAGCATTGGGATTGATTATCATCTTCCCAGGAAAGCCTCGGGGTCCTATTGGACCTGCAAAGGGGAGAGAAAAAAAAAAAAAAAAAAGTATTTAATAAGTACATGTTTTGCTACATCAGTCAGTGTAGTAGCATTTAGTGAACTATAGACACTTATATTGATGCACCGCTGCACTTTTAGGAGGGAATTTTGTGCTTTACCATATACCTCCAAGTTATTTCAAATATCACTTTTACAACAGCATATTGAGCCTATTCCATCTACTGTATAGCATATCTTTAATAAGTTTACCAGTTTGGTTTGATTATGTTCAATGTTTAGTTACATTTTTCAGCACCATCTCAGGGTACAAAATGATTACCTTGTTGTCCAGGAGGGCCTTGAGGGCCTGGGGGTCCAGCTGGGCCTCCTCTGGTACTTTGTTCACAGTCTGTATAGAAAGATATAGTCAAGTTAAAAACTTACTCAGCCTTAGAATTCTAAGATTTTCCAATTGATCAGTAAACCCAGCCTGGAGTGAGGAACACCTTCACTAAGGGTCATAATCTAAATGAACTTTTATGGCTACCACTTGTTAGTACCTCTGAGTCACCGACTTTACAGCTACCACCCGGGCCTGCAAGAGCAAACACCAAATATAAAGAACAATTTCTATACAAGCGATAGAGAAAACACACCAGGTTAACAGGGCAACACCTGTTAATTCAAAGCTGAAAGTCAGTCTCCTCTACGACCAAAAACATTGCCACCGCGACATTTCACCTGTGCATGATCTTTCTCTCCATGCTGCAAGGTTCAGGCTTGGGAGACTGGAGCAGGGGACGAGCCGGTTACTGTCAGAGGTGACTCTAAAGGGGTCAGTGGGAACTGAGGTGATGCCAGTGTTGTCACAGATGACCTTGGAAAAGGAGACCCTGGCCAGAGCAGCTCTCTGAGCTGTGGTGAAGACGCCCTCGTTCTCGTGCCACAGCCTGATTTTTTCCAAAACAAGATTAGTGTAAATTGAGAATGCGTTTGAAAGGCACGCTTTAAAAAAAATATTTTTAGATTGCGTATAGATCACTTCATGCATCCACACGCATGCTGACCTGTCACCCTGACGGATCCTTTGGAACTGTGTTGCGATGAGGCAAGAGAACAGCGGCCCCACGCGGCCACCACGGACAAACGGTTCGGCGACTCCACCCATCCAGATGTCGATGTTGTCAGCCGTGCCGTAGAGCTGAAGCAGCCTGCGAGCCAGGTCTCTGTTGTTCATGACCTGAGCGAGCTCCGCCTCACTCTTCGGCTGAGACAGGCCGCAGAACCTGCGCCATGCGTTGTAGCCTGGAGAAAATAACGAAGGGGTGAGAACAAGAAACATTGGAAAAAAAAAGTGCAAGAAATGAGTGAATGTTTTACCAGGCAAGCCGTGGTCCCGTCCCCTCTCCATGTTGAGAGAGCCCAGGTCCAAAGCCAGATGCATAACAAACTGGAACAGCCTCTCCCTGAGGGCGTTCACCATCATGTGATCCTGAGTGTTCAGTTTAGCAGGACGGTGGATCAGACCACGGAGCAGCGGGTCGATGCCACCTGGATCGGTCACATAAAAGTTATGACAGGTCGAGGAAAGACGGATCGATTACTCTCTACCCTTTGTCCAACTTACCCTCGTAGACGATCCTCCAGGGTGTGAAGAAGGCCTTGAACAAGGGGACATTGGGGAAACGAGGGCTCTCATTGTACCTCTCATCCAGACGGGCCAAGAACGGCTGGATGGCCAAATGGGCGAAGCGGTAAGCCGCGGTGGCAAAGACGTTGGCGATGCTGGGGTCCACGTTGGAGTCATAGCCGGGGTAACGGCCGAGCTGCCTGAGCATTGCTTCGTCACCCACAATGTGAGGCAGGTAGTCCCTGAACACAAACACCTGAGGAAGAGATTTATTTTGAGCAACAAAAAAGCACAATGCCTGAATGCTTTTGAGATTTGAAGATAGAATGAGGAACACTGGCGCATTGACTGTCCGGTTTACCTGCGTATAGGCGCCGTTGATCTTGCGAGCCTCTTGGTAGAGTGTCTCACTGTCCCATTGTGGATTGATTCTCTTCAGTGCACGAGCGAGGCGGTTGTGCTCGCGCATAAACAGTGTGTGAATGGATGTCAGTGCGATGTTCTCGTCCACGCGGCCATCACCTTAGACAGAAATTTACACATTTTAGTTGCTAAATATCCTGTATCACTTTGATTTGCTTAGATTGTTGAGATCACAACAGGTCAACCAAATCTTTTTAAGAGCCTACTGATCCGTCAAGCTCTAACAACGATTAACTAGTCATAAAGCTAATAGAGTGCGCGCACAAAATGACTAACCTGCAAGGAAACAGGGCACCTCTTCTGCGTTTGTGTCGTTGGTGATTCTTTTGCGAGTGGCACACATGTTGGCCTTGACTGGGCTGGAGGGCAGAAGCTCGCGCCTGTTGTCTCTGAACTGCGTGTTGACGCGCAGGAGGCCGTCGTCGCTTTCGAGGTCGCGCAGCGTCATGGCAAGCTTCTCATTTGAGCCATACACCTGGCCGAGGTCCAGGAAGGCCGTTAGGGTGTTGATCTGCTCCCTTTTGTTGGGCACTCCACCAAAATTGTAGGCGGAGGTTCCCGTCCCGCAAATCTGGGCGGATCTGAACGCAGGGATGCAGCTTTCCGGGCCAGTGGGCAAGCGGGGGTCCCCGGGAGGAATCTGTAGGAGAAAGACCAATGTTTCAGGAAGGGAATCTTTCAGTTAAGACAACGTCTCTGGTGAGTTTGTTTTCACACGAACCGCAATGGGGACGCACGGCTCGGTCCGCTCACAGCTGTCGTCGCAGTTGATCCCGCTGCTGAAGGAGCGGATGCTGGGGGAGAAGGGCGTGAAGGTGAGATCGTGGTCGTTCCACTGACCGAACAGGGTCACCAAATGAGTGTATTCCGTGTCGTTGACGACGCCTGCATCGGTTGTGCTCAGGATGTTGTTGGACACCAGTCGTACCTGCAAGTGGCGTAGAATTGTTTGTTTTCATTTTAAATCCGCATCTCCGTATATCAATCAAAGCGTGCGTCAGAGACTTAAAGGCCGTACCAGTGGGAGCACGAAGTTGTTGACCTTTTGTTTTAGGGTCCAACCTTTTGGCAGAAAGATGCCATCTTCATACTCTGAAGGTAGCCAGCGGGTAAAGGGGGTGTTTGAGGCTCCGCGGCGAGGCGCATTTCTAGAAGCAACACAGGAGAGAAGTTGGGACATGCTGCTTGAGAAATCCCTGGGGAGGGGAAACCTCTTCTGCGGTGCACAGCCAGAGATGTTCAGTTGCATTTCACAAGCCTTTCCCGCCTAATGTTAACACTACAGATCTGAAAGATCCGACAACTCTGCATGAATAAGGCACTTTTTACGACTTTGAACAGTCGTATACCTACATGTAGGTAGCAAACCTTTGACTCTAGTCAAAAGAGCCAATAAAAAGATGAGGACCCTTGGATGTTGAATGGTCATTTTTCGGAGTAAGGGACTTGAAAGTAATTTTGCATGCAAGTCAACGACACTTTAAAAGTTGTTGGATGTGTTCTCTTACAAGTTGTTGCAGAGGCTGCCGGCGGTGCGATACTTGTTGAGGTTCTGTGTGGTGCGGCACGATGGAACTCGGACTTGCGCTGCACATCCAGTGATTTCAGCGAGCCTCATCAGATCCTCCGGGGAGAGCAAATCTAAAACACGCCAAAGGCATTTTTAAGGAGGAGTCCGTGTGTAAAACAGATACGATCAGAACCGCAACCGGGTGGGTGGTCGGTCCCGTTTTTGACCCGACCTACCAGTTGCATTGAGTGAGCGCTTGTGCACGTGATGGCTCCGCTCGTGCAGCAGACGCAGGGTTTGCGACATGTAATCTGCGGATCGCACAGCCGAGCGCGTGTCACCGTGGGGCTGCTTCAGGAGACGGAGAGCATCGTGAGGACGCACCACCTCCCTGCGGACTCGTCTCAGACTCCTGGATTTACAAAGTCGCATAGAGACAAAACAAATGAAAGTCCAGATTGCGGAATCTTCTTTTTCTCTTTTTTTCCCCACTGTATGATACTTTGCTGGGCTGAACAATTGCAATGAATGAATCTTCCTGTGTGGGGGTAAAGTCGTATAACTCACTCTTCTCGGGAGTACTTGTATGCGTCATCGACGATTTCCTTTGCGTCCTTAAAACACTGATCAAGGAGAGAGGTGCCGAGATGCACTCCTGGGAGGGAAAAAAACCGTCAAATGTGACGAAAAATTATAAAAATTTGCCCGGTACAAATTTAGATGACTGAAAACGTATTGGCAGACTTTCGCCTACCTGTGGGAGTGGAATGGGCAGGAACCAGGCAGACGCCCAGCACAAGAAGCGCAGCAAAAAGCATGACTTAAAGAGAAAAAAATAAAGAAAAAACGTTTACAAAATGTATTTGGCAAGAGGTGTAAGAAAAAGTTTCCTACAGTGAGGTGTGTGCGCGTGCAATAGTTTCAAACCAAGCCAATTTAAAAACCAAGCATTTATTACACTCGGTCACAAAAAACGGTCAACCTTAGTATAAAAAGTCAAAAAGTGGGACACCAAAGTGGTCAAGAGGTAAAATCGACAATTCAGCCGCCGGTTCAAATCATCGCGTTTACCGATTTAAAAGTCACACGGGGGACGGATTTGTTATCCTCTTAATTAAAAACCCACCTGAACGCCTCACTGCGTGCTGCACCAACCTCTGTATGTCTCCCCGTCCAGCTACCACCAGGCTTTTAAATGCGACATTTGGCGCCTAAATAATTATGAGACGCACCTGCAGATAATTATAGGACGCCCTAAACCGCTAATGAAAATCAGGCAGGTAAACGATAACCTGAATCTGATAAACAACCTCGATAAAATCCATCACTCACAAATAGATCATTTAAACCTGCGAATGATTAAATATAATAAAATAGATTTTAGATTTCGATGTACTGGAACAAGGGTGCGCCGCGGTTGTATATGCATTTACACACATCATTGCTTCAGCATCAGCAACATAAAAAATATAAAAGTATCCGGAACAAAAGTCCGATCGCGTTACCTGAGTCCGTGCAGACCTCGTTCCCGCAGTCTGCGATGCTTTCAGGTGCTTTCTGTGGAGTTTGCGTATTTATATGCAGTCGGTGGGGCGAGGCCTCAATGTTGTCATCTATAGGGGATACTCCTGTCAGTAAAGAGAATGCAGTTCCTTCTTCCTTCTCTCTCGGATAAAGGAAATCCTTTTATCTTATCAGTTAATGATTGCACAGTCTATCAGTGGCGCTACTGATAAGAGCAAGTCATACAAGTAAAAGGACATTACCCGTATTTGTAGTTGGCTTTTAGTGTTGAGCTCTTTGAATAAATATGTTTCTTGTTCGCTATTATTAGTTTCATTTTGATGTTTAATTTCAGAAACATTTTACTTTTGACACACTATTTGTTCTTGATATTATTTGACATAACTGTCTTTTCTCACAGGAGAAATAGTTTCAGCCCAGTTTTTACTTGTTTTACTCAGTAAAGAGTAAAATAGATTCATTTGGACAGTTTTTATTTTGTAACTTGTTTACTGATGTTGACATGTTGGGGCTATCGGTCTTTCCTGTTACCCCACAGACACTGATGAACTTGAGAAACTATTTGTAAAGGGGAAGTAATGCACATTAAGACTAATGCACAGTGAAAATAAGAGTTTATCCACCTTTAGCCTCTCAGTGAAGTGAAACAGCTTTCCACCCAGTTTTTCCACTTTTTGGAAGTTCGAGGTTTGGATTTCACATCAGTGTCACAAGCAGTTAGATTATCAAATGAGTAATCACAGGTGAACAATGGTTGAGCAATGAGGAAAAGGAAAGATGTACAGTAAAAGTGTACGCTACCTCGAAAGGGTGTTGAACTCCTTTGGCACATAAGAGTGTCACTGATAGACAAGGAACAGAGGTTTGGACAGACTGATCTTCAGTTAATGATACACAACACAAAATAAAGAGGATTACTGTACTAATTGAGTCCAAAAATGATTAATGTCAATATATCCATGAATTTTCACGCTTACAAAAATTGTATTCATGTCTTTGTCAGGTAAATGTTACAGGTTTCACACTGTGGTAAATCTCTGCTGAACCCGATGTGCACACCACAGCAAAAAAACAAAAATGTCACTAGTGGATTCATTTTTCCACAGTAAACATTGTTTAGAATTGTATTATTATAAAAACATTTGTATACATATTGCACATCATGCGAGAGAGTCGGTGACCACAAGTGATTGAAAGAACTGTAAAGGCTGAACAAAATGTTACGCAGAATAATGAACATTCTAAAGCACCCGTTTCTCATCGATTTCAATGAGAGTTCAGTTTGCCTGCTTGTTAGCAATGTACAGAGTGACTTTTCTGTCAGAACATCATTGTGTGGAAACTTCCACAGGATAGTTGCACTAATTGCCTCCAGTTCCCTCTTTGAAGGATTTCATAAAAAACAGAAACGCACAGCAGGGCTGAAGCATTGTTGGTCAACCTCGGGGTTTAGCAAGAAATCATGTTTCTTCAGCGGGTTGGTTAGAGATGTTCCTCTGTCTTTGATGAGAGTGTGCAGACAAATTCCGCTTTTAAAACCCAACAGCCATCGTGTACAGTCAAAAGAACAAGAATTTCATGACAAATTATGCATTTAAATTGAAAAGCGGCCGGTTTTGTAGATGAACATTTAGTGAGCTGGAGTAGTTGGGATAGTGTTCAGTGTAATTCCCCGTGTTCCAGGAAGTAGAGCGGTTTTCTGCTGGTAACAATAACAATGCTTGCAAGAATGCGCTTATGATCTTGATATCAAAGCAGTGTGCTCACTTACTAGAAACAATAAAACCAAGGTGTCTTCCACTGGACTGATTAGGTCAAGAGGAGTTTCCAACATGCAGGGGATTTTATTCCATTCGTGATTACTCTCCAAATACTTTTAATGAACCCCAGTCATGTGAAAAGCTAGAAAAAAAACAAGAAAAAAAAACGCGTCTGTCCACGTGCAGACCTGAGGCCTTACAAACTTAAGACACAATTAGCATTGGGAAATCACTATAAATGGTAAATGGACTGTAGTTGTACAGCACTTTTCTAGTCTTCTGACCACTCAAAGCGCTTTAACACTACATGATATCATTCACCCATTCACACCCTGATGACAGGAGAACAGTGACACCTGCACATCAGTAACTAACATTCACACACTGTAGTCGCAGCTACAGGAGCAATGTTGGGTTAAGTGTCTTGCCCGAGGACACATCAACATGCGGGTTAGCAGAGCCTGGGATCGAACAGACAACCCTCTGATTAGAGGACGACCGTGCTGCCCACTCACCCACAGTCGCTCATAAGTACTAAATAAAATCAATGGACAAAAGACACATTTGGCAATAAAAGGGAGATGTAAAGGCAGGTTTCTCATTTAACAGACTTCCTGTACTAAGTACTGAGGCAACAAAATGCAGTTTAACAAGTACGAGGTTGCATCAACTTGCATACACACCCAAGTAGTTTTAAGAATGTGCTAATTTGTTCCGACAACTGGGAGCTCTTTGTTGGACAGGTTTATCTTCCTGCGGGACATTGAAACGTTTACCAAAGCTATTTCAGTTCTACAATGTCTCGCTGACAGTTTGAGGAACAAAAGGTTGCATCTCTCCTGTCTACTTCTTTCTTTCACACAAAGACCAAGTGAGGTCAGAGAGGAATAAGCTTGTCCGAGGACATGATGGATCGCCGGTCCATTTTTCCGTCTTGGTACACGTGGTATTCGGGTGCTGTGTAGTAAAAAGAACAAGAACCATCATTTTCTTTTCCTTTGCCCTTTTTTGATCTGAATGAGAAGTTTTGGAAAATGACCAGCAGAGTTCAGCAAACTATAGGTAGATAGTTAAAAGTCATGTAGTGTCAATGTGGGTTTAACGGTTGATTACATATTGAACAATTCATTCATAAGCGTTTCAATATCCCTATGAATTGTACCCTTTCACAGTAGTAGGCCTACTACTTATCTTTAACAGTAAATAAAGATTTGAATTTTGTCAGCAAAAGTAAATTATTTAATCTCTCTGTTTTACGTTTTAAAGACAAATTCTATTTGTATTATTTAAACAACACCCGAAACCGAGTCCCTCTCTGAAGTCGAGTCCCTCCCTGTACTGTTGTTTCTCCCTGAACTGGAATTTCTTCCAAAACAGGAGTCCCTCCCTTTATCAATTACCATTAGAAATAGCACATTATGTTTACGACAACTAACACAAAAAAGGGCAAACGCTCGCGCCGCCCCATGTTCTGTCTTCAAGTGATAGTACGGTTTATAACCCATGCAGTTATATGGTTGATGCCTCCACCAAAATGTGTCGATTAACTCCATCCCAGTTGTAAGAGTGAGTGGATTTGTACACATTTCTTGAAACTCTTCTATCAAAGTGGACATTGCGGATGCATATTTCCTTGCATTCTCAGTATTATGAAGAGAAAAACCTCTCCATTTATCTCGACTCCTATATAATCCTGAGCCTCTGGAGCGTTTACAGTGACTGTCATGTCATCCTTTTCCATATCAACAGCATCCTCTTTATCGCCTAAAATGTCCTTTTTATGTTAAACCGTTGGAATAAATGCTAAATATTTAACTGAAAAGTAATAATGCGTGTTTGATACCCTTTTTTCATACTGGGATGTTTACTGAAACTGACCAAAAATAAATAAACCCACCAGCCGCCACTGGAGACTGGTATGACAAACCTGTTCTAAGGAAACGGGGTTAACTAAAATCATAGATATTAAACCACAACCGTTCTGGGCCACTGCCACTTTCACACATGTGCAACGATGGAAAAACAAATTGCTGTTTGCTGCACCTTTCATTTCTACTTAATAAATTATAGGCCGCATACCTGCTCACCAGGAACTACAGTTCTACGTGGTTGGAGGCCATACGATAGCTAACATTATTACCTCAATTACCTCAAACTGGTTTTTGTCACTGAATGAAATTCTCAGGCCCTACTGGTCATAAAGATAAAACAAGAGACATCTTCCGTTTACTTTTAAAATCAAGACACGTGATTATTAGGAACAGATGCGAGCGAACGATAATCTCATCCTTTTGAGGTAAGACTGAACGAGACGCGTGGACTTTACGTAGCAAAATGTATCAGACGATCACTCATCTCTACCGAGACTATGGGGCTCACTGTGAAAAATGGGTAGAACTATAAAGTTGATTTGATATGTGATCAACATCATGCTGTGATCTCTCATCTATGCAAATCACCGTCCGATTGACACATAAAAACACTTTAGTCGGGCTGTGACCATTTGAGGCCGTGCCTCACTCTGCCTGCAGCATAACCATTAGACGGGAGAGACGGCTTTGTTAGTCTCAGATCCTCGTGTGGACGACCAACGTTTAGCCTGAGGGTGGCACCAGAGAAGCAGCCAAGCCTTAATATACACAACACATTAATAAACCCAATGACGTTGTGTCCTGCAAAGCCGGGAACGCCTAAAAGGAACCCGACTATGTTCACCCCATGGTCGCGTGAGAAAAAATGCAAATCCCGCAACACGTCATGTTATCTTAACATCAGAAAATGTGATTCAGATTCTGGAGTCTAGATGGTGATTTTACTGGTTGCTCCCCGGTTGTGCCTCACTAGATAATATGTGATGAGAACGCAGCCACAAATATAACGGGCCTACATCTGAAATCAAACAAGTCTTTGGAATAAACATCGTCGGGTTTTAGCACCTCGTTTTAAGGAAGTGAATATGAAACTAGACTAATGTTAGCTTAGTGAGATATAGAGAGAAAAGAAACGGTTCCACTGTGCTGAAAATGAATCACATCCCACTATAACCCCCCCACGCCCCACCCAACCCCTCTATTCAAATCCCCTTTGTGGTGGGTTCTGTCAAATATAAGCTTCAGCACGCTCACAGTTCCCTGTACAGAACAGCTACAAGCCAGAACATAACTGAGGATGGCCATGTTCAAGATTGCCGGTCTTCTCTTCGTTTGTGGTGAGCCTGTAATCAACTGAACTAGGATGATGAATTAGGCAGTGATTGGTAAAAAGTGACGAGACATTATGATGAAGATTAACATTGATGGGTATTTTCAGCTCTGACTTCGGCGTTCAACATCGAGGCTTTGCAGAATGTTCCCGCCGCCCCACAAGCAGTAAGTATATTTTGATTTATTGGAAAATGTCGCATTCAAAACACGGATAACAAAATACACATATTTTATGCATCTTCAAATCATAATGTGTCTATACTTCATCCTTCCGATTAACAACGCACTGAGATACGACCTACCGAACAGCCAGGGCCCGTTCATTTCCAGGGATAGTTCATGAAATAATTTGGCATATTTAGAGCTAATAGTGTGTGATGCAATGCATTTAACACACTGTGACACAGGGGTGGGGAACCTGTTCAGTACTTCTTGATAAATAAAAGTACAATTACATTGTTAAGCTACTTCATTATAGTAAAAGCACTTTGACTTCATTCAAAGTCCTGAGCGAAATTACCAAGGTACGATAATCCAAATTCAAAATATCAATGTAAAAGTTTATGTTCTAAAAAGATAAATAAATGCCATATGCCATAAGTTGACCAAGTCTAACCACCAGACAAAGAACTGACATTTGCATCAAAATCAGGAAGTTACTTTAAGCTTGCAGTTTCACTCCTCGAATATTTAAAGTACTTGAGTACTTTCTCACGTCAAAAAATAAATAAATAAATAATATTTGCAGCCACACGTGAGTTTGTTCATTATTTACAATCAAGGCAGGGAGCACACACACACACACACACACAAATGTCATGCATGCAGCAACCACACAGACTGTTGAGTGATTAAATCATTTAAAGTGTTAATCAATTTTCATTACGCGGCTTCTGCTTTATCATCAGACTGGGGACGTCTGCCAGGACTGCACACAAATATTTGAACTCCTTGCCGACATGGTTTCCAATGCAGACCTCCAGGTGAGTACAATAGTGGACTAAGCAGCAAGCACACTCCAGAGAACCAAGATCAGCTCGCTGATATTATCATTGATTCTGTGCCAGTTTCATAAGTCAATATTCAAATACACACACAGTGCAATCTAAAGTTCTTGATAAGATTTGTGGCTGATTAAATAAGAAACACCTTAAACTCCACCCGTTCTTTTCTTAGCTGAATTTTATTCTTCACATTCGGAGATTCAAATAACTCATTTTCAGCGGTGCATTCGGTGAAATTCAACCACATAAACTAAGGTCCTCTTTTCTTTTTCTTTAGAGCCACTTCCCTTTTTTTCTAAGCCTTAAAAAAATTGAAGTGAAATTGCTATGGCAGTTTTAGTTTCTCACCTGACCTCAAAGATCCTCTTTTCCATGAGCCGCGGGTCTATGGGGAGCGCAGAGACAACTTTCGATGATTTGTATCAAACATTTTAATCACAAATCATTATAGAAAGACATTTCACCACTCGCCTTATCGTCTAATTCACTGAACAGTCGGTTGCGATTGCACAGCAGTGATCAGAAATACAGTTCTCTGAAAAAGAAGCTTCAGTTCTGTGAATATCCTGTAAATGAGAATGGTGCATCGTACCGCGACACGGATTAAAATAAGAGTGGCTTTAATCACATGGACAAATACATAAAATAAACCAATAAATAGCTCATTCCATCTCCACTCTAAATCATGGGATCTAAGACTTTGGCCCAATTCCTGAAACTTAAGGAGAATTCTCTTTATTTAAAAAAAAAAAAGTTATCAGTATTTGCACTGAAATAGTTGCAGGCTTCCGAAAATCAAAAAACATGTTGAGATGTATCAATAACATAACATATTACAGCTTTGTCCTGAGGTGTGCAGGACACACAACACCTAACCTGCCGCTTCTTCTCAGAAAAAAATGATGGATGGCCTTGATCATCTGTGCAAGCTCCTGCCCGGACCGGTGACTAAAGCGTGCCAAGAAGAAGTGGAGAAGATGCTCCCCTTGGCCCTCAGCTTCATTGCTGGCATCGTAGTAAGTTGCGGGAATAAAAAATGACAAAAGAAAAATGTTAGTGACCCCTGTAATCACACTTCTCCTCTTTCAGAAACCAGCGGAGGTCTGCAGAATCATCGGACTATGTGGCTCCCCAGACAAGCAGGAGATGCTGCTCAGCTATATTGTCAGAGAGGCCCTACAGGTTTCTGGGAGAAGTGAAAATGTCGCTGAAGTACGAGTTTGACGATCACATTTAAAAATAATGTGTGAGGGTTTGTGTGTGTGTGTTGTGTTTTTAATCTGTGTGCGGTTTGTGTCGATCAGATGCAGCCCACAACACAGTGCTCCTTCTGTGTTCTTGTGATCAAGACTTTGGAGGACCTGCTCCCTAAGGAAAGGACTGAGGTGAGTGACGCTCTTCGGACGAAGGAACGGACACGCACTGACACGCCTCCAGGCAACACTGACAAACTTACACAACGCACCTTTCTTTCTCTCTGTCACTCTCTGAAGGACGCCTTGATCTCGCTGCTGGAGGAGATTTGTCACATCTTGCCCGCCTCCTACCGAGATCAGTGCCAGACCGTGATCGGCAAATTCAGCAAGCCGGTGCTGGATGCAATCCTGAGCTACGCCACCCCAGAGGCCGTCTGCACTCTGATGGGCCTGTGCAACGGGAAAGGGGCTCCTCACGTAGGTCGGTCAGCCTTCCGCTTCTTCTTCTTCTTCTTCCAAGAATTTACCTTTATCCTGCCTCCTGTTGAGAAAGCGATGAAAGATGTTTAAGTAACAGTGAGCTGGCAGGGCAACTGGTACATCCGCATTCAACGGGCCATTGTAAGGGTGACACGCGGCTGACTATTCACAATGGCCCGTCAGAAGGCCTATTTCCATTTACAGTAACAAAACTGAGCTGGTTTGTTGGCAGAAGGAGCAGATGATGACTTGATAATGAAGGATTATTCATGCATAAAAAAAAATTTAAAAAAAGAACTCACCTGATGCTTTTTGCGTCCGCAGACCCCTGCACTTCAGCCACCTACAGGTGCAGAGACATGAACACCGCCCTCAAATGTGGAGTACGTAAAACACCATCAGGCAGTAAACTTGGGTAACTTCTGAATGCTTAGTAGTGACTCTATTTTCACTTTTCTATTTTATGCAGACTCTGTTTTACTGTCAGAAGTTTGCCTGGAAGCCTCTCAACGCACTTTAAGGTGTTAGGTAGGTGGAATTTTGTGTCATTTTTTTGAAAGATTACATCAACGTTGTTCAAGCTAGAACACACAACGGCCCATAAAACGTCTCCAAATCTTTCCATTTCAGGTCGGGCCTAAAAATGAGGAAAGCTCTTTGTCCCCATGGCCGACCCCGATGTTTCAACATCTATCTGCAAATAGTGCTTACACTGCTCGACACCTGCGGCATTTGCTCTGATATCTTACTGCATTTTTTGGACTTATATACAGTCTGCATGGAGTGAATAGAACCTGGACTTCGCCTGATAAAATATCATTACAAAAGGATTGTTTGAACTTTGAAAGGAATGTGGATCAGATATGAAAGCTCCGCAATTTGGTTCAGAAAGTTGAATTATATGTATGAAAGAAAAGAATAATTCCCAAATATTCTGTATATTTGATGAGAAGTTTTTTTACTCCTTTGTACTAAGCTAAATAGTCACAACGCTTTATCCACCGTTAGTCAGATAATTCTGGCTGACTAGTTGAATAAATATTACTATTCTTCGCTTCTGCCAATAAAAATAAAATACACATTTCTATTTTTTGTTTCGATACAACTTCATCAACTGTCGACCAGAACCAGAACAAACAAATACAATATAAAAGATAAATCCAACTAATTATTAAGGCTCTCAAGGGTAACTTATGATCCACGTACAAATAAATAGCCAATGAGCACAGAGAAGAGTGCAGTTTATTTTAAAAGGGTTTGAGAGAGAAGCACAACAACAAATCAAGGTTCTCAGTAGGAGTCATTGAAGAGGGGAGACTCACACGCTGGGGGAGGACTCGACAGGTACGGAGCTACATATTTGGGGGAGGGAAATAGGGCATTGCAGAAAATGAGAAAAGGCACTTTTTCCACAATCAGCAGCCACACTAACTAAAGTACTGGTAATTATTGAGAAAAATAAAACATAAAAAAAGCTGCTTGACACTCCCACAGGAGACCATGTAAACAGGATGGTTTCTCTGTACAACACCAACCAATCATTTGGCTCCTTGTGGATGAGAAAAGATGATTCAAACATATTATTAAAAAATAATCTTTGGGAGGTCGAGTCATCTCAGAGATTACTTAAAATAATCCCAGTACCAGTATGATTCAAACAGATCCCATCAGAACCTTCCCGGCAGTACACTCGAGGTGAGTGTAGAGGAGACAAACTCGAGAGCGACATCAGGGTCATTGGAGTAGAAAAAAGGAAATCTTAGTTTCAGTGCTATATGCGAGGACACAGCGCCACCTAGCTACACAATGCAGACATTTACAGACTCACTAACTGCAAACACACAGCTCAGATAAATGCCAACCGTGAGGATTTGAAGATGAATACCAACGCAAGCCTACAGCTGGTTTAGGCTTATCTCTTCCGCTAAAGTGATTACATGTGTTTTCTTTAACTACTTTATTAAAAGAAAATGAATACATAAAGAAAGAAAAGCATCATCTGAAAGCCCAACATTAATTGTGTAACTTGTGTACATTAAACATCGAAACAGATGCCCCTGCATCTTTGGTAACTGTGAGCAAATGCTGTCGCGCTATTCCAGAGGACGGTTAACCGCAAACACTATTCTATTCTATTAGGTCTGTGAATCCTTTCACATGGTACCACGTCCTCATGTGCGCTAAAGTATAACTCACACGGTGTGCAGGTGAGACCGAAGGTGTCAGGACAGCGTTTTTATTAATCCCAATGCCCTTGCTGGTAAGACCCGGTCTGCCCAGCATTCTAGCTTGTAGCATTGGCCCGGCGGGGTACTGCTAACCAGATTCATTCGGCTCCTGTGCCCTGACCAATTGGTTATACCCACCCGAGCTTTACTCGACCTTAACTAACCGTCTCTGCTGTGAAGCTGTTTTATGCAAACATGCGCGGCCGAGAGATACAAAACCTTGTGGCACGGGTCACTCGGGTGTCCTTCCTTGCTGGTCAAACGGTTAGGTCCCACAATGAGTCTGACCCCATGTGTTGAATTAAAGGAGGAGGTCACCAGATGAAGGGAGGCCCTGTGCTGAGGCCGCTGAGCTGAGTTTCTCTGTAGCGTCACCCAGATTCAGCCTCGAGTAGGGAGGGAAGTGATGGGAAGGGAGTATTGCATCGTGCCTTAATAACATTTGAACCGACAAAATAAATACAAAAATGGAGTGATTTCATCGTGCAGCCCAACATAACCACGGGGTCAATAGCAGCTTCTGACTTCTCTGTAAAACGTCAGAAAAAAATGGCCTGAAGGGAGAGCACAAACAAGTGTATGCAGGTTTTGGAGAAATGGTCTCCATCCAGTGTTTCGCCGTCTTTGTTCCATCTAAATAAAACCGAGGGTAAAAGGGGAACGGAGGAGACATTTTTGGAATGCTACAGTGCCACCAACTCAAGAAAGTTAGGTGAAATAACACGTTGCAATTAAAAAGGAAAAAGCAACATGGGATTCCAACTACTGATCACCTATCAAACCAAACTTCAGCCTGAATTAAAAAAAGCTGAAGAATAGCATTCAGTCGGCTTAATACCCATAGGATTGCTTTGAGAATCTGTTATAATTAGGTATTAAATATATACTGCAAATTGATTCTGCAGAAACCAATCCACTCATAACTAGTGTCACAAAGATAAATAAAAATTGGCAGCACTGCTCAGCACGTACAAGTTTTCCAACTTATCTGCAGCGGAAATGCTTTCGTTATCTAATAAATGAGTGCCTGACTAACGTGTTGTGAAGGGGCACGGTGTTCTGCAGTAGAGGCTGTGGTGAGGTGGCTGTGTGAGCAGGTACAGGGGAAAGGAAGGAAGTAGACAGACAGATGTATCTGTTGTACACCGGAGCCCTGCTCAAAGATAGGAGCGCTTCAATATTTCAAAATCTTGGGCACCTCCCATGAAAAGAAGTCACGGCCAAAGTGACCATAGGCGGCTGTGCGCTGGTAGATTGGCCTCTTCAGGTCAAGATCACTGAAACAGAAATAAATGAATAAGATATACACCCCTGAAGCATATCTTATCCTAACTAGATGTTTGTTAGTTAAAATGAGACACCACAGGATACCTCACTATGACTCCCGGACGAAGGTCAAAGTTCTTCTTCACAATTTCCAGCAGCTCCTTCTCACTCCTCTCGGAGGTCCCAAAGTGGAAGATGGAGATGGAGAGTGGATGGGCAATGCCAATAGCATAGGATACCTATAGTATACAAATGTATGGTAGGCTTTAAACAGTAGCCCAAAGTCAAGTCTTTGATAGTGTAATACGTGGACTAGGGCCCAGTTATTTCATAGCGCGAGTCATCGTGCACTCACCTGGACCAACACACGCCTGCAGAGCCCAGCTTTCACCAGAGATTTGGCCACCCAGCGCGCAGCGTAGGCAGCAGAGCGATCGACTTTCGTGTAGTCCTTCCCGGAAAAGGCTCCGCCTCCGTGGGCACCCCAGCCACCGTAAGTATCGACAATGATCTTACGCCCAGTCAGACCAGCATCCCCCTGCGATAAGAAACACAGGACTTTATATGTACACTTACAATTATATGGACCACAGCATTAAAGCAAAATAATGGGAGAGCATTTTTAATTGTTTGGGACAACTCGTGGAAGCTAAAAATTGACAGATTTCAGTCATCTTGGTGTGACTTCGGGGGTGAATTATAGATCCTCACCTGCGGTCCTCCAATGACAAAGCGTCCACTGGGCTGCAGGTGGTATACGGTTTCATGGTCAAGGTAACAGCTGGGAACCACCGCTTTCACCACCAGCTCCTTGAGACATTTGCGCATCTCATCCAAACATATCGCCTCATCGTGCTGCACCGAGACCACAACGGTGTGGACACGCAACGGCACCATGGCTCCTTGATCCTGTCGGTACTGAATGGTCACCTGAGAGGAGAAACAAATGATGCAGACATTTACTTCCAACGGGTAGCCATAGAACACATTGTAATGTCTAGGAGGTTTAAAATCCCCCCGAAAAGCCTTGGAGTTGCAACATATTTGATGCAAGCAGGAATTTCCTCTTTCATCAAGTTGCAAATGGAATAGCTCTGGCTTTTGGACTTAAAAGTCAGACAAAATAAGATTAACTGAACTAAAAAAAAAACTAAAAAACAGCTCATGTACAGTAGTAGTAATAAGTCTGAGCACAACATCTTTGAAAAATGTAATTTGGTACAAAAAACATGTCCTACCTGAGTCTTTGAATCGGGTCGGAGCCACGGCAGTCTTCCATTTCGGCGCAATTCCGCCATCTTGGCATTGAGCTTGTGAGCCAGGACAATAGTGAGGGGCATACACTCCTCAGTCTCATCTGTGGCATATCCAAACATCAGACCCTGTGAGAGGTGCAGCCACAAATAACGAGCACGAAAAGAGGTCAAAATAACGCTGAGAACTTCGTTACCGCAACATTTCTGGCTACAGTTAGCCAGCTGTGAATAAAACATAAATTTATGAACACCCCGACCTGGTCACCGGCTCCCACATCCTCCGCTTTTCGATCCAGGTGAACACCTTGAGCAATGTCGGGCGACTGCTGCTCCAAAGCCACCAGCACATTGCAGGTCTTATAGTCAAAGCCTGGAAAACAAGATGACTGAATCTCATTAACAAGATATGCAAGCGAATCCTCACAAAGCCCCACTGCATGAATCCCAAAGTGAACTATACTAACAGCTTTGAAGTTGTATCACTGTACCTTTGGATGAGTCATCATAGCCGATGTCTTTGATCGTGTCCCTCACAATCTTCTGGTAGTCAACGTGGGCCCTGGAGGTGATCTCTCCTGCTAGCAGGATCATCCCCGTCTTAGCAACAGTCTCTGAGACCCAACGTCATTCAGTGTGAAGGATAAGGGTAAGACAAAGTACAATAGGTCGTTAAGAACACAGAGGTGAAAGGGAATTAAGGACACACCAAATACCAAACTTCCTGCTTATCCATTTTCTTTCATTTAATCAACAGACTAATTGATGCAGCTCCATCACTTCCATGATGTCCGGCATTAAATAACTCGCCTGCAGTGGATGAGGCGAAGACATGACTCAGACCTACCATTTTCCTACCGGTCCCTCCCCTGCACATCCCCTCATAGTCATTATGTAAATACCCGTGGTTACCTGTGCATTTCAACAAAACGTATATTCTTCTATATTTTACTGAATATAGAATTGTAAATTAACACGTTTTATTTCCTGCACTGTGTTGATTAGTGTTATTGTCCAATGTTACGCACCACCCGCCATGTCAAATTCCTTGTATGTCTAACGGGTTTAACAGGTTGTCGTTGTCGTACCTAAAACCCTTTCCGACATTCATCAGCTCTATCACTGGTGGATTCCGGTGTGCACATCATAGTCCTTTCAAAATGTTCCTCTATAAAACTAGAGATCACATCACAATCTGCAAAGGGAAATTTTAGTTTCTAATTTAGTCCCTTGAGTTTGCTTTACAATTCGGTTGCAATACCGCACAGGTAATACATCACATAAGATGCATCAGGAAAGATTTCTCAAAAACAAAAGATGGAATATTTGATCTGATTGTGTGGACAACCAAGTTTCAACATTGAATACTTAATAGACGTCAGCCTGCTTTGCTTTTTAAAGACTTACCACATGCTACTTTGGCATCAGGGTCTTGTCTGAGGTGTGCGTCCAACACGGCATCACTGATTTGGTCACAGATCTTATCTGTGGAAAAACGCACGAGAATATTTCACAATCTAACACTCATCTAAGACGTGGTAATGACTCAAGTTTTGTTCATTGCTAAAAACGCATACATTGTAGAAAGCTTATGTTTAATTTCATACGTATTTAAATATGGAGAACCGATTATGTTAGTTTACAACACATAAAACAAAAATATTTAGAATAGGTCAACACCCAGGAGAGATGAATGTATTCATTAAAAGAACATTTTAAGGAATTTCTAATGAATCAAAACACATGTGTTTATTTAATAATATGTTAAGAATGTTCTCAAACATCCAGACAAACTAGAAGACTGGATGTACGATATTCATTCTAAATCGTTATGCTGATTTGACCCGCCGTATAAGCTGCACTAGTTTTAAGGGACAAATAGAATCATATAATTAGTAGAGATCTATCCAGGCCCTTTAATATTCCCACAACTACCAAGAATGTGTCAAACACACACACACACAGGCCCCTGCAGTACCTATATTTAGGACTACTGGTCAGTCTATTATCTGTTGCAATGGAGTTTCCCCCACTGCCCAAATATAGAGACAGAAAAATGCGGCCCTTTGTACAACAAGCTGCTGCGCTCACAACAGGTTATTGGGGACACTTTGCTGTAACCTAGCACACTAATACGACCATGAAATCACTACTCTGATTCTCAAGGTTGGTTTTCAATGCAAACCGTTTGAGAGAAAAGGATTTTGGAAGCTGAAAAGTGTTCTTGCATTTACATTACATTACATTACAGGTCATTTAGCAGACGCTTTTATCCAAAGCGACTTACATTACACTTTAAACCCATGGCTTTTCACATTTTGCCCAGGGAGCAATTAGTGGTTAGGTGTCTTGCTCAGGGACACTTCGCATTTAGACTACTTTCAATATCTGAAATAAGAGAACCAGGAACTACAGGCTCCAAATTTACCATAAAAAAACTCTCCCTTAAAGAGTGGACATTGTATGGAAGTGAGATGGATTGTCTTTATAGAGGGCAACTGTTTTTAGCTAAGGTGAAGTGTAGCTATGTAAACTGGCAAAGGTGCACTTTAAAAGTAATTGTTACCTTCTATGTCAAAATGTAGATAAGCTGACGAGTAACTGATTTTTAAGTGGACCAAATCATTTCATGAAATCATTTGCGGGCAGAGATGGGCAGTATTTCTATTTCACTTACTTATGAGTATTTTGTAATTTGTATTTGATAGAGCCGATGTAAAATGTAACGTAATTTGTAAGAAAATACTTTAGAGAGTGGTCATTTTGTATTTAAAATACTCAATCCACTAATCAAAATACATTGTCTTTAAATCTGCACGTTCAACGGATTTCTCGTCAAGGTAAATATTTTTTCTGGCTGTGACAGACGTCGATTAGCTTGATGTAGAATTTATGTGTGGGTCTACAGGCTACAAAGCCCATTGTACATGGTGATGGTTAGAATATCAGCTAGGGGCCGATGCGAACTATGTGCCCTACCATGCTACCGGCAAAGGTACAGTCAAGGAGAAGTAACTAGTAAGTAACTAGTAAGTAACTAGGCTACTCACTTGTTAACGTATCTGTTAACTTTCTTCTGATTTACTATTTACCTTTCATATTTAGTCATTTTTCAGTGCAGAACTTGACCTGCAGTAATTTATTCATGCCCTTTACCTGTGTACAAATTATTTTAATTATATATATTTTGATTTTATAGTATGCATAGGCCTAATGTGTGATGCTATTCATATGTGATAATATCTTCTTGTTGCTTCAAACCCAAATTGTATGGGCTGTTAATAAAAACTAAATAATGTATTGTCACCAGAGCTTTGTGCAGCTTTGAGGGGTATTTTGTTTTTGCCATCTGTTTACGGCACATGTTTTATTCTGTTGGCAGAAACCACGGGGCACAATAATACAGAGGACATTAAAGTGTTAAAGCGTCTTTGAGACATTTAGAAAAGCGCTATATACGTCACGTCACATGCCAGCTAGCTACACTACCTGACTCAGGGATAAAATTTAAAAATAAAATTACAAGAAGCACTGGCCGTGTTTAAAGAGTCAAACCTAAAACAAGAGACAAGAACAGCCGCTCGCACGTTGTGTATTGACAGAGGACAGCGGCGTGGTGCCAACTTAGACGTGAGGACACAACACAACAGCATGTTAGCTTCAACTGTTAGCAGCAGTGTTGTTAGCATGCTAAAAACACTGCTACGTAACGTTACTTCGGCTCGACAACTTTTAACATTTAACTTGCTGAATATCTCAGCCAGTGAACAGCGTGTTTATTTGTTTTTAAGAGCGTGGTCCGTGTGAAATACGTGTAGCTACGCCACTTTTACACCACGTGGACCCTCTTCATCACAGGAGAGGAGTCAGAGGGGATGAGCAGGGTATTTACTGGACAGCTGACACGCAGCGTGACCTTGTTTCGGGGGCTAGCAGGCTGCTATTGGGCTATTTATTACTAGACAGCGAGAGCTACCTCACAGCCGTGCGGTTATACAAGTAAAAACCTACCCGGGTGACCCTCTCCGACTGACTCGGAAGTGAAGAGGAAGCAGTCTTCGTCGATGAGCGAGTTGTTATGGAAACCGTTCTGATGTCCGTTCATTTTGGCCAATAAACACACTGTTATCTAACAAGCTAGCCGTTCAGATACGACGGACGAGAACGGGTTTTTACAGCCTTCGCCTGGGTCTCCTGCTCCGGTACACAGCGCGGATGGGTGGCTTCGGGTTTTGACTCTCCCGGTGAATCAGAGTGGGTTGGACAGCTGTGTTTCTGAGACTGGACAACTTCTTCAGACCCTTCGAGGCGTTTCTCCGCCGCCAATGTTGTTGCTGAGCACAGACCACGTGGGGTAAATGGGCGTGGTCTAATTTAGAACTCCACAGGGGCTAAATTATGATAAATGATACTTGCAAACCGGTTGTCAGCGTATTAATAACTCGCCTGCTACATTGGTCTTTATTCCAGCACCCTCTGCACTCTGCGCTCCATTGTACATACGCATGTTATCCTACTTCAATGACAGTACATATGTAAGAAACATATATGCTGTAAATTAGTCTTGTTTTAGCAACACATTGAAATCTGTTTTTTTTAATTTGTTTTATTCGCACACTCACACAAACACATGACTGTTATCTTTTGTGAGGCAAAACTAACACATTAGCCTTAAGATCCACTCACTGATCTCTAGCTGCTAAGAACAAGAGCATCGAACAGGTGTATGTTTCAGATCGACTGAGGTGAAATGCTCTGCTTCAGTTCTTTGATACATTAGGCTTATTTCAGGAATACAGACCAAGAACTACAGAGTTAGAAGTTTAAACCATCATCTGATGCTAAATGCATTTGTTTTAACACATTAGGCCTACACAAAGGCCTACACAAACCCACACACACACACACACACACACACACCCTCGCTGATGTAAATATGACACTTTCTGGTCCAGAGTCCTTATATTAATATGAGACTTTCTACATGGAACGATAATGCTGTCATCAATCACTGGTCACATCTGTCACAAGTTTACTCTGACTTTGGTTTCACATTCACAATAGGTTTGTTTACATATGATATAGCTTATGAGTCTATAAAAGCACTTGACGTTGGTAGTCTGGACGTGTCTTTGACTCCAAGGTTCACATGGCGTGTGCCATGATGGTCGATTCAGAGATGGAACTGCGTGGCTACGATGTGGAATGTTTACAAACTACACCACGGAATGTCCTGCTTCTACGAGCACGGTGACGTCGTGGGATCCCACCCTTGATGCGTAGATATTGCCGCTGTTCTCCTTGTACCGTCCCACCCCCCCTGTATGCTATTGTCGTTTATACGCTATGCAGTGTCCGTTTCCCCTGTCTTGCCTATCAGTTTGGCCCCTGTGGGGCTAATCTGAGCTGGTCTATGTTCACCTAAAATGGCAGCGACGAGGGCCTCCGGTGCGGTCACTCCGCCCCCCGGGGACCCGGGGCTGCGGGGACTGAGCGGGCTGATGGCGGGGGACAGCCCGGTGTCGGGCGAGACCAGTCGCTCCTTCCTGGCGGCAGGGCAAGGCGAGCGGCTGCGAGTCTGGCTTTCTTTGGAGCGAGGGCAGAGGCTGAGGTTCTGCAGGGAAGGGAGGGGGTTGTTGGAAATGGCAGAAACAGCCGGGCTGCGGCTGCGGCGATGGCGATGGTTGTGTTTTCCAATTTTTGGGCTCGGGCTGCGGGAGTTTGGAGCAAGCAGAACCAGAGTGCTGTCGTCTTCTGAGCTGGCGTCGGAGCTGTTGGAACGGTGCGCGGTGGGGCTGCGGGCCGGAAGGTTGATCTGTTTAGGTTTGGCGATATCAAGAGAAGATGAGGGGCTGTTAGCGACGCCGCTGGCAGTTCTTTTCTTTCAAACTGGTTTTCCCAGTTTGGTGTGGCAGAACTTGAAAAGCATGCACAAAGCCCTGACATACACCCCATGAAAGCATTTGTGTGATCTGACATTACTTGCTTAAGAATTGGACTAAATGCGTTGAGGCCGGGTGTCTGATAGACAACCCTAGATTTTCTGAAACTTACGAGCACTCTTATGTAAAGGTCAACCTTTACCTGAATCGGCGTCGACAGTCCAACAATGCTGTTCATATTATTACTGTAGTAACCCAGCATGTATTCACAGTCATCTCTTGGCAAATCCTCCTCCGAAAATGTCACCTGGGGAAGAAATGAAAGGTAAGAAATGAACCCTGAATTCAGCTAAATGTGGGGAAATGTGTGTCTTACACACCTGTGTTGCATGTTCCCCCTTGGCCCATATGTACGCCTGGTAATCTTTGTGATGTCTGAATCCAACCTGTGCAGAAGTAACAAATGGACATCATTTTTGACACCATTACATCTTCTTGAGCTTTTGAGCAAAAACAATCGGATAATTACCTTGTATATTGCTACCCAGTCCCATGAGCTGCGCTGATAAGTCAACGCAACAGTGAATCTGACTGTGGCGTCGGAGATCTTACACCATTCCTTGTTTACCTGCAGCTCCACCAGAGGCATATCCACCCTGAATGGGAACTAGAAAAAAAAGAGAACAAAGCAGTTAAAAAAAGAAATGTCGTTCAAAAAATGTCTTATATTTTCAAAAAGATATTGTCTCACGTGCAGTGAGAACACGGCAGAAACCGGCTTGTGGTCGCTGATGGTGAAGCCCATGTGACTTCGGTACACATGCTGTGTCACTTTGGTTGACCCACCCAACCACGAGGTCAGACCCCTCTGCAGCGCTGCATTGTGGGTAGGAACGGGGGAGCCGGTACGACGAGGGCGCCAGAGGATGCGGTCTGTCCAGGCTGGTTTCCTCTTCTTTGCACTAGCAGAAGAGAAGCAAATCGTAACCGAGTGTCATCGTGGGCAGCAACAGTCAAACAGAAAAAATGAAAAATATGATGGGAGAAGTTTATGATGGGGGCGACTGGACCAACCTAGTGTCGTAAGTATGAGTGCCCACATCAAACTTATAGGTGGGTGGGAATTTCAGTGGTCCCTCAATGAAGCCCTCAAGAATGGACTCTGTGTTTTTTGCCATGTTGAGCTGTGAAGTAGACAAATGATTGGAAAGGAGCGGCAGGTCACACATCTGGATGATTCATTCAAACAGACTCAAGCGGATGTTTGTTTACTTTGTGCCACAGCTTTCTCTGCCAAAGGACGCACAGGTGACGTAAAGCCTGCGAGAGAGTCATGGGGGCGAACCATTTAAACTGCCTCACCTGATCTCGCTCCAACAGCAGGGGCAGTTTATTGCTGTCGATGGCACATTTCACCACATGGATGTCGTAGTCTTCGATGCGGAAATTTAAATCCCCGAACCAAAAAACGACACTGGGAACAGAGAAGGAACCAGAAACACACATTTAAAGTGGAAAAAAGAAAGAGGATATTTTTTTGTCTTCTAAGAGGCAACTGTGAAGGGACTTCTAAATAATCTATTTTATTTGTTGCTAAAAACGGAAACATTAATCAAATAAAATGTGTGAATTGAAACTTCCCTACACATAAAAGATAATTTATGGACATTTACAAGCTAGCTGAACATTTACAAGTTAGCTGTGTAATATGGCTCTGTTATATTTATTCATCACTGGTGAGCAGCAGCTGGAATTCATAGCTCAGGTCCAGTTCAAATCATTTAGGTGCAATTAAAAACCAAAAGACGGAGTACCCACTCGTGGTCCAGCACTCCAGTGGCAGTGCCCCCTTCAAACTGCTGCTGCTGCAAGATGCTTTCAAAGTCCTCCATCCGCTGTTCCAGGTTCCTCATGTGAGCGGGCAGGTGACAGTTGAGAAAGCACACTGGGTGGCCAAACACTGTCATCCTGGCACTGACGCCGCCTTTGTTCCCCTTAGAATGAGGGAGAAGAAAAGGGGGTTAAAGCGAGGACCTCTGCTCTTATATTCTAAAAAGCCCCGTGAGTGGCCGAAGACCATAGAAAAGGCGCTGTATAAAGGCAGGGCCAGTAGCATGAATAATGAGACAATTCTAAAAATGAACGTGTTGAGCCTGCATGTATCAAATCTTTGTGTGTTCAGGGACAAAGTCAGGATCCTTTTTTCTGACCGTGACACAGATCCATAAAGCCAGACGGCCTGCTGCTGCACTGACCTCAAAGAGAAGGAGACTGCACCAGCAGCAGCTCGGGGTGATGCTGACATCAACATGCACAGGAAGGTCACACCCTGACATATGCGACCACACACACACACACACACACACACACACACACACAGCCTTTCATCACGCCATCCCCCTAAATTCCACTGCCACAAACCCGCCACAAATGAAGTAACGCGACAGATCTCAGAGTTAAGAGCAGTGCTCTTCCATGCATCCCGCATACCCAATATCCCCCGAGTCCCGTGCGCGTGCTCTCGGTCTGCACACCTCTGAGGAATGGAAGATGGCAGAATTTAGAGAAAACCAGGAGCAGCACTCCCTGCATACGCTGGGACGCCACCTGCAGGGACGGGGCGGATGAAAAATACAGCAAACGTTGTGATTTTGTGAAGAACAAGAGAAGCGTATATGAGTAATAACACTACGACGAAGATGATGAGATTTAACTCCTTACTGACCAAAACATAACCGAAAGGACTCAGCCTGTCCATGCAAAGCTCACTCCACTGGTCTGAGAAAATGACGTCCTTCAGTCGCTTGTTTATCATGGAGTTGACTTCCTGGAGTCTGCGTGGTGCCAGAGAAGCAGAGAACCGTCACCAGCATGTGAAAAGTGAATCACAAATTAAAAAAGAGGACAGTGACGGGTAACAGGCGGAGGCGCGCGCAGATGACAGAGGGGGCTCTCGCTTACCCGATGACAAACATGTCAACACTCCCATCTGAAACATTTGGTCCGAACAGAGAAGTGATGTCATCGGGAGGCACAGCTGAGCCCACGTTCCACGTGACGATGTACACCCTGTGGGAGATTAGAAACAGCAGTAGTGCCACATGTTGGATCCTGGGGGTGAAAGGGGGCGTAATCTGTGCTGCAGTCGAGCTGTTATCAGCTGTGTGTGTGCTATAAGAGATGGAGCGAACGTTGTCCAAGAGCATAACATAGGATTTATCTTCATTTAAAATGCCTATAACATGGAAATCAATGTGAAGTCATTGGAAATTTGCTTAAGCTCCAAACTATCGCAAGTAAAGGTCACGTTTATTTGTTTTTTTGACAATGTTGTCATGTTATTACTGAACAAACTGCTTTAAAAATGACTAAGTTTCACCTTTTTCTTTTCAAAATGTCTCTTAGTCTGTTGCAAAATCTCCTTTCCACACAACATAGCTCATCATCGTGAGGCTTTTCAGCAGCCACAAATCCCAAAGGTCTTAAACGTTTCGACATGTTTGTTCTCCTCCATCTCCTTCTGCCCGCCAAACGTGTCTGTGTCCCTCTGTCAGGTTCACAAAGCTCTAAGTGAAGTTTGCGGCTTTGATTCCTACAGCCGCCACCGCAGGACGGCTCCTGCTGCTGTGCATAGAAACGACAGGGAACATCGCTCCCGTTTCAGAATCCCTTTAAAGCCCGTCTGGCCATCCCTCAGGCGGGTAGAAACACATTTTAATCACGGCGACATTAATCGTCTCACCTGAAGTCGTCGTTGTCTGCGCCGGGCTTCTCGGACTGCACTGGGCCCTTGGTGGAGCTCCCCGGTGGGGGGCTCCTCTGAGGCTGAGGACTGAGGCTGGGATTGGGGAGGGGCAGGCCCGGGTTAGGGCTCAGGTAAGGCCGGCTGGTGTAAGACTGAGGGCTTCGGGGACTCTGTGGACTGCGGCGGCAGAGGGCGGAGTCTGTCAGGGAATGTGACAGGACGTTGGCACTCTGAGGTCCTGGGATACAAACTGGGATTAAGTCTATTTCCTTCGAGGGGTCCGCTGAGATTCTCGTCGACTTCGGAGCAGGTTTAGTTCCGAGAGCTGTCGGTCTTGGCCGGCTTATGCTTACCAGTGTTGCCGGGGTGGTTCCGGACTTTGGCTGCGTCGGCAGCATTTGGTCCGTCACTTTTACGGGTGCAGCTGCAGCCTGCATGGTGCCCGATCCTAAATGTTTTTGGGGCTCCTCTAAGGGGCGGATGAGAGGAGGTTCCTGGACCACGAGCTGTGGAGGCGAAGTCGGACGGACTGTGAGTCCACGGCGGTCGGTGCCGATTGGTTTCTGCTGCATGCGATCCATCAACCTGCAAGAGGACACTTATTAAACGTTCATCTTCATTGTGTTTGAAAGAATCGACAATTTGACATACAAGCGAGACGAGGTTTTCCTTTACCGAGTGTGAGCCGAGAGAATGCATCACACACACACACGTTGAGCACCTGTCCACATCATGCTGCCCCGGCGTCAGCGATGACGTTGTGCAGTGACGCAAGAAGTATTCACACCTCTTTTACAAGTAAAAGGCTGTCATAATTTTAATTATGCTGCTCAGAAGCGTAACTTATAATAATACATCATAGTTGATTAGATGTTGCGGCAGTTATTTAAAGCTGCCGTTGAACGGTGGGATAAGTGGAGTACACTCACTATCATTTCACCCCAGTGGGCCGAGGAACTAACTTTCTACCTCCACTCTGGAATGAAGCCTTGTTGCCGGGCAACAGCAATTACCCTGCTGAGCCTTTTGTGCAGGAGCAAAGGGGCGGAATCGCTGGTGAGCATCCAGAGATCAGGTTAAGGGGGCAACAGTTCCCACACAGCTGCACACCAAGAAGCACGTCGGACAACACCAGACAATGTCCTCACGAGGACCGAGGGTGAGGACGAGGGCCTCTCGTCCCACCATTTTGTTCATGTTTCTCTCCCACACAAAAATTATACACCTCGTTTGATCATTCATGAAAATGCAAATCAGGATGTGTTAGTAGATGTGCGACCACAGCAGCATCCCGAGGCCGAGCCTATCAGACCAGCAGCTGTGTGATGAGAATCACTTTCAAAGTGAGGAGGCAACTTTCAGAGCATCACAGTGCAAGTGCGCCCCCCGTTTAACAATCTATGTTATAGACGCACGAGCAAAACAAAACAAAAAAACATCGATTTCACGTGCAAATTCCACACGGACACTAAAACATCCTCGTGAAAACGCCCGTCTTACCATTCAGGCGCTTTTCTTTTTTTTCCTGTTTTGAAATCAGGAGGCGGTTTCCAAGGTGAAGCGCGAAGGTGATCTCACGGTTTCCGAGCAGCGGTCCGCGCGTGGGCCTCCTCGCTCGACGCGGCGGATCGGCGCTCCCCGAAGGGCGAACCGCGACGTGCCGGTCGGCGAAGAGTCCGCGCGCCCGGCCGGCCCCGCGGGACGGACGCCGGCGGGTCGGTGCGAGCCTCCGTCACGGTGCGGACCGCGCCGCGGTCGTGTTGACGTTAGACGCCGATACACCGTCCGGCTGACTCTTCGCCGTTTGCGGCGGAACAGCTGTGCACTTTCCGGTCAGCATCTCGCGCGCACCTCCTGCACACCGGCAGGTCCAGCGCCCCACATTACGCGCTCTCTCTCTCTCTCTCTCTCTCTCTCTCTCTCTCTCTCTCTCTCTCTCTCTCTCTCTCTCTTTATCTCTCTCTCTTTATCTCTCTATCACTCTCTCTTTATCTCTCTCTCTCTCTCTCTCTCTCTCTCTCTCTCTCTCTTTATCTCTCTATCACTCTCTCTTTATCTCTCTCTCTCTCTCTGTGTGTGAGCAGTAGAGGTAAAACCGAAATCAGCCGCCAAAGTACACCCGGTCAGACAGATTTGAGCATCTGCCGGTGAGTCGGTGACGCATAAATCCCGCATCAGTGCGTCACCGGTGAGGAGGAGGGGGAGGAGGGGAGGGAAAGGGGGGGGGGTGGTGTGATCAGCACGCCTATATTTAAATGCCAGTCTGGCAAAGCTACCAATCTGAGGTGTGAAGTCAATGGAGTTAGGGCCGTTCATTTATTTATTATTTATGTATTCAAACTTCATTTGATATGGACATCAGGGTTGTGACACGTGCACAAATTTATAGGCCTTTGTCTTTTAAAGTCACAATGTGACTCTGCAAAAATATTTCATTCATCAAGATACACGTTATCCTGGATCTCCTGATTCTTAGATAAAGATAACCTGTAGTTGTTATTACCAGACCCTAGGTTTTATATTATTATTAAAATTACTTTAAACGTGCCGTCAAAACCAAATCCCCATTTATTGTGTCCTGTTTGAATAGTCCTGAATAAAACACAAGGAGTTGTTGAATAATACAAAGGGAAAATCACTTTAGTATCATCAGTCATAGCTACACAACAACAGCATGTATAATGGAATTGCTATTTATTCAAATTTGTCCACGATACACTTAAGCCCCTCGACAGCATCATGATAACATTTTGTTCCCACATATGGCTCTGACATGGATTAATGGAATAGTTTAGAGCCAGCTGTCCACTGAGAGCATTAATATGCACAATGCACAATACACAAACCAATACAAATGCTGCACATTACTCTGCATTTACTGTAACATAATTCCTTTAGCCAGATACGTACTAATATCAACTCTAAGATCAGAGACAAAAATGGAAATATTTAGTTGAAAAAATTGCATAATATTATCTCTTTTAATACCTCGGCTCATGCTTCGACGTGTATTCATTGTAAAAATTCAAAACCATTGCTCATGAGACCTTTCAGACTCTACGGGCGCTTTTTGGTTTTGACCAGGCCTTTCTCCACCAGGCAGCGGTAGAACTCCTGGATGTACGTGTACACGCACTTCCAGTCGGGCTCCTTCATCCGGACTAAGTCATCGGCGTCCAGCAGAGGGGGGCAGCCGGCGAGCCTCCTGCAGAGAGAGAGAGAGAGAGGGAGGAAGGAAGGAAGGAAAAGAGAGAGAGAGAGACACTGACAAACAACTTGAGACAAACTATGACACACAACTGTGAAGTTTTTGTTTTTTTCCTAATCCGCAGCGCACTGCCCGGAGTTCGCTCCAGACAAGACGCATCTGCCGCCTTCATATAAGGAATGACGGCTCACTCGGCAGTGTTGAAAGCCAGCTGGAAGTTCTCCCTGGGCTTGTTTGGGTTGAGGGTCGAGTACTCGAAGGCGTCGGGGAAGAAGCGGTGCACCAAGGCGCAGAAGGCTATGCCGTCTTTCCAGCTGGAGGAGAAGTTACGGATGTTCACCCCCTGTCTCGTACCGGAGGGGATTTGGTTCAGAAGAAACAGTGGCAAAAGAAAAAAATGAGCCATAAGAGGCAGAGCTATGTATAGCTTCATTGGGCAATAATTCAAAGACAGAGTGGGGCCATGTTTACCTCATATGGCTCTGTTTTGGCCCTGCACCAGTCCAGAAGCATCTGTTTGACGTTTTTAACGTTGGGTGCTGCAGAAGGAGGACATTTCTGAGCCGAGGCTACGGCGGGACCGGCGGCGCTGAGGATAAGAAAGAAAGTCGAGGAGATGGAAACGCCGCGTGGACAGAAAGTATGGCTTATCTCATCTTTTCCCTTGGGAAATGGTTTGAAAAACAAAAACGCTTTAATTTCCTTATTGGGCAATAATACTTTGTTTTGGATAGAAAATATAATATTTTTCAGTAGTGGTCCCACTAAACCATGAAACATTTTGTGGATATTTTCTACTTAAGTCTTTAATGAAATGTATTTTCTGGGATTATTTGTACAGTTGATGAAGCCAATCTGAGCAAACCACGGACTCACCTGCCCGCCGATGGAGAGATCTGACCGGCCGACCCTCGAGAGATGCAGAGAAGCAAACCAAACTCAAGAAAGCTGAAATGATTTAAATTACAACACAAGATCTGACTCGGCGTCTTTATGAACGTACTGTTTGCCGGTGGCTGTTGGTTCATGGATGCTCTGCCTACGCCGCCTCCTCCGCCCGTCTTCCCTCCTCCGCCCAGGCCCTGCTGCCTCAAGTCCTGCTGCCTCGACCCTCGATCCTGCTCCCGTTTATCTGGTGAGAGATGATGGAGGGTTTGGGAGGAGTGAGCGTCTGAGGAAAGGTGGAGATGGTGTCATGGTAAACCTGCCCGGTGAGCGTCCGATTTGACCTCTCTTTTTCTTGAGCAGCTCCCTTAATGCGGCGCGCATCATTCTCCTCTCCTCAAAATCTGTTGCATTGTCCAACTTACAGAGAAGAAAGAGAAACCACTGATCAAAGTTCAACGGCTGGGTTAAAGGTCACCTACTTTTTCAAATTTGGGAGGTGATAAAGGTCTCGCTGTCAGAGTGATGAAAGAAAATCCAAGTCATTCATTTTCTCACGATAAGTGAGACACAAACTAACTTCCCAAAATCCCAAATGTCTGGCTCACCATCTTGTTGAGAACCTCTTCGTCCTCAATAGCAGCCAGTTTTTCACTGGTCACAGATGCTGATCCGACATCAGTTTTCGACTCCATGTTTCTAGTCGAGGGAGCAAAGGAACATGTGATATTCGCGTTGGAATTGACATTTTTCTGAATTATTTACATTATTTAGCCCAAACAGACCAGATTCTTTTGGTTATTTACACAAAGCAAAGTTGTGTGAGTCTAAAGAGACACAAAGTGAGCTGCCGTCTCTCTCAAGCAGTGTGTCTCAGCCACTAGCGGAGACGCACAACAGAACACGTACAAATATAGTAATGGAGTGGAACGGGACCGTTCCTAAAAGGATCTGATAATAGCGTAGAACACACGGCTAAAAAGCAGCCACACTCAGGCCTAATGGCACAAAATAGAAAGAATTAAATGAAAACACACCTTGATAATGTTGGAATGTGTCACCTGTTCCTCAGGATGCAAACCCGTGTGCCTGCAGGAGGACGGGGACCTTCTTATGAGCCCGTTCTGGAGAGAGCCCCGGCTCTGACCTCACACCTCACACACCGCAGCGCTTCGCGAGGATACGAGTCCGGAGAGCAAGTGGAGGTTGCATGCGCAACCCATCCAGGATGGGAAGGAGGAGGAGGTGGAGGAGGAGGAGGAGGAGAAGTCTCCGTCACCCTCAGGAGAGGTTCTCCTCCTCCTGTCACAGATCCCTGGGTCACGTGAGGTGAAGCCTCGTGGCACCAAACTGTCGCGGCTAAAAGCACAATACTGCACTTGGCAACACTCGATTTGGAGGGAGAAGCAGGAGACTCTTTTGGCTGGGAGACAAAGAGTTAAGTAGCGGGGGGGGAGAGAAGTGAGGAGCACTGCCTTATTCAGGCACAAGGCTGAACGGTGTTTACAGAAGTAGAGGAATCTTCACCAGCGAGAACAGAAAGCGCAGAGAGAGAGAGAAAGGAATCTAGACGAAAACACCAATAGCAAAATACACTTCAGCTTCAACAGAGATTGTTTAGGGTTTAATAGTTCAGGCCGATGTAGGAGACGGTAGACAAACTGCGCCCCCGGGTGGTGAAGACGCGCCACTACTTCAAAATGGCCTCAACCCACGGTGACGTGAGGAACGAGGCCTGACCTGCTGATGGAGGAGCACCGCTCACTCCAGCAGTGGGTTCGACAGACAAATAAGCAACAATGTCAACAATTGAATGCATTTCTTTTTACGAAGAAATAATATTAAACATTTAACTAGTTCAAGCCTTACAACGTTTAGATATTTTCCAAAATATATTTTCTAAACAGAACTCTAGAAGTTTAGCGGTGTAATTTTGATGGAATCTTTAGTACTTTGAAAATCTACAGATTTATCGATAATGAAAATAAACTTATGCAGCTTACGGAGACTTTCCCATTTGGTTTTCACCATCACAACATGCTACTAAAATAACTTAACAAGTTAGGAATGAATTACCTAACAAAAGTTATAATATAATAATGTGTTCATCCTGGGGGAGGGATCCCTCCTCTGCTCTCTCTGTGGGTTCTTCTGTGCTCATGAGCAGCTGTTTTGGGGGGTTTGTTCTGTGCTGAATGTGAGGGTCCCGGGACAGAGGAGGTCGCATGTGTTCACATATTAAAACCCTCTAAAGAAAAGTTGTGATTTCGGGCTATAACAAAATGAATTTGAATTGTTGACTTGGTTACTATTGTAATTGTTTATTAATATTTTTATTCAAGCAATTGCAGATCATGTGTACATGAATCACCCATAAGTTTGCCCCCGAAAAGAAGCACCTGCAGTCGCTTTTGGCAAAGTATAAATCAAGAGAAATTGATAAAATGATAAATAAATTCCCTCTTTTCTTATCTACAGTATGTCCAAATAAGGCAAATGTTTCTTCTTTTTTTTTAAAATCAGTATAGTTAAAACCAGCCACATATAACTATAAAATATATTATCATAAAACAACTATTTACACCAAACTAGCTTTGCAACCAACTAAACCAGTATGTACACAGGAAGCCTCTTTCTACCTTTTAAGTGCAACAGTTTCGTTGCTTTTCACCAACTCGGCATTATCCACCAGAACAAGCTGTCAAATCGCTCGCCATCGTTTAAATGAGATACAACTGGGTTCCTATCATTTTCCTAATAATCAACAATGTGTAGTGAAACACGTCGACGTCTGCGGTTTACTGAACACAGACTGAATCATTCGCATGCTGCGGTCAGTCCAATAGTTAATAACAAATGAACACATGGGCAGAAGTTCTATTTAACAGCGGAGGTATTCAATAATGTAAAACGACTGAAGTGATGCGCTGTACATAATCTTAAAACCTGTAATTGAGTTTGTAATATTGAACTGCAACCTAAACCCATTTTCTTTTTGTTCCCTTCCTCACTCTAAAGACTGTGTGCAATGGGGAAAAAAGCATCTTAGGGTCATACGTGATGTTTTGGAGTGTTATTTTATGAATGCACAGTGGAAAAATGATATAAATGGAACGTTAAGTAAAATCTTTCAACGCACAATCCTACATAAAGTTACTCTTCTGGAAAAGTAAAGTGTTTTAAGTTAAATGGAGAAAGAAAAAAAAAAAAAAAGAAAGATGTATGGCTTTGTAGTGACAGCTTGGATGTGAGAAATTATCACATCTGCAACCAGTATTTTGACACAGTTTGACCAAAAGAAAAGCTTTCAGACATTTGGCAAAGGATAAACGATGGAGGGAGTGCACAGTAACGGACGTCCTGGATCATTAAGATGCTTTCAGGAGCAGCGGCATGCAGTCTTCTGCATAATATACACAACTTTTCTCTGAAAAGGAAAGACAGGAGAGAATCGTGTGCCCACTAGTAATACATGTATGCATGTACAAGACACCCTAGGACCAAAAGCTACGGCACAAAAATGCCTGTTGCTGCTACGGTCATTCGGAAAGAAACATTTTCCCCTGCTTAAATCTTTTTGAAAACAGAACAAAAATAATCATCTTGTAGATTGAAATGTCTCCCACAGAAAGGGAACATTAAACAGATGAGACTGGCTGGGATTTAAGAAGCAACCTTAAAGGACATCTTAATCTTCCTTTTCCTCATCTCGTCCACAGGGAGAAGACGGCTATAGTCGAGTGACACTCCTTAGAGAACCCGTGAACCTAATTATCCAGGAAGGCTGCAGTGACGCTCCTGTTGTAGAAGTTTGAAATAATTGGACTAATTCTTCAGAGAGTCGTCTGAGAACAAAATCCAAGCCTTTAAAAATGCACTTCAGTCGAGGAAAAGAAGCATCTCTTCTTCCGCCTCCAAATAAATGTTTTACTCTATTTAAGTTTCCTGGTTCAATGCCAACAAAAACAAAAGAAGCTGCCCAAAACCCGGTGCCCTAGCACGACAGGGCCGGGTGAATGTCACGTAACACTACCGTTAATAAATATAGTTTTATGCAAATTGTGCCCGTTCAGATTTGAGGCTTCCTGCAGCCCGCGGTGTCCATGACACGTCGATCAATCAGGACATCTTCACAGTGTAGTACGAGTGACAGTGCCAATACAGTTCAGAGTGTGCTTGTGCGTGCATATACACCACTAAAGGCCAAGTATGAGGGATCTACAGATGAAGGAGAGAACGTGTCCATCCGTGTGACAGAAGAAGGCTACTTCTTCTTTTTCTTCTTCTCTGTGTGAGTCGAGGAGAAATGAACCGGCACAGTGAGGAAGTTAAAAGATAGTAAAACAAAAATAAATTAAGAAAAAGGATCCATCGCATCATCATTCGTCTCTTCAGTCCGCCTCGTCGTCCGGCTTCTCGTCCGCTCTCCGCTGACGCCGACGCGTCGGCTCAGGAGCGCCGGCTTCGCCCGAGTCCTCCCCGCCCGCGGTGGGGAAGTCCCCCCCTCCGGGCTTCCCGCCTCTGGCCCGGCGCGCGTCCACGAAGCTGACGATGAACTCCGAGTTCTGGTACATGAGCATGCCGGACAGCGTCAGCGCGGCGCCGGCGCAGCTCAGGGCCGACAGCTCGCTGCCGAAGAGCAGCTGGGACAGCAGCAGGTTTCCCACCACGCTCAGGTTGCCCAGGATGTGCAGGGTGACGGCCGAGGTCAGCGTGATGACGCAGCAGCTGGCCAGGTTGTACATGACGGAGCCCAGGCAGCTGAGCAGGATAAAGAGCCACAGGCGGCGGTCGTAGTGGAGCGGCGACTCCAGCAGGGCCCAGTTCTCCAGGGCCAGGGCGGCCACGGCCAAGATGCAGAAGCTAGGAATGGACATCAGGTAGAGCAGGAACACGGAGTCAATTTTCTCCTCCTGAAGCAGAATGCCTGAGAGCAGAGGGCGCCACGTGACCGTTACGAAAGGGGGAAAAGATACGTGGCAGAAAGAAAAAATAAAAGTTTTCCTTTTTAGAAGACCCCCCCCCCCCCCCGTTTTGGCCGCCAGGAGGCCCGATTCCACTCGAATACTTGGAGAACATGGGCAGTGTGAAACTGTTCAGGTGTCTTAAACAGTTCCTGTTATTTATTTATCTTTGTCCAAATAAGAAAAACAGACTCGATGCTACTCACTGATTCTAAAAGTACAATGAGCCCTGGAGCTATGACAGAAAATCATGCAAAACTCTCCAGTGGACTCTGGAGAACGACATTTGCCTTTATGTCTCTTGTGTGAGCAGCTGCAAAACCTTTCAATGGAACTAAAATGCGTTGAGTCTGCGCAGGTGACCAAAGCATGTGCACCACGGACAGCGTGTCCAAGACAATTTGACTTATAAGGGAAAGTGTTACAACAACAAGTTAAAGAGGATGAAAATAGCCCGTTGAAACGCGAGACAACATTGCCCAGCTGGTTCGGCCCCTGTGGATGGACTCAAATGTTTGGTCATGATTAAAAATAAAAAGGGATAAGCAGCAGCGTGGACCTGCCGGACCGCGTTAACCGAATTCTGCTCCAAATGTAAAAGCATGACCAAGCCCCCCCACCCCTCCCTGCCTTCCCCCACCATGTACCAAGTCTAGGGCGTTAAATCCTTCTGACCAAAACAGATACTCTGTTTAAGTGTTAAGTAAAAATGTAATACAGGGCCTATTTATATATTTAGACTCTCATCCCCCCCCTCCCTGACAACTATGTTGTGGAGGCTACAATGACATTATAGAACCTAATCCTCTGAACACCGAGACCAAGAAAATTCCTTCCCTGAGAGCACAGAACATTTGATAATGAGTACGAGAACATATGAAACGTGTGTCCAGGCACGACTCAGCACACGTGATATCAACTCAAGAGAGGAATCCGTCTCCTTCCCCCGGGGCGTGTTCAATTAAAATATGGACATATACAATCTCACAGCGTTGCAACAGGAGAATCCCCGTTATTCATTTAATACAAGTGAGTCAAGAAATATTAAAACCGTTGCCCGAATGCGTGTTTGTTTATTGATGCTACGAATCGCATTTTTTATTGTTATAACAAAGCCAATTTTCTTATTATGTTCAAATGCACTTTCTGCCTTTCTGTCTTGGAAGAGTTTAAATAGTCTGATCAGAAAAGAGAGAACATTGATGGCAAATAGGAAGAAGTTACTAAACTTACTTCGTCAAATTTAAGTTCTATCAGATAAACCGCTCTGATAAATTTCTGCCCGTCTTTGAAAAAGCAACCAGGTCCAGGTCTCCAGGATGGAAAACCCTGCTCATTCACCATCAATGTTTGTATCAAGTTCCCTAAGAAACCAGAAAATAGGCCGCTGTGACGTTCCACCTTGATGAGTGGGCGTTACCGGACTGAGGAGTGAATCATCTGTGGCGTACTGGCGAGTGACGGGGTGAAATTCCCGTTAAGAAAAAAAAAAAAAAAAGGATCATCAACTTTTGGAGGAAAAGTTTCAACAGCAACGACAAAACCCAACGTCAACAGTCTGAGGCAAAAATGTCACTTACTCTGCTGGATGGACTTGACGCCCCTCAACATGGTCGCCGCGAACACAAAGATGCAGCCGGCCTGATCATACTGGACTTCTCCCATGATGCTGAAGGAGGCCCCGAGGCAGATGGGCATCATGGCCGTGTACTTGAGGATGTGATGCTGCTTGCCCAGGATCAGCGTGGAGATGGCCAAGGTGAAGAGCGGCGTGGTGGTGTAGATCATTTGCGCGAAGGACAGCTGGACGTGGTTCAGGCCCATGTTTCCGAAAGCAATGCTGGCGCAGAACGTCAGGCTCAACAAGAACACCTTGCACTTGGCGCTGGGCGTTAGGTCCTGGTCGGCGGCCCCTTTGTGGCGGATCACCTGCAGCTTGATCAGCCCGTAGTCCACCACGATGGCGGTCAGCATGTGCAGCGCTGACAGCAGCAGAGGGTACCTGAAGTTGTACACGGCGAATATCCATTTGTTGAGGCTGGAGATGGTGGTTCCCGTCACCAGCCACACCACGACAGCGGACAGCAGATGGAGCATCTCCGCAGGGGGCCTCCTGCTGCTGCTCCGTCTCTCCTGCAGAGTTGCCTCGCATTTTGAGAAGCCATCGGCCCTGATCATGTTCGTATCATTGTCCTCTCTGTAAAGAAGGAAAAGGACATATGCTGGACCGGGGACAGAAAAGGGAGAGAAATGAGGAGAGGGGAGGAGGGATGCAGGGAAATCGGTAAAGTAAACATGGTGATGATGACTTACCTGGGAGCTGAATCCCCTAAATAGAGAGTTACGTTTTTAACCTCCGTGCTGACTTTAAATATTATTTAATTGTGGCGAAACCCCGACGAGCCCGCCGTGTTGTTCCCAAACCACGAACTCGCTTGTCTTGCAGCGTTCGCGAAGGTAAACACAAGAGCTCAATTCCAGTTCCTTTGGTTTAATAGGAATCAAACAAAAATAAAAACCCGTCTGGTGGCTTAAGGTCGCTGCCCTGTGGCCTGGACCGTAGCCGCTGTACCCCGTTTTAACAGGGTCGCCTTTTCAACCGTAACACCGGTCAGCTGATCGCCCCTCTGCCCGCAGCCCGTCATGCTAACACTAGTTAGCGCGCTACTAAGCTAACGTTGCGTTTGTTATCTAACCCTTTACGTCCGTAACGTGGACGTTACTCACATCGCAACAGAGGGGGAGGCAGCGTTCTTTCTCGGGGATGAGTGTTCGCCACCACGTTTACCTTGTTCTCCGACGTGTACCCAGACGACGCTGGAAGCATCTCCAGCTCTGAAGAAACGAGTCTCATCCCCTCGGTCTTCTGTCACTGTGCTGTCAGGCGAGTGGAGGCGACGCACGAGCCTCGGTGTCATTGGACGGTTCATTTAAAGGGCAATGCCCCCTTTTGTGTGCATGAATGTAACCCCCCCCCCCTCTCTCTCTCTCTCTCTCTCTCGTGCGACGACGTCATGTTTAAAACGCGAATAACTAAAAGATACACACGTTAGACATGAAGCTATTATGATAAACTGTCACCACTTTATACAACTCAGTGGTCCTACACAGATTTCTAACTATGTAAATGACACCTTTTTTTCCTAATTGAGGTTGTGTTTTTAGCATCATATATCAGGATGCATGATACACGTGACTCAAAACATCCACCAAAAGAATTGTTATATGGGTTGTGCTTGAATAAATTGAACAAAAGAAAAAATATAAAGTCAACGACGAAACGAGTCTGTTTCACCCAATGTTTTTGACTTTGTTACGTACTATCATGAGTTCAAGTTTATACAAGGTTTAAATATCACCAATTCTATTAGCATATCTTAACATTGAATAAGCACTTTCTATTATTTCTATTTATGGTCAGATGAGGCACAACGGTTAAGATAAATATATATTGTTGACCCTTGAGGCGCTGCGACAGACACTGCCTTGCTGGGGGTCTGTATCAACTGTCCCTGTGATTTAGAAGACAACATCCGTTTGACAGTAAATAACAGCAGGTGTCAGCTTGTCAGTTATGTTTTTATTTGAGCTCAAAAATCTGATATTTAGGGGCTCATTGGGCACAGAAGGTGAGTTCACATCGTGTTTCAGAAAGTGTCTACAAACTACGAGCTGGGTGAAGAGGCTTTCCACTACAGAAGTGCTTAAGCACTCTAAAACCATGCATAGCTATGTGTTGCCATGGAAACCTTTAGGATTATGTTGCATGTATCATTACCTGCAGTGGAACATTACATTGTGCTTTACTTAGACAATACCTTATCTGCATCATCAATGTCATATTCATAACTTCATTCCCCTAACATCTCACTAACAGGTATACAATCTCGACTCCATTTAACCTTATACACACACACACACACACACACACACATAGTTTGAGTACTGCCCACAAAGTGAATGTTCAAGTAATGTGAAACAATAATTTCTTACATTAGGCAATTCTATTTCTAACATAGTCTCGCAATATACAGGCCGACAGCAGCCAGGCAATTCTACATGTGGCTCTTGCTCTATTATAATACACAACAAGCTTAAAACTATATAGAAGTAGGTTGATATCTGTTTTGTATGTCAATTTACTCTTAATGTACACACAAGCACACACACCAGAATATGTCTTCTTTTCAATTACTTTTCTGGTCCTCGATTGATGTGTATGGATGATATTTCCTTTTCTTAACATAATTATCATTTAGCTAATGGAATTTTGTCACCAAAACATTTTCTACCTAAAAAAGTATTTTCTTCTCAAGTGACATTGTGTGCAATTTAATTATTGCTGACATATTCAAATAAAGCAATTCTTTAACACAGCGAAACACCTTCGCTGCTATTCATCAAGATGATGAGCCCTGATCGTTTGAATACAATTGGAATAGAATAAAAACGACTCTTGCTGTAGTACATCACCCAGGCTAAGCAGACTTGTACTTGAGTGGTACTGCAGTGATCTCCTGTTCCATCAAGTGTGGGAGACTTATGAGGGACAAATTTAAAAGACAGTGGTCAAAACAGATACAGCAGAGGTCAAGACGTCCTCACTTTTAGTCCTTGGTAATGAGTAAAGCTCCAAAAGTAAAAAAAAAAGATACTACATTTCCCATAATACAAGTCAGTAATGTCCCCAGTAAGACCCTCCAAGCTTGCTTGACGTTCCAAACTCCAGTTGAGATTAGTGCTTTTCTCTTAACTCCAGCAGTTAAGAGAAACTAGTCTTCACACTAGTAAATAGTGGAGTGCTCCTTTAATGCAAACAATTTCAAGATCCTGCGAAGGCAGACTGGACAAATGCTCAGTCCTTCAAGATTTACAGTTTGGGCAACAGTAAAAAAAATAGGGGGTGGGGGTGAGGGGAGGGGGGGGGCTGTTGAGTAAATGAACTTCTGCTGTCAAAAAGTCTTTACGTGCAGAAGGATGCGTCGTCCCGCCACAGTCTTTCCAAAGCCGGGTGTGTCTCTCTCCGCTTTGAGGAGAACATTCCGTGCTTGTACCACAGCACTCCTCACCCCGAGTCATCCCCCGTACACACCCAATGCAATGTGTGTTCGTATTGCTTTCTACGAAGCCTAGAAAGTCAATGATTCAGGTACACACACACACACACACACACACACAGAAGAACTCAATGTGCTCCCTTGAATCGGTCTTTTGGTGGTGCTGAATAAGCAGTCACACGGCGCACACGTAAAATGAGGCCATGCGTTCTGAATAGAGGAGCTAGAGCAGAGCAGAAGAGAGTAGATGATTACCGGGGAGCTTGTTTTGTGTCACACACACACACACACACGCACACAATCGTGACTACATGGCACAGAGTATCCTTACATTAGGAGGAATGTTTGATGGTGGTGGATGGTTGGGAGGTTTTCCCTAGAAGATCTCGGGGCATTGGCTCCAGTCCTGTGTTTCTTTGGCCTCCCAGTAGCCACCCCGGTAGACGTATGTACTTTCTCCCGTGGTGTCATCTGCCCTCTTCTCAAACCACAGTGGCCGGTAACTCTCGATGTCTTGCCCTGGTGACACAGAGGCCTGTTTTCTTGAGGCATGACTCGAATGTATCCTTTTTTCCATTTTATCACACTCTTTACGCTACTTTATTTTCAACTATTGTGCTCTACTGGCCTAATCTCTAACTTTTAAAACATTTATTACTCTACTTTAAATAACACAGCTTGTGGCTGACACAAAAATGTTTTCACGGTCTGTTCAGCTCAATGAAAGTCAAGAGTGTTTTTTTTTTAAACAGATTGGATACATAATAAATTCTACTTCAAGAGAAGTAGCAGAAGTAGCAGATTGCTCAATCTCAGTGCGTACAATCTGGAGGTTTCAAATGTGTCTTTCTTTCCTTTTTATCTGTTAAAAACTCAGATTTAAGACAAGCCAAACTGCCCATACAGCATTCTGCACATAAGCACAACATATTTGAGTGAATGGGGGGGGTGGTCATTAACCCTTGGCCCCCCCCCTGTCCTTGTACTCACCTTCCTCCAAGGCCTGACTAGCTTGCGCCTCCCTTTTCTTCCTCTCCAGCCTCTGACACTCCTCCAGACGCTGCTTGTGGGTGTTCGCCTCGTCCCACACGCCCGCCTCCATCAGCCGCTGGTCCGGCCGCAGGCGGCTGTCGGTGGGCGCGATGCCGTCCTCCTGCTCGTTGAGAGTCAGAGCCAAGGAGGAGAAATAGTGCATGTTTTCTGCATTATCTCTGAAGAGAGACAGAAAGGAGAAATCTTAAAGAAGGCGCGGCGGGTGTTAGGGGGTTAGGGTTAATGAATCAATGTGTTAGACGGCGTCCACGCACGGAAGAGGGTACTTCTTCCACAACAGTTTGGGCTGAAGAGTCTGATAAACCGTCTTTTGTTTGCCCTCGGAGCCTCCGCATCCTTGGCTGCTGTCCACTATCTTGGCACTCTCCATCTTGTCGTCCCAGGTCCCCGACAGAATGTAATGGGCTGTGCCGTCTCTGTCCTCGATCACTCCGGTCACCTGGAGAGTGGACGACACGCGGGAGGAGATCAGTTACACGGAGGCGCCGACTGCTCTCAGCTCGGGAACCTCTTCCCTCTTTATTTTCAAATTCTAATTGACCTTTTGAAGACGTTTGAACCGTGAAGTAATTAGACAACATGAAATAGAAGATATGATATAAGCCATTTTCCTGCTTCTCAGTTATTGGCAATTGTGTGAGAGATATTCTGACACAAACATGCTTCAGGAAGAGATCTGTTAAAGATGACGCACTGATTATCACCGAGGATACAAGGTTTGTTGAACATATAAAGAACCAATATCACGCTGGCAGTGTAAAACTGTGTGACATAAAATGAAGTCTGAATGAAGCCGATGTGCCATCTGAAACGGTCTTTCTACACAACAGACTTACTTTACGGGGGACGTCTCTGGAGAAGTAGCTGTAGGGGCAGAATTTGAGACGGCAGGTGTCCTTGGTAGTGTTGTTGACGATGTCAATGTCCCCAGACTGCAAATAGCGAGAACAACAGATGTGACTGAAAGGCGTACAAATCTACTCATTAGTGGCCCAATTAGTTTTATTGAATTTCTGCCCATGTGTTTTTCTGAACAGTAACTCCTCGGTGTCCTAGATGAAGGCCTCCAGTTCAGAAAGTTTTCCCTTTCCCTCACAAAACATGTTGTGGTTTTGACGGTTAAAAGAGCAGCGCACCTGATCAATCCACAGCTTCCCCACGATAATGTTGTGCACCGTTGAAGTGACTTTGCTCCACACGTAATGGTTTCCGCTCGCGTGGAACACCAGGTGAATGTTTCCTACAGCGAAAAAGACAAGCGAACAATAAAATCAGAGTTTGAACACAGTTCACTATTTGTGTTCTCACAGATACGTTGTGTTCATTTACAATTCAAATATGAGGAGGAACTTCTGAGACTCTGCACCGCATCAATTTATCTGACACTCACCCAATGGCACGACCGAGATATATTTCCCTCTAAACTTGCTGTCGATAGTGATGTGCTGCCACAGGGTCCAACCTCGCTGTGACGTCACGTGGTGGGCCGCAGCCGGTGGGTGGTGACTGACCTGGTGGTGAATGGGGGATCAGCTGGTGTGAGCAGAGGCAACGTGGACGTCCTTCACACCCGCGAGGCAGAGCGCCGGCCTCACCTGCTCAGAGATGGAGCGATAACCGTACTCCTCCAGTCGGTCCAGCTCGTAAGTCTCCCCCAGCAGCGGGTTGAAGGGCTTGGCCGTGCGGTGGACCGTAGTGGAGTAGGAGGAGACGGAGAAGGCCGCCACCAGACACATTTGCTCCAGGGAGGAGTGACAGCGAGACGCCCGGTCCAGAAGCTCGCTGTACTCCAGATCCTCCGTCAGGCGCTGCAGCATCGACAGCGGCTCGTTGAAGTTCACCTGGAAAAAGAAGGGTCCTCGTAACTCCAGTTGAAAACACTATGTTTCAGACGATTTGTTTTGCTTTTTTCATCCATCTACCGGCATGGGTATCTTGGACAGGTCTTTGCCAATGCAGTTCTTCATGATGCTCCACAGGTTCAGGGAGTAGTTCGGCTTGTCGGGAATGCGGCTGCGCCTTGTTCTCCGTAGCTGCATGTGGTTTGTGCCCGACGTGTCCTGAAGAAGAACATGTGACAACATTTTTACTGAGACCATTTGATGCAAGTGCGTATAGAAACAACTTATCACGCTCGGGACCTACATTCTCATTGTGAGTCCAGTCATTGGACATTCCTCCGCTCATCATACTCTGATTACTCCCCGAGCGCCTGAGAGAAAGTGGCATCATTTAAACACAGTTGACTGGAACGGTGCAATGTTTTTTTTGTATAGAGAGGAGGACGTCTCACTTGTGCTGTATGGCGCCGCTAGCAGTCACAGTTATGAATGCAGGAGAGTCCTCCATCGCATCGAAGAACTCTGCCTCGTCATTCTCATCACTCGCGTCCCCCTCCTGAGACCGCTCCACTCCTACGGCAACCAACACAGGACATTTATCTGAATGTTTAAAATAAACACATCAGCAGTATATTACTGCTTTACAAGAGGTGGGGAGGAGGCACCCTATTAAAATACAATTGAACTATAAAAAATCGAAGTTGATGATGATTCTGTAATTGTTTGCAAAGAATCCAACAGCAGTTATTTGACCAATTTATAAATCTGTTAATCAACAAAAATAATAAATATATCAGTGACCACAAAGTCACTTGTGAATCGGTCATGTTACCGTGATTAACAGTTAATGCAAATTTGTTTTAGTTATCTAATTTAGGTTTAAGAACGTTAAATCACGAATTTCTATAATTTGTCCCAAACAAAATAACAAAGAGTGAAAAACAGTTGTCACAAGACGAACCTCAACCACCCTAAGCAGAAAACATAAAATAAAAATATTTGCTTAAATGACCACAAATGACAATCTGAATAAAACAAAAATCACACTTTTCACTATCCTCAGAAATTAAACATTTGTTTTTTACTTCCATGTATATATATATAAAGACACAACAGATCAACATATTAGTGATGCATCACACATGCATCGCTACTGCTGGCCAGAAGAGGGCCGTACTGTTGTTGTGTGAGACTACTCTGCCTCTCGCACTGGAGACAGTGCGAGTAGTCTCACCTGTGTATGAAGTGGGATTCTCTCCCCCCCGCGCGTCTCACCTGTGTATGAAGTGGGATTCTCTCCCCCCGCGCGTCTCACCTGTGTACGAAGTGGGATTCTCTCCCCCCGCGCGTCTCACCTGTGTACGAAGTGGGATTCTCTCCCCCCGCGCGTCTCACCTGTGTATGAAGTGGGGTTCTCCCTCCACGCTCGCTCTAAGTTGTTGTGCTGTTTGGCCAACTGCTCGATGGTCTCCTCCAGATGGTGACGCTGCTCCCTCTCATACTGCAGGGTCTTTTGCCACTTTCGGCCGTGAGATTCTGCTACATCGAGAAAGTCACGACAAGCCTGAAGTGTGAACACAACGCACAGCTCAATAAGCGGGCAGAGACCCCGAGCCGCGTCCCCTTCGTTAAAAGGCACGACCGATCGGGTCCTTGCGGCGCACTCACATTGATCATAGCATTGGAGGTGATTCGGAAGAGGGTCGCTCGCTCATTAACGGCTTTGACTCGGTCTGTGCCGTCGGCGGATCCGCGCAGTTCCTCGAGTTCGCTGAGGGAGCGCTGGAGGGCGGCGCCGTGCTTTCCTATCAGCTCATTGCAGGTGCTCAGGTCGTCTAGCTTGCTGGCCAGAGTCTTGAGCACCCCTTGGGTCAGGGCTCGGTCCTCCTGAGGTATGGGCCCTTCATCTCCCGAGTCGTCTTCGCACGCAGGAAAACAAAAACAACAATGTCATGCTTTCATAGCAAAGATGACGGGAATCAGTAGACGTTATGTGTCTAACGAAGAGATTGGGTGTTTACGGTGGTATATTTGTATAGTATAAACAGTACATCAGAAAATACATCTATTTAAATACTTAATGATTGTGAGGAACGGATGGAGGGAGATAACTAGACTTCACACCCCGATGTCCCCCACACCTCTTCCTCCACGAGATGGGAAAGCTGTGAATGAACACCGTTGCCCTGGAAACATAAGCCCCTGCAATCAGGAGGCTCGGCTATTTTTAGAAGAAACGGGAGAACAAACGATGACGCACTTCCCCTTCCCTCCTCTCTCCCTCTCTATATGTATATCTCTCTCCCTCTATTTATCTCTCTCTCTCTACCTCTCTTTAGCATGAGCTGAGCCATTTACTGTACTCAGGATTTTAACAAGTCCTTTATGTCTTTAAAGGTCTTGTCCTGAGTACAGTAAATTACTTAATAGTGATTTAGCCTTAATCAAGTCTACAGATAGATAGATAGTATAAATATGAACTGAGGCTGTGAACCGTGCTTGTAATAATGGACCTGAGAAAGAGGAGGTGGGATAAAGAGGCTAAAAAAAGAGTGCTGTGTTCTAATTAAAGCCTCTCAATGAAAAAATACATTGTTTAAAAGATTTGAGACACCTGCAAAGTTGTAGTTAATTATAGTTAGTACAACTTTAGGTGATGGCTGGTTGCTCTAGGCAGTTATAAATGTCAACAGGAGTAAATATATCTTTAATATGCAAACAACTGCCTCTGTCACATGTAAATAGAACCTTTCTAGGTCACTTCTCGTCTGTTAAAAGAAACAGATTGTGCGTAATCTGAAAATTCCCGAGCACGTTGTCTGAATCTAGGCCAGAGTCTGCAGAGACAGTGATTACCAAAACCAGGAGACAAACTACTAGTACTCTGTTAGAGAGGTGGAAGAAATAAAAACAAGCAGGGGCAGACTGGAATGAACAACTCTCAGTAGGACGGGATTGAAAACGAGAGGGTGAAAGAAAAATCCTTCAGGCATCTGTAATGATCCATTTGAGTGAAGAATGTAGAGGTGCAGCTCTTCTTACAGCCATGAAACCCATCCAGGGAATCATGACATGAGGCCGAGGCTGACTGGTCTGAGTACTGATGGGTTTGTCTTTCAGGCAGGACACTGAGACAAGTAGGTGATTCATCGCTGAATCATGACATCACACACCCACAGGTGATAATGTGGACACAGTGTAGGAAGAGAGAATGTGTGTTAATAATCAGAGGAAGTATTGGGAGCCTCTGAAATATAGATGAAGCCATCAAAGTCTGACTGTAACATGCTGAAAGCTTGCTGTAGAACAACCTGAGTGACACTATTTACCCCTCGAGGGCAGATGTTTGGATTCACACTTTCACCCTGGTGGTCCCAGAGGTTTGAATTTTATATCACAACATACCTTTATACGTATAAATAGGATGCTGATGTAGTGGTGATGTCTTTTTACAAGCGAGGGGCCAAATAACTTCTGTAATAGCCACTTAATTACTGCTGTTCAAACCCATTCCAGCCAATTCATTTGCACCGCTGTTATTGCTACTCGACCCGTAAACAAAGGCTTCTGCACTAATAGTCTTTAATCACATCATCACACACCAAAACACACCAGGATCTTTGTGAGTGCTCACACACGCATCAAAACACACTGGTTATTCTGCCTGGAAATATGTGAACCAGCCATAAAGCATAACCTGTGTTTGTTCACTGACTGGTATGTTAGAATAGTGGAATATTGGCATACACGGCCGTGGTCCGATTATTAATAAATGATGAAAGCAAATAGTTGCCAAAAATCAAGACAAAACAGTAACAGCGGAAAATCCCAGAAAGTTAGACTGTGAAACAATATTAGTAGTGTTTTTTGCTGTAATCACTCCTAATGAGGCCGGTATAGTCCAGGTCCATTGTTTAACAAGATACAGCGTGAACACCTCACATGTCAGTCATGGTCTCCACATGCTAATGTGGCCAGACAAACAGAAGACATCACTTACGGTTACTTACATTGTTACTTGCAGGGTGCATGAAGACACACCCCTCTCCTGAGAAAAATCACACATAAATAGTGCTCTGTTGTTCTGCAGTGACATTGAAAATGACGCTGCCATTTTGTAAACTTTAAGGCGAATCTGTCCTGAGAGAAATATCCAAACTGCTTATTTACACACTAAGAAAATACAGCCAAACTCATTAAAGTCCATAAACGCTCACTGTATCAGTTACAAACTACACATGCAAGCTCGTAGCTTCTACACCAAATAGTATTCTGCCTCCCACTAGAATAATTAAAAGGTTACTTACAAGGTGACTCTCATTGAAAATGCTACACTCCCCTTCCCTCCTCTCCCTATTGTCCACAGCACATGGTGAAAAATATTTTCAATGAAAATCCTCACACCCTCTATTTTCTTTCCCCTCCTGCTAGCAGAACAGGAGGAGGAGCCTAAAGGAAGGTCATTTCATTGAGCTCTCGCTGTCGTCATACAGGGAAGGGGAGAAGAGACGAGTGGGAGGGAGGTGGTGGCTGCATGGGATGGGGAGAAATCCACTGCACATCATCTTCTTTTTTAACATATAACGGCTAGACAACCGCAGGACGATGTCAATAATGTACAGATATATGATACTATGTTGTGCAATGGTGTCTGGAGGTAAATAGAGAATATCGCAAGGTAACGTGATAATAAAATGACGTGATTAAATGCAGATGAATACCATAGACTTTATGTAAGAAGGTTGGAACCAGCTGACTGTGAACACATGGAACCACTTCGCCCTCTTGTGGCCTGTTGTTTACATAACAAATAATTAAAATAAGCGTTTAGGTCTTGTTGTGCGAGTCTGCATTAAGGTTATAGCTAAACTGGTTTGCCTACGTTAGACTTTCACTGGTGAACTATGTTGTTTAGTACCAATACATATGTGGGATATTCCTTCTTTAAAGGAATAAAAAACAAAAAGATCACATTATTTCTTTGCATCTGAGTGTGTGTGAACATTTACTACATAATAGTAGAGCTGGACACCGGTTAACAATTAAATCAAACCCATGGGTCACGCAACACAGAATATAAGGTATCCATCTAACCCAGGGGTGTCAAACTCATTTTAGGTTTGGGCCAGATACTGCGCACTTTGATCTCAAGGGGGCCAGACCATTAAAAATCATAGGGGGGGAGGGTTGGCGTCGATGGTCCAATCCAACTCTTGGCGATCTACCCCCCCTCCCGCTCCGGCAGTTCGCCCGAATAATAATAACTATGAGCATTAGCGGTGTATACCGGGAGCGCAAAACGAATCGATATTTTTTTTTAAACACAACGAGCCTCTCGTCTGTCGGAAGCGATTGCGCATGATGGTCAGGTGACCTTACGTTTTTTTTTTCAATGGCAGATGATCTACCAGCTCTGCGTTGGTGAACGACCGTGTCCCCCTGGTCTACGCATGCGCTAACTCACAGAGCGTGACCCCCCCAGTGGGCTTTTTAGTAATAGCAGCTACTTTTATAGAAATTCAATTTATGTGTTTCTGTAATTCTTACAATAGCAAAGTCATCCGGCGGGCCGCACTGGACCCCCCGCGGGCCTTGTGTTTCACACCTGTGACCTAACCTGAGTGGTGCATCAGCAGAGTGGAATTGGCCCGAGCTTGCTGCAGGGCAGAGACCCATCGCTGACACTCTCCCTCAGAGGTGGCCTTCAGGTGGTAGCTTCGGCCTCCGCTGGTTAACACCAGGTGACAGGTGTCACCCACCTCGATGTGTGCCGTTGCCAAGGGAATGGTGCCACGGCAGGTGTGAGCCATCTCCGCCTGAGTCCTGAAGGAGGCCAACGAAACAGCAAAATGGGGCCAGTTCAGTTTTTTTTTTTATAGATTTCAATTTAGTGTACTGTTTTACTGGAATAGGCGAGCGTCAAACATGAAGACTTTTCTCTGCAGTCATGCTTTGGACAGAGCGTTGCCTGAAGAGGCTTTAGAATGCTTAACACAATGATCTTTAGTCTTACGTGATTATGCCTCATTCATAAACATTCCATTCATTACTATAGTGAAAGCTCTTACACTGTGTATTCCAATTATGTTTATATGTCGTTTATATGACACCTTAAATACAAAACAGACAATGCAAAGCATTTTAGTTGAAAAAGAATTGATACACAGAGCTTAGGGTTATTAGGATAATAAAATATAAAATTCAGTTCATGAACTTACACCTATTGAATATTTGTTAAATAACAATTTTAAAAGGATTCCAATATTAAATTTATTTACAAAAATTCTCACGTAGCCCCATTTGAGAACCACTGGATTAGAATATGTAACGTTAGTTTGTGTGTGTGTCGTTTGACTTATTCCAACAAATAAAACTCAAGTTCAACTAACATTATCAAACGAATTGATGACATAATTATTATGAATTATTATTCACCACTCGTTTTTAATTTTATAGCTAAAATATGTGCAGTTGCTTTGACGGCATCGTTCATGGCAATCCCTCCTTTAAAAAGTTTCAAAATTCCCCCTGGCAACTAATCCATTTTTTATTTATTTTTTTACTCTAAAACTTCTGTGTAAATATTTAAGGAACAAATATAACCGAGGCGCCCGGTGCGGGACGCGTTACCTGTAGTAGGACAGCAGGCCATTGCTGAGGACGAACCAGCGCCGCTGGTAACCCTTCAGGTAGTTGGTCCATTTATAGAGCCAGCCTTTGTAGTTACCGGTGTTCAAACACGGCAGCTGGAGCCCCGGTAAAGTCGGGGAGGGCAAAGTCCTCACCAGCTCGTTCATTTGCTCCTCTCGGGTCCGGCTCAGTTACCCCCCTCTTCCTCCTCCGCCTCCTCCTCCTCTTGCAGGAATGGATGGAGTCGGTGACGCCTGTCAACAGCTGTGCGGCTAGCTAAGCTAAAGCTGCGGCTAGCTAAGCTAAAGCTATAGCTAGCTTGTAGCTGTGCGGCTGGCTAACCTAAAGCTATAGCTAGCTTGTAGCTGTGCGGCTAGCTAAGCTACAGCTAAAGCTGCGGCTAGCTTGTAGCTGTTCGGTTAACTAACGTTAGCTAAGCTAGCTTGCAGCTGTTCGGGGAAGCTATGTCAGGGTCGCCCTCTCTTCCCTGAGGTGGTTTTAAAAATACCTACGTGGATGCAAATAACATCAAATAACAACCACATTATTATACATGATACGCTATAACGGACGCGCCTGTAGCATTGTGAATGCGTGGCGTAGTAAAGCCTGTAACGTTTGATGTGTGAGAGAGAGAGATCATGACGTCTTTATCACAGGATTGTAGCATATGGGTGCAGGTTTTTCTTGTTTGTGTGCGCGTATGTGTGTGTGTGTGTGTTTTCACTGCAGTTTCCTACATCATTGCAGAAGAGGAGAGTTGGAGGATGAATGCTGTCTTCGGAAAGAAGGGTGTCACACTCAACGAGTAATAGAACATTAATAGAACATTTATAATGTATTTTTAAAAATGATTTTGTAAAAACTAGACCGTTAAGATGTTTTTATTTTAGTGTTTATAAACTAAGCCACCGAGAGATCATTTTTTTCCAATTGGAACAGCTAGAAAAGTCAGATTTAATAGACTTAATATAACTTTTTTTAAAGACAGCGATTCAGTGATGATAGCCAGATATTTGTAGATTCGACACAAACATTGTGTAATACATGTAATAGGAAGTCTAGTGTGAAATAAGTATACTGCATCTCTGGAAGTCACAAGCACACATATCCAATTTAAAACAACAACTTTTATTTTGTTTTGTGTGATTTTAAGACTCAATAAAACCTTGAATTATGACATTATTTTGAATGTATTTTAAGATATTTTCCCGGACTCTGGAAGTTTATGAATTCACATTCTGGCAAACAGACAGACAGGTAAAAATCAAAAAGGAATCACTACACAGAACACAAATTCCACACTTTCTTGCATTTCTTGGAACCTTTATTGAACACATCAAAAAGGTAAAATATTCAACTCCTATACTAACAATAATTTAAATAAATATCATCATTAATTATCATTAACAAATGCAACATGTAGTATCATCAAATAAAGATTTTTTCTGCAGTATTTTTGTTTTTTTTATCGATTACAGGGTAGATTACGAATAATAAAATGCTATAATAATTAAATAAGCAAACAGCTAACAGTTGAAGATTATTTTCATTTGGCATCATTACAGTCAAGAGTGGAAACCTTTCATTATACAATCATTTTACAAAGTGCTTTGTGACTAAATGCCTCACAAAAAGGGTTGAAATGTTCGTTATTGTTTTGGGGATTTTGATGCCTAGAGGTCTTCTGTCATCTTGTGGAGGAAGATTGTAAAAGACCCAAAGGCATCTCTATATCGTCATCAGAAATAAATCTCTATGGCACTACATCAGGATGCTTCATATGATTTCTGATAGAGTTGGACCTTTACATTGCACTGTATAAGTGAATATTTTAAATACCTTTCGTTGTAAATAATACAAATCCAGTTTACACAGCACAATGCAAATAAAAAACTCACCCAACTGGTGTGGGAAGTAGTTTTGAGCGACATCCGACTTCAGATTGACAGTGTTAACAGAGGACGTAATGTTGAATCTCTGTTTATACACAGGTTTGCTGGGTACAGAAGTAAGGCATCAGCACAGACGCTAGCATTTCAAAAATCGTCATGGTGAAAAAGGTTGCTACAAGAGGCCGTTTCAGTCCATTGTCTCGAAGGTTTGTTGTCGTCATCACAGTGTGAATTGTTCCAGCTTCCAGCACCCTCCCCAGTTCTAAAGTTTGCCTCCACTCGTATGCAGTAACTCAGGGTCCATATCGTTTTAAAGCAAGCCATCTTGTTCAAAAACGGAGGGCAGGAGGGAAAAATCAAAGGGCACAAACTTGACACCGGTCCCGTGGTAGAACTTGTTCTGAAACTCCACCCTGAAAATCAGGCGTTCAAGTGAACGATAGAAAGGTTCAAATTACAAAGACAGTGAAGTGAGTAAAGCATAAAGTTAAAAGGTTAATTTTTAAGCGTGACCTGTCTCATTCTTAATAATTTAACCTTAAAGCCTCGAACATTATATCACTGAACTTAATTGCATTGCAGAGTCGGAGTTAATCCATATAACATAATGATTAAGGCAGAAATGATAAGTGAATAGATGCTTTGGATCAACCAATTGTTTGAGCGATGCTTTAAAGCAGCAATGCTTCAAACGTTCTGCTCAACGCCTGTCATCGATGATCAATACCACACTCCCGAACCAAAGAATGATTTGACCTTTCCGACGCGCCGGTACAGTGTGACTCACCAGTGGAGCCGCAGAGCGTGGAGGAACGCCGACAAGCCCTCCATGACCAGCAGGATGGACACGGTGAGCACGGCGAAGAGGCCGAACACGGGGACCAAAAACACCACCCCGACCCTCGTGGTGACCCTCAGACCCAGACGCATCACCATGCCCCACAGCACCTCTGACAGCTCTGAGAGCAACACACACACACACACACACACACACACACAAGGCCACGTACACAAACAATTGAATGCGCGTCTGAGAAGAAGAAATGTAAAGCAGCCGTCGAGCCGCCACTTACGGGCGTGAGCCAAGCTGAGAGCCCAGAGACGCAGGTAGGACGCCGTGTTGGAGATGCAGCCCAGGCAGTACTCGATGGTGTGAATGGCCTGGTACAGCAGCACGTCCGCAAAGTCAAACTGCAAAACGGGCGCAAGAAGATATCAGATATTATTACCCTTTATTCATAGTGATGAACATGAAGTCCACATAATGTGTCTCCTCTGTGTTAATACAGCAGTCTGGAATTTACAACGCTGGTGATCACGTGATAATCATTGAGCCTTAATTTCTCGCTTACATGTTATCTACTTATTTACAAGCTCTTATTATTATTACTTATTGGCAAACTAAAGTGAAAATCCTCCGCATCTCACAAACGCTTCATGATTTGCCTCGATATGATTCAAAAGACAATTTCAGTCAGGTGGCAAACACCTGAATCTCAGACAGACAGGGTTTTAATGTCAGGTCTTAATCCTCGTGGATCCCTGACCTCTTTGGGAAGAGCTTCTCTGCTCGGCATTTCGTCCAGTGCTTCCTCTTCGTCTTCGTCATCGTCATAGGCCGGCGCTGCGGAGTCGTCCTCACTCACACGCCTCACTCTCTCATAACCCTGCGGTGAGTCAACAAGCGGTGATTTTTATTGCCGAAAAGACAATATCAAATATATTTCCAATATGTCTGATCTCGCATACCCTGCGTCTGCGCAGGCCTTTGCCTCCCCGGTACAACCAGTACAGGTACAGAGGTTTCCCCAACAGCAGCACAGGAACCGACAGCATTGCTATCACAATTAAGAAGATCTGCAGCCCAATCTGTGGAATTGAGCAGAAAAATGCATTAACAAGGTTAAAACACACACACACACACACACACACACACACACACACACACACACACACACACACACACACCCAGAGCGGGTGAGGTTTCGTCAAACACGTACTTGTCCCGGGTAGAGAGGAGTGATGTCCTTCCCCTGCATGACAAACATGTTAATGAAGTGGATTAGGATGCTGGGAGCCGCGCTGGAGTCTCGTACACCAAACGCCAGCCACTTATAGAGGACCATGAAGACCAGGTAGCCAAAGAGGCAGAGCAGGAAGAGCAGCTCAGGGAGGAACTGCAGGTAGACATTACATTTCTGTCGGAAGTGCCTGAAGGGAGAGAACAGAAATAAAGAAAGTGATGAGTGGGGCTTTAATGGTCGGGCCCCTGAGCATTTGATTTAAACAACACAACTTTTAGCAATAACGCGTAAAAGGTGTCCCTTCCTGCTCGTCTTCTCTACTATATGCCTTTCTAGTTCACCTTAACTATTAATATCACTACTATTATGAACCTCCTTTGCATACATGTACAGTAGATGCACGCACACACTTATCTGCACATGCTGATGGACATATGGAACTTCCTTGACATACGATGTCAGGTTAACTTAAATATCGAGCAACTCACAAGTGATTGAAGACACTCAGCACCACTCCAAAGCTCATGTGGATTACCCCGATGATAACCGACATCTTCATCTTGTAGGAGTTGAGGAAGGACAGCCGGTTCACCGCCATGTTCCAGATCTGATATTAAAAAGCATCTGAAGTGAAAAGTGACCTGAAAACCAGTCAATTGCCTTTTGACGTTAACACCTGAGTGCGTTTACTCACAGGATCGATGCCGAAGGGGTACGGCCCCGTGAAAACCCCGCTGACGTTGGGGTCCAACGTCAGCAAAGCATTTGTTTGGAGGGTTTTATTTCTGCGATTAAAAAAAATGGAAAAAAACGATTAAAGTAAAGTAATGTAAAGGTACATAAGCAAATAAAATGTGTGTGAGTGTATTTGACTGCTCACTCACGTCCACTGCTGATTTGTGAACATGGCCTTAACGCTCCACCCGGAGCCAAATATGTTAAGAGACTTGGAGAAGCAGTCATTGTAAATCAGCCCGGTGTAGATAGAAAAAAGCCCCATCATCAGGATGATGTATCGACCGTTGAAGAACGTCACCCATATCTGAGATCAACAGAGACGCGACCGTTAGCCCGAACTAGTTCACACGCCGTTAAGGACGAGAGGAACAACTACAAGGGGCCGACTCATCCCGACCTCGTTGTCGGACCGCTTCCTCTTCTGGGTTTTTTCCGTGAGCACCATCCACAAGGCGAAGAGACTCATTACCGCCCCGTGGCCGAGGTCGCCAAACATCACAGCGAACAGGAAGGGGAACGTGACGATGGTGTAGGGGGCTGCCGACGAGAGACACACACCTTCGATGCAATCTACTCCGACCTTCCCCCCAAAGCCAACGAAAAGGCACTCGGTTCATCCATCTTTGTGCGACGCGGGGGGAGCTCTTACCTGGGCTTACCTCGCGATAATCCCCCACCCCATACGCCTCCACGATGCTCTGAAAGCCCGACGTGAACTTGTTGGTTCTCAACATGGTGGGCGGAGTGTCGGTACTCGGGATGCGGTTCACGAAGGACGGCACGGTGGCGTCTCCTTTTCTCTGTGGGGGGGGGGGAAATAAAGACAAAGCGTGGAAAGGACAATTCTGAAATGAGTAACTGCCGTGATGTAGTAACGGAAATATGATGAAACATTGGTGATGTTCGGAGCTCCCTTTGCTCCCTCGTGTCAAACATTCACAGTTCTCAGTGATTCTTCACCAGGATGTTTTCCTCTGGTACGTTCTAGTTTAGACACTTGGACTAGAAACGATCAAATACGCGTCACTGTTTTGGATCGGCTTTAAGGCACGACATCCATTCCATTTGAGAAATGTTAGGATTTCAAAGATTTGGTTTATTTAGTCATTTTCAGTCGTATTTAGTCTGAACCCCCCCCTCCAATAAAACCATCACTAATGCGTCTCTTTCCTCACCGAGCCCTCTTCTAGCGCCCCACGCAGGTTCGCCAGGTCGCTGACGGGACACCACACCTCCGCAATCAGACACTTGTTGGTGACGTCGAAGCTGCAGAGGTTCAGGATGTGGTAGATTGCCTTCATCTTTTTCACCTTCACAACCCAGGCGTAGGCCGACTCCGAGGCCTTCTGCAGGACCTGCCTCAGGTAGTCCTCGGTGCGGTGCAGCACCTGGGGGAGGGACGCGGCGGTTACTACAAACTCAGCAAAGTGGGGTTGGGGGGGCGCGAATGTCTGTCTTCGCCAGGCTTACGTTGTTAAGGTCTTGGATGCGAGTCCTGAGGCTGTCCAACACGTCCGCCCGCTCCTCGTCGTTCTCCGGGTGCGGGTAGAGGTGGCAGTGGTAACTGGGGACAACAGAAACGCGCCTGGTGAGGAATGCAGCGGCGCTTTAAAAACTCACGCGGTCATGTGGAGGGCGGGATTCTTACCAATCACAGATTTTTTGCACTTTCTGTCCGATCTGGTCTCCCCAGAAAGAGATTAGGAACACGACGCTTTTGCTGATCTCCCCCTGAAACGGCACAGATCAGGAAAGTTATCGCTTCACAAAAAGGTCATGAAGGAAAAATGACTTTTACATGCATCCCTACCACAATGCCTTCTCTTTTAGCCGGTACAAATTGGTATCTGACATTTTAATGAGCAACAGTTGGCTAATAATATCTATTTATATATACGTTTTCAATTTCTCTCTTGTAACGAGATTAGAAGGTCGGGGCTTCACAGACTCTTCATAACCCAATTATGAGTGCGCAGTCATTTCTAGCTTATGTTGCTTTACATAAGCAACATTAGCACAAAAAGCCAGCACCCCCTCACCTATTGTCCCATTTAATTCCAATCTTTCTAAACCGATGCACAGAAACACGTGACCTTTTCTTGAATTGAGGTTAACTCACAGTGTCGAGATCGGCGAGGTTCTCGTCCACCTCGGCGTAGCTGAGGATGGTGTAGCCTTTGCACACCCTCCACAGCATGCGCTCAAAGGCCTCCACCTTGACCCGCTGGATGAGACCAGACACAAACCTGCAGCCCGAGCGGATCAGATTAGGTTTAAGGTACATTCTTTATGCTAGAACACAACAGGAAGTTGTGCTGCGCGCATGTCAATTGTGAGCCTCACCCCAGCTTGGCTCCAAGTCTTTGCATACCAGTGCATCCCGTCACCGTGTCCGTGTCCACCGTGGGGAACTCTTCATACTGGGGACCCAGAGCCTCGTGCTGATTTCAAAAGGGAACACGTTTCATTCAGTTTACGTCGACTGCTCATCATACTAATGATCCTGTGGCGTTTGCACATTGCAAAGTGCCGTTTGTTCTCGCGGAGACCCGTCTCATATCGGCACCATCGTTTGCTCTCGGCCGTGTGCCCTTCTTACCACGGCAGCCTGGGTGACTCACAGGCTGCTCGTAACGGCGGCATCGGGGGCCGCGTCTTTAATTAAAGTCGGCTCTGGTTTCACCTCGGTCGCGCCGGGAAACCAAACACGGCGGCGACAAGGAAAACAAGGCCCGGCTGGTGAGGTGAGCGGGAGCACGTAAGCGGCATGAGGGGAAAACACACTCACTCTGGAGCGGCTGTGGATGAAGGTCCTTGTGATCTTCAGCATGTGCGTGTACTCGGTGAGCTCCAGGAGGTTCCTCTGCAGCTTGTCTTTGTTTCGGGTCACCTCGCTGAGCTCCATCTCCAGCCTTTGGAGCTGCTCCTGCACGTCAGCACACATTGAACACCGGCTCAAGCCTGCAGCAAGTGGACTTCTTCAGTTAACTAAAGAGATTACATATTGTCCCTGTGAGGATTGCTGGATGGAATGACTGAATAACCATCACTGCCATTTAACCCAATTTGCAGCATTTATTATTTACCGATTTGTTGGAGTCTAACAGATCTGGAGGAAGCAACGCAGAGCGTGCACTGCTGTAGCTACGGAAAAAAACTGTTCAATATTCAGATCCATACATAGATATGAGCTGTTAAGCCCTCTGAAGCATATTTGTGATTTGCGATAGCCCAGGTTTTAAAATAACTAGTATATGCATAGACGTGCACTATATTACACACTATGAAAAAGTTTATAGATACTTTTACAGTCAAGCGTGGTTGAGGTGTCCCTCACCATGATCTCAAGGACTTGTCTGGGGGGAGGAGCGAGCGGGCTCTCATCCTCCTCTGGAACGGCGATATGAATCTTTTGAATCTCTCTCAGCAGGTAGCCTGTCACACGAAACAAAATGACAAAATAACCCGAGTGTCAGACAAGCCGTCAAATTCTCACAAAAACACAAACAGCCATGAGTTGCTTACTTAATAATTACACCCCCCCCCCCAGGTGGTTCTCTCTTACCCAGAATCCTCTCCATCTCCTCACATCTCTTGATTTCGCTGACAAAGCGCCTCTGGAAGGAGCTGACACTCGGGTTGAGCTGAAACCAGAGGAAGCGTCACAGGTGAGGCGAGCTGAAAGCCACAGCATCAGTCGATGTGTGAAAAAAACACACCACATTCAACGTGGCATCTTCACCAAAGTGTTTAGACCGCCACTAAAAACGGATATTTATTGTTCTTGAAATACTGTAACAATACTCTCCCCAGCATGGAGTAATTTGACTCGAAAACCGCTGAAAAATAAATAAAATGAACGTTGACATTAGTCGGTCAAACGTTGAGCTCTATAAATTCTAACAGCATTTGGGTCTATTTATAGGAGGCTGATCTCCATCCCTCGAGCATGCGTGCACCCACAGAAAGAAGCCCGCATTAATTTATTCTGCATTAGAACAATACGGATAGGTTTACTAAAATGATAGACGCAAATACAGCATCCACCCTTTTAAACTGGGGAGAGAATAGATGCGCTATAATCTCTCCTACTTACATCTCGGAACTCGACCAGCCCGAGCTCCCCGAGCTCACTGATGCAGTCGTATTCAGAGCCGGACTGCAGAAACAATTGCGCCAAGCACATCTCCTCACTCCGGAACACCATCTTTATCCGCCGGACGGATCTCCTTCTCCGCCTCACAAACCGTCTGTGGCCTTCTGGCGCCGGACGGCCGGTGGATCGGAGCGAATGTGGGACATCACACAACCCGACGAGCGTTTCGCCCGTTTAACCGAATCACCGCCTCCGGCTTCACTGGTCTATCGATTATTGATGGGGATTCTCAGGAGGGGACATTTCTCCTCATTATTATGGGTGTCGCCTCCGTCCAAAACAATAAAAATAAAATAAAAAGAAAGCCGGTTGATTTCTATGAAATAAACAATATGAAAACAAAGGCAGAAACGTCCCTAATGCAGATGTGACATCGGGTGATGCCAGAGAAAGAAGTCATTCTGCGGGCTCTTTACCTTGGACACCTGAAATTACGGCGCAACCGCCCCCTCCCCTCCAACACCACCCCCACCTCCACCCCCAAAAAGAAAAACAAAGCGACGACGCGACGCGAAGCCGCAACGAAACGAGCGACGGGAAACTAAAGGACGAAGCCTCCACCCGGCACGGAGACGACCGGCGGGTCCGAAGGGGGCATCGCGCGCTGCGAAGAGCCGCTCGGCGACAGACTCCGGCCTTTATTCTCGCTGCGTCGCACCGGCAATTGACAGGATTGCGTCTCCGGGTTGCCAGATATCGGTGCATCCCCCGCATTAATCATTGATTCTTGATTTACGAAATGAGAGGCGTTGAAGAGGTTTGGTGTGACCGTTTAAGAGGGAAATGGACGAGAAAGACGAGAAAGAAAACGGTGTTCCGAAATATTGGATAAAATGCACATGTTTCTGTAATTCACAAAGACTAAATAGTTTTAAAGATGCAGGATAATAATTAAACATTTCGTGACTACATACATCTCTCCACCGCACATTTCTTTGTATTACTCGGCGGTTCGGTTATTTCCATCACGTGAGGAAATATTCATTATTCATTCACGTTTAGTTTTTATGAGATAATCCCTTTAAACTTCGGTCCAGTAAATTCCTTTGTCTCGTTTGAAATAGTTGTCTTAAAAATGGCATGTGAGCTTTTTAAAAGGGGGTCTGCTCACAAACCTGGCAACCGGGTCATCTTCTAATTCTGTTCCATCATTGAAAGCGGACCGACCATCTGCTCTTTGTGTCAATCCTTTATTTAGGGTATTTCAGATAACTCAATAATGCTTGCGTCTTCTCCCGCGACAAATTATCACAGCCATTTATTCCATGAGACTCTTAACAGTTACGTGCATTTGAACATACTGATCGTATGAAAAATGTTACTCGTTTAAAAAAGCTGGATAATGTTCATTTTTCTTAATCACGCGTTTAACAGAAGCACGTCAAAGCTTGTGTTCGACCTGGCGATGGTCCTCTGTGGGCACAATCTCCTCTGATTGAATTCTGCAAGTACATGCATATTTCAAGGGGGGAAAAAAGCAAATATGCACAATAACAGCAGAGGTTTTTGTATCAAGGGACTTCCATTTTTGGGGGCACAGTAGATGAGTACTTCAAGGACAGCGGTGGACCTCAAGGATAAAGAAGACTAGCAGAATAGATCTAAGCATTATTACCATCCTTGTGTACCCTTGAGCAAGGCCTTGAAGCCTCAACTGCTCCCCACGCAGCTTCGAGGTGTGTCAGTAAAACCCTTAAACCACCAGTTTTAAACGCATTTGTGTGACGAGGTGCACTCTGCTTTGTTTATGTATCCCAGGGGTACTTCCTGGTTATGTGTGACTGAGGACTTTTCACCCGAGGAAAGAATGAGGACCAAAACGAGGACCTTCATCGATCCAGTTTTGTGTAAAGTTCAGCTTTATTACGGCGTCTCCCGGAAAAGCACAGCGGCAGCAACGTGATACTGTTTCGCTTGATTTTAAGTCCTCAGACTATGAGCCAGCCTGTTGAGCTCCTGCGACAGAGCTGTGACCGTGTCCAGGATCCGCTGCCTGTCCGTCTCCTCCAACCGGGCCTCACATCGCTGGGCGAACTTGTCGGGGTGCCACAGCGCCTGCTGCTTCCGGAGCATCTTTCGAAACACCGGCACGTCCTTCCTGTCCACGCCGTGCAGCATCACGTCCAGCATCTCGTGCACCGTGCCTCGGGGAGCGGGCCAGGGGATGTCGCCGTAGCTCAGCTTCGCGCCGCCAGACGATGAGCCGCCGCCGCCGCCGTCCCCGCTAAAGGTGGCGGCGCACCTTTCGTCGTAACTGCGCTTCTTGCCCAGCCGGACCTCCTCCTCTTTGCGCGCCGCTCGTGCCAGATACTCCTCGTGCTCCCTCTGCAGCTTCTCGTTCAGCTCCTTCTGGCTTTGCACTTCCTGCTCCCGCTGTTGGCTGCTCTTCTTTCTCTTCCACCCGGAAGACGCCGCCGCCAGCCTCTGAGCCTCGGCGTGCTTTTGATCAAAATATTCTTTTCTGATGCGGTCGGCCCAGTCCCCGAAGTCTTCCTCGTCATCATCTACAGGAAGAAAATCGTCAGCTGTGAAACAAATACAGTAGAGTTATTATGAAAGTGAGACGAAAGCGGCTGTTCGGTACGTAACAATGAGTTCAAATGTACCATCGTATACGCCAAAGGTTTCACAGAATTCATCCTCGCATTCGCCGAACAGCTTTTCCATCCACTCCTTCTCGGGGTCTCTTTCAGAAGGGCGGCTCATGTTTTCGGCAGTCTGAGGAATAAAGGGAGACCCGTATGTGAAATGAGGTCCAGCCCCGGCAGACTGTTCAAAGGACACTGATGACAAAGAGTCACACAAACATTAAAAAAAACACACAAATCACATAAACATCGCAGAGATGTTACTCCAACGTTCCAGGCAGATGATGGTTTTCATTACATTTGGTATGAAAAATCCAACCCACCCCAAATAGAAACTTGCTTGAGAGAGATTTAATGAGTAATCCTTGCCTTTCAACAACAATACCCTCTATTTATCATTTCGGTAAGATTCTTTTGATACGCCTGTTGTGGTCATAAGTTGTGCAATTGTGATGTGATCAAACGTTATAACGCAGATTCAATACTTCCCTTAAACACAAGAAACCAAAACGTGCTTATTCTGATTTTAGAAAACAAATGAAAAGGACGAATCCATATATTATCAACACACACACTTCTCAACAGCAGCTATTGGAACACAACCACTGATCCGTTACTAAATGTCTAAACTCACCTCTTTACGTTTGCTCCAGTTGAGCAGATCTTGAGGTGTGACTCCGGCGTTGTTCGGTTCATTCAAAGCTTCGGGGCAGCGCTTCTTCAGCGGGACAACCAGGTCATCGTACGCTGCGGGGGGGGAAATAAGAACAACAAACAAAAGACTTTGAGAAAAGACGGTCCGAGGCGGAGTCCTTTCAACCAGCGCGCCGCCGCCGCCGCGTCCTCCTCACCGGACTTCCCGTGTTTCAGAGCCCGGTTGGCCGCGGTGTGGAGCGCCGTGTCTCCTTTGCGGTCCTTCCGGAGGACGTCGGCTCCGTGCTGGAGCAGCAGCCGCAGCGCGGCGTCGTCCCCCGAGCCGCAGGCCAGGTGCAGCGGGCTCCTCTCCCTCTTGCCCTGGGAGAAGTTTACGTCCAGGTCCCGGTGCTTCCGCAGATAGGACTTGAGCTTCAGCAGCCCGCCCTCCTCCACGTATCTCCACACGCGCCTCTGTTTGCGAGACAACATGCGGGCGGACGAAACGCAAGCGACCGGGGACACACGGGAGGTTCTTTTTGACTTTCGGTGGGTTGTGTTAGCTTTGGTTAGCTCCTGTAGGCCGTCGGCTAACCCCGGTCCTGCTTCTTAATAGCTCCGAAGCCTGCATCTGCTCGCAGCCCAAAGTTCCGGGGACGGAAGGTGTTCCCGATTTTGCCACTAGGGGTCAGTATTTTACTATCGCTGAAATCATCATTTGATAAACTTAACCCGTGTTACCACAAGCAGGAGAGGATGCCCCGAAATACAACGTGTGTCCCGTCCTAGTCTTCATGACGTGAAAACAGAGACCCACTGTTCATCCTGTGTAATGCTGATGTCTTCTACTTTGCCAATGACTCAGCATTCATAAGCCCTGTCTGCTCCTTTGGGGTTCCCTGCGCCTCAGACTCCTTTCAACATGCCACCTGTCAGGAAGGTGTCACGTAGAGAGGTCCTCTGTGTGATTTTATATCCGGATATATACTGCACATCAGCGGTTAAGAAATATTTAACCCCCCCCACCCCCCTAAACACGTACTAATAATTCATAGTAATGCAATCTTGATTATTTGTCAAATTCTAGGATTTCATAATGAACTGCTACATGAAGTGTTATGACTCAGTGTGTTCGGGTGCAGCTCAGTGCTAAACTGTTACAGCTGTCTGAAATCTGACAGAAATTTTCCCTGTAGACTGGAAGATGAAGCGCAGTGTTTGACGGTCCCACACTTATTCTCACTGAGGACCCACTTTGAATACTTTGTAAATAATATAAACTTAAAAAATCTATTTTGTTTGTTATTAATAGTTTTTAATAGAAGAACATCTCTTGATGGAAAATCGAGGATACAACTTTCATTTGGTTGATACTAAGTCTTGTCTAACAGCAATCTACACGATTAAATCAAGCACATGAATGAATCATGTATGTATGTGGATTATTCTACCGATCCCTTCAAGGTGGGGGTGTAATATCAAATAAGGGTTTGCAGTGTGTTTGCATTACTAACAGTTCAGAAACATCTCTGCAAACCAATATGAGATTAAAGCCACGTTTGGACATTGTCATCGGCTCCTTCCTAAATCGATGCAGACTGGTGTTGTCCTGTTTCATTTCTTGCTTACTTGCAGCTATCTCTACCTGTGATGCTTCAATTAGTGCAGCTGATCCTCTGAACTGGCTCTGTCCTGCTGCAGATTACAGAGCATCCATTTAGGCCTGAGGGAGGGAAGGATGCACAATGGAGAGGATAGAGGAGGGAATGAAGGGACACTTTGTGCCTTGTGAAGAGGACGATCTCCTCTGAGACTCACACAACCCAAGATCCGGAGTCCCCAAAAAGCTTGGGCCCTTCCGCTCTTTTCTCCCGTCGGAAACGACGTGTTGCCACTAACGATGGCCGTCTTGTGTGGACGTCTTTGAAATGTCCGCCGTCTCGGGGGGGGAGAGACGGAGTGAAAGCAGAGGCCGAGGGAGAAAGAGACTTCTGATTCGTCACTTCAGGTGTTCGAGTCATATGCCTGCTGCTATGTGTGCTCGAAGATTTATCGTCCCTTTTTGTTTTTTCCACAGCTCCCAATTGTCACAGTGTTTAAAGCAAGCACCCATTGTCCCCCAAGACCCCAGACGAGTGCCTTAAAAACAGAAAGATGCTTCTGAAAGACAGGATATGCCCGGTCAGGAACCCCTACCTCTGCTTTCCTGCCCGGCCCGCTGACTTCATCCTGTCCGTGAGGTCTGTCGTCCTTCTGGGACGGCGCGGGGAGGAGCGCACCAAGACCGGGCGGCAGGAAGCCGAGGGCCCTCCAAGACGCCCCGGGGGTCAGCATCTCATCCTACCAGGACCAAGGCTCCAGGTCCGCCATTGTGGAAGGAGGAAGGAGGAGAAACGTGTGCACACTTCCTCTGTCTATTTTCTGCGTGACCTGGTTTATTTGGTTGTGATTTATGGACAGCTGAACATTACGCTGCTGACACAAAGGCCATTGTGAGCAGTTTATTTGACAAGGAATGAGTTGAGGCGGGCGCGCCAATAGAAAGTGGGCCTACTCACCTCTGCCTTTAGTTTCTGTTGATTTGCATCAGTTGAGGTTTTGGGGTTTGGCCTTTTCACAGTCTCCATTGTATAGATGGATCACCTCCTAAAAAAATAGAACTTACCCCAAACTTCAAACACCTTATGTATATTATTTATTCTGTGAATTTTTGAACATTCTTCTGTGAACATTTGGTACATTCCAACATCTTTCAAACATAATACACCTCTTTTCCCTGGAAGATCTTGTATATGTTTTAAAAAATATTTATGTAATCTATATTCTTATATCGTGGTCCTCAAATTGGGAGGTACTTGCTTTTTTATTTTAATTTTCTATGAATAGATGTATTGTTATTCTTAGCTAATTCATTGTATTTGAATCCTATTTGACAATAAACCAAATTCTCACATGCTTTTGTTTTGAAAAATGTGGACTGACCTTAAATGGTTTGATCCATTTCCACTGAAAACAGAGAAAATAATGAGAAAGCCATTTGTTATTCCTTAGAGAAGGAGAATGAAGGCTGTTTATCCCCTCGGGAGGCTACTTCCAGTGGAGACACACTCAGTTTTCACACTCACAGAGGAATGAAAATGTTTGTGTAATCATTTCTGAACATGCATCTCAGACACAACAGGCAGCCTCCAGGCTCAAAGGGCACCAGTCGCCCTTCCTCCTGTAGTTTGTTGTCTCGCTTTAAGCTCATGCCATGAAATCTTGGTAACGTGATCCACATCGGCTTCATAAAACATAAAAACCCATGTCAACAGTATATCCAGATTATCTTTCATGCAGGGCTTTGACTTTGATGCTGACAGGCGGAGGATTACATGACAATTAGTCCTGTAAAGAATTGCTGCTGAGTGAAATTTTACTGTACGCTGTTTCATCACTTCACCACAGATTCTCAAGTTGTTCCGCCATATCTAATGTCCTTCTGTTGCGTGCAACTGATTTACAGAGAATTCTTTATCTTCTGTAGACAAACCTTTGCAGACTAAATCAAGGTGTATTTCATAAAGATTCTGTGAAGTCTGGGTTTCTGTCTCTGGGCTCAGATGAGATTAAGGAGCTGAGGCGGCGATGAAGGAGACGGAGTGAGTGTCGCTGCAGCTGCTGGATTCCTTTTCTCCCACAAGGACGAGGAAGTTTACAGATTTCACCTGTAAAATGTAAGACTTTTGTCACATTCACTAAACCTCTACCCACCCTGACCAAACGGCACACTGGTGAACTGTAATTGTAGGCGATTAAAAGTAAGCGTGTCCGTCACAGGTAATACACGAGCAGATAGTCGACTCCCAGTTCAAATCAGTAACCAGGGATTAGTTCAATCCCTCTGTCTCCCTGCTGTTGCTGATTACGTTGTGTGAAAAGCTCTTTACAGTCAACATTGCTGAATTCTAATATACAGCTCTGCAACCTGTTGTGTGTGTTTTTACCAAGAATTATGAGAAAGAGTTACCCATTGATTATGAACTCAAGGAGACACATTACACCACGGGGTCTTTTGTAACAGAAAGAGAGCGCTAATGTCGTGGTAATTAACCCGTGAGACTTAAACTCCTCCAGAACAAAGCCAAATGTCCTCTGCTTGATCCAATTTAGAACCTTTGTTTTTCACTGTTTGTGTGAGCGAATTTGGAGGCAGCAGAAGAAGCAAACATCCCGGACGGGTGAAAAACAGAAGTCAAACTTGCATTTCCTGCAGACACACGCTTTGATTTGGACCCTGCGAAACAATAGGAGGGAGACTGCCTGCTCTGAGCAATGCACCAACAGGAAGAAGCACATTCACTGGATGGGAGAAAATACATTCCAGCGAAACTTAACAAGCAACAAAGTGACACAGAATGCTGTTGGTTTTTTTTTCAAAGCACTTTTTTTTATTACAAATCATATACAAACAATTCAAAATAATGCGTATTCACAAATGCTTATTTGTCAGAGAACAAATTCGCTGCCGCTCAATAAACAAACTCATTCCTTCATATGCACAGTCACACAACCGCAGACTGTCAGAGGAGTCACCTTTAATTGGGCTCTCCACCAGCCTGAAAACATTTGTCAGCTGCCATCTGTCTGTCTGGACCCCCCCCCCCCCCCCCATCCCGTCCCCAACCCCCATTCCCTCTTTCCCACTATGCCCGTCTCTCCTTACAGCACTCTTATCAGACTGCAACACCTCCTACCGACTGGCACACCCTCTCCACACACAAACACACACAAACGTAACACTGCTGGCCGTAATGGGGGGGGGGTCGGTCGTCTGGTTGATATCACACTTCAAGTGCTTACAAATGAAAACAAGAACAGTGGGGGCGAATGGCTTGACTTGGCGACAGGATCGCGGTGGTCAAAAGCTCGGTATTTTGCATAAAAAGTCCACAGGAGAACCACACGAGCATGTGGGTTCCACTTAAAATACATTCCACTTTTTCAAAAAGTCTGGGTTATGCTCGGCCCCTTACAGTAAATAGTTGAGTTTTTCACCCTTTTGAGCGTGGCCAGACCCCAAAACCACAAGCCCGACTGTCGTCTTCTGCCGATTGGTCTCAGTGGTCCACAGGTTCAGACAGTAGCAAAGGTAAAAACTCTGACGCAGACCTGGGGTTCTGATCCGAGAGCAAGCACCCAGCGCTGTACAGTTACCTGCTTCATTTTGCATTGTTCACCTCGTCCCCAGCATGCATCTGGGCCCTCAACCGTCATCACACCTTGGTGGCCAGAGATTGAGCCTCTGTCTTCTGAGAGGACAGGGAGTTGGCGGTACTCGCGTGCAAGGACTTCTTCAGGTTAAGCAGGCACAGGCACTGGGATCTGAAGCGCAGGTCGAAGAACGCGTATAGAAAGGGGTTGAGGCAGCTGTTGACGTAGGCCAGGCAGGTGGCGTAAGGGTGAGCCACCAGCAGGAAACGCAGGAAACTGCAGGTGGAGGGAAAAAACTCGAGGTAGGAGAGGGCGTCGGCGGTCTTCACGAGGTGGAACGGCATCCAGCAGGCGGCAAACACCACCACCAGCGTGGTGATGATCTTCAGCAGCCTCCTCTTACGCTGGTCCTCCTTGCGCAGCGTGTTGAAGTGGCGGGTGACGGTGCAGCCGATGAAGACGTAGCACACCATCATCGCTAGGAAAGGTATGAGGAAGCCCAGCGCCGAGGAGGAGATGCTGAGACCAGTGACCCACAGGTTCTCTTGGTCTTTCCTCGTCGTCACCAGGCTGAAGTCCATGCCGCAGATTGTGCGGTTGGTGTTCGCATCGTATTTGGTGGTGCGAAAGAGCAGAGTCGGAGCGGCCAGCACACCGGACAGCAGCCAGATGGCCGCCAGGCAGGCTTGCATGTGGCCACGGGTGCGCAGCTGGGTGCTGGACAAGGAGTGGACAATGGCCAGGTAGCGGTCGAAGCTCATGCAGGTGAGGCAGAAGACGCTGGCGTACATGTTGAGCAGGACCACGTAGCTGCTGATCTTGCACAGGGCCACCCCGAAGGGCCAGTGGTAGCCCATGGCGGTGTAGACGGCCCACAGAGGCAGAGTGACCACGAAGGTGAGGTCAGCCAGGGCCAGGTTGCCGATGTAGACGTCGGCGGCGCGCCGCTTGCCCTGCGCCCTCCAAACGGTGAAGATCACCACTCCGTTTCCCGAGAGGCCGAGGATGAAAATGAGCATGTAGAGCACGGGGATGACGGAGTATGACGGCATCCACTCGGAATAGTCGCACATGGTGGAGTTTTCTGCCTCGTCGTACTCGTAGTAATCATAAGGACCTGCAGTTGGCTCCATCTCTGTTTTTTGTTATTGTCCTTAAAAAAGGAAAAAAAAGAAGAGGGAACGATCTGTGTCGTGTAGATAGATCCAAAACAGTTTTCAGCACTCTGATGTCTGTAGCAACATGTGAAATCTGCCCAACCTTATATACCCCCCACCCAGACTTGAAACCTCCCCGGACGCCCCTCCTCCCCTCCTCGCCTCCCTCTGCCCTCCCCCTCTCTGCTCTGAAGAACACACTCCCTCACTGCATACATGCCCATCTCCTTCCATTCATACATAGGGCAGCCGCTTAAGGCTCATAATATCAGTTGAAAATACTTTGTACAGTATTTTCAGTTTATAGTCATGTATAGTTTCCTCAAATATTCTGCATAAAGTTGTAAATATGTAGTTTAGAGGAATCCAGGTTGAATAAAACTCAAGTATATATCTTTTAGAACTTGCCACAGATATAATTGCTATTTATTTTAGGGAATGAGGTTATTTAGACATGTTTTGGACACTAGCCTATGAGTCAAGTCTGGGCATGACTTTCCAAAAGTAGTTCATTTCAATATCAACCGAGAGTCGTATTGGTACCGGAGCACTCTGCTGAAATCCAAATGAGCGCTATTAACATTTCTATGTCTGTTTTGTTCATGTCTCTACATGTTCGTACGAGTAAAACCACATTCTAAAGGCAAAATACAGGTGCGTTGAGTGCTAATGAACCACAGGTTGAGCAAAACTTGACCTCATTAACATTAAGACAAAATGCCAAGAAACATGTGGAATAATCGTCTGTTCAATTAATCCGATCAGACTTTCGGACAAATTGCCAAGATTTAAAAAGAGAAAAATGTAGGTGACGAATGAACACCTAAATTAAACAAATATTACAATACAGGTGATTTTAAATTCAACACAAAAGCGATAAAATGATTAACTAAGGGCAAGAGTTGTAACAGAATATTTGCATTTACATTCTTACAATGTTAAAGCTACTCAAGAGTAAAGGCAAAGTGTTTATTGAAAGGACATGCTGTCTCTCGGGTGTGTTTCTCGGCCCAGGTGGGTCGCCTCAGTCTCCAGTCCGCTCCGTCTCTCAGCACGGAGGCAGCGGTGGCGCCTCGGGGCGACAACCTTTAGACACAACTACTGTATCACTCAACAATCTTTCCCTGCTGATCCCTTCCTCCACCCCTCCGTCCTCCTCAACTGCCCTCCCCGCTCATCTCCGGCTCCCTCTCATTGTGAAGACGAGGATTGATTCTGTCTTCCTCCGCTTTCGCCGACGTCATGTGCTCTCAGGGAACTGTTACTGCCAGTTACTGTGATGCGATCTTGTGTAGTTAAATGGAACTGATGGGAGTTGTGTTCTCTGTGCTCCCTCTCTCTCTTTTGGTTGATTGTCCGTCCAGCTCTTTGTCCATCCGGCAGGAAAAGGGGCATAAAGCGAGCTTCCTATCTGCGCTCTGGTGGGTCGGTGGACTGTTTTTAGAAAGCGTTCGCTGACAGGGATGTGAATATACAGCTAAATTAAACGGAAGGCCTTGATGAGTACATTGATCCGCCCACTCACTTTTTTTTTTTCCTTTTTCAAAATCCCCTCGTTAGCCGTCATGGATCAGTATCACAATGGCAGGATAAGAAACACGGAAATAAAAGCGTGACAATCTTGCCGCAGATTGAGATCCATCTGAAAAAAAGCTGGAACCTCCTCACGCGGCCTCCATCGCTTCGTTCAGAGTCCTCCATGTTTGTCCTGCTAATAGCCCACCTGTGTCTCAGATTGATGGTTGTTATTGTTGGTGCTGTCATCTCATGTGTGGCCACGTGCTGTAAACCACACATGAAGCACCGACGCAACAGACCCGGGTTATGGAAAAAAAAGAGCAGCATGTGATCCTCAAAACATGAGCAAATGTGAAAGGACACAAACACACCGCAGCGACGGTCTGAGCTGCGGAGGACCTCTCTGATCTTTCATCGCGACCTTTTGTGTTTCCAAGTTTATAGGCGTGTTTTAGGTGATACTCGCTGCACAAAAAGCGCGTGAGGTGTGTGTTCCTGTCCTGTGAGGTGCGTGTGAGGGTTGGCGGGGGGGGGTTTCGACAGTTGTTTGATGTGTGTGTTAAGCTGTCAAGGACCACATGCACGGGGCCCCCCCTGCACTGAGACAGCTGGCTCCTCCAGGCTTTGTTTTGCGATCCCAGCAAGCTCGTCGGAAAAAAAAATCATGATATCACACGTCTGACCCGATAGCAGCTCGACCAGCAGACTGGCGGACAAACGGCTGAGGCGGCACAATTTGCATTAACAATCACATCAACGGTCTGATCCGTTCCTTTAATTATCTCAATGCTGCCAAAGGCAACACCTCCGGCGGCCCGGCTGGAAAGCTTCAACATTTGCTCACATCACCCTTCACTCTTTTTTTGTCAGCAAAGACGGTGAGGTTATTAACACCAGTTAACACCAGCTTGTCGGGACTCACCGGGTCACACATTTTCTCACCGTTCCAGGGACGACCCTTGTGGCTTTAACTGGAGCTTTACAGCCTTTTGTCGCTGCCTCAGGTAGACTGGTGACACAATCTGAAGGATGTCCGCATGACGTCAGGCTGTGTTCAACATATTTTTTTTTCCTGGAAACCCGCTGGAGCTCCCGTCTGATTCAGATGAATGGGTTGTCTGTGGCGAAGGCGGCCAGATTAAATGACCGGCACAGAGTCCCACGTTAATGTATTTGATTTCTGGTTATTGGAGCTGTCCAGGAATAGATCCTCACTTACAAAAAGCTTTTTCTCCAGAAACACAGCAAGCTCCACCAATGCGCTAAAGTGAGGCGACTTTCGGACGAAATTGGCTCCAACCTCAATCTAAGTAAGATAACGTAATTAGCTCCGCAAATAGATGATGTTTTCTACAGCTTCTTATTTTCGTTAATTGTAGATTAACAGCAGGAAGCAGCTGGGGCAGACTTCTTGCAGAGTTTTTTATCTATATGATAACGTTCACTTCCTTGACCGCACACACACACGTGATGTTTTTATGACCTTTTGACCCTGCTGACCCCACTGCACCTCAGTACCTCATCCAAGACAGCAGCAGCTACTCTGAATTAGCAGCTAACGCACACATGGAAGTCTGTTTGCCGCAGGACGCTTCCTGCTTGGAAGATGTTGATGTTTTTTTGCTCTAGTTCAGAAGCTGGCCAGAATTGTTTGTTTAATATCATTTTGAGGAAATCCCAAAGTGGATTCACAAAGAAGTATAAATAGCTCAAACTCCAGGGTCACCAATGAAAGTATAACAAATAGAGAAAGGCGGGGAGGGTCCTCGTCTCTCACGCAGGAGAGCCGAGAAGTCTTTTAATCCGAGGGAACATGAGCAAGACGTAAATGTCTCATTCATAGAGGCAGTGAGGTTACTCTACTGCTGCAAGTCACCAAAACAACAACAATACGGACCAATTAGGGAACTAATCAACAGAGAGATTTTTGAGTTAGGTGATGGGTTCAGTCTGCTGAGGTAAAGTGAGATTAATACAACATTCTTTACGTGAAATAAGCGGATGGAATAAGCGGAGGCCTCCCACCTGTCGGGGAACGCACTGTAATGAAAACCTGGTCATTTTTAGTACGTTCCTGTTGCTTTAATGCACTATACATGCTCTCTTCTCCAGCACGGCTGTAAATGTGAGCCTGCCTTTACAGTGAATATATGCATTTAGCTAATGTTGACCAAGTAAGGCTTTAGCTAAAAAAAAAAAACACGATTTAGAATGCATGAACATTTATGTTATGGTCATAGTGTCTTTTTTATGCATTGCATTAGATCAAATGGTTCATGTAATATTTTGTTCATCCCTCTCGCCCATATATGGATGGGACAAAATACTAACAAATTACAAATCTAAAGGCAGAAACCTGTTACAGTGTAGTTAGACATTTTAAGTGCAATGTCAGACTTTTGTTTATGTTATAATGGCGACATCTTTGAAGGCCCAGCATGCTTTATTGCGCACCATTCCCCACTTCCTGTGAGGAAAATCCAGCAGGCGAGAAAGTTCCCTGCACACCTTCTCCTGGATGAAAGATTATTTCACAAAATCCCGTGAAACAGCACTGGAGTCTTAGAACAGAAGGTAGTCTACAAACTGTGTGAACTATCGCAAAATGCACTGCAGGGTTTGTAAAGTCTTTTATCCTTCCCATGTAACATGAACCGTTTTATGGATTTTTGTGGCTGTCCGAACTTCACATAGTTTTGAAACACAAGCCTCCCCTTTAGTTTCAAAGCTGAGAGATGCAGGCATACAAAGACACACACATAAACACACACACACCCACCCACACACACACACGCACACACATGGATACAAACTATGTAACACCCATGACTCCGCTGGATGCAATACAATAAGCTATTGTAACTTCAAACCGAAGGTCTTGACGCCCATGTGCTTTTGTCATTAGTCTCAATTATAACAGGTTATGAGGTCACTTGCTCACGTGTTAAGACAAACATCCCTTAACTCTCCCTCTCAAGACACACACGTACAAAAACACACAATGAATGCAAAAATAACGTTGCAGCTCACATGTTGGAGTCGACAATCCAAGTTGTAATTTTGCTGAAACCCTTGATGCTCACTATTTGTGGAGCTCAGATCACTGTTTGATTCCAAGCTTAATATTCTTTACTCAATTCTTCTTCTGGTGTTATCCTTGTTTCTCTTATCCCAGCAGATTAGTGAAACAACCTTTCACCTTGTATTCATATTTTCAAAAAAGCCCAGTGTCCACAATGAAAAAACAATATGGCTGTCATTCTCCAAAACGGCCGCCAGCCAATGCCGTTATATACCTGGATTGTGATTGGCTTATCCAAATTTTCAGAGAAATTGTCCAAAAAAAATAGTGCTGATCAACGCTCAATCTGATCAATCCTTGCCTGAGTTATTTAGTATAGAATACATGGTCTGTGGAATGCGTACTCCAACGTTGATATCACACAAAAGAAAGTATTACACATGATGGTGTCCTGAACTCGATCAGTGCTTGGTGCTAGGATTGATCTGTATCAGAATCCAAATAAAATCAATGTGTGGAAGTGGATGGACAGCTCAATGTCAGTGATGACCTTGTTAGTGGAATGGCATCACAGGACCTCTGCATCATCTGTAACTGGTGGGTATTGGCTGAGCCTCTGGAAGACGTGAGCTATTCAGGGAACACTTCCCAGGTTTGCCATTGAGTCTCTTTGCCTTCACCAAGAAAGGCTGATACAACATCACGGCCTGTAAAGGTGGGAAAGAAAAGGATGCCAAGGGATTTTTCAGGGCCTTTATGCCGTGCGTTCTTTTAATCCGCATCCGGGAGAGTCTCAAAAACACAGACACATAGAACGCGTATGTCGGTTTCTCAAGCCTTGATCAATTTGATCTGTTCAACTGCGTGCAGGAAGATTCTGCTGTCAGCCTCTTCATCGTTGCAAGGACTGAAGCCTCATAGACGCTCTAGTTGATGGCAAAAAACGTGTTTCTCTTTGGTCCAAATTGTAACATTTTTACTTACTTACTATACTTTAATAAATTGTTTCATCAGAAACTTTATCTCTGATCAAAGAACAACAAGACATGTAACGAATAATGAGTAACAAACAGTATCTTGAAAAATAGCAGCCATATTTAATTTGTATTGACATTGCATTTCCTTGCATCCAAATACTACATTTTGGTGTGTTGATCAACAAAATATCACAAGCTATTTAAGTTATACACTAAAAAAAACATTATTTCTATTTTTGGAGACAGCCATCTTGAAAAATGGGCGGCATCTTGGAATTTCCAATTTTTCCAAATGAACACTTAATTCGTGGCATTATTCACGCCAAATTCAGTGCTCGTTTCACCAAGTGAATGATTCTCATAGAACATTGACTCAATCTGCTGGATTATCTCTCTGTTATCGCAGGCCGCTCTGCGCGTCTCCTGCTCGCCATCGATATCAGTCGCTCCCAGATAAGTGTTGCTCGGGCTTCTCTAACACACGCACACGTGCACACACACACACACACACACACACACACACACACACACATGCACAAGTACACACAGCAACATCCACACTTGCACTAGTGCCCACACCCCTCCCGTGTATCCTCTCTCAGCCACCGGCTTCCTTGATGGGGAGAGAGGGGACTAGATGGACGGGAAGAGAGGAGACAGCGGGGATGTGACACAACAATGGCAGGAAGTGACTTCAGATCAATTGAGATAAAGTCAAACACAACAGCGGAGAATCACCGAGCCAGCAAACATCCCCAGAAAAGAGATAAACATGCAACACAAACAACTAAATGTGGCAAGGCCACAAAAAACCTTCAAGACAGCAGCGCCACCCGTAACGTGGCACCAGGAGATTTTTAGTAACAAATCAGGGTATGAAACATTTTCTGTGTTTGTTGGGAATCTGATTAAGTAAATATCCTCAACTACTGGAATCATTTGTTTTGAATTCCTTATATCTATTGTGAACAGCTGTAGGGCGCTCTGTATGTTTAAATGTGCTTATTACACCATGACCCGAGAGCTTTAATAGGCAATAACTCACAGCCGTGGTTATTTATTCCTGTCAACTCAAATAGCGTCTTTCTGTTTTAAGCTCATGTTTGTCCCAATGTTGATGGCCTCTAACTCAAATCTCTGTGAACACCATGCATCCGATATACGTTTTAAGATTTGGAGTTGTGCAACGTTACCGTTCTCATTGCCTTATATTTAAACCCAAACCAGTGAAGTGAAATACCATCATATGAAATAAACATACAAAAACATGTGCATTGAAAAACAAAGTCAAACAAATAGTTTGCAGGAAGTTGGAAGAGTCAACAGGGGTTGCAGTTGGAGAGAGGAGGAAGGGGTCAGCAGTTCAGAGGTCACAACAAGGTCCCTAAAACAGAAAACCCGATAGCTCTACTGGCTGTACAATCTCTAACCGGGAGCCTGCCCAACTTCAAACATACGGAAATCAAGTGGAAAGATGGCAGGAGATTATTTGTAGTGTTTTGGATCAGTTGCAAACAGAAAAAGACTTGCAGCACAGCAGCTAAGAGGCTCGGAGAAATATAATGCGCAACTTTGTCAGAGTCTAAAGTGAAGGGAAAGACTCATTACTTGGATGTGGATCTGATGTTGTTGAGCAGCAGCTAAAAATAAGCCTCATGATGATTCACGCTTCAGCTTGGACCACAGCTCAAAGGAGGATGTATCATTTCCCATTACTTATACTTATAACCCAAATGTCAGAAAACCCTGATGGATCTGAGATCATTAGCGATACACGTCCCGGCTACTGTTATCCTGAGGAGGACCATAAAATGACAACCCACATCCTGTCCACTGTCCTTTGAACAGAGCATCTGTCTGACCCCCGACACCTTCCACTCGGACTCTGCTTCCTGTCACACACGTGCAGGTCCGCTACCACAAAACATGGAAAAGCCCCAAATAGGAGCAGCGGTGAGTTGTCAGGCCTGCGTTAAAACACATGTACTGTGTGTACACAATATGGTGTTTTGCTTTTTATTGAATCGTGTTTTTGAGACAAAAATCCCACCACGCACACAAACACACACTGCCATAAAGGGCGCGGCGGCTTCAGACTATTATCAACCGGTTACTGTTTCAAATGTTATTTTGTGCCCCCGACCACTACCCCTTTTAATCCTGCTTGGGGTGGAGGGCACGATGGGGGGTGGCAGCCCGCGGATAAAGGTGCAGACCCTCAAGTCCTTGTTACCAAAAAGCTTTATAGGAGCTTTACAGCTCACGAAGCCAGACTTTAATCTCCCAGACGCTTCACACATATGTTCTCATGAGATATTCCACTCCACTATACCCACCCCCCCCCCCCCCGTAAACAGCTACATACATCACGTGTGCGGTGGGTATCTGTTTACACACACATTCAGTGCATGAGCATTGGAAATAGTTGTAAAGTCTGATAGAGGTTAAAAAAAAAAAAAAGTACAACATGAGGTTGGCGTTTCCTTCTTGACTCATAGGGTCGTAGCGCACGTAAACACTTCACAGTCGTACCATGAGGTAAATAACTGACCCACCGGCAAAAGTTCAGCAAAGTTTTGAGAGGCGGATTCAAAGTGTGCGCCACAAAGACCCGAGAGATGACCTCTGGGAAACACCGTGTCCTGCATCTGTCCTGTAACTACATATGTCCCCTTTCCTGGTAGATCACCCTTTGTAATGGGAACAATGCAATCGACGAGATGGAAGATAAAATGATTGTTGCCCGCGACGACTTTCCCGAGTTCTAAAACGCCGTCTCAGGGTGCAATAAACGGCTGCGTCGGGTTTCAGGCTCACAGACACAGTGTATCGCTCAAACCGGTCTGCCCGGATCCTATTTCACCTCCTCACCACCGCTATTAGCGCCACGTCGAGGACGTTTTTTATGGTGACACAGACCAATTTCACACAGCCTCGACTGGGAGGAATCCCGGCTGCAAACCGGGAGAATTGCACAAAAACGCGAGTAAACTAATTTCATGTGTCATGATGTTCTTGTAGACAACGCTGCCTCAGCGACAAGCTGTGGTGCCACAGAAGCTACAAATACTCCCATCTCAGACAGACAGACGGGTGGGGGCCAGGGCGGGGTCCGCTGGGGTTGGATTGGGGACAAGGGTGGAGTCGGGGTGAAAAGCTATCAATGTTTACAGACAGCAAAAGGCAAAAAAAAAAAAAGCGATGATGAGAGGAGCCGGAAATACATGCGTGCTTTAATGACACGCCGAGCACTCGACAGACACAAAAAAAGGCCGTAAAAGGCGGGAACGTGACTCGAGGTCAAGGAAAAATCCCAAACATCTCATTGAATTGTCGGGCACGATCAATTCAAATATTTCATTTTTGCCATCGTATTCACTCTTCTTAAAAGGGGTAAAAGTATGGAGGCACGATAAGACGGCCACAAATAACAACTGTAACGGATTTGTATCCAAAGGGACGCATCTCGCACTCAATTCACCAGCGGCTTACTTTATTAAAATGTAGCGAGGGAGCTCTGACTCGCCGAGTTCTTGGACTGCGGCCGTACCTTGTCGAGGAAGAAGAGGGAGAAGAAGAAGGAGGCCTATACACAGGCAGAAGCCTCCATTCAGGCACCAAAGGCAAATGGCCGGGCGAGGCGCTTTGGATGGTGCTGTGGGAATCGGCCCTATTTGAGATGCAAATTCCTCAAAGGGCTGAAAGAGCCGGAGAAACAGGTGTCCAAGGAAGTGTGCTGCTGCGTGGGGGAGTGGGGGGGGCGGTGGGGGGAGGCGTGAGGGCGCTGAATGGCAACACTGGGTGTATTGAGGTCCCGCTCGTTTGGAAACAAACTGTGGCACCTCTCTCGTCACATTTTCTTTGTTTCATATTAAATGAGGGCAGAAGTGAAAATAAAATGGGGAAAAAACATGACAGATGTGCATAAGATGGGAGATAAAACTTTTATTGATTGATTGAAATGTAATATGGCATAAAACAGCTTGATATGAAAATCAACTACGCAAGCAGATCCATAATAAAGTCCTACATGCTGATGAAAACAGCAGGGAATGTTGCACATTCACAAGTCCGAGGCTTAAAGAACGTCCTCTTTAATCTTTATAGTCGCAATGATTAGGAATAAGGAGCTCTTCAACATCCCTGATTAAGATTTTTGATACTGAAACAAAATGTAGGAAGAAAAAGAAGAAGAAAACACAGTATTTTAGAAGCCCACCTACATTCTGCAGTCCTGTATCCTACAGCATGACGGATAACGACTGATTTTAATCCCTGGATGAAGCCCAGTGGCGTGTTGGTTCAATGTGATATGTGTTCTTGCTACATATTAATGCATGCGTCATCTAAAAGCTTCAAAAGACGGTAAACAGTAGGTCCGAAAAGAAAGAAAGGGAACCCGTAGCAGATACTCAAAAGAAGCTCCACCGCTTTCAAAATGTGACCTGCGCCCACAGCGATGTTCCATCAGAGAGGAGCAGATACACACGATACTGTTGGGAAAGGGATTCTCTGGACAGGGAGACAAATGTCGATCGATTTCTTAATTGAAACATACAATTATTATCATCATCATCACACACTGTTTGGTAGATTATCGAAGATTTGTGGGTCCTTTGACTTTTCATCTCTTTTGTCGCCACACATTTTTTGATTAGTTTATTATCTACACACAAAGGTAGTGAAGTTAATTATTTGAGCTAAACAATGCCAGTAGAAAAACACTGATAAAGTAATAATAACTGTACTTCTTCATCTGTTCTTTTTCAGTAACTTATATGAGGTCGCTTTTTCCACAACAGGCTTTGCGGCACATTTCAGTGAGATTTTTAAGTTTAAGATTCTATTTTTTTTTAAACTCACAATGCTTTATTTGTCTTCTGTAGTAAAAATAGATATCTTCAAGTCAAAGGACCCACAAACAAAGGAAAGTAAGAAAAAGAAAATCAGCTTTGAAATAACGTTCTTCAGAATGGCATTTTATAGTTTCTCATTCACAACATAAATATAAACACGATCCTCTCTAAATCGTGTGCGGCATCACATTATGATTGAACGGCAAACAACAAAATCTATGGTGAAAATATGCGTTACAATTCTTTGGCTTAGTGGCACAAAAGGTTCCTTCACACTTCTTCCTTCATTGAGTCAGTTTTTGCGCTCGCAGCAAGGTCTCCCGCTGCTGCTGCTGCGACTGTGAGACAATCTCACGGCGCCCTCAAGTGTTGGAAACCAGCGGAGACAAGCGGCTGGACGCAGCTCAAAAGTCAAGAGAGACGCTCCGATAACACGAAGCTCTGGCGTTGTAACGGCTAACATGTAAGAGATAAGCGGAAGATCATAAAAAAAAAAAAGGTAAAGTGCTCTAGAAATGTCCTCGTCAACAGAGACAAAATCTGAAAGAATTGATAACCAATGGAAAGAAACAAAAAGTCAATTTAAAGAGTAAGAGGTAATCAGCAGCAGCTGTTAACAGTGAGTTAGCGAGTGTATATCACCACATGTTCAGTCATTTAGGAGTTCCATGTGCTTTCATGCTAAACCATTCAGGCAGATTAGCAGCATCGGAGCACTGGCATTTTTTCATGTAGTTCCTTCTTTTCCTGATTTTAAAAATAGCTATTTTACTAAAAGATATCTGGACTACCACAGACCCTCAGTCCCATGAAGGTTGGTCTTTGAACACAGTAATGAGTAAGTTAGTAAAGGCTGTGTAGAATGTTTTATGTCAGTAAATTGCTGACCCTTACCCTGCTAAAGGTATGTGTCATGCTCTGCACTCCCCAGACTCTCCTTGGACCCTCGTACAGCCGCGGGTTTAACGAGAGGTGAGGGGTCACCGGGAGGAAGGTAAGAATTAACAGTCTCCTGCGGCGGAACAACCGCTTTCGGTTTCTCTGCTTTAGTCCCTCCATTCTCCTCGGCGCCCTCTGCTCTCTGCCCACCTGTCTGGGGGGCCAATGAAGACTCCACAATAATGGTGGGCATCTGTCTCAGGTCCTGCCGACTGGGGGGCTCGGCAGCCATGATGGCCTTCGCGCCGTGCATCCTGGGAGGGGACTTGCAGTGCAGATCTCCGTGAGTCTCCTTCCAGCGACGCAGCTGAGCGTGGTGTTCCCGTTCAATGTCTTTCTCAGACACCTCTAACTCGATAATCTGAGACCCAAGATGGGGGAGGGAGGGTGATGTGAGCAATACCTGGGCTTAGCAGTTTAGCAGCACATATTAGGTGACGTGTTTTAAGAGACGACTGTACCTCGTGCACCAGAAAGGCTTCCTGCATGTACTGTGGCCGTACAGCTCGGAGCAGCTCCATCGTTTCGTAGAGACCTTGACAGGCCTTCAGTTTCTCTTGGGATCCCAGCATGGATTTTAAGAGAACCAGGCCCACACGAAAGATGATTTTTACTCCTAAGAAGAGCATCACATGAGACAACATGCAGCGATAGCAGCAGAGTACACTCATATCATAACAGAGAGATCAACAAGAGAGTTTTTCACTTGCAGCTTTAAACAAAGGTAACCTTGTACTGGAGTTTTACAGGTAGATGATATGCACATGATGGAAAAGTAAATACTGTTTGTGTATTTAACAAAACAATCCCTCATCATACAAACAAACAAAGCTGCAGTTTATGAGTTACGAAAAAACATTTTCTCGTTGTAAACTCTGTGAAGGCAACTTGTCAATTTCAGTAAAATAATCTGTCCGTAATTGTTGTACAAGTGTAGTATCTCACCCTCACAGAGGAACATGTCCCACACGCGAAGCACCGAGGCCCACGGCAGAGTCCGAGAGAAGGCGCACATGAACCACTCGGTCATGTACAGGATGGGCTCCAGCTTGTGCTTCTTCAGGTGACGGTGGGCCGCGGGAGACACGCGCCTCAGCAGAGCGTACAGGATCTCCCCGTCCAGCTGGATCGCCTCCTGTGGAGACGGCATGGGAGAGCAGTTAGTGGGGGTCGGGGGGGGCTTGAGAGACAGACAGATGGACGACTGACAGAGAAGACACATTGCTTAATCTTATTTTCTGATTATCGAGTCCTTGTTGACCAGTTCACACCTCACGTTATCAAGTCGTTAGCATGTCGGCGTCAAGTGGGGAGACGCCCTGGCCGGAGAAATCGAATACCATCAGCCCCGCTAAATATACCCTTTAACTGTTATCATTAACTTCTGTTTTACTGGTTAAACAGCCTGTGTGTTTTCTATGTTTGCTTACAGCAGACAATAGGTTCTCTTTTTTAAATTAATATTTATAGGGTTCAGCTAGATAATAATTGACATGCTGAACACTGTTAATATGTAATCCAATAACAGGTTAAACTCTCATGATATCAAAGTCTTCTTTTCAAAATGATGTGACAGTGTGTCTGAGTGGACCCTTACCAGCCCTGTACTGTAGTATCCAGGAAGATACTTCTCACAAATCTGGACAAGAACCCAGAATGCATCCTGTAAAAAAGAAAAAGGAACCATGACTAAGCTTTTATTATGGTAAAAAAAGATAACATAAGGATTATTATGTAGGTATTGATTAAGGTCTTATTCAGCACTAGTACCTGGTACTAATTGTCATTATGTATTGAAGATTTGTTGTTTTTGGAAGTGTTGAATGTGTGGTTACCTCTGCCGGCATGTGCATCAGGAGTACAGCAGCAATGGGAGCCTGAGCCTGACAGTAACCCTCTTCGGGGCGATGCAGCGTATAAGCCTTCAACACACGGAGCAGGTCTTGCTGCCTAAATAAAACAAACATGTGTAACTCATATTCAGAAACTATGCTGGGCAACATTAACACAGCGATGGGCATCACGGCGGGGCCTTTAGACTGCGACGCTTACCCGTGACCTCCTCTCGCTGCGAACATTTCATGGAAGGGGAATTGTCGATGGAGGTCCCTCTCAATAATATCGACCCACTTAGGATCTCCTGGCTGATTGTCCAGGGCCTGAAAACATATTTTATGATCAGCTTTGCAAGAGAAGACTTGTCAATTTGAGTCACTTTTTAACAGCAATTGTTTGGCGCAGGGAATTCTGGAACTCAAAGCCTCTGGGAAGTTATATCACCGGAGAGACAGCAGCCCCTCGGCAGGGATTTGGGCGCTATTCCACCATTTTGAAAACATTAAGCCAATAACTTTGGCAGTGATGTATAAACTTGACCGCTGAATTAGGAGAATGCATTGCTCACTTAGCACATTTTTGGGTGACAACAAGAAATGTCCAGGGGAATGACATCTTTTATTATATGTCAAATACCTCGATGTCAGCAGGGGTCACAAATGTATCCGACTGACCTGGAATTTGCCCTGGTTTTGCTCCCTTCTCACTTTGCCCCCGGTGAGGTAGAGCCAGGCCCGGCCGCGCAGGGATGGAGGGACGCCCTTCTGACAGCGCTCTTTCACCTGATATTCAACACACGCATAGTTACTCAAGAGCCTGCAGAAAGCAGCAGCTTGAATTCAGAAGAACGTAGTGGCGATTCAGTCACATTTCATTTCCAGCACAAAAAAACCCCACCTTCTTGTGTTTTTTGGCCATCCACTTGTCCCAGCTGTTGAGCATCTCCAGCCATTTTGCCTCCCGTTGCCTCAGCACCTCAGTGGGGATTTGCACAGCACTGTGGAAATGGGACACACAGGTCACACATTAAAGCCAACGTATTGTTTTCATTGAATACCGTCCTCAGAGGGGGCGAAACATTGACTCGTCGCTTCCTCGTCCACACAGGAAACTTAAGCTCAGACAAAACGGTCTAAACACACGCCATCAGCAGCGAGGTAACAAGCAAACAGGAAGCCGTGGGAGAAAACTATGTCAGTAATTCACCTCACTAGTCTTAACGAACATCAAAGTGGTCATATTGTTATGCACAGAATTTCCAGTCCCGGTCTACTAAACACAGGACTGGTAAATTTAGCAAACAAATTTAAACAAACTACAACTGGAGCTGACAGATATGATTTTGCATATAAAAAAAGCTAAAGAGAGGTAAAAAGCTTGAAATGAATTATCTATATTGGATGCAACAGAGACTCTGCTGATCAAATGAGTCTGAAATAACTAGGATTTGGACAGTTCTTTTCATGCCTTCATTTAAGAAGACAACCATTAGATGTTTTATGACACTTTATGAGCCAGTTCCAAATGACAAAGATTAGAATCCAGAGGCAACAGCAGCAGCACGGAGACTCAGAAACAGCCAGTCGCTTTGTGTCAGAGGGCTTCAGAGAGCTTCTGCTAATGTGCTGGTTTGGAAAGGTCAGCAAAGTACAGAATTGAATACACCAAAAATCCACTCGTTACTGGATCCAGTGGAGAGCGATGAGGACTCACTTAACGTGGTCACTTTGTTCGGGGACAGACGGAAGTTGAGAAAGGACGAAGGAACAAGGCTCAAGACTAATTTACAGGGAAACATGGTGATCTATGTTAGTGGTGAAAACTTTGAAATTGAAAAAAATAAAAGACATCATGTTCATATTTCATCCAACATATGACAAGGCCATGGGGTCACGAGAAGAAATATAGCCCAAAATATGCGTAAAATTAATGTTATTTATAATAACTTTATGAGTTTTCTTTTTGGTAAAGAAAACTAACGTTAATCCAACCGACAGCGTGCATGTCTGCATTTACCAGTGTGACATTCTCCCAGAGGATAACGTTATCTCACGACTCAGCCACAGTACCTTTACCTGTCCTCGGCTAGCTCAGGTGCAAGAAGGAAACGCAGTGGACACTTTCCACGAACACGGGAAAGACGTGTGGCGCTTAACTTACGACTCTCCACGCAGCTGCTGGGCCCCTCCCGTGAAGCCGTACTTGTCCGCCTGCTTGTCCCCGGGGACACCGCCGTTCGTCTCGGGGTCGGATCCGTGCGAGCTGGTCCCGTTATCTCTCAGCTCAGCTTTGCTGTCCCGCGAGACGAGTCCGTTGCCCGGCTCGATTTTAGCCATTTAAATCCACGCTCGCCTCAGCGTGAGCCGAATGCGTTCACGTAACTCACTTTCCCGACCGCTCCCGAGAGCTGAGCCGACACTTTAAAGCTTTCCATTCCGACGGCCGTTGGTTCGCTAACCCTCGGGTCACAGCTAGTTAGCTAACGGTAGCTAACGGTAGGCTAGCTGAGTTGCGGCGGTTAGGGAGATTTTCTCGCTAGTCGCTAGCTCCTTCGTGCTGTAAAAAGCCACTTTACAGCACGAAGCACGCGTTAGACGGCGCCGGGTAGCTTCACGGGAAATCTGTTCGTTTTCTTCACGGCTTCAAAGTCCAGGTTACACAGAAAAGGAGAAAAATGGTCGGAGGCAAACTCAAAAAAAGCCATTCAAAACAGCGCAGAATCGGCTTGCTAACATGCTAGCATCACAAAACCTGTCAGCTGACACCGGGATTTGTAAACCTCCTCGGTCCGCAGGAATGTGGGTTAGCTGGTACAGGAAGAGGAGCTGGTGAACAAAACCGTACAGCTCATTGATGCATATGTGTCCATATTTGTCCATTTTATCTTCCATTTAGACATTTTAAATATTTTTACTGAACAAATTTGGGGACTTGTCAAATTTAAAATATTTTTAACTCCCGGAAATGCTATCATAAAATTACAATTACACAACTAATATCTGACAATGAATGACCTATTAACTTTCCGAACAGAATGTTTGGTGCAAAAGATAAAAGAGAGAAAATAAACGTACTCATAATTTATTCGCCTATACCATTGAATCACACTTTGAAATGCTCATGTGCGCCATTCCCTTCATCATCTTAATTATTACACCATTTAATCATGAAACATGTATTACATTTTTAATCATTCCATTCCAAATTGATGAAGAATGTAGCAAGTCATTATCTGCTAACTACACATGGTGTTATAATTAGGGCTTAATGCGTTATACGCGTGTTTATCAATCCGTAAACTTTAAGCACTTTTAAATAATGGACCTTTCATTTTAAACCTCTACCAGACGGAGTAGTTGATAAAATCAGAGCTCTTTCTAACCACTGCAAACTTAACTTATCTTATAAATTCACGTGCGACCTTTGTCCGCGTGCACGCTACCAGAGCGAGCGCGCGCCCCCTATCCGCATATAATCTGGGAAACAAAGCACAACACAGCATTGATGCAGCCAACAAACTACCCCAAACAACCACGTTGTGCCAAACATGGGCAAACTATTTTGGATGCGGCGTGCGAGAGAACTGTCGACAAACCAATGCAAGAAAAAGTCAGCAAAAAGTGGATGTTAACAGTTAATTTTATTTTTCTGTCTTTACACAGAATGTTTTTTTTTTCAAAGCACTTTTTTAATTACAAATCATAGACAGACAATTCGAAATGATGCATATTCACAAATGCCTATTCGTCAATGAACAAATACACTGCTGATCAGACGCTCAATAAACAAACTCATTTCTTCAGGATTGCAGTGATCAAAAGCTCGCTATTTTCCATAAAAAGTCCACAGGAATACATTCCACTTTTTCAAAAACTGAATAGTTGAGTTCTTCACCCTTTTGAGCGTGGCCAGACCCCAAAACCACAAGCCCGACTCTCGTCTTCTGCCGATTGGTCTCAGTGGTCCACAGGTTCAGAGAGTAGCGAAGGTGACACTCTGATGCAGGACGGGGTTCTGATCCGAGAGCAAGCACCCAGCGCTGTACAGTTACCTGCTTCATTCTGCACTGTTCACCTCATCCCCAGCATGCATGGGCAGGTCAGGGAGCTGGCGCGACTTCTTCAGGTTAAGCAGGCACAGGCACTGGGATCTGAAGCGCAGGTCGAGGAAGGCGTATAGAAAGGGGTTGAGGCAGCTGTTGAAGTAGGCCAGGCAGGTGGCGTAAGGGTGAGCCACCAGCAGGAAACGCAGGAAACTGCAGGTGGAGGGAAAGAACTCGAGGTAGAAGAGGGCGTCGGCGGTCTTCACGAGGTGGAACGGCATCCAGCAGGCGGCAAACACCACCACCAGCGTGGTGATGATCTTCAGCAGCCTCCTCTTACGCTGGTCCTCCTTGCGCAGCGTGTTGAAGTGGCGGGTGACGGTGCAGCCGATGAAGACGTAGCACACCATCATCGCCAGGAAAGGTATGAGGAAGCCCAGAGCCGAGGAGGAGATGCTGAGACCAGTGATCCACAGGTTCTCTTGGTCTTTCCTCGTCGTCACCAGGCTGAAGTCCATGCTGCAGGTTGTGCGGTTGGTGTTCGCATCGTATTTGGTGGTGCGAAAGAGCAGCTTCGGAGCCGCCAGCACACTGGACAGCAGCCAGATGGCCGCCAGGCAGGCTTGCATGCGCAGCTGGGTGCTGGGCAAGGAGTGGACGATGGCCAGGTAGCGGTCGAAGCTCATGCAGGTGAGGCAGAAGACGCTGGCGTACATGTTGAGCAGGACCACGTAGCTGCTGATCTTGCACAGGGCCACCCCGAAGGGCCAGTGGTAGCCCATGGCGGTGTAGACGGCCCACAGAGGCAGAGTGACCACGAAGGTGAGGTCAGCCAGGGCCAGGTTGCCGATGTAGACGTCGGCGGCGCGCCGCTTGCCCTGCGCCCTCCAAACGGTGAAGATCACCACTCCGTTTCCCGAGAGGCCGAGGATGAAAATGAGCATGTAGAGCACGGGGATGACGGAGTATGACGGCATCCACTCGGAATAGTCGCACATGGTGGAGTTTTCTGCCTCGTCGTACTCGTAGTAATCATAAGGACCTGCAGTTGGCTCCATCTCTGTTTTTTGTTATTGTCCTTAAAAAAGGAAAAAAAAGAAGAGGGAACGATCTGTGTCGTGTAGATAGATCCAAAACAGTTATCAGCACTCTGATGTCTGTAGCAACATGTGAAATCTGCCCAACCTTATATACCCCCCACCCAGACTTGAAACCTCCCCGGACGCCCCTCCTCCCCTCCTCGCCTCCCTCTGCCCTCCAGAACACACACTCACTGCGTACATGCCCTTCTCTTTATATTCATACATTTTCCTCAAATGTTGATAGATATATACTTTAAAGGAAATATTATTTGGTCCACCCACTCACTTTTTTTTTCTGAAGGCGTGATGATCTAGCTGTAGATAGAGATGCATCTGATGCACAGTGTCGTATTCCGGAAACGTTGCTAAATTAATCAGGTTGTCTTGCGTCTATGTTGTCTTGTGATTTCCTGTTTTATGTTTGAAAACTTTCCTCTCGTTACAGGTGTGACAACCTTCTCCTTCCCCGCTGGTCGATTGACTCCCTCTTCCCTTACCTTGTGTGTATATATTGTGTGTGCCTCCCTTTGTCCTGCGCCAGGTCGTCTTGTCCCTCGTACCAGAGAACCCGCCACGCCACAGGATTCTTGTTCAATCTCAAGAGTTTCTCTTTTAGTCTAGCTGTTAGTTTCTAGCTTCTAGTCTTTCCTCTTTCAAGAGTGAGATTCATTTCTTTTGCCTTTCGAGTTGCGCAATTGGCTTCGGGTCCATTGTCGGTCGTTACAGCACCGCCTGACAAAAATCTGGAACCTCCTCACGCAGCCTCCATCGTTTCATTCAGAGTCCTTCGTGTTTGTCCTGCCAATAGCCCACCTGTGTCTCAGATTGATTGTGGTTATTGTTGGTGCTGCCATCTCATGTGTGGCCGTGTGCTGTGAATCACACATCATGAAGGCCACCACACTCCTTGTGTTCGTGCACCCTTCTGCACTCAGTAACCGACGTATCCGGGTTGTCGGAAAAAATATCGTTGCAAATAGTCTGCTGCAAATGTTTGCAGGTACCCAGGCTGGTCTCAGGTGCCGTTGAATGTCGCATTCAGAAGTAGCGAACCAGTTTGCATGTTGTCGTTTTTGTCCTGCAGGATCAGACCCACGGAGTACACGTGACTCGTTTTAATCAGACTCTGGTTATGGTGTCTGGCCTCGGGATTCCACGTTTCCCTCCCGAGCGTTTTCTGTTCCCCTTTGACTATTCGCCTGTTTTTTTTTGTTTGTTCACTTCCCAGGTCGTATGGGAAATAAAATCATTTGGCTACAAATCAAACTGCTGTGCGTGTGCATTTGGGTCCACCAACTACACCATCTAACATGTGCTTCATTAAAGCTTTCAATCACTTGCATCTGTTCCGGAGTATAAAAAAAACCCTCATGAAAATACTCAAACAAATTTAGTATAAATACTAGATTCTTTATTTAAATATTTTACATATTTCAAAACATATTTACAGAAATTAGACCTGCATTGTTTCACTGTAGACATAGGTGCATCTCTCACACACACACACAGACATCGCTTGCTGAAAAGAGGACAATCGTACCATACAGACTGCAGAAGCCACTTTGAGTACAACTTCACAGGAGAGAAGGACGTGGGGAGACTTCACTTACATCAAACACAAGGGCAGCACGGCCGGGACAAGACACCACAAGCTTGCAACGACAGGAAAGGCCTCGATTGCAGGTTTAGCTATTTGTTAAGGCTGAAACTGTGCTCGCCCCATTAACATTAGTTCACAGCACCATTACCCATCTAAACGCCCCTCCTTCGGCATACGAGTGACATCTGTCAAGTATAGGGCGATTTTAAGTAATTACAAGTTCAGAACTTTTAAACACCAATGATAAAACACCGGAGAAAAAAAAGCAACAGATGACAATTGTGACAAAAGAACCCAAACGGTGCCAGTAGCTGAGACAGAAGCCATGTAGATACTATTTTACTAATAATGGTGTCGTCTATATGTATATATGGCTTTCCTTCTTTGGTGTCATAACCGGTCTTATACTTGGTTGTAACCAAGGAAATATAACTGAAACGCCACAGTATGATGCTCTGATAAAACTACTTTAGGCATAGAGAAGGCATTTCAATGCCCCTCAGAACATTTCCGAAGACATTTACAGTACTGCCGTGAGATGTTTGTAACAACAAAGCGTTGTGTATAACATACACAAACAAAATGTGTCTTTGGTTGCCCCTGGATTTAAACTGTAAAGATATTGTCCAAACCGCTCGGGTGAACGGGTTGGACAAGGGGCAGACGATCATGAGCAGAATTGTAGATTAGTGTCATTTAAAAATGCCATTTGATGAGTCTCACACACACACACACACACACACACACACACACACACACACACACACACACACACACACACACACACACACACACACACACACACACACACACACACACACACACGTACACGTACACAGACATTTGAATTACAAAAGGGAAGCAGCAAACACATTAAAAAAAGAAAAGAAAAAAGAAAGGGAAATACGGTACTGAAAGAACACACACCTGATTCTCATTAAGATGGTAGGATCTACAATCCAGCCTCCACGTTTCATGTCAGCAGTTTACTCCTATTTTTAGAACTAAATGACATTGACAAAATACATATTTTCCTGCGTGACCCGTTATTGCAATTGTAAGCATTCCCAAATGCTAGCTTTAGCTTTGTGGGACGACAGACATCCACATTAAAATACACCACATATTCCAATAACGACTTCTAACATTTATACCTCTCACATGCTTTTCCACCCTTCCTACCACACGGCCGTTGCAGCGATCTATTCTTGTTCATTTCAGCGAGTGCAAGTGTAGGATAAATAAAAATAAAAAAAACTCAGAGATTAACATCTATACAGGAAAATATATCTATGAATGCACATGTGTACATCCTCCACAAAAGTAACAAAATAGCTCTTTGCTTTAATAACCAAAACAACAGAGAGGCCAGAATCAAGCCCTAAAAACACAAAAATATTTACAACTTATCAGGATGTGCGCACTGACCGATCGAAGTGGTTTCCCTTTGATTAATAGTTGGCTCTTCCATTGCTCACATTCCCAAACCCAGGAGATTGAGACCCAACCTTCTAATCCCAATTCTCTAATGACACCCATCCATTGTTATGCTTTGTTCGTCCACAAGGAGGAGCAGGCGAACGACTGGAAACCCCAAGACAGCCAGCCGGGTTCAACGGTCTACTCACTACTCTCCCAGGGAACCTTCGCCCGCTCACGTCACACACACAAGGGTTTACTGCACACAGGGAGACCGATGGGAACGCCGTAGCCCGTCATACTCATGGTCGACACGGAGTCCTAGCTGCCTGCTTCCCCTCAACCGTTCACGCAGCAAAAACAGAGGAAGAGAACAAAAATGTACACAAGTGGCCGTCGGCCCGGGCGGGGAGGGGTGTGTGTGCTGTGATGTCGGGCCTCCACGGCGACCCACAGGATGCAGCGCGTTTTTGGAGAGGTGTAAGATTCAGGCGGACGGGAAGAGATGATCAGCCCCAGATAAGCGTGCGCGCACACAAACACACACACACTCTCTCACACACACACACACACACTTTCAATCTGTATATTCAGCCACAATGGACAGCAGCACCGTGATATCATCTGGCTTCCCTCCTGAAGAACAAAAAGAAAAAAGTGAGGATCTGCAGTAGGAAAGCAGCCATTACACTTTTGTAGCATGTTTAAATATTGTAAACGCTAAAAGTTGAATTATTTAACATCTGATCATTTTAAGCAGAGAAAAATATATTTGCAACATATATCCTCTTATTCATTTACAGTCCTACCCAATAAATACATTGTCTATCGTCTATTTTAGAGGAACATCCCCACTTGAAATATGTGTTTATACCAAAAACGCAGCATCTAAAGCCCAGAGTACTTACCCCTTACATTCAGGCCATTGTCACAGGCAAACTGTGCAAAGGGAGACATATAATTGGGGTCATAGGCAAGGTCGTGAGCTTGCTTTGCAATGCTCTGTGCAGTCTGCAGGATGCTGTCATAGTTGGAAGTCTGAAAAGATAAAAAAAAAAAATCATTTTTAAAAGAGAACCAAGTATGGATGTTGACCAACAACAAGAAGCTGTGTGTGAAAGCTTGAATAAGATTTCAGAAGCGACACCTTAAGTTTTTTGAGCTCCTGAAGAATCATGTAGTCTGGCATGTTGTCAAACAGGCCGTCGGTGGCCGTCAGGATGATGTCACCGAGCTGCACATCGAAAGAGGAGCTGTCAGCTGCTTCGGGGCTGGAGAAAGCAGACGGCCACGGAAAGTTTAGTCACAAGTGTAATAGGAACATGCGGCACCTGAGCTGCTGTCAGAGTTTCCAAATTGGAATTCGAGGAGGTCAGAGTGCCTGCTTGATTCCAACACATTGCCTCGAAAGCAGCTTGGCCAGTGTGTCCTTACGAGACGTCTTGTTGCGTGCTGGAACTATAACTAACCTTATGCTTTGTTTTGAGGATTTATTTATTATAAAAAAGGTGGCATAGAACAATAAATGTATCCTACCTTTAAAAAGCAAAAGTATCTTGGGAAAACACTGGCTTTTTTCAAGCTGCTATATACTTCATATAACTTGACTTTCCATTCCGGCCATTTAAGAACATATTATCATGTATTTAAGGCATGAGGAGCTGCTTAGTTTGGCTGGTAGTGCGACACCAAAGCAAGTATTGTTTGTCCTGCAAACATTGTCGGAGAGTTCCAACTGAAACTATGTTTGCTGCTCACATAGGATGACGCATTTTCTGGACTGATCCAGTTCTTTGAGCAAACCCAACTATTGCAAGTGCAGACGTTAAAATCTGAGGCAGGAAGTATCAAAACAGTACAGTGCTAAAGGGACGATGTCACTTTCACCACTCTCATCCACTTGCATAAAGATTCCTATGTAGCGTCTCGTGAAGCTACCAGTATCGCCTCTACAATAAATACATTTATTATGGCTGTCAAAATTAACACGTTAATCAATGCAATTAATGTGGCCGAGATTAATGCAATCAAATATATATAATTTAAAAAAAGAATCGCAATAATGAATTTCAAAATGTGTGATTAGTTAATTACCAATTACCAATTGAAAGCTCTGAATTGTATTTCTATTCATCATTTCAAATTGCATTCACACGGACATGCGCGCTGGCATCCAGCACTGGAAAACGGACCTGTCACTTAGCACCACCCCTTCAGCTCCAGGAGGAGCAATGGACAGCTGGAAAGGCGTGTTGAAATAGTGCTGCTGCTCGTCCGAGCGATGAACCACCTCTCCTTCCCGAACCACCAGGAAGCCCGAGTCCCCGAGGTTGCACGCGTGTAACCGGTGACTCCGTCGATCCAGAGCGACGATACAGGCCGTGCTGCTTCCTGCAGAGGAGAGCGAGAGTAACATTATGGGTGATGTACATATGGTGAACAATCCCCAAACATTCATTTTCCAGGGAGGCCTGAAAAGAGGCACGGGCTAAATTAGTGTATTTCTATATACTGCTAAAAGCAGTTCACAACCTTCCTCGTGGTTCCTCCAGTTTACGATGCGATTTGCGTGTGAAAAATGGGGAGAGAATATTAAACACAGGGGTCGTGGAACGTGCCTGTTCCAGGTCAGCAGGGACTGCGGTGTTAGACGGCAATTGTATGTGTGACCTTGAGCAGTGACGGCCAGGAGCAAACCTGGTAACCGCTTCCCAAAATAAAAGTAGGCCATTTGATAAACATCGTGACGAGAGGTGAGCCGGTTAACACACGTGCTCGCTGTTACTCAGAGATACGAGTCTCAGGAGAAATGCGACCTTGGTCACATGTTTGTCCTGTGGACGGTTTTAAAACTTGTACAACCCTCGTGCAGTGTCTGTTACAGACGAATCCTTGACCTTTTAAAGGGCTGGTACGTAACAAAATGTTCGCCCCGCGTAGAAGGGAAAACGGTTTAACCCCACGGGGTCACTGGGTCTAACGTTCGAAGTGACAGCATTATAAAATACAGTCCGATTCAGTTATTATCTTACCTCACAGATAACAAAATAAGATGATCAGAAATTTTATGTATTACTTTTATGCAATCGCATGTAGTACGTGGCAGGCAGGCCCCACCATCCCATAGCATGACCCATGCACCAGCTTTGTTGTGCATTTCTCAGAGTATGGCTGGTCACATGGGAAGCATCGCTACTTCCACCACGACTGTGTGTGTTTGTGTGTGTATACACACACCGAGGGGTCGTCTGCGTGCACTCACCTAGCAGGGGGACTTTGTTCTGGAGGAGCTCGTAGTAGCCAGAGGTCAGGATACCCACTGGGTTACTGGGAGTGAAGCGTCCCTCCTTCACCAGTCGCTCACAGGTTCTCATCAACGTGGCGGAGAACTGGGACGGGTCGACGCCGTAGTCACGCCAACCGCCTACGCCGTCTGCAACACCTGATGGACGGAGGGAGGGATAGATTTTTGATCCAGTGGTGCTGGTGGTGGTTGTTGTTGTATCAGTACAAGTTCATGTTCAGACATCAATTAAAATGCTGCTCCCACTCACCCAACATCCTCTGTAGAACAATGAGGAAGAACTCAATAATAAATAGGCTATAACTATTAGGTCATTACTATTATCAAGCAAAAAGCCAAAGTCTGTCATGACGACCGTCATGACAGACTTTGGCTTTTTGCTTTTTTTGTACTTTTCTTCAGAAGAGTTCAACACATTTTTTTGTTTAGTTTTTTTACACACAAAGCCATTTCTGCTTATTGGTGGATGCTCATCAGATCTGGATATTTATTCGTTTTACTTCACGTCCTGTACATTACTTGAAGCCACCTGGTGCAAGAGTCGAGTCAAGTTGTTCACAGTGTTAAACCGTCCTGCCGACTGTGCGGTGAGAGGACAAAGCGATCACAACCGACTAAGCTAGCCGGCTAACGCTGTTAGCAAGATGGCGGCCTCCACGCTCAACCATTCTGACCTTTGCGAGACATTGTCGTGCAAAGTCGGAGGAACTGTGCGAGGTGCGTTTTTAAGTCCCGTCCACATTTAATCGTGGAAAAACCCCACGTCTCCGCCCGTTGGACGCGTTAAATATCTCGCGCTGCCGCCGCGCATCCTCCAGTAGGAGCTCAACTAGGTGAAAGGTCGTCCGGGAACTCACCTCGAATCAACCCGCAAACGTCACGGCGCAATCGCAGTTCACGCCGGGAACTGCGCGACTGCAGATCTATCGATCTTCCGAGAGGAACTACCCGGATCCAGGGGGGAGCTAAACGCAGCCTAAATAACGGTGAACAGGGGATTAAAGTCGTGGCTCTTTGTAGGGGGCTGGAGGGTTGTTGTGTTTCCATCCGAGGGGTCACTACAGGCACGGGTGGGGGGTAAACTAAATGAAGGTCACCCGAGCACTCGGGGTGTGTAAAATCCACATGCGAATTTCAAACAGAGCTCACCCAAAACATCGGCGTTCCTGTTCTGCGCTATGAAGCACGCGTCGTCGCCGTAGCACATCCCCTTCTTCAGGATGCCCTTTCGAAAGTCTTTGCCGAAGCCATAGCTGGCGGTGATCAGGCTGTAGTCCCGACTGTCCGTCTGAGAGAGTCCGCCCAGGACAGCCCTGGCTACCAGTCTGCCATAAGACAGTACGGATAACATCCCCTTCCGAGCAGCGACCCTGTCTTGTTTAGAGTACGCACACGCTGTCTCCCCCCTCTCTCCCCTCTCTCTCCCTGTGTTAACACCGACCCAGCCGCCTGACCTGTTAGTCTGCTATTTCCTGTCTCTTAGCCCGCTGTCGTGAAATAGTAGCTCGGCCTCAGCAGCTGCTAACTCGACTAAAACGCCACCATCCGTCCGGGCAGATCGACGTTCACTTTATGTCTTAGGTGTCCATTTCAGAAGCGCAGTTCCTCCGCACGGCTCTCTCCTCCCCGACATGTTTCCGCTGAGTGCCGGATAGAATGTCGCGAGGACATACGGGTATTTGACAATTTACAATATTGACGTCACGGCTCAGTGACATCGTCCAATGACAGCGCAGTGTAACCAACCTGCTTCCTGGTTCCCCTCGAACGCGCAGATAGGCCACTGGGACGATATTACATGTGCACTTGTTCTGAGTACCTGGACAGAATAAACGGAACACAGGCCGACCACCTTTGCGCCCACCCTTAAAACGGCACGTTTGTGTAAATAATAAAGTAATGTTATAACTTAACATTGGCTCAACAAAGTATAAAGCCACTCAAAACACCGATATATCGTATACTTGCTTGTGTTTGCGTAACTACGTAACGGTTTTTCGACCCTCCCCTTGAGGCATTGGAGACTGGTGGGGGATGTTTTGGTTTATGTACAGGAAGTGCAACGAAACTGTCGTTTTGAAGTGGACAGACGCAGATCTTGTATGCAAATTAATTGTAACTTTCTTCAAACTAAAATAACCATTGTCTTTCTCACCCGAATGTAATTGCACAATTAATATGTTCAAGAGAATATTAAGATTTTGTGATATTGGTTGCTTCTTGCCATAGTTTATTCATTCCCAAGTGTAGTCCTCTGTGCTATTAGAATGAGAGTCTGAAAATAGGAATTTTATTTCTTGTCGTTCTTTCGTTCTTTCTTTTTTTTTTTTTACTTCATCACGATCGTCGCATGGGCGTCGCAGAAAACTGTGGCCGCCCCTCTTTCCTGCGCCGGCTGCTTGCTGATAGATAAAATCGACCGCACCCCCCAGCTCCATTCACCGCCATAGCCAGTGCACAGCGGAGCCGCTGCAGAGAAGCCATCAGCGTATTACCGACCAATTACCCTCGAAGCGCATAGATACACCGCCTGTTTACGGTAAGAAATAATGCAGTTATACGCCATGTTGCTGTTTTATTTGTCTTTATCACCGATTCACTATGTGATGAAGCGATTGTTTTTATGTAACAATGCGCGGAATAATAACGCTCGGTGACGGAAGCGTTAGGTCATCGTTTTAAAAATACGGCTCATCGTTTGCTCAGTTGTTATGACCAGCATATTGATTAAAATCCCCTCGGACCCTTTCTATCTCGATAATAATCCAAATAATGAGGGAATAAGGGGGTTAGTTCTTGAATATCGTTGTAACGATCAGGTTATGGATTGAATTGAACTATGCCTGACTATATGGCCTATATAAGAATATAACAAATGGTTATATAATAATAATATATCGTCGCTAAATGGTAAATAAAAATGCCATACTAGTCCGTTTTGCGTGTAAACAACACAGATAGGACTGTTTGTTTTTTAGAACGTTTCATTATTGTTATGACCATAACATTGAAATTCTTCACTCAACAGGGCCGAGATGGGAAAGGTGGGTGAGTTGGTCCGGGTTTCCCTTCTTATTGTGTTCCTCCTGAACACTGAATCGACATGGGCCAAAAGAGGGAGCAGTAGCAGCAGCAGCAAGAAAACCTCTACCAGCAGCAGGGGGGGGACGCAGTCGAAGCCCTCCGCGAGCTACCCTCGACAGCCACAGAGTCCCAATCGTAACCCCAATCCATATCCTCCTGGTGGAAGTTACCCTGGAGCAGGCAATCCAGCAGGAGTCCCCAGACAAAACCCACCTGCAGCTGGATATCCAGTCGCGGGTGGCTATCCGGCTGCGGGTGGCTATCCGGCTGCGGGTGGAAATCCGGCCGCCGGTAGATATCCGGCCGCCGGTGGAAATCCGGCCGCCGGGGGCTATCCGAACCAATACCCTGGGAGAGGGAATTATCCAAATCAACATCCACCTGCTGGAGGCTACCCAGCTGCTGGAGGCTACCCAGCTGCTGGAGGCTATCCCAACCAATACCCGGGCAGAGCTGGCAACCCAGGAGGATATCCTGCAGGAGGATATCCTGCAGGAGGCTACCCTGCTGCAGGAGGCTACCCAGCTGCAGGAGGCTACCCGGTCAGAGGGGGAAATACAGGTTGGGGTCAACCTGGTGCAGGGGGTTACCCTGGTGGAGGGGGTGGTGCCTACCCCGGTGGAGGGGTTGGTGGTTATCCTGGCGCAGGGGTGGGTGGTTACACCAACTGGAACCCAAATAATAAGATCCTCAGTCCCCGCTATGGTGGGGGAGGCTACGGCGGGGGAGGCTATGGTGGTCAAGGGATGGGAGGGTCACCTTTCTCTCGTTCCGTGCAGGGAATGGGTTACCAGCCCAAGTCTTCAGGTTTTGCCAAGAAAGCCATGCTGGCAGCGGGCGTAGGGGCTGTGGCCGGGATGGCTGTTGGGTATGGACTAGGTCGCTTCCCTCGACCCCACTTCAATTTCCGTAACCCTGAAGAAGAGCAGTACTACAACAACTACATGTACAAACGCTACGGCACCCAGTCCACTGATGAGAAGGACTATGGCCGCGATTACGTCTACAGGCCTCCACCACGGGCGGAGTCTTACGACAAATTCATGGAGCGCTGCATGAACAGGACCGACCTCCTTAAAGATGAAGGGAGCAGCTCGACCAGGCCCAAGAGTCAGGATGGAGTTGGCCAAGTCGCGGACGACACGGTCAGCATCGAGGAGATTGGGTACCCGGCCCTAATTGAGCAGATGAAGGCCCGCCGCTGCGTCGAGCAGTTCATGGTGTACTCGGAGCGCTTTCTGCAGGAACGAAAAGCCGAGCAGCAAAGCCAGGCGAATCGCAGCAGCCCTCTGAGCGACGGGACGATTCAGCTTTTCACCTCCTTCCTGATGCTACTTTCCAGCATGCTTCTTCTCCAGTGAGAGCTATTAGTGTTCGTTTAAACATAACCCTAATGGATGGCCATTATATCTGCACGTCCACACACTGCTGAAGTATATTATCTCCATAGCAAGCTCTCTGGGTCTCATGTAGTCAATCCTATCGCTATTATCGACACAGGTAACCAATGTTGATGTATATACTAACTAAATGAGTACATTGTAAGAGGCAGCAGAGTATTTGTTTCAAAATGTTACAGTTATATCATCAGTTGTGTGTTGTACAAGCTGGACTAATCTTGTTTATGTTAACTCTTTCAATAAGTTATTTAGCGTCTGTGTTGCTCTGTTTCATGTTTTTTCGCTCCACATTATAATACACTGAATGCATAGAAAACAGATTACAGGAACTTTAGTTCAGCTTTTGTAACAATTTGCTGTTATAGCACGACTGTGTAAAGCCGGAATTTGTATGTACAAAAAAAAAAAAAAGGAAAACCATCCTATTAACATTTAGTCAACCTTTTCATCTGAACACTACAATTCAACTGAGCGATTTTCAATTGGTTAAATATACTTATTAAAGGAGTCATTTGGGGCAAATTGAGAATAAATATTTATGTAATTTGGCAATGGAAACAAATGGATAGACTTGTTTTTCTTTCTGAGGACCGCTCACCAAAAGGAGAAGAGCATTGTTTGTTTGTGTACTGACCACGAGGAGGCCATTTAACGGTACAAAAACGAGGCATGTGCTCATTTTGATACACTTGATCCAATCAATTCAAAATTCCCTTAAAACCACCACGTCGGTAAATATTTGCCACCCATACTTGAAAACCATCCGTCAAATGGCAATCTTGAACTTGTATGACCATAATCTAATTAAGACTCAAAATGGGGAACTGTTCCCCTTCAAATCCTGGATGGCATGCAACGACCCTTGATAGTAAAGAGGCCTCTCTGGGCGTCTTTCTTTTGATGTGATTTGTTGAAAACAGCAGCCGAGGCTTCGGGTTTGTGCAGCGCTCCGTGTGGTTTGTGAAAACTGGCGTTTTGAGGCCCATCCTTTTGGTTTTAAACAGATGAGGTCCGCCACCATTCCCGATTTTTAATCCTGAATTCTGGCAACGCAGAAGTAGATTTCCAGGTGTTGACCTGTGCATACATAAGTCTGCTGGTCCGTGCCACCCTTTTCATCTTAATGGGTTTGTGCATTTGTTTATTGTGAAGCTTCCTGTATATTTCTAAATTATTTATACATTTATTTTACCGTTGAAGCTTGTTTTATTTTATCTGACTGTTTCAATGACTTATTCCCTTTTGGGTTTTGTAATATAAAAAGCACTTTGCGACTGTTTTGGAAAAATTCTCCATGTATGAACTTTGCAGGCTTTTCCAGAGAGTTTCACACAAGTAAAAAGTTCAGATGAGAAAACGCGTCATTGTCTTTTTAGTCCGCTATTTGGACAGTGGTGTATTCTGACTACTCTGGGTAATTATTTAGTGTGTCACAACAAAGAAAGTCAAGTGGATACTGTCTTGTTGTTGACGGCACATCTGGAAGTGAGCATTTGCATTTTCTAAAGTGATTTTATTGTCTTCTCATGTCACTTTTATTCCTTGAATCTCTGTTAATCTGTTTTCATACTGCACCCTGGGTCTTTACATTTTCATATTGTAGGCTGTAGAATATCTGTGAAGTGCACTTATTCCCTTTGGGTGTAGATATTCTGTAACTGTCATTGAGCTCATAATGGGAATATAGACATCTGTGTAAATCTAACTCGTAGTTGTAAATGCTTTGGGTTACTAAACTGGTTTGTCATGTTTATGTCTTCAATAAAATAACTTACACTATATGTTTTGATGCCTGGAGTACTAATTTCACAAATGCACATATTCTTGTTCACACTTAGTTTCTAAATATGAAATGACATAAAAAATAAAAATAAAAGAATGTACGTAATAAAGATTTATGTTTCCAATAGTTATTTTTGTTTTGACAGGCATATATTCAGTTTCTGACACAACATTTCTGAATTATAGAACCTTCAATTATGTGTAAATATGTCTTAATATATTTTGTTAAAAGATGAAAAATGCCAAAAGTATTTTTAAAGTAAACGTGTAATTAATCCCCAAATTTGATTTATCAAATGTGAGAATTGGCCTTTTTCTAATTATAATATTAGAAATTGGAATTAAAAGACATTCAGTTTTATTTACAGACTGTTTTGCAAAGCAAGTTATTAAAATGAAAACGTACAAAAATGAGTTGCATTCCATATGTTGATGCCCAGCTCAAGTTCCTTATTAATGTAAATCAAAATTGGTTGAAATGTATATTTAAATTAAAGAATGAGGCTGCTAAAGTCTCAGTAAATACTGGACCCTACACTTTTTTCACAAAGTCATTCTACCATAATTACCATCCAACCTAAATTAAACAAAGTACAAGAAGCATAATTTGTTCAAAGCAGCTTTTATTTCATTTGATTCAACGACCGACTTGTTTCTCCAGCGACCAGACGTGTTAAATGTCTCCTATCCAGGCGGCTACGAGGAAAGACACCGCGTGTCCCAGCGTGAGGACGACGCTGGTCGTGGGAGCGGCCGCCTTTACGAAGGCTCTCCACGGCGACTGGTTGGGAGGTCTTTGGCTTTCGTTGTGGTGAAGCCGCTGATCTTTCTCAGAGGAAGCCGCCTTGTGGCCGTGGTGACTCCCAGATCTGTGCTTTGACTTCCCCAAGAGCCCCAGCCCGGTGCCAGAGCCCCCCAGCATGCCGGCCGCTGCTGCAGCTCCAGCCCACTTCAGGCCCTGCTTGGAGAGGCCTCGGCCCGGAGGGGAAGGTGCCTTGCCATCTTTGCCATCTTTGCCATCTTTGCCATCTTTGTCGTCTTTTTTTTTACCCTTGAAGAAGCCTCCTCGCTTACCGTCTGCACCTGGGCACAGAGTTGCCACGAGCAGCAGCCAAACCCACAGGCAGAGCAGCCTCTGAGGGCCGGTCATCACTGGAGATCTTTCCTCTGCAAAAACACACCTGTGCCATCAAAAGCTTTGCATTTTTGCAACGCATGTTCATTGTTTCTTTGTTTTTTTTGGAGCGACAAAGACGGAGAGGTTTGTAAAGTCTGTTGGCTGTAGTTCCAGCTGCCATTGGCGCTTTTGATTTCGCCCACTGCTGACATCCAGCGTCACATGCTTAGCAGCACGAACACAACAGGCATCCAGAACCATCCACACGGGGATTAGCTGGCCATTATGTGTGTGATGTGGATTTCTCTCTTTCATGATGTGTTCGTTCCCCCCCTCCATTCCCGGCACAGGTACGCAATGCACATTTCCAAATGTTGTTATAAAACATATTAAAGAGGCGTGGATGTGTTTCTGAAATGCATGTGTACAATACAAAGTGTGTCAATACTATCTACTATCTAATAACTATAACAAATGGATTACATGAAACTAAAGAGCATTAGTTACATGTGTTTTTTACCTTTCTGGTCGGTCACAGTGAGAGATGGTTATGCTGGAGCGGCAGTCCTTTTTTGAAACTTAGATTACAGAAGAGCAGCATTTTGGTATCAGCGTCACTGCTACACCAACGTCCATTCGCCCGCCCCTCCCCAAAACAAACCCTGCTTCGCCATTGGTTCAAGATCAATAATACAATACAGGTTGAATGACTTTGGCTGACAGCAGCGTTTCACATACAGTTGTGACACCCAGTTTTCTCCCATTATTCCCATCATGCAGGCTGGAGCGAAAACAAATTTAGAAATGTCTGCATGCGCTAGTTATTTTTTATCACAAGTCGGCATCCTGTGCTTCCTTCCTAAATTCATTGAAAGCTAACATGTTTATGCCGACATGAGGACGATGCTCAGTGGTAATTCACTCTAACTTGTGCCTCAATACCCAGAGTTGGCCGGAAGATTGGCCCATGGGACAATAAACCACATCTGCCATAATTATAAGACACTGAATAATTTACACTGTTGTTTTTCTCTTTCTGAGGTTCACCGTAAAACTCAAATTGAGAACAACAACAACAAAAATACAGTGGGACCTTTGTCTTATTTACAATTATTTAACAATTAATAGATGGTTGAAACCTCATACGGATCCTTCACTGTCATATGAGAAATATGATACAACATTTGGTTCTGTACTTTCTCTCGATGTGAAACAAGATGTTAAAGATATTTTACCCAGATATTCAAGTACTGATGTGAATAGAAGTATTCATCATGCAGAACGACAATAAAGTTGGTCACTTTAAAACAAGCGAAGCAGTCAGTGACAGCTGACCTCTTAACTATTTTGACCTTTAATGACCCTAAATGACATATTAAAACTGTGACGCTCCAAAAGAGTGTGAGAGCCTACAGGATGGAAAACATGAGGAACGGTTGTTCACAGAAACAAGACTGGACAAAATGGTTCTAATTCGGGGAAATCCTTTGGGAGGAAACCAAAGAGCTATTTCTGCTTATCGTTTTGGGTCTGGAGGATCTGCTTGAGGGCAGACTTTGGACAAGTGTCGGTTTGTTCAGGATCCCTCATACAAAGCCTTAGCACATAGTCAATGTATGCATGTAGTGTCCCATATTAATTTGTGTTTTTGTGTTATGACCAGATTGCAGCTGTACTGTTACTTAAAATCCCATTTGATGTTTGCCTTGGGTACATTTCATTTTTGGACATCTCACTGCTGTTAACAATTCCTAACCTTCTGAGTAGTATAAAAAGAGAAGAGAGTAGAGTTATCAGCATGTGTGACGGTATGTATTTATTTCAGTAGACGATCACAGAGGAATCATGTCTACACAAACATCTGATTCTTTTATATACCGTATAATACAGTAACAAAGTAAGTGTTTAACGATAAAACCCTTGTTTGTGAACGTGGTTTGCATCACATGCTTTTAGATGACGGGCAAGCGATCATGCTCAACTGGTTTCATCCTGTGCAGAGAACAAACAAAATTGTCATGCAAAGAATAATTTCTTCTTTGAGTGATCCGGGGAATTCTTTGCATTTCTCGGCATGAAACAGTTCAACAGGAAAAGCAATGGTGTTCACCAAGTTGTATTAAAATGCAAAATGCGTTGCACGACCAATTCGCTTTGTCAAGATGGATTTCGGGGCGAGAGGCCTGCAGCTGTGAGCACTCTGCAGGAATACTGATCCACGTCCCTCTACAGAAACTAGATGACGTTTTCAAAGAGCTGCATGGAAGCCATTATATTTTCATCCTGTAAAGAGCAGAAAGAAGATGCAAGAGAAAAGATGCATGGACTCAGGGAATTGTGTTTCAGTTCAGTTTGATGATCGGATTACCTTTTGGCAGGTTTCTATGAATTCATCAATAGTCACCACTCCATCTCTGTTTCGATCCATTTTCTGGAAAAATGTCAGACAAGATGGATTTTGATTCTGACATTTTGCTTTTACGGGAGATTTCTATCTATTTCTCTGAGATAGAATGACCAGGGTCTAAAACACAAGAGTACACACTGACACACTGAGGCTCTGGTAAGCCAGATCTAATAATGCACATTCGATTTAGATGCCAGGGATTATGTTTTTTTTGGTTAAGTGGTGATTTCACAGATGAATTACCTGGAAGAATCTCTCCACGTGCTCATAGGGAGAGTCGTCCCGTACACTGGGTAAGGTATACCTGCCCATCATGTCATAAATGGACGTCATTATTGACATCATTTCCTGCAGGAAAGCAGAGAGACATAAAGAACAACTGCCCCGTTCGGTAGGATTACTCAAGAATATGGTTTATTGACTGTACCTCTTTAGTAATGAGGCCGTCTTTATTGATGTCGTAAAGGTTGAATGCCCATCGAAGTTTCTCTGTAACGGAGCCTCGAAGCAACACAGATAATCCTATCACAAAGTCCTGAAAAAAGAATTTAGAAATGTCATTGTTAGCTCTCCTTTTGTGCGCAATATCTAATAATTATAGCACAAAGTCGACAGTGAACTCACCTCAAACCGGATGGAGCCATTTCTGTCCATGTCAAATGCGTTGAACAAGAAATGTGCATACGTGGTTGCATCTGATAACATGTAATGAATATGTAATACACATGAAAAACTTTATCCATTTCATTTTGGTTATCTCAATGGTGCAGGTTGAGTCAGGCAAGACTGTCTTCTATATGCGCATATGAAACCAGTTTCTTAATTACATACTTTACCTCCTTGAGGGAAGAACTGTGAGTAAATGGTCTTGAAAGTTTCCTCATCCACTAGCCCACTGGGACATTCCTATTAGGAGAAAAAAACATTTACATCATTCCATAAGTGCAGGTTAATGGCCACTAGAGGGCAAATAGGAGAAGGATACTCAAAAGATTCATGAATGGTAAATTATTGCTCTGACGATGTAGTAATGTAATAAAAAGCCGTATTGCACATGGGTACACCTTGAACTAACGGGAAACGCAAGTAGTACACAGACAATAAAGTTGTACAATAGAACAACAAGAACAGAGAAAAAGTCCTTTGTGGCAGATTTCAATAAAGAGAGCAACATGCAACAAAGAGCAAGGCAACCTGTGTACATTGCAATTATTGTTATTTTTCATAATCTAGTTTGGAGGCCACTGTTCACACTCTTCTTCTTCTTCTTCTACTGTTTAATGGCACTTTGCATGCATTAGCTGCCTCTGCGGTCTGCAAAAATCTGTAGCCCTATCACGCTGGTAGCGTTTGTGCATTAGCATCTTTTTACAAGTATTAGAACAACATAAAGATAGAAGTAATATAAGACACCTGCTCATAAAAAAAACATGCTCTACAGCAGCACTTTTGGTCCAAAGCTGTCGGTCAAAACTTGAATCAAGACACAACAAATCTACAGATATCCTCTTTTTTCAGCCGTCAACCGGTGACGCCTTAACACACTCACACACACCCATACGCATCAGACTGTGTGGGTAGGATTTATTAATTGTGGCAGAAAGTTGTCTTTAACCCTGTCATTGTGATGAAAGTGCACCGATTGTTTTCATACATTTTTGAAGCCTCTGTAAAGCGACTGGAGCTCCTTCCTGGTGAACTGCGTCTGGGCCTGGAGCTGATCCAGACCCTCCGGTTGGTGACGCACCATTGAGAGTTCAAACTCGCCGTCACAGCTGTCTGTCGGCGGTAAGCGGAGGCAAGGAAACAGGGATGTGATGGGAAAGAGGGGGAGGAATAAAAGTGGAAAGGAATAGAGGCAAGACAAGAAAGGGAAAAAAAGTGGAAGGTGGGAGTTGAAAATACTAGAAAACCATAAAAAGGTGGGAGGCAAAATAATATACAGCACAAAACTCAAAATGCTCACCATCTTCATACAAAGAGAATATAAATAAGAGTTTGAAGTGGGAAACGTGAGACAAGGAAATGGGTGAGAGATAAAAGGGGGTAAGAAGAATTAAAAGCATTAACTAAATGAAGACGAGACAGGGAAAGATTAAACAAGTTATGTGCACGTGTAAATAAGCTGATTTACACTATAGGTCGCTAAGAGCAGGATGTTAAAGGAGGAAAGACCCTTTTGATTCACTTCAACAGTTCTCCCTATGGCAAGAAACAAAAAATTCATCGGTGTCACAAATTATCATAATTTCCATCCCCAAAAAGTGTGAAGTCACATTTTTTTGCAAATTGGTCTAAACCAAGAAGAGAGAACGATTACTGTATAAGGAATTAAAATACACATTAATAAAACCATGCAATGTTAAAGCTGATTTTAGACGTTTACAGAGACGACTAGGATGAAATTAAGCATAATACTTGAGAAAGACCACAGAGAAGTACTCACCATCTTCATTACAGCCAACGCACGAATGGGAAGTTGAAATAGACCAGGAAGAGATGGTGATGAAGGAATGAGAGGGGAAGAAGGGAAAACTGTTAGATATTTGGTTTGTAGTCTTCAGGTTACCAACAAACAAGGTTATTAAAAGATAAATTATATTTAAACAACATTCAAGGAACAACTACAGCAACCAAAAACTATTTCTAGGTTTATATGCAAATGAAAAAATGTAATTTAATATTAAGAAAGGTAACAGATTCTGCTCGTGAAACTGCATTTATAGATCATTCAAGCGCCACGTTTACGGCCAACAACATATTTTCATTACTACACAAAACATCGAAGACAACATTTAAGCAGACAAACATTGTTACATCTTACCTTCAAGTGACAAAGGCTCCCAAACCCCAAATTGTTTGAGCACGACAACAAACATTGCAACAACAACAGCAATGGCAAATACTTCCATGCCATCCACCTCCATTGTTTCCTTGCATTAGGTATCTCCTGCGCAAAAAGCCTCTTTTAAAAATCCTAACGTTAACTTCCTCCTGCCACGTACTTATTCATAAGTGTTTTATCAGGCATCAGCAGTTCTATGCACCTAAATGAAACCACTGACCATTTAGACGGCAGCGATTGCCCGCAGAGCATCCTCTTTAAAGAAAACCAGATAAAAAAGTCCACCACGCGTACACAAACGGAAAATTTAGAGAACCTCAATCCTCCGAAAATGATCCCGAGCTTTCTCCACTTTCTCCCTCTCGGCCACTGCTCGCCGGCATTTCACCTCCCGGCGGGTTCATTTTAGGATCTCCCCCACAACTCCCTCAACTTTCCTTCCCCTCTCACCCCGTCCTGGGCTGTGTGCACACGTGTGAGTGCTCAGGTTGGTTACTGAAGGAATTTCTTTACCAACACTCTCTGATTGACAGTCCGAGCGGCCTTTTATTTGCTCAGTCATTTCGGGGATGCAAAGCTGTAAAAAAAAAAAAAACAGGCATCGATCCACATCCGCTGATGGCTGGGATACGAACAGCACTTAGAATGAGGGAGTCTGCCCTGCCCTGCGTGGCGCTGCTCGTGTCCACTGCGTTGTTCAGCCACACACACACACACACACACACACACACACACACACACACACACACACACACACACACACACACACACACACACACACACACAAACACACACGTCGATAACTCAGTGGGATTAACTCAGGGCGGATAAAAATACGCTGCGATTGCTGTCACTGTAAAAACGGGACTCTGTTTACGACATTAAAGATAATAAACTTTTAAGCAATTTATTGCTGAGGTCCGAAGGCGAGCTGCACGCCTCCCGCGTGGCTTCTGTTAACGGCTCAGCAGGACGCACGTGCAGTGCGTTGGTGGTGCAAAAGTACTTTTTCACTTTTTGTTGTTGTTAGGAAGCGAGTGTTTTTGTGATGACACCGAGGACCATGAGAGGGGAGAAGAATAGGAGGACGGTTCACCGGTGATGACTCTGCACAACATAATGGACTCGGTTAAAGTACAAAGAGGGGGTGGAGGGCAAATCAATTGTTAAGAGGTAAAATACTGGTCTTAGAAGGGGGAGAGAAAGTGGGCCAGAAAAGCATTTTGATGGCCGGCAGGGATTATGTAAATGTGTTCTTCCTGTAATAATAATATTAAGTAATGAACTGGGGGCCTCTCCAAAGCTACAAAACTCCAAAGATAAATAACATGGTGTGGATGTAAGTTCACATTTCAGATTCCACCGAAGGATTTTAATGTCAGTTTGAATCATTTGAATATAATTGGCTAATCGCTCTGTTTATTCTCTGCAAAAAGAGTTTAACACTCTTATGGAGCTGTTTTGAAGGATGGTTTTCCATCACATACTTTAAATGGTAAACTAACAACATACTACGTTGGTTTTGTGTTTTCGACGTACTGGTACTGCCATCCCAGTCCAAGGTTTAACTTTAACAGAGCACAAGGTTCGCTAACAGGAAGGGCACCAGTCTTGCACCGGAAAACCTGAAATAACCTAATAACATAAGTCTTTGTCATAGATGACTCACAATGTGACATGTCTGATCAGAGGTGATGGATGACAACCGGGCCAATAAAATGCTGCAAGCAGTTACCCTTTGCAGTGTTTCTGATCTCATGTCGACCTCAACAGACAGAAACACACTCGGCCATTAAAGAACATGCAAGATGTATGAGCTCATGTTTGCCTGCAACGAAAATAATGCAACATTATACTGTTTAATGCACTCTAAGTGCTGATCTATCCCTGTTCTCTTAAATACAGACAAGAGTGAGGTGGCTAAAGCATGCATAGATGCAGACATTGCAACCATCCGTCAGGTTTTAATGACTGCAGTGAGAGCAACATTACAGCACCGAGCCTCAGGCCATTTATCAAAAACCATCACACGGGTTCTCGTCAAACAATTAAACACCTTGGGCTTCACGCTCCCTCTAAGCCTTTTTCTTAGTGCATGCTTTCAGCTGTTTCATTGATTCTTAGGCATCTTATTTTTGGCAAGAAATGACCTTTCTATAGAGGCGCCATACACAACTGGCATTGTGCAAAAAGGGGATTCCACCCGCTTGTCATTTGACTGTTTAAAATTGCATCATCAAACTAGAGTTTCCAAACGTATTATATGTGATTTGACTGAAAGACGAAGTGTTTGGGTTTCAGATTTTATAGCACTGAAGTCCAATTTCATCTGATGACTGTGCTATTCTCATTTTCCTAACTACAGAGACAATGATGAGGTAAGTGCAACCCGCCATCACTTTCATTATTGAACAGCAGTTCCACATTTTAATATAGGTAATAGAGGAAATGTGTTCTGCATGGGATGCACAGGAATATGAGTGATTGCAGATCACTTTTTGGTGTTCTAAGAGCAGCTGCAGGAAACACTCAGGAGCTGAAAGGTTTATACACCACTAGAGGGAGATCAAGTCATTATACATTTGGGAAATATCAGCTTAAAGCCTCAACAAATATTACCTTTTCAAATATTGACCCTGAAAATACAAAAGGAGTGAGAATAATGAAGAATTGCTAACAACATTTCACTACATTCTGACTGCAAAGACTTAAAGGTCAAGGTAGTTTCCTTGCTTGAGTCTAAATTGAGTACAATGTTGAATTAAAATTGTATAATTTGCCTGTGTGAATGTGTGAATTGATGGTTTGTCAGCCGTCAGAGCATTTGTGCTGTTATTATTTTCATCAACGTCCTGTCCGAGGGACGTGACGTCTGTCTGTTGGCAGAGAGAAGCAGTAAACGACAACAGCTGATCCTTTCTGGACTCTGCAGAGGAGACATTTTGTCTTTTCATCATTACATCTGAACCCCCAGGCGTACTAAAGTATGGGGCAAAAACACATTTTATATACATTGGTTAAAATAAGGGTATTGGGAGATGTTATTCCGACCGAACGCAGACATGGTCCGTCCTGTTGGTGAGGAGCACACACACAGTTTTCCTGCACGGAGGGACAATGTCAATAATTTAGATAAACCCAGGAAAGCGGGCATTCAGAGGCAGCCAGTGGAAGACAATGTGCTCATCCTCTGACTATAAAGCGAGGGATCTCTGTCAGTCCGTCTGCATGATCTTCACATATCTGGTGATCCGATCATCTGAAGTACGTCCCGGTTGCAGTGGACTAAGGGACGGCTCTTATTCCGTACAAATTGGACTGTAGATATACTGTAAAACATACTGTGGACATGTGCTTTAAAATGAATGTATTCTGTAGTGCAGGAGATTGAAACGCCCGCCCCGCTATTGTTTTATTCTAGTCACACTCCCCCTGCTGTCAGACACAATTATGCATATTCACAATATTCTGTATTGTTGTTGTTTGCTTGTTGTCATGGCGGTGTGCATTTGATGTGCCTGTACCTGGCCCTTGTTGCGTGGTGCTGGCAATTATCCACTTGACGAGACAGCACTTCATCAGAGATTTACGCGTGAGCCGCGGTCTCTCCCACTTGGAGCCGTCGGCCTTCCCGCCCGGGTTGGGATCCGTCCCGTTGGCATCGGGCAGCATGCCGCCATCCGCGGCCTTTCCATCCGCCTGAGGGAGACGGAAAACGAGCGGCCCTCAGAGAGAGAGAGAGAAAAGACACAAGACGGACCTCGAGGTGCTTCTGCCCTTTTTAAAAGTCCCCCAGGTGAACACAGCGAGAAGAAGAAAACAAGCTATGGTGACTTATAATGGGACACAGAACGCAGCTAAAGAAAAATACATCACACATCGTCACAGCAGCCAACCTTGTTAAAACCATATTACATGCCTGAAAAGGCAATGTTTCACAGAGACCCTAAAATAGACATGCTCCTCTAATATAACATCCAATTAATGCCTTTCAGGGCAAGATCCCTATTTGTAGTAATATGGCAGTTTGACATGAGGGTTGATTTGATAAATGTTGGTGAAACGTACTTCAGCAAAGCTCATGTGATGCACAAGTGACTTACAGACACCCAACCAGTCTGTGAGCACGGATAAAGAGGTTGACAAATAAATACGGCTGAGAAGAGAAAAGGTGATTATGTTTATGTGATTAAAGGCGACTCATAAATCCCTCAGACCGTTTTCACCTACATGCAGAATTTATGCCAAGTATACTTTAACATTGCGTAAGGAAAAGGATTTATTTATGTAGTTCCAGCTTTTCTTGTGCATTATTCATTCAAGGCGTTTTAAATAGGTTTAGTTTCCAGAAGAAGGAAAAGAACTTAAAAAAAAAATCTAATATCCTTTAACCGTGAGCACTTATGAGAATAGGGACATGCAAGCTCTCTTGTGTGCAGTTATCTTAACCACCACATAACATTGTTCTTCTCATCTCCCCCATGATGCTCATGCTCAGCTTTTCTACATTCTGATAATATTTTAGTGTTAATAGAGCTTTTTTATTGCTGAATCTAATTGCCCAACCTACCGTTTAACAACACAAGGATAATAACTGTGAAACTATTTGTTAATTCTTCTTTTCTTTTTTATTGCTTTGTTTTCTCAGGCGCCGTTGTTCTTCACTTCCATACATGTGATGACTCACATGTGCTGTGGTATGGCACTATTATATGTTCAGCCTTTCTGAGGGCTTCTTTCCTCCTTTTGTTGCTTTAAAAGATTTTCTTCATTCCCTCTTTGTCCCTGCAAAGTCTCTGACTTGCGTGTGATTTAATCGGGTGCAATGTTGAAGAGAAAATAGACACGACTGCTATCTGGGGGGGCTCCTCTGTCCCCCTCCAGGTCCCCGGAACGTATGAGCGGCGTGAACGAATGCCGAAGCATGCACAACGTGGAGAACGTCGCTGAATAATTCACACTCCGTAGAACCGCATCAATAAAAGATCAGAATTGCCCTCTACTGTGAAGTGAAAGACGACTTGTCTTAGTTCATTCAGTGAGACTCGACGAACCCTCCAAAAGAGCCCACGGACTCATATTCTACACACACACACTCACACACACAATAATACCGTGTATTAAGCAAATGATGGAGAGTCAAACTGATTGAATTACCTGTGACCTGTTTATAATTTCTGATAAATGAGAGCGACGGTGATGTGTTGCTGCATCGTTCGGAGGACTGAAACCATTCACAGAGTATTGAGATGCTCCCTGTGATCATCTAAGTCATCACGAGCGCTGCGGGCGACCCTCCTTCCACCGATCATCACATATGTCACCGCTTAGAGCTTCAAACGCACGCACGCACACACTCACGCACAAATCCTAAAACAAAATATTACATAACGTCGTATCTGGCAACATTGGTTGTTTCTTCAAGCACAGTTTTGCAAAACAGAAATCGTGGATGCTACTTTTACACATTCAACAATCTGATGAGATTTGGATGCACAGTGACATGATAGCTGTGTGACCTAAATACCTGACAATCAGTCACCAAATGAATCAAAAGTTCATTTAAATTTATCTGTAAATACCTTTGTGCTTAACCGTAAGATACATTTTGAATGCTTTTGACTCAGTACGTTTCTACTACTTTCAGAATAAAGTATGTCCGAGGATAATACTTCTTTCACTCACTAAAATGAAAATGAAATTGTTACATCTTTTTGCTAGTGATGAGGTACTATAGGTACACATGCACATGCAGAAGTATTATAATAAAGAATCATTCTGCATGCCGGTCTACTAACTCATAAAGCAAAACATGTTGCCGTTGTACCTGCATTGCTCCTGGATGTGTGATGCCGTTGTGCAGGATAAATGGCTCTAATCCTTCTCCACTCGAGCTCCTCAAACGACTCGGAGGTGATCTGCATCAGCATGCAGAGAGACAGAGAGAAAAAAAGCCATTGGAAGGAGGAGCAGAACTGCTGAGCTCACACACACACACACACACACACGCACACACACATCGAGCTAGTAATACACACTATGAAACTACAATAATCACAGGTAGAGATCGGCGAACGTTTAAACCTGAAGAGCTTTAAAACACGATTCACAGTTGCGACCCTACAGATGCAGAAAGCTTGAGCCGCCCTCAACAAAGTGAAGATGAGGCAAAGAATTTACACAGCGACAGAAGGAGCGAGGCGGTGACGAGGTGCTCACATCGTGACACGTATTATTAGAAATCGCAGACATATTAAAAACCTTCTGTGATGGTGTGTGAGTCCAAACTCAGACAGTCTGTGATTCTCTGAGGAAATTAAAGAGGATAGTTGTGTATCAGCCTCACAAACTGTACAAATAGATTTTTTGATTTCATGCTCAGTGCACTTGGTTGTCGGTGTCATCCTGCTTAGTTAAAATAATAAAAAAGAAGAAGAGGAGGGGGAGACCTTCATTGGCTCATAAATCTTAAGTTGTAGCTCCATATGAGTTATTTCTATGCTTATGAATCAAGATTACAATGTTTATTGTGGGCTCGTATCCACACGACGGGGACTTTGGGTGAATTTCTGTTCTGTTTGTTCTTGGCAATTGTTCTAAAACCACAGAAAACCAAGACGTTTCCCACCAACAACGAATAAGCCGGTTGCATGTGGTTTCACAATGTCCTGAAACAAAAAGGCATAATGCTGCAACAGTACTTTGATTTGACTTTAAAATGTGATGTCAGAGCCCAGGGAGAGCGAGCTCCTGGCTGTGCACCTGCTTCTGCACATGGTTTCACATTTACTTGGAAGGTAAATTAATACAAGAGCCAGAAGCTACCTCCAAAACATGCCCCGACATAGTTTTTGCATCTGCTTAAGTGCTTTTCCTTCAAACCTATGTAAGTCAAGAAGAGGAGGGACTGATTTACTGCACTGAGGGGGAAATCTGATAAAAAACAGACATAAAGATCAACAGGGAGGGCTGGAGAGACTAGGGAGAAAGGGCGGGTATAGCTGATGGGATTAAACATTTCACTTTCCAGGCAATAAAGTCTGTATTTATTCCTAATAACACTGTGGTAAACATCAGCTCTGTATTGTGCATACTATGGAATCCATTCAGAAATAAAGAAATACCAAAAATATGGTGCATTGTTGCTTACAATGACAATGCTAACATATGTAAGCAATTTTCAAAAATGCTATGAGGTTACAAACCAACGTTTAGCACCAACATCAACTGGAGAAATGATTAGACTGACTGTTGTCCTTGTGCCTCTTATCTTCCTACAGGTCTGTCACTCCTGCAGAAACTGAGGTTATTTTTAGACGTCAAGTTCCAGAGAGCCTGTAGTTTCCCCGGTGCCTCACACATCAGCTGAGGGTCTGATTGAGGGTGTGTGTTCAGTGCAGATGTGCCTCCTCGTTTGCGGGTCTGTGAGGGGGAGTGTCTTCTTTCTGTCCTCATAAATGTTGCATTTTCTTTCACAGTGTGTCACTAACACTCACATGCATGGCGGCACACGTTTGTGCACGTATGCACGCGTTGTGTCCCCTGCTTCGTTTCCTTTTATATGAAACACGATCATAGCTTTGGAATGTAACATTACAACCTCTCCATAGAAAACACAGCGGTGGCCGTTTTTTTGTCACTGGAACTAACTGCCGATCATTAATGATCCAAATCTTGACACTGTTTTAATGAAATATTATTAGGCTCTTTTTAGCGAGTGTAAACAGTTCATAATTCCCTGTATAATAAATATTTGTTTTGTTGTTGAAAACATTCACCACCGACACAATATGTTCCGTCACACACGTGAACATGATTTTCTTAAAATGTGCCTTCATGCATTTTTACTGAAAGTACTAAATTCAGCTTGCTTTTTTCCACACTGCAACGGTACAACCACTTCACTTCCCCTCTGCTGCTCACTGAAATGTTACTGTCCCACAAGGTGGACAGGAATCAAGGCATGTCAACGTTTTAATTAACTCAACAACCCTAATCTGTCCTGTGTGTTAATTATGTGTGTGCAAGTCTGAGCAGCTCTGAAGATGGTCCACGTTATTAGGGACCACTGAAGGTCACAGGTTAATTACACCGTCTGCCATCAATTAACTTACGAAATGCAGGATGATTGGATGGTATTTGAGATCTATTTGTTTGGTGTCGTGTTGTTGTTGTTTTCTAACTTTCTCATGTGGTAAGTATGTTTTGTGCGTAATAGCTCGTGTCCCGGAGAGGTAAGAGTCGGGAAGCCATAAACACAAAGACCTGGGAAACTCAAGGCAAGATAAACACATAAAAGATAAAACATGAAAGTTTTTTCATTTTCACTGCCATGTCAATCATCCCAGAGAGCAGCGGTCTACGTCCTTGTTTCGCAAAATATGAACCACACAAAATCTTATGGTGTCGTGGAACAAGCGTCACGCAGACGGCGACTGAGTAGAGCGGTCACACCTGCAGAACATCTGCAATCGTCCCGGCGGCTCATCAAACCACCAATTAGGGATTTCACACCTTCCCACAGATTCAACCAAACCTTCCTCCCTCACACGGCGACATCGGCTCCTCATCGCCATCTTTGAAACCAAGCGGTGAGGGTTTTTGGATGGTTGATGATTCACACAGAGAGCATGATGTCTGTTTCTCATTTCCTCTCCATTATATAACACTTGGGATTTTGATCACTAACTGGTGTTGTTCTAATCTTTTTGTGACTGTATGATACCTCAACATTTTAGTTTGGACACCAGATGTCACCGTTGGGCATAACGCAAGTTTAACAAAGGGACTCAAAACGTCTGATTAGACTCCCAGAGGAAATGTTAAACGTGCTACATTTGTTCACATTTCTCTTTCTTGCACATTTTGTTTGCGCAATCCTGCTTGCACTCTCCTGACCTCTGATCAGTTCCAGAGTATAATCAAAGGGTGTCTCTATTGACTTTACAGCAGATACGCCCAATGAAACATCCAGTAATAATATATATATATATATATATATTTGTTTTTTAAGTAATTCCCTTAATACACTCCACTAGCGTGTTGCAGAGAAACTGGAGTTTACTAGACAGATGTTCCAGCCCTCGGGGACTGTAACGATGTGTCCTAATAACTGGATGGATGCCTGCAGTACTTCTATCGGTCCGTGGCGGCGCTTTCTCTCTTTCTCTGTGGAAATATCTTCATGGTCTTGTTTACCCTTCAGCAACAATAATGACTTACTGGGCCGAGTGAGTGATGCAATGAAAAGAAACAGGAAATCTGTTACTGCTACACATGTCTCCTTTCCCTTTTTTTTATTCTCAAACACACTCCGGGTTGGTCTCACACTCCCAAACACACTAAAATGGATTTACATTTTTCTGCAGTTACCCTGAAGCAGATTAAGAGTTTAGTGGAGCAGAACTTTCTTCCCACTTACTGGCCAGACTTCACTGAACAAACACATGCCACGGATAGAATATCCACGGTCCGCCTCGGTTTCCTGGCTGAGCTGTGACGTCAGTCTGCAGGGAAAAGAGGGGGCCCATTGACATCCACTCTATCTGCTGTGGACTGCGAGAGGCTGGGGCTGCTGCTTCTGCACCACCCACTTCATTTCCCCGCAATCAACAGGAAGACTGGAGGCCAAGGAGAGCAGCCGCACTCTGCACGAGAGGAGAGGAAGGAGGCGGAGGTCCAGCTGTAGAGTCCAAACAAAGGGGAACAATCCAGGCGAAGGAATGAGCAATAATCAGAAAGAAGTGAAGAGAATCCAAACCGTTTATCTGCAGAACTTGAAAAAACTGAACCAGGGGGTAAAACTAGAGAAGAAAAGTTGGAAACCAAAGGAAGGAGACTTTGCTGCAGCAATGGAAAAGCTGCGACAGCCTCCCATAGCCGGGAAGGTAAACAAAAGCTCCACCAACAGAATCAGCAGGGATCTCACCTGCTCCATCTGCCTGGATCTCTTCAAGCAGCCGGTGTCCCTGCCCTGTGATCACACCTTCTGCCAGGGGTGCATTGAAGGTTACTGGACCGGCCCCCGGGGCCCCATTCAGGGGGGCACGGGCTCCTGCCCTCAGTGCAGGAAGGTGTACCCCGGGAAAAGCTACAGGCCCAACCGCATCGTTGCCAACATAGTGGAGAGCTACTGTCAGGGCCTGGAGGAGAGCGGCTCTGGCCCTCGTCTTGCAGACGTCGGCGCGTCAGAGAGGCTTCCGGCTGCGGTGCCGCGCTGCAGCAGACACCGCGAGGAGCTGAAGCTTTACTGCGAGGAGGACCAGGAGCTGGTGTGTCTGGTGTGCGGCCTCTCACAGGAGCACAGGAACCACACCATGGTGTGTGTCCAGGAGGCCGAGCAGAAGTACCGGGTGAGTTGAGCTTGAGTAAATGTACAAAGGTTATGTGTCAAGAGCTTACAGTTACATATTGCACAGTAAGGTTCACGTCATTGTAGTGCTGGTAACTTTCACTACATTCGATCGCACAAATCGCACTTTAGATCTTTTCTTAGGTGTTTTAGGTCCATTGAAACTAGTAAAAGTAGACATGCGTTTGAGGAGAGAAGCGGGTCAGTTCATGGTGATGACGGCTCCGTCTCCCGCCAGGCGTCTCTAAACAGCTCCATGGATTCCCTGAGAGCTGAACTCAACACGGCGCTGCAGTGTGACAGGGAAGCCGAGGACGAGGTCAAAAAGCTGAAGGTGAGAGAAAAACGCTCCCAAAACAAACACACACACACACACACACACTTCCTGTAATCCAAACACTGCAACCCATTGTGTAACATCTTATCTGATATCACCCGCAAGGAATGTGTGTGTGTGTCGGCAAAATGAATGTGAGAATGTTTCCTACGTCCAGAACAGGTTGTTACGCTGCAACAGAGAAGAGGGCGTTAAAGTGACCACGTTCCTCCTCTTCCACCTCCCCAGGAGCACACCGCTGACCTGAAGGTGCGCATCGAGGCGCAGTTCAGCGACCTGCACCAGTTCCTGTACCAGGAGGAGAAGCTGCTGCAGGTGAAGCTGAAGACGGAGGAGCGCAGAGAGCTGATCCGACTGGACGAGCACAAGGCACTGCTGTGCGTGGAGGTCTCTCGTCTGCAGAGAGCCGTCCACGAGATAGAGGACAAGCTGAAGGAGCAGGACCCCTTCACCCTGCTGCGGGTAGGTTCAGCTCCTGTGAACCCACCTGGAAATGATTCAACTCTGCTCTGAGGGTAGAAGTTGAGAAATGCTGAGCTCTTTATTTCTTCAACTTTATAGTTTCTAGGAACTATTTGCATCATAATGACACAGTCGAGATGTTACATTTTAGGAGTGAAAGTTAGTTTTATGGGCCATCGGTTGTGTATTTCTGTGCAAAAATGTTTAACAGGCTCCAACATCAACACTCAGGCAGGGTGTGACCGTTTGGGTTTTCCTGTTTCAGTTCTTTCGCAATTCTTAAAATGCAATGAACATTGATCATGTCAGATTGCATCTTTTTGAAAAATAAGGTTTAAAAACATTAACGCTGCTGGACTTGATAAGCGCGTGGAGACCGGATGCCGGCCGGTGATGTCACCCGTTGATCTTGGGGGGGAAGAGGAGTTCAGGTCAGGCACTCGGCCGTCCTGTACGCAGCGACTGGGGGACTTTCCCCGGCCCACAGGGAGATCCCGTAGGGTGGATAGCGTGAGCTCAGCCAGTGATGTAATGTGGAAAAAAAAAAGACACAACAAACCTAATCACCAGTCTGCGTCTCTCGTGTCCTGTGTTTTTTATTTTCGTTTCAGAGCATCAAGGTCCTGCTCCAGAGGTGAGTGTGGGAAAATGTTTTCTAACCCTGGAGGGGCTTCGTCTTCACTCCCTTTTTAGTCTTCTGACTCCGCTTTTGTTGGCAGGCCTTCGCTGAAGTTTGAGAAACCAACCTTTACACCTCCCAGTCTGTGCGAGGGCCGGTTCGCGGGGCCCCTGCAGTACAGAGTGTGGAAATCCATGAAAGGAGGCCTTTATCCAGGTACTTTAAGTGACACTCTGAGCAACCTCCTGACTTATCAAACGTGAACTACGAGCACTTTAAGCCACAGAAACCATCATCGTCACGTGGTCTCAAATAACCATTTAAACATTTTGATTATTACTTTTGCTGTTTTTTTTTTTTTTTTTAGTTCCAGCGGCCATCACGTTTAACTCCAGCACGGCCAACCCTTGGCTCAGCCTGACCTCGTCCCTCACCTGTGTCCGCTACCAGACCTTCAACCAAAACGTGCAGGACAACCCCTCCAGGTTCAACGCTGCCCTGTCGCTGCTCGGAAGCCAGGGCGTCACCCACGGGCGACACTACTGGGAGATTGAAGTGTACAGCAGCACGGTCTGGACCGTCGGCGTGGCCCGAGAGTCGGTGCCCAGGAAGGGGGTGATCAAAGCCCTGCCGGCCAACGGCTTCTGGACTCTCTCCCTCTCCTACGGGATTCAGTACATGGCTGGCACTTCGCCCCCCACAGTCCTGTCCCTGGATGAGCCGCTGGTCCGGATCGGCGTGTACCTCGACTACAAGAGGGGCCTGGTGTCTTTTTACAACGCCGAGTGCATGGCACACCTCTACACCTTCAGGGAGACCTTCACTGAGACGCTGTACCCTTACTTCAACCTGGGCTTTCTGGATAAAGTGCATGAAAATGAGCCTCTCAAAGTTTTCCTACCAAAGATTTAAAATGTGACCAAAAAAAACGACCTAAGCGGTGCTAAAGCAATGACCAAACACTAATGGAAACTGTTCTTTCCCTTCAACAGGATTACAGCAGAGTTTTTTTTGCACATTAGAAGTTGGAATTATCTGTCTAATAGAAACAGATGTATCTTGAAGGGGTAAATGTTTTAGCATTACTCACTACATGTCTCTTTGCCGCATATATTTCAATGTCACCACCACCTGGGGATCGGTGGTCGGGCCGTGCATCACATTAACCAAACTGGAACTTTGTATTGTTTGTAGACTGGATCGACTGCCACACACCTCATTTCAGAGAAGCAGTGCTTCTGTGAAGAAAGTGAAAGTGTCTGGTTACCTGACTGATTTTTCTTTTAATGATTTCAATAATCTTTCATATGCATGAAACACTAATACATGAAATAAAATATCTTAATCACTCTATTGAGTTTTTCTTCAGTGGTGCATAAATCTACATTTTTTAGATGCCGGTGTCAAATCCTACTAACGGTGTATTATTTGGTGCATTCAGGGAAGTTAGGAGATGTTATGCCTCATTGGTGGTGGAGACACATGTAAAAGAAACTGGTTTAAAATTCACTTTTATGTGAACAAGTGGTTTTAATTAGCTTTTTTAACTCAAACATTTCAGTAAAAACATCTGACACTTTTCCCCCCCCAATGCTAATTCCAAAACAAAAATAAACACAACAGCAGTGTCTTTAGTATTGCACACTGTAGATGCTCAAGCACTATTTTTTTTACGCTGTTTAAAAGCAAGTCACCACCAAGAGGTCACATGATCCCACCTGAGGCAGGAAGAAGCGTGCGATCGCTTCTGCCTGGTAGATCCTGACCTCAGGTGAAACCCCTTGAATGAGAGGATGTGATTTTAACCTCCGACAGTAAAAAGAGACCTTAAAAATCATCTTAAAAAAACACAAGGAAACTATCATATATATTTTATATCTCCACAATGTACTATGACATAATCATCTCATCACAGAACCGTGTCACTGAATTTACACCAAATAGTCACTGCAAACTAGTCGCCCCCCCCTCCTCCTATGTAGCTCTATAACAAAGAAAAACAAAGATGCAGTTCTTCTGCGTGGCGTCACTGCGTCTAACAGATGTGAATGTAAAGTATGCGGGCTGGTGTTTGTGGTGTCAGTCCATGCGTTCAGTCGTGGCCCGCAGAGGGGTGAGTCTGGCTGAACGTTACGGGTTGGAGCCTCCATGTAGGTTTGACTCACTTGCTTGTGTGCAACATGTCCTGGAACTTTGTGCTGGTGTAGCGTGCGTGAAAGCCTTTTTTATTGATGCTGTCATCGGAGTGAAACTTCAAAACGATGGCGTCCCCGGCCGAGTAGACTTCCTCTGGGGTCTTTGGGGAGGAAATATAGAGAAGATGTCTTAAAAGAATCATTCAAACCGTGTTGACTGATGGCTTCAGCCTTACCCCGGATCCACAATACCGTCCCAGCCTCGGAGACTTGGTGTCAGCGCCGTCATACAGCTCCACGTAATCATAGCGACAGTCTGCCTCCTGCTCCATCTCGAACACATGGAAGATGATCTCCACCCCGTAGCCCTTCTCGGCAGAGAGCACCCAGAGGCAGTCGGAGCCGGCCGGGTAGTTGTTATCTCCAAACTGGGCATGAGAGTAGAGATCTTTTGTCTTGACCTCGGCTTTCAGGCTACCTCCACATTCTGGGAATTCACGGCCACAAAATTAGAGGGTCGAAAAAGAGGAGCTTGTTAAAAGTGGAGGAAGAATGCAGCTTTGTAAACACAGCAGAAAACAACCCGTGAGTTCAAATGACGCATATTTGTTGTTCTGTTCTCTGACCAAATGACCATTTGACTCTTTTATTTCTTTAATTTACGGCTGCTTTGTCCTACCTGGTCTGTATGAAGCCTCAAAGCCCCTCTTCTGCACCGAGTTGTCCGAGAAAAAACGCAGGAACATTCTGTTGCCAGTGGAGACGACCGGGGAAGGTTTTTTGGTGCCACAGAAGCGGCCGAGACTCGTGGCGCGCGAGTCCCGCCCGTCGTACACCTCCAGGTGGTCGTAGGTGCACTCCAGATGGGCCTCCATGTCAATCTCGTTGAAAACCTGTGAGAGATTTTTCAACCACCGTGAATTACTTCCAATTCCAATCGTCTTTTAAAACGTGGGTCCGTTTGAAAACAAGAGAAAAGAACACGCGTTGACGCACCAGTTTGATCCGATGGCCCGGGGTCGTCGACAGAGACCAGGTGCAGGCCTTCTTGCTGGGATACCTGCCAGGCCAGTTGGGGCTGCTCATGGTGCCGGACACGGTGCTTACGGCGTGATCGCAGCCCGCTGAAAAACAAAAGACAAAGCTACTAACCGCCTGGTTTCCTCCTGTTTTTGTCTTTAAACAGGCATTCGTCAAAAGTCATAAGAGGCCGTCTGTAGTTTATTAGACAGCCGCGTGACTTTGAAAGGCCCCGGCAGACGTCAGCTGATTCTCTCGTGAGATCAGGACGGGTTGATCAAACACTCAAATCCAAATAACATGACTTCCTGTTATCCAGGGTGAACTGACCCTGAGTGTATGTGCACAGTATAGAAATTCCCATGGTACCTTCCTTGCAGTCGTGCTTGTTATCGTGCAGCATGAAGCCGCTGCGGCACTGACAACTGTAGCTCCCGAAGGTGTTCACGCACTCGTGCTGGCATCCTCCGTTTTCTTTGGAGCACTCGTCGACATCTGAGGAGATATTTAGACAACGTCTGCAATGAATTCCTCTACACGACGTGCAAATGTGTCACAACAGGCTGCAGAACATATCAGATTAACAATTTAGACCGTTAGCTACAGACACAAAGGTCGTTGTTGTGTTACTCAAGAAGCAACAATCTATACAGACAAACAACTCCTGGGTTAGAGATTCCGTTCAGTCCCTTCTGCTCATTTAACAAAGAGAAGGATTGTGAAAATACAGAACTTGCCATTGTGTGTGTTTACTAATAATTATGTCCATGGGAGTTTTAAAAGTGCTGTTTCTTTTATATTAAAAAAATAAATGCAGAGGGGAATTTCATTATTTCTAAAATCATCTGTGGTTTAATTAAGCAGAACACATTTATTTAAGATGGCTTGTCACGTTCTACATATTCATTTATTTGTGTTTTGAATACGGTTTCCCACAAAATATTCTTTACAAACAAACACTGTTAAATAAAGATACATGTGCATATGATTCTGAATGTAAAATTGAGAAGTTTATTTGATTTACAAGGTCCTCGACATGACGTACGTACTAATTTCCCTCCTCACTCACCAGAGAAGAAGTGAGCCTTGAAACCCGTCTTGGAGACGGTGTTGTCAGACTTGAACTCGACCCGCATGTTGTTCTGTTGGGAGGTGATGACCTCCGGCTTCTCCGCTCCGCAGAACTTCCCATGAAGCTCAGAGTCGGAACTCAACCCACTGCGCACCTCCACATAATCGTATTTACATACCTGATGGTAAACATGGACAACGTGCCTCAACTTGCCACAGAGGAAAAACACCGAACGCGTTATCTGATAAAAATGTCATGCGGAAAGACGGCGATGCAAAAGAGACACAACATGGCTTCAATCGACTTACGTCATTCCCTTCGGTCTCGAACACATCAAACACCAGGGTGATGCGGTACTGAATGGGCGCCACCAGCTGCCACACGCAGTTCTTGTTGGGGGGGTATTCTTTGGGCCACCCGGGGGTGGAGAGGGAGCCATTCAGCTTGGTGACGAAGCCGCCGCACGCAGCTGCTGGTGGGAGAAGACGCTGATTTTAGGGGTTAAAGTGTTTGAAAAAAAACACGTGGATAACATAGATGACCGATTTGCTTGAATTTATTTATTCTTATTTAATTATTTAACTGCAAAAAATAATAAAAGACAATAAATGGCTTGTTTATTAAAATCTTATATATAAAATGTATGTTGTTATTTCAATAAAATTGAGGAATTTAGCAAAACATAATAAGGGAAATATAATTCCTATTTGCACGGTTCGGATGTAACCGGCTGTCGCGGCTCACAGAGAAGTTGCAGTGAGGGAGCACTGCCCTCATCGGGCTAGAAGAGAGAATTAAAGGGATTCAACTGTGCAGAAACAGAAGAGACTTCTTCCTCATTATGCCAAAGTGTTTGTATGAGCATGAGTTTAACAATATGATTAATCGGATTTTCACCTGTCATCCATGTCACCATGACTGAAAATCTCTTGCCTGTCTTATTCTTGAAGGAACTCAATGCAACAAACTCAGAGCCTGTAGAATTTTGCCTTATCAATCAACTCAAATGGAAACAAATGTCATCTGTGGGTAGTTCGCTTTGCTTCCCTCCCGGACTGGAAACGTGTCATTGAAGGTGGATGATAGTGATCTTCCAGGCCCGTGTAAAAGTGCACCACCGTGATTAAAAGTGTGCATTGGGTATCGCGGTGACAAGGGGCCCTTTCACTGTTTCCACTGTGTCTACACTCACTCTCACAGCTGCGTCTGTCGGCCGCCAGCTCGTATCCAGGGTCACATGCACATCTGTAGCTGCCCAGTGTGTTCAGGCAGCGCTGCTCGCAGTGGCCGTTGTCGGGCCCCGAGCACTCGTCCATCTCTGGCAAATGAAAAAAATCATAAAGATGAAGAAAAAAATATATATATATATTTTGAAGAAAAAAAAAATATATATATTTTTTTACTCTGTGTTAACTTTCGGACCTTTAAAAAAGCTTGCGGCGAACCCGGCTTTGTTGACCGAGCTGTCGGACACGAACTTCAGCCACAGCACGTTGGAGCTGCTTTTGATGTCGTCGGGCTTGTTGTGGTCGCAGAAACGTCCGAGCAGCGGGCCGCTGACCGAGCCGCCGTCCCTCACCTCCACGTAGTCGTAGGCGCAGCCGTCGTGCCTCTCAATCTGCGGAGGCAGCAAGGGCGGTGACGTGTGCAGAGCAGGGCGAAAGGCATAGTGGTTTCCTTTCTTTATTGACGCGTCAACCACCACAACGAAAAGGAATCGTACCTCAAACGACTGGAAGGAGAGGCCGACATTGAAACCTTCTGCCACCGTGATCTTCCACACACACACTTTGTTGGACTGGTAGTCATCGGGGTAGTTGGGGGACTGGATCTGGCCGCTGTCCCGGTTCACCTCCCCCCCACAGACGGCTGCACACGAGGTGAGAAGTGGTTTGTTTCTATCCAGAGAGATCTCTATGTTCTAGTTATGCCAAGTTAAAAAGAGAACATGGAACCCGGGGACGTTGTGGGAATGCAGGGCGTGGAAATTGCATTTTAACGTCCACAGGTTGTCCAAGCCGTACCTTCATAGACAGCGGCGAAGCCTTTGCCCGACCAGCTGCTGCTGCTTCTGAATTCAATCCACAGTCGACTGTCAGTGGAGACGATCGGGTCCGGGAGTGTGTCTCCACAAAAGCGGCCTGCCAAAGTGCATGAGAAGATGAAAAGATAGATCTTCCCAGTGCCGACCGCATGACACGGGAATGACACGGCATCAGCTCTGTGAATGAGGTTCCAGTAAAGACCTGTCAGAGGAGCCTTCCTGCAGGACCCGTCTCGCACCTCCACGTGGTCGTACCAACACAAGTGACTCCGGAAGAGGTCCATGGAAGTGAAATTCAGAACAATCTGAGAGACACAGACGCACAAGGAGGCCCGGTAGTCGAATGTTAAAAGGGAATATTAAGATGCAACATACGTTTTGTTCATAGTGTTTTCCTGATCATGTACTGATGACTGGATCATTTTTTAGGATTCACTGTAATTAATTATTGAAAAAACTAACAATAATCACAAATAACACAAATAATAGGTGTTTTTAATCCCTGTAACATAAATCTAACATGACCATTTCAAAGCTGATTAATTTACAGTTCATCAATAGAAACACTGTGAAATGTCACCAGCTTAATACGTTAACTATCTGGACCTTACTGAATGAATGCTTATTTACCATCACTCACCTTCTCTCCGGGGGTGACTGAAATCCTCCAGACGCAGTGGGCATAAGCCGAGTAACCGTTCGGATAACCGGAAGAAGAGAAGTTTCCAGCACTTTCCTGCAGGCTTTCCCCACACCCTTTTACACCCACACGGTTACATCACAATAGACCAGAGGAATAACATAAAAAGTCCCAGAATAAGCAAACCAGATGAGATTTTAAACTGTTTGCATTCGCCTTAATGCACATTCACTCATCATGTGTCTCTATCTGATTTGCTTTGATAGGTGTGTTGCCAGCTGGATGAATATATTTTCCGCACATTTATTTATTGTCGCTTACTTGCACACTTGTAGAGTTTGCGGGCTTGCGCAATGTCGCCTTTGCTGAGCCTGGTCCTCTGTCCGATAGGCGGCCTGACTCCATTGACGTCATAACGGGGCGAGATTGTGTCCAAGAAGATGCCTCTGTTCCAAACAATTCAAAAACGTGAGCAGTTCATTTTTGGAAAATATTTTAAAAAATCAAAACTATATCATACAAAGATTTAGGAGAAACATTGTCTAACATTACTGATGTTTTTTTTCAAAGTCCACAAAGGGACATACTTTTGTCTTTGTCTGGGTCCTATTCAACACCTGGATGCTTTATTGATCACGATAATCTCTCATGGGTTTGGAGCTCACGTTTGCACGGTTCCCATGGTGATGCACCCATGAATGACAGGCATGTGCAAACAGAGCACTCTGAATGGGGCCTTTCCACGGTGCCAAGCTCAGTGGAGCCCGCTCCTGAATGCCAGAGAAAAAGGCCACTCTAGCCCAAATTGTTCAACAAAGCTTGAACTGCCAGGCCTTTATTTAGCTTGGCTCGCCTCCGTGACCGGCAACGCAGCGTCGGAGGTGAAAAAAAAAAAACGAAGCATGGTGAAAAACAACAACGTGCACGAGAAAAAATGAAAATGAAAAGGGGACTCGTGTGAAACCATCTCTGTGTCCAAAAAAACAATTCTGTTTCCCGTGTAGCAGAGCTGAATGAGGGTCCGTGTAGCTCAGCTGTTATCGCAGCATGATGTTTGGGGGGCGGTTGGGGAGGTCAAATGACCAGAGACCAGGGGGAAAATGTAATCTATTCAAACTGTGAATGGGTTTCATCACTCGCTGTCAGACGCTGTAGGGATGATGGCACGCTGAGAGAAGCTTGCCGCATCGATGTGTGATACCAGTTAACATGTGCAGGCAGGGTGGACATGAATCACCAAATACTCGGCAGTTTGGCTATTTAAGCCAGTTAAACGGCGTCAACAAAGAACACCTGCGAGGTGAAAATAATGAAACCCTTTGCAGTCGCTTTAACAGAAACTTTGGGAAAGAAAAGCATAAGAAAGCACCACAATGCCAACCTGGAAAATGTATTCCTCGCGTAATGCATTATGCTGCCAAAGTCGTACACCTCCCCGAGTGAGTCGACCTCGTCCCAGTCCATCTTATGGAAGTTATACTCCTGTCCTATTCATACACAGAGAATCAGCTGACTAAACGCGAAGAGAAACATCTGGAGCGTCTGTCAGCACACACACACACACCAACACACACACAAACACACAAACACGCACACGCGTTTACACTGGTTGCAAGTCATCGCAGTAACAGTACCTGGTTGGATGTTGTCTCTGATGATGCTTACATGCTCGTCTCGGTCCGGACGTGTGTGTTCGTGCCAGAAGCCGATGACGTGGCCGAGTTCATGCACCACAATGCCGAACTTATCGCAGTTCTTTCCGATGGAGATGGCCTGAGGGCCGCCGCCTCTCCTCCCCACGTAGGAGCAGCACCTGCAGGGGGGGCGACACTGTTCAGCTACGAGCATCTCCAGAACAAACTGGGAGGCTGCTTGTGACCATCTGAGGACCAAACCACCCTGTGTTGGAACTATGAATTGTCGTTTAAATTTTTCCTAGTTGAGGACTAGTTGAGATTTGTAGAATGCAGGTTTTCCAGTTGTGGGTTCTGGGATATAATTTATCATTCCAAGACAGCCATTGATACTCAGGAAGTAAATTATCTTCAAACTTGCATGAATTTTGTGTGTTCACCTTGAACATCAACTATGCAGACACTGAACCAACCCAGCATCTTTTTGAAGGTATGTGTTTCTGCACATCTGATGAATGAGAAAGAATTTATTTTTAACCGTATTTTGTGTTTCTCATGAGGGAAATATTGGGCTTTTTCAGTGTTAGATGTTTTATGTTGATCCCCATCTAGTTGCTAACTTGTTAAATGTCTTTTGCGCTGCTGGGAAGTTGTGTATATTATTTTTCCACCTTTCTTGATAAAAAACATTGTGGCTGAAAATAAATAACGTGACTTTCATGTTATTTGATAGAAGCACTGCAGCCTCAATTATCTGTGTGCAAACCTGTTGATGAATGAATGAATGAAGCCAAAAAGATCTGAATGAGCTCTGAACTCACCCACAAGGTCGGTAGGTGAACACAATGTAGCTCTCTTCAGTCGTCCTCTCAGTGAAGGTTACACAAGTGTGTTTCTCCCAGTGACGCATCGCCTGACGGAAAATCGCTCTCTGACTGCCTGAAAGGAATTAACAGTTCTTCAGCTCCAGCACGTTGAAACCACGCAAACTCCCCCCCGTAAGAAGATATGAACCATTGAGCGTTCCTACCGGTGAAATTCCCGCTGATGACGTAAGGGATGATGCCGTCCGTCCACACTCGCTCGGGCCTGGAGGTGGCCGCTCTCCTCCAACGACGGAGACTCCGTCTGTCTGCCGCTCTCCTGCTCCGGACGCTCTCATGGGAAGAGGAACCGTTCACTGTGAAGGGATATACACAGTAACAATAATGAAGAAAAAGTCCCAGTCTTAGTCATAGATGAGTAGAGCAGTCCAGCTTAGAGACCTGAGTCGGTGTGGTTGACGCGGGCCCCGTCGCCGCCGTCTGCTTCTCTGAACATGAGATGCAGGTCTTCTTCATCGAGGGCGATGTCTCCCAAAAAGGCAGCTGGGGGCGACGGATACACACGATTCACACGGATGAAGCTGGGATTATGTTGCAGAACAATGAGTAGGTCTTAATCTGAAGCAGCAGCTAGCAGCTGGTTATTTGAAATGGATGTTATCTCGTTTCTTTGATTCATACAAAACATCTTAAAATAAATTCCATCAAAAAATGTTGTTGTTGTTTTGCAAGCTGCCTACCCATCTTTATTTTGATCAGAGATTGACATCAACCTTCTCAATATATCATGCTTTGTCTTTGAGAAGAGTTAGTATTGACCTGAGGAACATAAACAGGTCCTACTGTTTAAATATGGAGAACCTGTAACCATAATTTACACATAACTACTGAGTATTACGGTTTGAGTAGTGGGGCAAATGATTTGCTCCACACAAATGAAACCAGTTTAGATTTGTTTTTTAAACCTAATCTCTTAAATACAGTATTTTTTTTCTCTCTCCTGCAAACAAAAGCCCAAACTGATCACGTGCTTTACTGTGTGTGTAAGTGCATTTCTCCGTCCTGAATAGAGACTCCATGCGTCTGTTTGATCAGCAAACACAAGCTGAAACACATTGGAGGACCTTCCAGCTGCTGTTTCATTTTAAACGAATAAAGCTCTGAACTGAAATACTTTACAAGGTTGTGATAAAAAACAAAACAATTGAAGACACAAAGAACATTTGTGTCAGAGCGTTTATGAAAACAGCATGTGGATGATGTTTGCATTGTTTTACGCTCCCGAATTCACACAACTGCGTTGAAGAAAAGTATTTCTAACATTTTGACCTGTTAGATTAAGCAGCAGTATTAAAACAATTAGCTCCAACTCACTTGGTAACAACCTAAAGAAAATGCTGCTTGCATCATCCTTATATTTTTGATATCAAACATGCAATAAGCAGGACTGATTGTCCGGGACAGAAAATCGTACGAAAGTTGGGTTGTGAAGTGATTGGTTAAACCTTCAAATTCGGCCTAAAACACAGAGTCAAAACATGAGACATTATAATGTGAATAGCTAATTATCTTCTGGCTCCAGAGGTTGTCGACTATTACATCTAAACGTCCATTTGTCGTTTGTTTTTTGTCCCCTCTACGGGTTAAACATTTAGTTTCGTACAAACCAGGATCTCACTGTTGCACCAGTCGAGCACAACAGCCCACCAGAGTCGTGCCCATTAAATACCTCATTTAGCCGCGTGATGTAACAACCTTTGAAAGTCCAAATGAAAAGACGTAGCGGGCCCTGTGTCGGCCTTTGAAGTGAATTCACTGATGCAAAGAGTGACTGTAAATGACGGTCACCCCTGCAGAGCGCACCCCCATGCCCTGAAGCCAGAGGGATTTCACCGGCGTCCAGCCGAGGACTGCGCTGGCACGGCCTCAATGACCTCTGGTCTCCAGGCAACTGCCTCTGAGAAGAAGAGTGGTTTGGAAGTTGGTTTTGGGAGTTTCAGAAGTCACAAGTGAAAAGGGACTCCAAGCAGCTGGAGGCCCCCCGATAACCAAAAGTAATTGTTTGGCATGTTCAGTGATGGAGAAAAAACAACTTGTACATTCCTCTAACGGAGAATGCGTCTAGTCATTACAACTCTGCATCTGTGATGTTTTGCTGGGTGCGAAGTTACAGAAGAAGGAGAAGAAGAATGCACATACATGTATTTGTAATACTACTGATAATAATAATAATCTGATGATAGCATTGTAATGTCACATAGTGGTAACGTTTATGATATGATATCCTTTACTTAATGGAGTAGCACAGTTTTACTTCTTCCACAACCACCTTGAACTTGAACATCAGTGGAGAGCTTTTTAATTCGGGGGAATACGTCTGAACCATTATCAAGAATAAACGTTGAACATGTGGAGATCATTTGTTGTTGTTGCATGTAAACACCTGTGACATCTCTTACAGGTGTCTTTGTATTGGACCTAATATATACGTGTTCTGGCTCCACAGGGTTAAGAGCAAGTGGAATGTGGATATTGTCTCTATATACAGAACACAGCAACGGCAAAATGCCCATAGATTTGTAAAGTAGGGCAAAGTGACAGTACCAGCTTTACAGGGATCTTTGTAGTCGATTCCATCACCGAGGGAGGTCAAATCCGCAAACTCCCAATCAGCCGCCGGAGAGACGCGCAGCGCGCACAGCAGGAACAGAAACGCGGGAGCGACTTCCATCAGGCTGCTTCTCATCCGAGTATCTACACGAGGGGTGCAGTTGGCGATCGGAAGAAGAGAAAACGGCGGAGAAGGAAAAAAAGAAAAAAAAAAAGTTCCTCCAATTCCGCGTGCCTTGATTTCAGAAAGTCGGCGCGTCCATTTCTAGCGCGGTGACTCGGTGCCACGACGGAGAGCAGAGCGCGCAGAGTCCGCAGCGAAACATCCATCCGTGCGGCGGAAGGAGCGCTTCACCAGCAGGGTGACGCACGCCTACCTGACGAGTGAGCAGCGTTGCACCCGTTATTTCATCCATTTCCTGCGATGCTGTGATTCCTATAAGGTTTAGTTACGGTGGACACGATTATTTTGGAGGCAAATCAACAGTTAAGATTAAGAAATACGAGAAAAGCTGAATTGCACCTCTGGAATGGACCCTTTAGAAGCATGTTTGGGGATTGTATTTGAAAACAACAGCATTCTGTATTCATGCAAATAGTCAGTTCTTATTAAATAAATCTGTGTCTTAAAGATGTTCCCAACAGGTGTTGATCCTTAACTGAATTACAGGGTACACACACACACACACACACACACACACACACACACACACACACACACACACACACACACACACACACACCCAGTGTGAGTAGACACTGACTCATAGGAGCTGAGTACAATATAAGTGAGGAAAGAATCCACCTACTGAGTGCGATGATGTTAGATGTCTTCCACCCCTCCGCCCCCATTCATTCCTTAAATGATGCATGCAGTTTGCCCATTTCTTTAGCAAATGCATTTGCTAAAGAAATGCTTTTAAATAAATCCTGTTTTCCGCTCCTCATCTGAGCTTCTCTGCACAATGTCATGCAGTGATTGCAAGCGGAAATTCTGTCGCCTCTATAAACTGTTTAATGTTGGCACAGACAGAAAGGACTGCTGACATCTTTTGTTGTTTTTTTTGGCAGAAAGGCCAAACAACTGTCTCCGTTTGGTTGTTTTTCTTCTCAGAGGATCTCTGTTTCTCTGAGAATATCAACAGTTTTTACAATACAACAGTATTTTTTAATTTTGATGTATTATATTTGTGGCATAAACAAAAGCAGCAACTTTTGAAGGGAATAGTTTGACATTTTCCATCCTACAGACATGAGCTGGCCAAATAGACCAATACGTTTCTTTCAGAAATCTCACAAATGAAGTGTTCCCTTCATCATAAGGAAGACATTATCTAATTAGGCCTTGTGGCTGAGGTAATCGGTTAAATGGGACATTTTCGAGCAAGGTTCTGCAAACAGAGGCTTCAACTGAAAGTCAAATAGAAGGAACACAGTTCCGCTCCATAAGAGAGAGTAAGTAGATTGATCTCTCCGATTGGCACGTTGTGTACAGTATGAAGCGGCAGTCAGCAGGGGATTAGCGTAGATTAGGCATAAACCCTGGAAGCAGGAGGGTACCGGTTTACCTGCTCCGTCCAAAGGTAACATACCAGCACCGCTGACTTTTCTTCAACATGTCAGGCTGTATAATATCCAAAGTGCTTTTTGGCGCTCACAGTTGATCATTTTACTTTCCTAAAGTGTTACATGAAGCGATTCAACACATCATTATTCCGGTGTTCACAGTGGTTCATTTCTTGTACAGGACCAACATGGTGACCTGCATGTTGCTCGTGTTGACCACTGAGCGGCACTGGTCTCCAGGTGCTGAATCCACGATGAGCTTGGAAGTGAAAGAAAGAAAAAATAATAATGTATTACAGAGAAAAACATCTGGTGAAAGCTGCAGGGTGACAAACACACTGAATCACCCACTAAAACTTTTTTCTTTGTCGTTTTGTTGATGCTCATGGGTGCTAGAAGACTTCCACGAGGAGAGAGAGAGTGAGAGAGAGACAGAGAGAGAGAAAGAGGGAAGGAGACTAAGACTCCAACCAGCTTCACTCCTCCTCAGCACACAACTGCTGCTGAGGAGATGGGACGCGGACCCCCAAGAGGAGCGTTTCATGCCTCGGACAGCAGCCTGCACGACATGGCCGACCGCTCCGGTGCGTTGTGAGCAGGGGAAGCGGCTGGAAAAACTCCAACCTGGAGAGGTTTTGTGTTCACCTCGTCTTCGGTGGAGCTGGTGCTTTCTCTTAAGCCCGGGGTGATGTCACAGTGCTGGTGCAGGCAGGTCCTGCTCGGCGTGGAACTGGGCATGCTGGTGGCCGTGCTGGTGGCCGGCGGCGGCGGGCAGATCCAGGACAGCAGGGAGGCCGGGTCGTCCTGCTACGGGGGATTTGATCTGTACTTTGTTTTGGACAAGTGAGTGATGCTACTTTTGCTTTTGGTGCAGGACTCATCCGAGATTGTTTGGAGGGAAGACGTTCTGAATCATCCGCAGAGACACTAATGGACCACTTGCATGAAATAAAGACACTGGTTCAGTTATCAGATCTGGGGGTTTCTCGTGGCTCAAGATACGGCCTTTACTAAAAAAAAATGTAAACCTCCAGTGATTTCTTCTTGGGGATTATTTGACTGAGAAGTAAACTGACTCCAAAAAACGTAGTAATTATTTTTCATTCTGCCCTGCAACAAACTACTCTAATTATTGATTTTTTCATTGGGGATTCCAATAAATAGTGAAGTGTGCTAATCACAGGTCCTAGTCAAAGTCGCCAGATGTCTTGTTTAGTTTGACCAACAGTTCAAAATTAAAAATATTCCTTTTAACAGTTTCAAAAAAGCAAAACTCAAATTCAAAAAAATGCACTGAGAAATGAGAATGCTTTCCACTTTGGTGGGAAAATGACCTAAAACCATGAATCCATTATAAAAACACTAGTAGATTTCTTTCAATCAATCAGTTACTTGGCCGTGTCATCTTCTTTTCCAAAGATCGCAGCAGATTTCTACAGACTGTCGTGGCCTTTGAGTGCAGACACGAGCGCATAAAACTGTTGTGATGTGAAGCTCCTGAAGAGGACTCGTCATATCTTGTGTCAGTGTGGTGTTTTTGTTATTCTGGCCCATGTCCTCCTGCATGAAAACTACACTTAAGTCAACTCTCTCTCAACAGTTATGAAAAAAAACAACCTATAATTTAGGAGAAGTACAGGAGGACAAAAACGCTGATTCATTTACAAAGTGCTGATGCATTCACTTCAATGATAAAGGGCACCGAAAGGAGTCCGCTTGTCGAAGCGTGGCCGCGTTTTACTTGCAGGAGCCCACATCTAGTCCCGACTTCGGTCTGCAGAACCCTTTCTCCATTAGAGCCAGATGTTCCAATGATCCAGAGTTATTGGCTGTCTCTACGCTGCGACTCACATCACAGGATAAACGAAAACATAAGAGAGGGAGGAGAAGAGAAGAAGTGCAGCATGAGAAGAGGTTTTGCATATTTTCCACATGAATCTTTTTTGATTTCTGACTTCAAAAGCTGCGCTTCTTCTTCTTCCGACTGTTTTTTCTCAGTACGTACCTGTTTTTCACTACTTGGCATTAAGCTCAATGACGTGGCGCTTTTCAGTTTTTTTCATTCATAATACAGTACATTGAATATGCTGATAGTTCCTTGAACATTGACCACCACAAAACCTAACCTAACCAACCTAAAACTAGAAAGGACCATAGTTTGGCTATTTCAAATTCATAATTAGCACCTATGCTCACAGTCAATTGATCGTTTAAATGATTTCATTCAAGCAAAAATGCCATATATGCAGTAAATAGCATATATGGCATTTTTGTAAATTCCGTTTTAATTTGTATTAAATGATGATGAATGAAACTCAACATATTTGGAGTAATTTGCAGTGAAAAATAACAGATTTTTGCCATTTTCTTTAACCGCAGTGCATGTTGTAATGTGTGCAGCGTAGATGCAAAGTGGGGATATTATCTCATTAAAACTGTTAGAACGCTGGAAACGTTAGAACCTCTAAGGTCATTTAGGACTTCTGCAGTTATCTTATTACATTTTAGAAAAGTCCTCTCTTTTAGGTCTGGCAGTGTGCAAGATTACTGGACTGAGATTTATTACTTCGTTGACCATCTGGCTCACAAGTTTATCAGGTGGGTCCACATAGAAACATCAAATTCAAAGAGAAAATGATGGAATGCAAAACATAACTCATCTTCTTTTTCTTTCAGTCCTCAGCTGCGGATGTCTTTTATTGTGTTTTCAACAGAAGGACGGATTCTCATGCCACTAACAGAAGACAGGTGCATACATGCACAGCCTTAGTCAAGCGTCTTAACACCTTTATTTGCACGTCAGTTTACGTTTTCTCATATTCAATTGAATTAAATCATTTTTCCATTACATGTAATACACATTTCTATTCTCTGGACGACGTTAATAACCAGAGAGCAGATCCGGGCTGGACTGGAGGAGCTGAACATGGTGCAGACAGGTGGAGACACCTTCATGGACAGAGGTTTTCAGAGAGTAAGCATCTGTTAAGTCGAAGGGAAACCGATCCTACTTACCCAACAGTATGGCATCTAACCTTTTTTTTAAATGAGGTGCATTTAAATTTATAGTCACTGACGCCTCTAAACTTCCCTTTCAGGCCAGCGAGCAAATATACTACGGGACTGGATATGGTGAGAAGAAAATGTTCCCTTTTAGCACTTAATCACTCCTTCTACCAGCGGACTGGTGTGGTACACTCATTAAGACATAACTAACAGAAGATTTTCCATCACGCCACAATTTTTCTGGAAACATTTTGGAAATATACAATAAAAGCGTATTTCACTGAATTTTTCTCATTATTCAAACAGCATTTTTTCAATTGAGATCCGGCTTGAACTTTCAGGTTACCGGACTGCGAGCGTCATCATTGCCCTGACTGACGGTGAACTGAGGGAGGAGCAGTTTGACCTGGCACAAAGAGAGGTGACCCGAATACCACTTAGCAAAGTAACTTACATAATCCATTGAGTTAACGCACCAGCCTCACTTTTCTCAAACCAGTAACACATACTGCAATAGTCATGTAATCACGCGTTGTATTGCTTGGTTTCCCCCCTCACATTGTTAATTGAAAACAACACAGAACACTAGAGATCTTAAAAGGGAAAACCCCCACTGCGGTACGGCAGAAATGTCGCTGTCTTTGCGTTGCAAACTCGCCGCGCTTGAGGTCACAGCGCCGTCCGTGACATCGTCACAGCACCAGCAAACACTACTGGTGGAGGTGTGTCCACAACTGGAAAAAAAGCATCAACGTGTACGGCCAATAAATACTTATTCCCTCCTTCTGTGATTAACTGATCATCCATCATTTTACAGAAGCTTGTTTTTTGCTTGCTCGTCTCAGGCAGGCAGAGCACGCCAGTTGGGCGCCACTGTGTACTGTGTGGGCGTTAAAGACTTTAATGAAACCCAGGTACATCGATCCGCCAACCGATAAACCAGCGAACCAACCGATGAATGAGAGAGAAAACAAGATAACCATTCTTTCACATGTATCGTCAGCTTTCAACGATAGCTGACAGCAAGGACCACGTCTTCCCGGTGAACGACGGATTCGATGCGCTACAAGGGGTCATTGACTCGGTGGGCGAGACGCAAGCATCCCACGACGATGATTAAAAAGCCTCATTGGATGTTTGGATGTTCTGCACCGTTCGGTTCAGCTTGTCATTGTATTACTTTTACCTTGCAGATCCTGAAGCGATCATGCATTGAGATCCTGGCTGTAGAGCCGTCCATCATCTGTGAAGGAGGTAAAGAGGCACGGAGGACAACACCTGTGTTATTAATATCATACTGAATCATGCTTATTTTAGTGTGAACACTGCAATTGAAAGTTACATAGATGGATAGTATACACAGTATATCTAAATATTGTTCAGAAATACATGTGACTTGGCCTCCAGCATTATTATAAACTATAAAACATGGTGCATTTGATCCCACTTCAGAGTCCTTCCAGGTTGTTGTTAAAGGAAATGGTTTCCTTCACGCGCGAGACGTACAGAAAGTTCTCTGCAGCTTTCGCATCAATGACACAGTTACTTTGAGTAAGTACATATTCCAGGGTTTAACTAGAATTAAGAACATTTTAATTTAAACTGTGTGACTTAAACTGTATTTTTCTATCTTCATCTTTATAATTACAAAAGGTCAAATCAATGTGTGTTATTTCAAAGGAGTCACTCGTAGCAACATATCTACATAACATTAACAAGTAAGTGACTAAAAAGTGAAAACGGGAGTATTTTACAACTTAAACTTGGATTCTTGCTCGGTGGAGACCAAAAAAAGCAAATACTGTATTATACGTATTAGTTTGGCTAACATAGGACTTCCTCTTACTGCTAATGTTGCTCTGTGTCTGCTGGATGGGAAAATAGGCCCCATGCCAAGTGTGCAAATCCAAACTATTTACTGAGCAGCCATCAACATTATTGTTCCAAGTGTGTTTTGGCCAGATGGGTGGAGGGAGAGCAGCTCTTTATGGCTTTGGCTTGAAAGGATTTAAATAGCTGCCCCCCTCTCCCCCTCCTAAAAAAACCCATCAACTCCATCTTGCCCTTCTGTGAATCAGCTGGTACAACGCTCAGCGCTTCTCAGATGTCTGAAGGGGAATGTGGATCTCATCAGCGACGAGCACCGTCTTGCACACACTAGACACTCTACTCTGCCAGCGTAAATAAACCACAACCCTCCTTCTTTTGCTTCGATTTCCATAAGGAGAGGAAGCCTAAGGGTTCAATAACAAAAAATGCGATTTTAAAGTTTCTGGACTGGTTGAGAAAAATCAAGTCAAATCTCTCCTTCGCTTCACTTTCACAGCTTTCCCTTTCACTAATGATTTAAACGTACCTTTCATCACAGAGTATTGTGGTACAATTTCTCGTGCCAATTCTATTTCCGCAGTGAAAAGACCGTTGGTTGTGAGAGACACCTACCTTTTGTGCCCAGCTCCTGTGCTGGAAGAAGAGGGAACGTAAGTGATCTCTGTTACTGTCTCAACACGGGGGAGTGCGGGTCATAAAAGCTTGTTTAAACCCATTCCTGCAGGTCTGCCACCCTTCACGTCAGCATGAACAATGGCCTGAGCTTCGTATCCAGCTCCGTCACAATTACTGCTGTCACCTGCGTAAGTAGAACAACCGAAAAGCTGAGCCCGCGCATCAGCCAGTATGTCACCCTGATAGAGTTAAAATAACATGGATCTACGTGATGACCAGTCATCAAAAAATACATATCTGGTTTGGGTTGAAAAATGAAACTTGCACTCATACAAAACAAGTATGATAATTCTTTAAAGATTATATCACCAAAAAGAAAAAGAAAAAACACGAACGTTTTCAGGGAGCAACTTGAGGTTGAGGGAAGTTTCGTGCAGGTTTTACGCCCCGAGGACTCACCCCGGATGTTTTTCCGTACTCCGTTTCTCCTCCAGTCCGACGGGACCTTTGTGGCCATAGCCCTGCTCATCCTGCTGCTCCTGCTCACCATCCTTCTGCTGTGGTGGTTCTGGCCTCTCTGCTGCACCGTGGTACGGCGGCCATCTTGGATCGCCTCAGAGTGAAGACCATACAAATGTGTTCATGTCAGCAGGAATCATTACTTCTCTTTTTTACGCTTGCAGGTCATCCACGAGCCACCTGCTGCAGAACTAGAGGACCTCTCTGTAGGCGGTTCAATTTTTTCTTCACTTTTTCATTCCTTTTACGATCGTCACTAACTTGTTTGTGTAGCACAAGACATTTGCTTGTCAGCTACGGAATGATCGATTTGCTTTACTCTCAAAGTAATACTGTTTCCTTCTTCTTTAGGATGACGAAGATGGTTTCCCCAAGAAGAGGTGGCCCACAGTGGACGCCTCGTACTACGGAGGACGTGGAGTCGGAGGTATCAAGAGGATGGAGGTAAGAGGAGAGATTGCCAACCCAGATGGCAAATAAATGTGTATGCAATGAAACTTAGTGGTCAACATTCAGCTCAGCATTCGAGCTTGGGCTTTGCTGCTCCAGAGAGAGTGGAAAAGGAAAGAGTCCTCTCGATTTCATCTGGGGAAAAGAAGGAAAAAGGAAAGAGAAAGAAAAAAGCTCAGTCATGACGTCAATAGGCGGTTATTAAAGAAGTGGAGGCCGTTACACATGTGAGCTACCTGACGGTCTACGTGGACGGGCTGAGACAGAAACATCTGCAGGTTAACAGATGTGTCCGTGGTCCAAGAGGACGGTCAAGGAGACGGGAGTCAGCTCAGTCCACAGAGGAACCTCTGCTGTTAACTTGAAGCGGCACCGACTCCAAACAGAGCAACGGAAAATATGCACGACTTCGTTTAAGTACTTTCTCTGCCAAGCTGAAGCCTACATGGCTTCTCTGCTGCAGCTGCAAGGGCGTTAACATGAGTTATGAAGATCCACGGTTGTTTTGACAGAGCTGGTTTCACTCTGCATGCGACGGAGCGTTTTTGACATTTACTGATGCTCTTTTAGTGGTTCTTGTCTGCAGTAGTGGGTCTTTTGCTGCGTTTGATTAAACTCAATGTAGAAAGGCTAACATCTGGAAGAGTGATTATTATGTATACATGAAGCAGTAAGATGTTTATGTTACATCATTTACAGTAATTTATTGCAGATGCATTGGTAAAAAAAAGACATGGATTCTAGTGGAGCTAACACAGTCAGCGGATGTAATTTAATTGTCTCGTAATAATTAAATAACAATTTAGGATTATTTCCAAGTTTAAAAGTGCCTCTGTGAGGTACACGTGTGTTTTGAGCTACTCGTCAGCATGCTAACATTCTCACAATGAAAACAATACGGTGCCTATGTTCATCCACCTTCTTATTTTGTACTAATTTTTAACTCTAAAGGGCTTGTTTCCTTTTGTCACCAATAGCAGCACAGTGCTGAAAGTTTTTGTTTCTGTTCAGGTCCGATGGGGAGACAAAGGCTCCACTGAAGAAGGAGCCAAACTGGAAAAGGCCAAAAACGCCCGGGTTGTGATGCCCGAAGAGGAGTTCGATCCCCCGCGGCCTTATTACAATGCGCACAAGTCTACCCGCCCTCAGAAGTGGTACTCGCCCATCAAGGTGCTCCAGCTATTCCCTACATAATTGTCCTGTTCCCTCAGGACTTTTGTTTTTTTTTGCATATTATCTGATACCTGACCATATAATGCTATGTAATATGTATTTTTTTATTTATCATTATTTGACATTCAAATTCTCGACAAAGAATTGAATTGTTTTTCATCCACCTCTTTGGTTTGTACTCAGTTTGCTTCAGTTGTCGCAGAACTGTATAACTGCTATGAATGTATTTAATGATCACATATTGTAAACATATGTAAGATACAGATTTCTATATACGTACCAGATGTTTTAAAACAGACGCTTCCTTGGGCAGCCGCCCATCCACAGTAATCTAAACATATTAGTTTTTTTGTGAATGACATATGAGCAGGAAATAGTTAATAAAAAGTTTTTCCTAACACATTAGTCAGCTGGATGGAGGGTAATCAGAACCAGACATGGACTGAGCTAACCCCGGTAGATGGAATGTGGTGAGCGAGTGTTATTTCTAACCAAATACACGCTTTGTTCATCTCTATTATACAAGGCGTCCCATGCAAGAGCCAAAGAGAGCCACAAAGAAACAGACAAACTCTGCTTGTTAGTCAACTCAGCTGCTTTTGCTGCACTTCTGCAGCAAGTTATGTCAAGAGATCCCTGGTGCAACACGCAGGTTTTTACTCGTGCAGTCATCTGTGCTCCTCTCTCGACAGGGCAAACTGGACGCTTTGTGTGTGTTCCTGAGAAAAGGCTACGACAGAGTGTCCGTGATGCGACCTCATCCCGGGGACAAGGTGAGCGATACGTCGACAGGCCGGAGAGGGTGGAAAGCCACGGCCTGATTTCCTCGATGCAATCATGACAAAAAAGCATCATCTCTGTACAACATACAAGTACGTTTTTGCACACTGTGTGAGAATGACCCAACTTCATTAATTCTGGAAATGAGGGATCAAAGAACATAATAGAAGCCAATGTGAAGTCAATTAGTTACACTTACTCCATCAACTGAACATTTTTAAACAGTGAAAGCTGCATCAAAGTGACGTCAGGCAGCAAACTCTCGAGTGACAAAGTGAGTAGAGAAAAGGTAAAAACCTCTGCAGTGTGGTCAGGACCAACGCTCTGTCTGCAGAAGGTTCCAGCTTCGACTCGAGTGGCAACAATCCCGTTTCCTTCCATGACATCCACTCCTTTTTCCATCTGTCTGAAAGCACAGCAGATGCAGTGATGCAGTTTCCCGTCTTTACGGATTCACTGTTATTTTCTTGCGTTGCACACTCGAGGTCAAATACAAGCATCAACAGCGACCTGTGACCTCATGGTTTTTTCTTCTCGCTCCAGGGAAAGTGCATGAACTTCACCCGAAGCCGAGCCCACCGTGCCGCTCGCTATCCCATCTACAGCCGCCCCTCCACGCCCGTCTACACCTTGCCCCACGGTTACCTGCGTCGTCCCTCAGAGGAGTTGCCCCCCTCCCCGACTTCAACGCTTCCCCCTCTGCCGTCCGCGCCCCCACCCCTCTCCTTCTCCTCCTCCTCCCCCTTCCCCTCCTCCACCATCGCCGCACCTCCCGGGTACACGCCTGCTCCAAACAGAGCGCTGCCCCCACCTGCGAACTCGAGCTCGACCTGTGCGCCCCCACCGCCGACCGGCTCGCTGCCGCCGCCTCCTCAGGGCGCGCCCCCTCCGTGTAGGGCGCCACCCCCGTCACGGCCTCCACCGCGCCCCGATCAGGAGGATTACTGAAGGGTATGAAAAGAGAGTGGAGTGGAGGAGAAGGATGGAGACCCGGAGGAGGGAATGTATGACGTCACGTCTCGGGAGGCTGCAGCTGGCGATGCAACTTCCGCACCGCCTGATCTCCGTCTGAAGTGTGGCCATTTTTTTTTTATAAAAGTCTAGAAATGGGTTGTTTAGCGTAGTGAGCACAGCTTTGGCTATTAAATGTTATTGGCGCTAAGCAATGTATTCACTTTTTAAGGACACTTCTAGCCAATATCGAGCGTCGCAGTGTGCTATGGAGACGTACAAACTCGCATTTTAGCCTTTTGCCTGATTTCGGTCTTTTCATCTAAAATTGATATTTTGCTGCAGTGTGCTTCAAAAAGTCATTGAGTTCAAACAGCAGAAAATCCAGCGGCTCAGGAACTGCTTCATGTGTTTTATACATGAACATCTGTTTGGCAAGCTTGAAAAACGTTTATCTTGCAAAGGAATATTCATTATCACAAAAAGATTTATATGATGTTACATTAAATATCTGATTTCCATGGACAATAGCACTTTTCATTTGATTAACTTCTTTGGGTCACTGGGAGAAAAGCCCAACGCTTGATATTAAAAACATAATTTACTCAGGATTCAGTTTTTTCAAATATACAGATGTCTGCAAGAAGTGTTGGCTGTTTGTCATTTAAGTTACTTATAAAATTGACTTCTGGAAAACCACCCTGATAACTATTTAGCGGCCGGAATGACAGAATGTCAATCAACAGAATGATAGTTTTAACTGTTACTAAGAGTGATGCATCAGCGATAGCGAACAACAGCTGCTTTTAAGCCGGTCATGGAATCGGTCCAGTGTGCACGATCAGTCAGGACTTACATGGAGACGGAGGCATTGTTAAAGTTATTAGTTGTTAGTACGAGCAGTCAACGTGTGAGCTGTGGTACTTCTTGATGTCTGGCATCTACATTTTAAATTCACATGGAGGACGAATATAGTGTACTTTCTAGTTAAAAGGGACTTCTAAACACTGAGTGGGAGTTTATTGCTGTATGAAGTTAACTTTGGTGACGTGGAACATTTTTTTGCTTTCCTGTCCGGCACTGCAGGAGAAGCTAGAACGTGGACGGATTAGAAGGAGAATTAACTTGAAATAGTATACTTTATTTATCACTCTGAACATGTTGGACTAAATAGTTCCCTTTTCGGGTAAATTGTGTAAAGACTCTCTGAATAATAACAGAAATCTAATTTGATTTTCCGAGTTTAGAACCATGCAACGAGCCAAAGGAGTCAGTGGAGTCTTATTCCATCAGTCAACTAGGATGAATCCTAATCTATCTTTTTTATGCTTTGCTCAGCTTTTGAGCTCTTTCTTCACTCGAAAATGTTTTCACAGATGTATTGAGACGGACTCGCAATCCTGTGGGCAGTGAGCTCATGGAGGCGTGTCTGAGGGAGCTGCCAGCAGCCGTCGGATTTCAAGGCAGACAATAAGAATACAAAACCCACAGCGATGCCACGATGGTCATATTTATAGATTTCATATCCAAAATGAAAAGATAATAATATCGATGCACTTTGAAGACCGGATAAGCCTCCTTGGTGTTACAGTGCACAACAACAGCAACATCACACCGCTGAGGTCAGCAGCCTCACAGTGCACAATTTACAGGAAAGCCTCAGACTCTTCTTCCATTTACGCATTTACAGCTCCTGAATCCTGACATGTTTACCCTCAAGAAGTCGGCTCACTCTGCTCTTTTTCCATGTGCTCTTCGTAGCTACTCGTTAAATCCAAACAGGCAGATCATCTTTCACACGAGCTCAGCTTACCTTTTTCCTCCTGAACTAGATGGAGGTTCAAACGTGTTTTAGTGGCACTTTATCGGAGGCTCAATCCGGCATGAAGATAACTGGACATAGCGGAGCCGTGGGTTTACCGTGTTCTTTCCATTTCACCTCTGCATTTTGTTTAAGTTGTGTAATGTGGTAAAATTAAATAGATAAGATAAACTAAAACCTCCCTGGAATGTCTACATTTGGGCTCTCGGCCTCCCGATTTAACGACAGCCACAGAGGAGCATCGACACGCTGCTGGAGACAGAGGAAGCGTGACTCGTCTTCCTCGTGAGGAAGAGGAATGTCATCTTAGAAAAGGGGGGCTTCTATTCGAACAAGCATCAGGTGCAGACATGCAGGCCGAGGTCGATAAAAGAGACACAAGCAGAAAGACACGGATGTCATTATGTTTACAAACCTTTAATTCATTTTCACTTAGAACACTTTCTGTGGTTTGGTGTAAATATCCAGGTTATAGAGGAATATACAAATACTTGACAAGGCAGCATGGTTTATAAAAGTATGAAGCAAAACTAGAAGCATTATTTGAAAGCTTCTCGCTCGTAAACGTAACTATAACGTTGTTTTTCCCTTCTGATCCGTCACCTCATGCTGTGGAACGTCAGCAAATTTGAGCCAAGGACATTAAATGTTTCATTTAAAATACCAAGACCAAAAAACAAACATTAGCCGTTGAGAAAACATTTCAAGAGATCTATCAAAGGTTGTGCAATTTGTTGGAAAATGTCCTCACTAAGCTGCAAAGCAAGTGAATTAAATAGAATCCTTCCAAACTGTAACATCATGCTGGTTACAAAACCGCTACTATCTCACACTCTCACAAGAGTTACCAAGCTTTCACTTCTTAATGTAAAAGTAATGTGTGAATATATTTCGACCTTCAAATCTTTCCACACCTTTACATTTTATTTGCTATCATGTCTTCGTTTGGCATGTCCTGAAACACTCAGCTGAATACCGAGCAGCATAAACTGGTATTAAAAAGGCACCATCTGTAATCTACGTGTAAACAAAAGAGTAAATTACTCAAAAAGTGAAGAACTTACAAAGTGTTTGTAACACAGAAACCCAAACACTGTTCATGTTCTTAATGTTAACAGAAATGTTTGTGCAGGTCGAAGTAAAACAACAATATTTTCAATTATGAAACACACATTTCACTCATTAGTTGAATAAAACCGGTCATTTAAATGACAGATTGAGAAAAACCTTTTTACAGGTCTGATCCTTCAAGGTCCTTCTAGAAACTCCTCAGTCCAAGTTCACAATGTTTGAGTGCTGAATGATGCTCCGTTGAGCTCGGACGGAAAAGCAACCACATGACTGAGGTAGAATATTCATTTCAAACAAGGACATAATTGGTAAAAGGATTGTTTACTTGTTTTAGTTCAGTAATAATGAAATAGTTCGACAAAAGAATTACATTTTCAGGCAATACTGCAACTCTTTTTTGGCTCACAGAGAACCCAAAAACTTCTCCGAGATGTTTGTATAATCAAGGTTTCCCCTGAGAGCATCTCGGCTGGAAAGGCGCCCTGGCGAACGGGTCGTCCAGAGGTCTTCCCCCGATGGTCCAGGAATGCAGAGGCCCCACGGCCACCGAACCCACGGCGGCCTGCTGACCGATCCTGGAGACGACCCGGTGCACCGCCACTGGCCGCTGGGGCAGAGGCGTCTCCGCGTGCAGAGGACGGGCCCTCGCGCAGAGGGACGGGGGACCCGGCGGAGACGATCCCGGACCCGGGGGACATCGTTTGCTGGTTTGAATCGGCTGCGGCGCGGACGTGAATGTGTGCGGGTCAGCAGAGTCGGTCGGCCTCTTTCCAAACGGCGCCTGGAGGAAAACATCACAGGCCGCCGCGGGTTTTTGAGATTTAAAAAAGGAGGAGCCGCCGAGTTCCACCGCGCTTTCTTTCGCCGGCGTTTTAAAGGGGGCCGGCTGGAGGACGTCGGAGGGGACCGGGCGGCTCGGGGACCGGAGCTGCCTTACTCTGCCGGCAGGTGGAGACGGCCGGCTTGTCTGGAGCTGTATGCTCCCATCATCTGATGGCGACAGGTGCTCATCGCAGACACGTGCGGCGGCCCGCCGAGTCCTGAGCCTCAGGTTGTCCTCAGACGGAGCAGCGGGCCGCACGCTGCTGCTCGGCTCCCTCTGCAGGTCTGTGCGAGGAAAAGGCGGCAGGAAAAGGATCAGATGTACAGAGAAATGAAAGCTTTGCTGGTATTTTGAAAAACACAAATATTTTGCCACCGATGATGCGACGAGACGAATGTGTGGTTCAATATGTTGCATGCACTTGTGCTCATTTTATAAAAGACAATCTTAACATAAAAATAAAATAAAATTGGGTTCTTTTCTTGAGAAAAGAACACAACTGGGGGAGTAAACGAAAATGTCTTGACATTTTAATGGAGCGTGAAGGTCTTACCTGCGTTGAATTAACCTGCTATATGAGCAGAATAAGAATTTGATTAGTGCATCACACAATTTAATCTCCCTTACTATATTATTCTTAAAATGAAACAATCATTGAGAAGAATATTTAATCCTCTAGAATCTCAGAGCAAAAAATGAAAACAATTGATGAAGGAGAATCAGAGATCGTTTGCTTCCTTCCCTTGCATTACCCACAATGCAACTCAAACCGCTGATTTGTTTTATTTTCAGGTTGACTTCATCAGAATTTACCCAACCTTTCAATTCTTTTCAAATAAAGTAGACAGTTAATCACCAAGACATTTAAACCTGAGGTTTCCTTTACTGGAAAAACACTATGAACCGAGTCATTTAGCGAAGGTGTCGTGTGCTCTTGTTGCTTTAAAGCACCAAACATCCTGGACAACAACATCTTAGAATCAACACTCAACACGTTGACATTCACATTTGTATTTTATTTGCCATCCCTTTATAATTCTTTAATTATCTCACAAAAATAGAAGGAGCACACAATACCACAGCTCTGATGCAGGTTTGGGCCATGAAGACAAGAGGCGTCTCGAGAACACTCAAAAGCATCAGATATTCATTCGTTTGTGGCAAAAACAACAGCGAGAAAGAGGGGCTTCTGTTTCACATTGAGGACTAATCTCACACTACCTGCTCGGCTTTACCGATAACGACAGCACGCTGGCGGCTACAGGGGGAGAGCTCGGGAGTTGCATAGGTTCAAAACAGTAACTGCAAGTGTTCAGAGGAAGGACGGTCGAGAGGATGA